AAGCCGGGAACTGCCGAGTATGACATTTTTGAAGAAGTTCTTGCAGGGGTAAAATTATATTTTGACCGCGCACTTGGAAATATATTACTATACCGCTTTGAGCGCCAGCAATACCTTTCTATCAAACAAAAATACCCAGACAAGCCTGCCAGCGAAATTTATGGACCTGAGCATTTGTTGCGTCTTTTTGTCTCTTTCCCAGCTCTTATTGCTCAAACAAACATGGACCAACAAAGTATTGGTGTTTTACGAGAACATCTTCAAGATTTATTACGTTATATGGCAGATCATAAAAAGAAGCTTTTCTTGAAGGACTACAAAAACACGTCTCCTCAATATGAAGCTATTTCTCGCTCCTTTTAAATATTAATAATAACGAAAATAATCTATACTTTTTTTTTTGGTAAAAGAATCAATGACAATTCTCTTTTTTTTTTTTTTTGGTGAATTTTTTTTTTTAACTTCTTGTAATGATTTTATGTATCTACTTTATTTGTCCCCATCCCTAATAATCAATTGTCAAAAGAGTATATTTGGAATTTAAAAAAAAAAAAAAAATAATTGAAACATTAATACTACCTTTTGTCAATTTCTATTTTTGTCATTATTATTTTAAATATTTAATGAATTTATTTTGATTCCTATTTATTTATATTGTAGTTAACTCATAAACTTCTTCATAATTTTGAAGTCGCTTTATTTCTTTCACTCATTTATATAAATTTAAGACAAGATTGCCAACTTATAAGTTATAATTACAAATATAGATGTAAAAAATGTTATCTTCTTTAAAATTATTACTATTTAGAAAAAAAAAAATAGCAACTATGATTCATCTATTTGTTTCTCTTTTTTTCAATTATGATTCCATTAAATTAACCAATCAATCTTTTTTATTCAGTATAGATTCAAGTTTTTAAAAGATCAATACAAAATAATGATTACTCTTATTCCTAAATAATTAACATTAACATTCTTAATTTTTTTTAAACCTATTTGGGAATATTAATTTTTTTTAGTTATAACTAACATAACATAATTATGTTTTTTTTAACCGGCATCTTTTTTGTTTGATACATTTTATCTGGCAATCTTTGTTTGGGGCAGTTCAAAAACAAGTTTACTAGCTTTTGTTATTCACAAAAAAAAAAACATGATTTTGAATTTTATTTTAAAATTATTTTTACCTATATTTACGCCATTGATATCAAAACAAAACATATTGAAATAATATTATCAATTGATCTTGCATTGATTCTTGAGAATCTCAACTTTTTTTTTTCATCCTTGTTAATTTTTAAAAAAAATGTTGAGATTATTTTATACGTGACGTCATTTTGAACCAAAAAACAGTCAACAACAAGTCCTTTTAGCAAATACGACCAACACCTTTCTATAAAAAATAAAAAAAAATAAAAAAATTTCAAAATCTACTTATATTTTAAAGAAATCAATTAAAAATTTGAAATGAAATAATTTAGAAAACTTAGGTTTACTTTTTTTTTTTTTTTTTTGGTTTTTATTAAAACTTTATAAGTCGACAAATATTTAATAAACCTCATATTATACGTAAACGTAAGTATGCGATGTTAAAAACCTCATTCAAAGCGCCTCCCCCCAAAATATCGTTTGGTTTAAGTAAAATTCAAACCACTAAATTCAAATAAAACTAATAGAATCATCATATATTCAGCTGTAAATGTTTAAGAAATTGAGTCAAAACACGGTTTACATCAGATTATCTCCTTTTACCTATTTCTATTTATCTCACTATTTTTTTTGTCTCCAATGCTATTAATTTTTAAATCATTTATAAATTCATAAATTTTCTTTTAAAAAAAATTAAAATGACTTGTGTATGAATCTTGTTTAAATATTAATTGTTTTGTGGGTATATTATTAACTATAACCAACTAATTTTGTTATCTTAGATTGAGATATCTAATTAATATTAAGTGTTACTATTAACTGCTGAATTAGGTATTTCTTTTCTTTTCTTTTTTTTCCTTCTTTTAATGCATTATTCTTATTTACTTTTTATGTCGAAAGGCTTCATTGTTATATGGGTTTTAATATACATTTAAGAAAAAGTACTATACACAATGATTGAATTAAAGCCAATTATTTCTAAGATTATACACTGGGAAACTGATTAATCATTGGCTTCAAATCCATTTTTATGTACGTACACTTAATTTTTTTTTATCAAAATACGTATTGATTGATGTCTTCAAATCTCAAGTAGGAATATAGACCACTATATATATAGTGGTATATATATATATATATCTTTGCTTCCAATAGGAATGCGTAAACAGACTTCTTTGTAAGGACATTTCCAAAAAAAAAAAAAAAAAAACATATTATAATTTCATTAAATACAAAAATATATAGAGAAAATACATAAAAGAAAGAGTATAGCTAAATGGGTATTTGAACTGGTTTACAGTTATAGTTATAAAGGAATGACCATGACTCAATGGAAAATGAATGAAATGAAAAAAAAAAAAAAAAAAAAGTAAAGTAAAGTAAAGAAAAGAAAATTTCATAAGCGATTTCGTTAAAAATGAAGAGAATATAATCAAAGTGGCTTCATAAATGTTTCGTTGACGAATCATACCAACTTTTTTTGTTATCTTTTTTGAAAAAAAAAAAAAATAAATAAATGATTTAAAATAAGAAAAAATTTTAATTTAATAACCGGCCGCTGGGAAAGAAAAACGGACTTTTTGTGCAGGGAGTGCAGGAAGCTCTCGAGAAGCTAATGAATCATTCTGTGGTTGATGAGTGTTACTCCTGGACCGTCGAGATGAGCGGCTGGCCATAGATGAAGACGATTCGTTGATAAAAGGCTTGTAAAGGTCATTTGCCGATAACTTTGAATTTGTCTTACTAAGTTTAAGAGGTTCGACAGAAAAGTTATAATCCCCGGTGCTAGAAGAGTTGCCAAAGCTAGTGATGCTGTTATTCGAAGTAGTGCTGGGGTTTGAATCAAATCCATATTCAAAAGTGGGGGTCCTTTCAAAATTGACTGTGTGACGCCTATTGATCTTAGTTTTGGGATCACAGGTAGTATAGTTAAATTTTGAGGATGTGCCAGACGAGCCAGTGGAACCAGCAGAGCCAACAGAACCAACAGAACCAACAGAGCTCATGCTAGAAAATGAGTTGTTTTTTTTATGCCTATTGGCAAAAAAAGGCTTGGGTACTGTAAATGAACCAGAGCTTTGATCAAGTCCTGAAGAGTTGTAAAGTTGTGCAGGTGCATTCACAGGTGAAGAATTACCAGTAGTAGGCGATGCTTGTCCAGATCCAATCGAAGACGAGGTTTCAGACATTGAGTCATCAAGGCTCATATCGGAGTCACCATTGATACTCTTACTAGTCATGGATGCAAGAGAATCCAAACTGTTGCGTTTGGCATGGCCCATTTCAAAGTGATCTTTGTTAATGGCAGTCGCAGCAGCAGTAGAAGCAGCAACCACAGAAGATGAAGTAGATTCAGATGACACAGATTGCTTAACCATAGAAATAATGGATGGTGAAGAAGTGATAGCTTGTTGTTCGGCTTCGGATTCCAGAGGCTCAAAAGTATCATCATCAGTTGGTATTCTAGAATGGAGACCAAAAAATCCCTCATTGTCGATTGTGATCATCTGAGGAACAGTGATTTGGTAATCCTTTGAATTAGAAGAAAGATTGCTGGTAAATGAAAGAGGGAGCTGAACAGTTGACAATTCCAGATACTCCTTCTTCTTAGAAAAGATAGTAGTGCATGGAGAATCGGAGTTTTGAATGTTGTCCAAAAAGTAGTTATATGATGGTGCACTGTTTTCTCTAGCAAGTCGTTGGCGATATAATCTCCATGACTTTGATGGCATCCAGTCTCCAGACTTATCTTTAGTATGAGGGTTCTGAACTTTTGAATCGTTAGCGTTTGCAATGTCGAGATTGGAGCACTTTTCAAGATCCCAAAGTCTTACTGTTCCATCGGAAGATGCCGAAAAAAACTCATTTTCATTGGTTAGAGACCAGTCAATAGAGTTAATCTTATCATAGTGGCCGTCAAGTGTCATTAGTGGGGATCCTCCTCGGATGTCCCAAATCTTGATAATAGTTTGATCATGAACAGAAGCCACACGGTTCTCATCAAGAGGAGACCACTTTACAAGAGAAACAATGCCTTCATTAGCATTTGGTGGAGCAAGTGAAGGAGGGTTTTTGTAACGAATATCCATGATGGAAATCCCCCGGTCAGTTGCAAACGAGACAATACCATTGCGAAGAGGAGAAGAATGAAATGAGCGAGCCTTTTTGTTTCTTTGCTTGATGATGGGGATATCACAACGAGAGGGGTCCCAAAGATACAAATGTTCCGAAAAGAGAGATAAGATAGATGATTCAGGACTGCAAGTCCATTTTGAAGAAGCAATATTGACTGTACGAATTCTGGTAGATGTAATCAAATCCGGAGAAAGATGTTTGGTGTGGTTAAAACGGGAAAGAATTTCTGCTGGACCATCATTTTGATATGGATCTGGAAGCATGACAAGGTGAACAAGACCGGAATGGCCTGTTGCTAGAACATTTCCAAAGTCGCTTAGTTTGTGCTTTGAAGGAACCCAGTCTAGAGAATGTATCCCCCCAAGCGATATGGTTTGATGGTGAGTAAGGACTGGAGTTCGATTCAATGGCCGGGTATAATTTGAGTTTGTAGGTCTTTTATGTGATTCTGTGTTAGCATTTTGCTGGGGTTTAAAGTCGTTGTATATGTGATGAGAGGATGAAGATAAGGTTTCAGAGACGGATCTCTTGTGCACACAATTTTTGCCAAAGACATTGAAACTACTATTGCTACTATTGCTACTGTTGCTTAAGCTGGGGTTTAAATTTGCGGAGCCAAAGGAATCATGGTAGCTTTTGCGGTGTGGTTTGCGTGGTGAGAGTTGTTCAGAGCCCAAGAGGTCGCTGGAAGTGTCTCCAAAGTTGATGAAAGAATACTTGTTTTCAATGCTTTCTGGTGAGCTAGGGGCTGAGTGGGAAGTCGGTGATGAGACTTCGTCTGATGGAGGTGCACTAAGTTCATAAATAAAAATATTGGAATCCTTTGAGGCTGAGGCTACAGCCACCAGAGGTTCCGAGTCATGACAAGCAACTGAAGTCAAGTTTGACTTTCTGTCCGGAACTTTCCAGTAAGATGACGAAATGACTCGCTTTGAGCTGAGACTATATTTTTTACCTAGAAGCTTGACCGGGCCCAGAGGCTCTTCATAGCAAGTTCCTAAGCGATCTTGAGAGGTCATAGATGATGGTGAATATTATGGTGTACAGGAAAAATAAAATAAAAAAAAAACACAATAAATGGATAGATAAACAATGATAACAGGTAAATAAAAGGGATCAGTGAATTGATATATTGCTTTTTTTTTTTTAACGTGAGATACTATCAATGATCCCTGAAGCCACTTTGAGAAAACAATATAGATATAGCAATAATTTGAGAAAAAAAATAGAAGAAGAAGGAAAAGTGATTTGAAAGGAAGAAAGAAAGAAAAAAAAAGTCTGAGGGGTATAAAAAAAAAGAACCCAGCCTTCCAGAGGATATATATAGATATATATATATATATAGAATATATATATACATACAATATACTCAGCAGACTTTTTTTGGAGAATGAAGACCTCATATTTTTTTTTTTTTTTTGACATGATTGTTTATTTCCTAGTCTACGCTTTTGATCTAATAATTAATTAACGTTTTGTACGGAATCAATTTAATAAGTCTCATTTATTGGATCTTTTTTTTTATTTATTTTTTTTTTTTTTTAAAAACCAAAAACTTTAAATTGAAAAAGCGTTAATGTTAAGTTACACACTGCAAAATCTTAAATGGGAAAAAGTAAAAAACGGAAGTTTTTTTTTTCTTTTTTCTTTTTTCTTTTTTCTTTTTTCTTTTTTCTTTTTTTTTTGACTGATTTTAACATCTCAAATCATATAAGAATTCCATATTGAGATTTTACAAGTTTCAAGTGCACTGAAATTTTTTTTTTCTTTTTTTTTGTATTTATTAATTTGTATTTTTCGGACTTAAAGTTCTTCATTATCGCTCCGTATTTCTTATATTGTTAAGAATTTAATTGAAAATGTTTTTTTTTTTTTCGTAGAATCTTTTGGAGCTTAAGAAGGTTCATTTTTTGATTATTTACTTTGGTTTCACTTAATACCAAAAAACTTTTGCGCCTTCATCTAAATTTATCATTAATCATTGAACCCCCAAGGCGTGGACTAACCAGGCTATTATAATAATTGATATTTTCCCTAAAAAAAATCAAATATATATATATATATTTAGCAATGATTTATATAATTATATATATAATTATTTGTATTTTAATTAATCAGTTTAAAAAAAAATAACAAACTTTCATGTTAACACCCGTATCTCTGGTTAATTTTTTAATTTTTTTAATTTTTTTTTTCTTAGAGATATAGAATTGTATTGGAAAGTCGGCTGGGCTGAACTGCCTGCTTGGCTGGACTGCCTGCTTGGCTGGACTGCTGGCAAGGTAATTGCCAGACTGGGCTGTCTTGTTATGTCACTGCTTATGTTGCTATGGATACCTAAATTCGGGCTAAGGGTATTATCAGCCGTACTCCCGTGTAAAGTCAAATGCATGTTATCACAGTAACCAATCTGCAATATATTCTTGTTACTGATTCTATTCATCTTTCCAAGTATTCCAATTTTACTATCTCTGATTTTAGTAGAGATTTTATATATAGTATAGTTTCTTTTAAAAAGTTCAAATTAAAATCTATTTCAAAATTTAAATGAATTGACTTAAATTGAATTTAATTGAATTGAAAAAAAATGCTGTGTTTTTGTTTTTTTTTTTTCCCCTTCTAGGTGTGACATTCATTGTCTTGAAACGTGAGCAGGAAAAAAAAACAATCTCATTCCTTTTCTTCAACTTCATTTAAATATTAGTACGCAGGAAATCACAAACTCATTATACTTTCTTCTTCCAATAAGACCGTTAAAAAAATTGTGTTTATAAAGAATAAAAAGGAACCACTTAGATATCCACCCAGTAAAGATGCGGAGACTGAGACTTTGGCTACGATTGTAATTATGATTTATCTATCTACTTTTGGGGGAGGGGGGGAAATCAAAAGAAAATGTGTCCTTTTATTCCGACAGCCCATTGATATCACAAAACATTGATTATTTTATTTCATGCTTAAAAAGACCCATTTTTTTTTATTATCTATATATATTGAATGCCTTAATACCCCTTGTTTTTTTTTCTTTTTTTTTTTTGAAGGTTACTACTCTTTTTAAACACTTTTCAACTTTGGGCAAGTTTGTTGTAAATATGCGATAAACTGTTTTCCTCGACATACAGAAGATACAAATCTTATTTCACAATATGGGGTAAAGTTGATCTCGACCCAGCCCCAGCCCCATCTCCAACAACATACACATCCAACCCAACCAGTCCAGCCTTTTAAAACCTATAGAAGCATATCTCTATATATGACTTTTTCAATCTTTTTACAAAATCTCTCCTTTTTTTTCATGATGCTCCTTCTATGCTATTTGAAAACGCCTTCTTTTTTTTTTAAGCTGTGAAACATACATATTTTGTTCTCAGAAACCTTTGCTTCTTTAATGATTGTCTAAAAAAAAAAAGAGTTAAGGGACTTATTCCAGTATTTTAGGTAAATTTTTGACCCACCAAGATCCTAGAAAACGCTAATAGAAGTGATTCCTTTCCCTTATTTGTAGACCAACTGTATGCCTCTAGTTGTCACAAAAGATAATCATTAACATGAAAAGTATACGCAGTCTTTCGACAATGTGATTCTTCAACTTGCTATCTTGTTTTTAATTTTCCAAAAACATTTACTGCATGAGATTTTTCGACTTTTCTTACCAACCTACATGTTATTGAAATTTTACAATACCTATATATACATCCATCCTAATCTTGAAAGAAAATTTTTTTCTTTTTGACATACTAATGAAGATGGGTTTATGCAAGCTTAAGCTTAAGCTTAAGCTAACAAAGTAGTAAATCTTTTCACTAGATAGCTTCCCCAGATTTTTCTTAAACTGTAAACAGATTTAGTCAAATTTCTTATAAAGAATGGTTAGTAACTTTTGTCCTCGTGGGCACATTGCAGTGGCTTCAGGGGTCATATTTTTTTCTGATGGAAAACTTATATAGTTGGCAATTAACACGCTATACCTATCCTTAAAAAAAATTGAATAAATAAACAAAAGTAACCGATCTTAATTTAATGTTTGGGTTTCATTTCCTGGTCTCCCGTTTTAAATAGAATGTCTAGAGTTCATTGTTTCTGGCTACTCGGTTGAAACAATATTCTTTCATATTGTGATGATATATTACGGAGGTTAAATAGATAATATATGTGTCATATTACCTTAAATACAAACCAACATACCACTAAACGGCTTAAACTTTGGTCATTTGTTCTCATATCTACCTTATTCTGAAAGTTACGATAGTCATTAAATTCGCAATCTCAGATGTTATTTTTAGAATATTAGATATATTTTTTTTTGTTAATTCAACAAGAAAACATCTTTTTTTTTGTTTTTTTTTGTTTTTTTTTAGCTGGAATCTAAAGTTTTTTTTTTTTTTTTTTTTTAAAATCGTTTAACCTACATGCTTAATAGAGCGTTTTGTTTGGCTTATAGATGTTTTTTTTTTGGTGTTTTTTAATCTTTTAGTTGACTAGATTTATGCACTTGAAAACAAACACTTTTCATGTCCTTTGATGTCAAATAAAAAGTTCTATGCATTGATTTCATATTTTGTTCGGTTCAATGACATCAAAGGGTTTTTTTTTTTTTAAAGATATAATCCTAAAAATAAACAATTATATATTCATTCTTTCGGCGCCTGCGGCTGTATAGATAGTACCGCCCCGTTTTTCTTCCTACTCGTTGCTGATGGAAAAAGAAAGTCATGAGTAGCAACATAGTTTCTCTTCTTTTTATTTTTTTTATTTTTTTTATTTTTTTTATTTTTTATATATATAATAGAGACAAAAGGCATTTGAAAAATAATTAAATTTTTTTAATTTAATAATTTCATTATTTTTTATTTAATAAAACCGTCCAATATGTTTACTAAAAAAATGGTTTGAAGGCCTAAACTCGTCAGTTTAGCAAATCTATCTGTTTGTCCGAATATCTGTTATTAAATAAGTTTCCAGTTAGTTTTTTTTGGTAACGTTTTTGACCAGTTACTTAATTGATTAATTGAGTAACTATTTCGCTAGCATTGAAGATGGTTGCTTCAAAAACGCCAAAATTCCAAAATTCCAAATTTTTTTTTTATTTATTTATTTCTATTTTTTATTTTTTTTCTAAATATATTTTACTATTATTTCCCCCAATATTTATGCAATGTTCCCGCTTTGATGTTTCTTTTTTAAGAACCATCGTGGGAACAAATCACGCTTCCACCTTAACATCCGTAAACACCTGCCATAGGGCTTGCACCAAGATGAGAAAATCTATTTTAAAAAGAAACTCAGGCAACAGCTAACCCACAACAAATATATAAAAATTATCCAACAAATTGGACAAGCAATTTTATTCTAAATTTACTTAGTATTAGGAAAAAAAAAGAGTAAAAGAAATAATATCTATCATTATTTTTTGTATCACCACCATTATATTAATAGCTTGAAGGTGTTAACTTTTTAAAAAATGATTTTTTTTTAATTAGAATAATTATGATAATAATAATAATTGTTCTAATATTCTGTCTTTCGCCCGAATAATATTTATTTTTTCTTGCTATTTATTCCTTAATATTATAATTATAATTATAATTAAAATTTTTAGGAGATCTTTATAGATATATTTAGCTTTTTAGACAGAAAATTTTAAAAGGTATGAGAAAATGGGAAAATAGGAAAATGATCTAAGGAACCTTTTACATCATATTTTTAAAAGAAAAAGAAACCTTTTCTATATTACTTCTTTATTGGAATAAGATATGTTTCTAACATGATATTTTCCCAAATAACGAAAACCTTTTACTTGACCACCTGGATTCTTTGGAAATGTTTCTCTTAACTAAAAAAAAAACCTTTTCCTATAATTTTCAAAGCACAATTTTTTTTTAAAAAAACCATAACCTTAGAATGTTATTAGTAGAGACTATTTTTTTCTCAAAATACTTTAATTTTATTTGCATCTAACCTTATCGAAAGGGTCCTTGAATAAGATATGTATATCTTAAAATATACCGAAAATCAAAAAAAACAAAAAATATCAACGAGAGATTTTACCAAAAAAAAACATTATTTCTTTAAATTTCTATACATACCTAGAACTGTTCAATTATGACAGGCATACATTTATTATAAAAAAAGACAGCATGTGAATTAAAACATTGACGTGATCAGTTGAAACAAAAAAACAAACTGTCATTACCAGAAACAAGTTAAAAAAGCCTGATTAATAAATTTATCGCACATTTGAGGTTTATTTTTTTTTCAACTGCCTGTGTGTAAGTTTTACATCTATCACGTTCATAAAAGAAAAAAAAAGAAATCTTTTCTATATTATTTCTTTATTAGAATAAAATATATTTCTAACATGTTATTTTCTTAAAAACACAACTTTTATACCTTTCTCTACTTGTAAGATCGTAGTAGTAAGACCACAGAGAAGCAATTGATAAACTATTAGAGTAATAATGAAGGTGAAACTTAAAGGAATAGTTCTTAAAAAAAACACTTATTCCATTTTTAAGGGAATTGATTGTGGAACACATTTGATATAAAAAAACTAATATAGTTATTAAACAACTAAAGATATTTCAAATATATAAAAAGTTTAGAAAAATTATAGATATGCATCAGACTTAATTACACTGAAGATACCTTTAAAATTTCAATTGTTGATTACTTGATTTTAATGGATCCAATTAACACCAATATTGAAGTAAAAGAGAATTCTCAGGTTAAAAAATAATTTTCGGTATAAAATCTAATAAGACATCGATAAACACCAATGAGTCCTTTTTATTTTTATGGAAGGGGAATCGGTACCAGGACCTAAATAGTTCGCTTGAAAAGTTATGACTCTCATAATGGGCACACTTTCCCGTAAATTGTTTTAAACTACAAAAAGAATTAAATTTATTAATAAAAAAATGAATTATAAAAGCTAAGATATATGAGAAACGATATGTACATGTTTTGTTTTGAAACAATTTTTCATTTAAAAGAAGGAACTTAATAGCAAACGAAAAATAATTTGGGCAGTAAAGAAAACTAAAGAAACAAAATCCCGATCTGTTACATAAACGAATACAATAAAAAGAGCTGAAAATGTATGGCTTTTAATAAATTTTTAGAAAAAATGAAATGTTAAAGAGTTTATATTCTAAAGCAACTTTTAAACGAGAGAAATTAATTTGTTTCAAATGAATCAAATAAAGCTATTCTTATTCATTTCGACAAACTTACACTACAAGCTTTAATTAAACTATGAGTATTCAAATAAACATATGTAATAAAAAAATAATTAAAGCGATTAGAAAGCATTCAATCTTACCAAAAGTAAAATATGCAAATGTAGAGTTATATGAATTCCAGCTTGTCGTCTCCATCAAACGACAACAAATAGATTTAAAAGTTTTAATAGATATCATTTTCAAAGTATATATAATAGTTTAACTTAAATCAATTTGAAGTCGATATATTTTTATGCTCAGTCTTTTTTTTTTAAAAACTTTTTTTGAGCATGTTGACATGATTAAAAGCAATTTTATTTTTTTTTTTTTTTTTTTGATAAGGAGCAGTATGAAACAAATAACACATGAGATGGTTTCAAAAATCTTTAAGTTTCTTTTTTTAAATAATTACCATTATAGTTGAAAAATAGATCGAAAAATATTTTCTATTTTTTTTAAGATGAAAACTTTCTTTAGTTACCAAATACGGGATGACTATTAATATTATTTATATAAATTCTTGCAAAAGCTTTTCTAAACGGTATAATATCATACTTCACAGTTTTTTCTTTTTTGGAAAATAATAATAAATGTTACCCGGTTGTTACATTTAAGCTTAATCAACTTGAAATTTCTTCATTAAGATGGCCGTAGCTATCTAATGAAAAGAATAGTTAGTCAGTTCCTTTATAAAATTCAATAAAGTCTGATAGTCAATTGCAGTTCCTTCATAAAATTCAATGAATGGAGTCTGATAGGAAATGTTTTCTCATAAAATAATCAATTCAATTAAAAAGTATTTTGTTTTTCGTTACACTATACATATGCAAGCATAGATCTAATAATCCCCTTGACCTTATAAAACTCAGGCCCTATTCCACCTTCTACCACAATGTTACCTTGGGTTAGCTTTCTAACCGCTACCTTGTTGTCACAGACCAAAATACCCTCTGCTTTGAACTCGGCTCGATGACCAAGCGCTACAAGCTGACGTTTCAACTCGGCCAATCTTATATCACCAACAGTTACTGGACCTGTTACATGGGCGCGTGCCAAAACAATATCGTCTGTACTTTGAAGCGGCACAAGACGGACGACAGACTTAGGTTGGTTGCGGACTAAATGTGATGGCAGACCATTATTGAGAGCCACACGAGTCAGTTCCAGTGTATCCTCGGAATCCTCGGTCTTGATCGCCAACGGCGCATCTTTTTCAATCTTAAGTGGCTCATTATTGGGCTCATTATTAGATTCAGAAGTGGATGACTCAGAAGAAATTTTTTCCTCTTTAGTCTTTACCTCACCTTCTTTTTGAGGCTGTGTTTGTTCGGTATTTTCAAGCTTAGTAACTTCTAGCTTACCCATAACTTGGGCCACAGAATAGTCACCAGTAATTTTCTGCCATTTAAGGACTTTTTCAAGTTCTGGGGAAATGATCAATGAGTATGAGTTGGAACCAATTTGAGTTATAATAGCTTCATTTGTGGGTGCCTTTGTAATAAGTTCGAGCTTCATCTCGGCAGCAGCTTGTTCGTATTCAGAAACAATCTCATCAACATTTGTAGATGATGGCTGTGCTTTTTGAGAAACACGAGGATTTCGAATATCGAGGGAGGATGGCAAGAAAATAAGCTGTCGGGGCTCCACTTGTTGCAAAATTATTCTCAGTGAACGAGCATCAGTGACGCCATCAAAGTCGATAAAGTCCAAATGGCACAAAACCTTAAGAACAGCAGACTTTGGTATAATTTTGGTAGGCTTTGCGATCGTAGAAAAGGAGTCAAGACGAAAGGTTTCGTCATTGTATTGCGTGTTTGTGCTGAGAGAAGTTGTTTTTTCTGATTCATCCTTCTTTTTATTGTTAGAAGGAACAATCGGGGCTGGACCACTGAGAGCAGCAGCCTTTTCTGCTTCTTCTTTTTCTGCAATTTTAGAAAATTGGTCAAGCTTAAGAACTTCACCATAGTCATCTACACGCCGTCGTTTGATGGCAAATGGAAACATTCGGGGCTTGCTTTTAGGCATGGTTCTAACATCATAATCGTAAACATCTTTACCGTAAAGCAAAATACTAACATCCATTTGACCGGACATGATCATTTCGTCCTCGTCTTCATCGTCATCATCATCGGATAGTTCGGTTGTTTCTTGTTCAAGAATATTTTTATTGCGAAGCTCAATGGCTGACTGCAACTCTTGATTCTTTTTTTTTTCTTGGACCTTTTCCAGATAATCTACAAGCTCTTCACCAGCAAGAGCCTTTTCTGTATCTAAATCTAGGTTAAGCTGGGTAGTGAGATGTGCTGGGAGATATTTAGAGCTCGAATTTTGGGGGTCGTCCGAAACCAGCCGTTCTTCCGTCCATAAATCGAATAACTGTCCTGCAAGGGTTTCGGGTCCACATCGTTCAGTTAAAATAACCATAGAAGAATCCTGAGAGCAAATCTTGGAGAATAGTTGACGAGAAAACCCAACTTCCATTGCTTCTCCAGAAGCCAGGACTACTTTAGGACCGTCAAGTTTTTCTAGTTCGTCAATTGATGACATAACCTTTAAGTGTTTTGCGTCAAAGGGTGAATTATTTTGAACTTGCCATTCGTCAATTAGAGTGCTGGACATCCATTCCAACATCGAAGACGCATAGGAAAGAGTACGGTTACCGACATGTGAAAAGTAGAGCAGAGGGGCAGAAATTTTCTCCTCTTCCCAGTAAGCATCGAGAATGTGCACAAGCTCCAAAACACGAGAGCCTGTAGATGTGGGAATAAGAACAGTTCCTCCGGCTTCAATTGTTTCCCGGATATTTCTGAAAAGCGAAAGCTTTCGTTTTTTAAGAGTGGAAGAAATCTGACTGAGTTTTGTACCACAGATCATAAGCGATGGTTTTGCAAGAGCCTCAATGAGGTTATCTTGTTGAACAAACGCGCCATTAAGATGCGAGTCGCGCGAATGATTCCAGTCAACTGAGTATATGATGACCTCTTGGTCTTTGGCAATCTTCCAAATAGTTCCACCAAGGGTATGACCTGCATTAAAAGGCGTAATTTGAACAGATCCACTGAGATTAATGTTTGCTAATGCAGAATCTTTCTTTTTCTTTGGTTTTTCTGTTTCTGTTTTGGATGCTGAAGTAAGCATTTTGGCATTAGGGTCGAGAGTAACTGTTTGTGAGTATTTTAAAGGGATAATTTTATCAAAAGCAGCTTCGACGTCTTCAAGTGTGATTTTTTCATCCAAAAAGGGACCCAAGAAACCTTTACTTCTATAGGACTCGAGCGTAATCATGCGCCCCATGTTGATGACTGGAAGAGTAGAGTAGACTGGAACATTGTTAAACTCCGTAGACATTTTACAAAGATAGGCATATGCACCCAAATGTGAAAGCGTAGCATGAGTTAACAGAATGGCATCGATAGTCGGAGCTGCTGTGATAAGATGGGTAAGATCCATAGACAAGGCTGGATCCCAGCCCACGTCAACAAGTAGTGTAAAGTCCGGAGGGAATGAAAGCAAAGATTGGTTTATTTCCTGAGCAAGACTTTCAGATTTCGGGCCCGCCATGGCCCTGTTTTCAGGGCTCGTTGGCTGCAACCGCGTAAAAGAAAACATGGCTGCTCAACTGTTATCAATATTTTCTTAAATTTTTTAATGTGGAAAATTACAATGGTGGAGGTGGAAGTGGGAGATTGAGGTTGAAAAAAAAAAATACACACATACAGGGTTAGGGTAAAAATATTATTGAACGTTCACACATAATTTTTTTTAGACAAAATTCGGGACAACTTTCTTCTATTAACTAAAAACTCATGACATTGACGGGTACCACCCTTTAAATGATTCACGCTCGATATCAAGCTCTCTAACATCAATACCACCCCCTTCAAACTTTTTAAAGCGGTGCGGTTTTTCATATCTTTTACCCAGAGACACCAATAACATTTTTGTTTTAATAGTGCGAGAACTTTCGCATTTGACTAGCACCTGCTTGACACAGGAATTTTCACCAACCAGAAGCTTCTGCAATTTTGGAGACGAGTAAAAAAGCCCATATATGCGCAGATAGAAATACTCGAGAGTGGGCAAATCTAGAAAACTCGCCAGCAAGTTTTCATATGATGTCAGTGCAGTAAAGTAATCATCATCGTAACCTTTAGAGGGAGCTTTTTCTGGGCTTTTCAGCAGTTGAATAAAAAGAGAAGCTTCCGGAGTGTCAATATTTTCTACAAGAGATGCGATTTGCTCGGTAGTCATTTCTTCGCCAGCCCCAATGGCTTTGGTCACACTAGACAGCCATTTGTCCAATTTGCTGGATTTAGGCTTTGGTGGCATGCCGGATACACGCAAAGTGATTTTGCGTAGCTTCTTCATTTGAGGAATTGCTTCGACGCAATTTAAAATATATTTACCAAGAAATGAGAGTTCCAGATACTCCAATGTCGATGATAATGAGTGCAAAATAGGGACAGAAGAAGGTGTAGCCACTAGAGCACTAGATTCCTCTTTGCTGGGAACTACAGCGCACTTCCTAATACTAGGAAAATCTAGCACGCCAGGAATAAGATCTGCACCCAAAGGCGATTCAATTTCAATGACGGTAACTCTTGGCAATGACATTGGTTTGCTAGTCGAGTATTCGGGAGATAAGGAGGCTACGCGTTCAAACTTGACTTTGCAGCGTGTGATATGTTCTGGAATTGTTAGCAAAAAATTGACTGCAGAGTCAAAAAGCACCTTATCATCCTTAATTGTGTATTGGACGTTGCAGGCCAGAGTCTCGAGGTTTTTAAATTTCTCAATGGCGCCGAGAAAAACTGAGGAATAGATTACTGATTCACTAAGATCGAGATACTCTAATCTAGGAAGATTGATAAAGCCGTCAAGACCTTTCATAGAACGCGCCTGGTCAACGTCTTCTGACTTGCATGTAATGCGGAGATGTGTAACTGTTTTCAGATACACAAAGAAATATGGAGCTGCCCACTTATCCATTTTCAAAGTGAACTTATAGCAGCACTGAGTAAGCGGCACAGCAACAAGTGAAAGAAAAAGCGGGGTTGAGACAAACTTTGAAAAGGCAGAGTCAACTGTCATGTCGCCAAACTGGATATGTTTTAGTGTCGGGAAGCGGTCTCTCATAAAAGTCATCCAAGTTTTGAGTCCGCGGCGCGGGCAGCCGTGCTTGTTAGGGATGATTAGAAGGCGCGTGACAACTGAGTTTATAAACCACTTATAATAATGTGGCTGGTAAAGAACAGATACAGGCGCAAGCCGACCAGATTGCCACATTTTTTGGCGGGAGGAAAACTGCATTTCGTCTAGCAGGGCGTCGTGATCGTGTTCATCCGACCGACTGCTTGTGCGACTGGATGAAATGCTTGGGGCTTTATTTGATGTTGGTTGAGGTCTTGATATGGAGGAAGGGGTTGCCGATGCTGTGGCGGATACGGGTTCAAGCGAAAAAGGATGAATAGAGTCTTCACCAAAACTGTAGTACTCCGGAAGGTGGATAATAACAGAAAACCATGAACGCGGTAGGAAAAAGGAGCGCAAGACTTGGTTTACCTGGCCAAGGTTTTTGCAGTCATCTGGAGTCATGAAGGTTGAGAGTGAGCTATACACATCGGGTGGCAGCGAGTCAAGCCGCAGGGAGCTTTTGATTGTGGAAGTACTGGCTAGCGAGCAAGGAGGAGGAGGAGGTTGTGATGATCCTTCAGCGATGGTTCCTAGCTCTGGGCTGGCTGTGCAGGACGAGGCACAGGATGAAGGAGCAGAGTTATGAACTTCAGTGAGATAAGAAAGAATGGGGAAAGTTGCTTCATCGGTCAACTGTGCTAGTTGCGCGAGTTGCGGACTGGTTGAAGCTTCGCGAGAAGGCGGCTCATTATCGCTTGAAGACATGATAGGATTATTGAGAAATACAAGACTTGGTTTATGGTTATCAGGGAGTTTATGAATAAGACGTTGTTGTTGTTGTTGTTGTTATTGATATTGATATTGATATTGTTGATGTTGATGTTTAGATTACAATTGTTGTAAAAGGGGAAAGATAAGGTGTTTTAAAGGTTTACGAAAATCGACTGTAAAAAACACGACGGGAATTTTTTTTTTTTTTAAAATTGGTCATGACCCAAAAACCGCAGCAAAGCCGAAACGCGCAAACCACACAAATTCACCGAAAATGGCGGCATTGACTGCTCTACATGCTTCGGCCAGTATTATTATATGCTCAAAGTCATTTGACGACGGGCACCACCCACCATCCGACAGAAAAATTTGTAGTTGAGCGGCCCCGACAAAAGTTCGTGGAAGCCTTCCCAAATTGCTAGCCGGGCGCTTGGACCCGTCAACAGCCGCTCATAATATTACATAATTTTGCAACAATAATTACATAATTTAATTTATTTTACCCCAGATAACAAAAGGGTAATTTAACAGTAATAACAAACAAACAAACAAACCAATTTAGAATACTATATATAAAATTTGACAAATAAATACAAAAAGGAGAGACCCGTAATAATAATTATAATTATAATATTAATACTAATAAAACTTTCATTTCTCAGTAGAATGTCTGTCGGAGCGAATGACCTCTACCACTGGTTGACTGCTGCCAAAGTTAATTCCTGTGCTCGAAAAAGATGACGATAGTTTGGCCGCAAGTTGGTTGTATGAAGCTGTGCTCTTGCCGCTATCAGTCGAAGAGGTAGACAAGGTCGAAGCCTTAGAATTTTTGCGTTCACTCAGAGGACCTATGGTAAGACCCGATAGCGAGTCTTTCTTTGCTGATGAAAGCTGATAGTCCTCATTCATGGTCGTACTGGCCCGTGAACCCCCGATAGGGGTACTGGAAATGCTGCTGTTCTCTGGATTTGGTGTGAGACACAGCCGCAAAACAACTTCCTTCTTACTTTCGCTGCTTGAAGATTCTATCCAGGGGAGAGCCAAAACTGCGGTATCATTAGGTACATGATGGACCTGCCGCAGTGCCGAATAAATATAAGGAAAGATCTCCTTGTCGACCTTATCGCCCCAAATCATATCCAAGTGCTCGTACCCTTCAAAACCAACAGCTGTTGTCGAGTCTTCTGGTAACTCCGACGTCATAACGCCAATATCCACGAGCGAGTCAGCTTTGCCGTAGAGTAATAGAATGGGCGTCTTGATATTCTGTGTAGGGAAACTAGCGACGCGGTAAAAATATTTACCCTTAAAGAAAGGGCTCTCCACATCGTCATCATACATGTGAAAACGGCCCGATCGAATAATTTGAAACCAATGCACAACTGACTTGACACTTGTGTAGGAGTACAAATGTGGGTATGCTGCCAATTTTTGGGGGTAAGATATGTTTTTGCAGTGCCATTGAAACAAAGATGAGATGGCTGTGTCGATAGTAGTCACAAAAAATGGAGGATACATTATGGACTGCCAAAATGTGGCGCTTTTGAGAATGGCCTTACGACCAAAGAATAGATAAATGAGTGATGGCGAGGCACGCATCAGAGAATCTACTACAGAGTTTTGAAGTCCTGGAGGGGCCATAGCTGGTGCCAACGCAATGAACAAGCGTACCTTTTTGTTAAGCTCTGGGTTGATGGAAAGTGTAGCAAATGCTTGAGCCGAGCCCTGAGAAAACCCAATATAGACCAAGTCTCGCTGCTGTACAATGTACAAAATGTAATTGATGGTATCCGGGATATCATAGAGTGCAAAGTCGTCAATGGAAAAGTTCCAAAAGGCAACAGAGTTGGGGTTATGCATAACGTGCTTTTTCGAGTACTTATTACCGCGATTATTGCCTAACCAAACATCATAGCCCATGTCTGCAAGAACAAACGGTAAAGTACGTTTGGGATCAATGTTACAGATCCACACCTCAGAGTTCATTAAAAGTCCATGGTGCAAGTAAACGACAGGTTTTGTTGAAGGTGACGACGAGTTGGAACCATCGGGTGACTTAGCACGTGGGTTATGGCGGCCTCGAATACGGTGGATACCAAGCAAATATCCATCTGTAGTTTTGACAATATGCTCTTCAGCATCATAACCAAATAAACGACAGATCTCAACAAATCCGTCTGCGTTGGCAATCTTTGATACAAGGTCGTCCAGAGTAGGATCTTGAATGAGTGAACTTGTCCCTGAAACCGGGAAGATCAAAAATATGGCTGACGTTAGAGAATCAAAGAATGAAATAATAAACGTTGGAAGAAGAGAAGTAATAATAGAAAGAATGTACTCGATGGCCACAAGTACCAACGAGAAGATGAGGACTGGCCACTCCAGAGCGGGTAGCCGGCCTAGCAGAGGGATGCGCATTCTGATTCTTCCTGGGGCCAACCAGAAAACTAGAATGGATAGCAAGAAAACGAGAACGTGAGCGTGCAGTTTGACGAACTAGATAGTTAGAGGAAAAGTGATAATTATGACGGCAAATAGCTATTATCAAAAAAAGACTGTCTAGTTTCTATTCAAATAATGTAAGCCTTGAGAGTAAAGTATAAAAAAAAAACGTGAGAAAAAAAAAAAAAAAAGAGATAAGAATGGTGGTGCAGGCCAGTAACAACAAAAAAAAAAAGACGCACCAAAAAAAAGAAAAAAAAAATCAGACGGATATTTAATAATGTATTTACAGAAAAGCGTTTGATGCGCACGATGCCATCGGGTACCATCCATTCCTTCCTCCCCCCTTATTACCAGAATTTCCAGCGAGAAGACGAAGAGGATTTTGCTGCAGATCGGGCCTCGGCGTCGGCCAAATCAGACCCGGCAATCTTTTCTTGAGCCCGGATGCGCAGCTGCTCCTCAGCAATGTCAACTGCACGTAAAATAGCCTCTTCACGTTCCTGGCGAATACGCTCAGCTTCGACATAATGCATGCGCTGGGGTCTTTGCAGTGTTGTGGCCTCGCCGTCTGCAGCTCCACTCTGTTTAGGCTCGACAAATGTCGGTTCTTCGGCTGTGGTGGCAGACATTTTCTTCGTCATACCATGGTGTCGGGGTCGCGCAAGATCTTCCTTCTGCGTCTCAGAAAGATTGCCAAAAAGCGCATCGCGTACACGAAGTTGCAATCGGTATGGTCCGGAAAAAACGTTCTCATAACCGTCATTCCAACGGTAGAAAAACACGCCAAAAACAATGAGCGCAGAACTCAGCCAAAAGGACGTGATACGGATACCGCGTGTAAACGCACCTGTATCAGTGCGCCGCAGAACTTTGTACTGGCCAGGATACAAGTCTGAAAATGGTCGTGGAGTGTATTGTAAACGCTTGAGCTGGTCTTTGACAATGCGATAGTTCTCGGGCTCTTTTGGTCTCAGGGTCCATGAACGGGGCTTTCCCGGAGTACTGAATTCTGAAGGATAACCCTGAGGTGGTCGTATGTCAGTAGGATCGTACGGGTTGTAAGGGGCCTTAGGAGGGACCCAGCCCTCAGGATTCGGTCGTCGTTGATCGGACATGATTTAGGCGGGCTGCTATTGCTGTGCTTTTGCTGTGCTTTTGCTGTGCTTTTGCTGTGCTTTTGCTGTGCTTTTGCTGATGGTACTGATGGTGGACAAACTGCGATTTTAATTTTTTTTTTAAATTTTTTGCATGTACAAGAGTTATTTACTTGCAGTGTTACACTTTTTTGTTACATAGAGTACCGGAACGGGCCATTGAGATTCACCTGGACACCCACCGGACCGTAGACCCCGACAGCAGCATATAGGTCTCGGTCACCTTGAAGTCCCTCTACACCACCATCACGATAGCTACGCGCAGGATCAATACCACGTGGATTCATATCTTGAACTAGTGACCATTCACGCTCGAAACGCCCGTTACGCGTGAAAAAAACCGCCATGCGATCCACGTTCATTCCTATTCCAACCACAGCACCAACACTACTAAATGGTTCCACAAAGTCTTTTCCAGAAAGAGAGTCATTGACATAACGTCGGCCATCATCAGAATGTACTGCTACAGACCCACGATGCCACCCTGGCAAACGGAAGTGAGGATATGGCAGTGCTACAAAACCAATGGCTACTGTGGCATCGGCCGAGTTAGAAGGAAGCGACGTGATGACAATTTCAAAATAGAAGCTGGGATGACCTCCTAGGGCTTTACCGTTGCTGATGCTGCGTAAGTGAGGTGAGTAAATGGGCAAATTTGACACGAATGTAGTATCGGCAGCATTAGGCGCACGGCATTGTATGTGAGCACCACCAGCTCCTGGAGCTGGGGTGACTTGACCTTTAAATCGTGATTCAAAACGTAATGCACGAGGAAGATCGGTGATTAGCACTGGTGGTTGAACAAGCATGAGTTGTCTGTTGGCGATTACCTGCTGTTCTTCTTGGGTCAAGAACCGTGGGGGATAAATGGGGAATAGTGAAGTGTAATGGTCTCCTAAGTCACGCTCTTCATCTGGAGCTGAAGAATAGAGTGCTCTAAAATGAGAAGATGGTGCTGGACGGTACGTTGGTGGCAAGCTTTGATTTTGATTTTGTTGTTGTTGCTGTTGCAATGCTTGATTATTGGCCTCACGATAAGATGGGAGCTCCCCTGGCTCTCCAGCAGACTGGGCTTCTGGGTAAGATGCTAAATCACTCTGTACCGCAGCTTCATGGTTAGGTACGTATGCTTGAAAGCTAGTGTTGAACTCTAGAAGATTGCTGTTGGTTATAGGGTATTTTTCATTGTGAATTGGGGGAGAACCAGGGGGCGGACCATAATGACCTGGAGGTGGGCCTAGAGGTGGATCCGAGTCTAGAGGATGATGTGAGTAAGTCGGGTGGAATATCTGTGAGGACCCAGATGGCTGTTCTTTGTCAACTTTTTCACCGCGCTTTTTAAACTTGTCTCGAAATCCCATTTTCCGGTGTTTTAAATATAAATAATAATACGTTTTGTTTTGAAAAATGATTAATTCAAGATTCAAGGCTTATATATATGTGTTTTTTTTTTGTTTAGTTTTTATTATTACTATTATCGATATAATCAAACACTGCCTCGTTGTTCTATTATCCCGTAATTATGCCTAGAATGACAGTCCAAAAAACGTTTACAACACTGCAGAAAGGCACAATAAGACGTGGATCTAGCAAATAAAACTGAATTGTAGATACAAAAGGCCAAATGATGTAGCTTGTCTTGAGCATTTTGAAATATGTCTGATGGAAGTATGTTTCGATTTCACGGCCATCCCAATAAGACACAAACGAAAGAAAGATAAGCAAGTTTGTAGGATTTCCAATGGCTTGGTCGCAGAAAATACGCAGTGGAATGCTTGGTACGATCACCGAGAGCGAACTTGTCCACCATTTGGTCCAAAGCCCGTTAATAATACCCCAGCAGTAAAATTTGAGTAGCGCGGATGGGTTCAGCCTTCGGTGCACAATAAGTTGTAGCAAACCCTGGGAGAACCCGCACAGCAGGGTCGATACGATTGCAGAGCTACCAAAGGGAGAGATTGAATAAAGACGAGGGTAAAGAAGGCCGATGAGAACCAGCGAGGCGATCTGAGAAGCAATCACTGCACCGATGGCTACCTGTTGTGGGTTGTTATTTTGGCCATTAATATGCACGTGGCGAGGACGATGACGATCTTTGTGCAGGGTCGAGCCTTCCAGAGGCCCTGACAGGCGCTTTTCATCATCCTTATCAAGAGGGCCTAACTCAAGCGTCGTATCCTTGGACATGGTGGCAACAGCGAATAGTATTAAAAAAAGAAATCGAAACTTAATGCAAAGGTGGTAAATAAATAGTAAAAGATCTAATAAGGAGAAAGAAAGACAAGGAGGGTTGGAGAATTAGCGGGAATGGCCGCCTTCGCTGAATGGCAGTAATCAGCACCGACCACCTTTCAAGGCACATAAAACTGGGTCCTAAATATTCTTAGGGTAAATTGTTATCTGGCGGTCCCGGCGGTCTCGGCGGTCCCGGAATCACTTCACGCAATTGGTTTACATACGGGCCAGGATAATCGCTGAATCTCCCCACATAGTGTCGCTCAAGTGGCGGTTTTAGTTTTTCCCAATGGCTTTTTGCCTGGCCATCTACACTTAACTTTAAAATTGTTTTCTATCACAAGCTCAAGACATAAAAATAAAAACAAACAATCATAAGCTTAAGACTTTTATTACTACTATATTACTATTAATCATTAATGTTCTAAATGCTGAGTTTTAGTCAAAATTATTACATTAGATCTATTGAACCCCATTCTCTTAGAGAGATATGTGATAAGATAAATTTGGACCTGCTAAAGCTCAGAATTTATTACTGATGTAATAAATTACATAATGAAAAAATACTTTATAATTGATATGTTTTACCCTACAATTGACAGAAATCAATCAATGAATGGTGTTAGCAATTTAAAAAACTGAGATATTTGTTTTATTCAATATAATAATTAAGTAAATAATTAACTATTTCACTAACAATTTTTCATAAAAAACAATGTTAATTCAAAATTCCAATGTTTACTTTTAACATTTAATTACTCAATTAAATAAATGATTATTACATCCTCATTCCATATTATAAAATTTAACTAACAATTGGAGATTACAAAAAAACCATTTACTTCAAATTCCATAAACAAACACCCATGAGCAATGTGATTTATCAACTTTAATTATAACTTGTATTGAAACACAATTGAATAATTATCTAATGTATTAATTCAAATGAAAATTGAAAATATTTAATTTTATATTTGTAACTTCTTTTGCCACAATAACTAAATAAATTACAATAAATGATAGATATTAAGCATTTATCTAATATAAATATCTAGATTTGTATAAAGAGATACTATCAAAATAGACCAATTAAATATTTCTAAATTCTAAATTTTAAACCTAACTTTATTAACACTAATTCAGCAACCACTTTTGAATTCGATTGAATAACAAGTATTGATCATTTTATTCTGATTTAACTAAAAATGAATATGAAATTATTTGAAAACAAAATGGAGTAAATTTATAAAAAAAAAATTAGAAATGAACTTTAAAATAAATCAACAATAAGTAAAAATAATTAATAATTATATAGATGATAACAATGATATTTCATAACCATGGAGTTATATTTTTTTTTATGTGTTTAAAATCCAGGGTTATGAAAGATAATTTATTATATTACATAAGAACCCAAACCCATAAATTATTCTGTATTAAAATTCGATTTTTATCATACAGGCGGAGCTTGCTTAGGCACAAGCGCAAATCTTATTGTGCATAGTAAATAATAGAGCAAAAACCTTAAATTTCCCCAGGGCCTTTTTTTTAATTTAAATATATATATTTTTTTTCTTTTAACATTCATTCCTTTACTTTATCCATCACTTTACAAAAAGTTTCTAGATATGCCTTACTAGATATGCTGGACTCTACAAATACCAGCTCTGCAGAACCAACGCTTAGCGACTTGGCCGCATACCGACGACGGCCCATGATGTCGGTAGAGACTAACCGCTGCTCCAGCTCTCCTTCATCACCATTCTATCCGCCCAAACTGGCTGCTCCTACCGACTCTTACTTTGGATCTAGTAGCAAGCAAACTGAAATTCTTGAAAATTCAACTGGTCTTTGCCCGTCTTCAGACAATTCCACTTGTACCTCTGAGTCGTACGAATCTATTCCGCTTCTACCTTCGCTATCATCTGTCGCAAACATGGCCTACAAATCATTTAATACAACTAGCACCACTAATAATACCCTAGCTGCAACATGGTCGATGAACGACACCTCTTCTCTCGACAAGTACTGTGCACGCCTATCTGATGACCCCACTTGCCCCTCCATCCCATCAATTCCTGGCTATTCAGTCTTAGACCCCATTCGACCTCATTACTCTCAAAGTGTCAGTATGTACCGGGCGACTCACTTGGCTTCGGGCCAAAAAGTTTTTATTAAGGCCTCCAACCGAGGAAATCTTGACGACCTTATCCGCATTCGTCACGAATGGAGCATTTCATCCGCTGTTCGCCAACCATCTTCCCAATTTGAAACCGAATCAGAAAGCATAAATTCAATAACGACCCAATCCTTGGCCAATATCGATGGTGTGCTCCGCTCAGAATCATGTACACGGTTCTCTTCAAATTCCAGAGCAATCTTTCTTACTTACCATGACGCTGACCCTGGGCTCATCACCCTTAGAGAAAAGTTCATTTCAACTAAAGCGCCAGAAAAATTACAATCTGAAACAGAGCCCGTGCCACGCACCCAAGAGACATTGGCCGAAATCCTAGCCATTGTTATTCGCGTTGTCGAAATCATTACACAGACACATTCACAAGGAATCACACACAATGGATTAACATCATCTTCTATTTTTGTGAGTCCTGAAAACAACTCGGTATTTATCTCTGACTGGGACTTTAGTTTTCCACTAAAAGCAGAGGATACTTCTCACGGGTATCGCAAAACTTATCTTAACAATATTGCTGCGTGCCTGGGTTATGTCTCACCAGAGACTACAGGCCTTAATCACCGCCTTGTTGATTATCGTTCTGATTTTTACTCCATTGGATGCATTCTCTACGAACTTACTACTGGTTGCCTGCCTTTCACTTCCGAAGATCCATTTGAGCTTACTCGCATGCACGTTTTGAGAACTCCATCTCCCCCTCACTTGATTGCACCATGGGTTTCAGCACCTCTTAGTTCAATTATTCTCAAGCTCATGGAGAAAAAAGCCGACGATCGCTATCAAACATCGAAGCTGATTTTATCAGATTTAACATATGCACTCAATTCTTTGCATCAGCAACCACAACACCACTCCTCAAACGATTACGAGGAATTTGTTCCAAATGCAGTCCCGCAAGTTTCACAAATCTTTCTGATGCCCCAGGTTCTTTATGGTCGTGAAAATGAAATCAATCTTTTGCGTTCATGCTACAAGCGAAAAGAGGAACGTGACTTTCAGTTTATTTTCATTAATGGTGAACCGGGCTCTGGCAAAACTCGTCTGGTCAACGAACTTGAACGATCTTCGTTATCCCGAAATGCTTTTTTTTGCTCTTCGAAGTTTGATCCATATCAGCGCGGGCCACCATTTTATAGTATTGTCACTGTACTAAAAGAGATTGTTCACCAGATTCTTTGCGGATCTGTCCAGTCAATCACACGCTGGCGCGACAATATTCTTTCAAATCTAAAAGTTGAGCTTGCAGTACTCTTTGAACCTATCCCCGAGCTTCGCTACCTTCTAGGCCACGAATACTCTAAACTTCTTCCTACCCCACGTCATCTAGGCCCTGTTCCGCGCGAACTGCGCTTCAAGTACGTTGTAAAGAGTCTTTTTTGTCTTTTTGGCTCTCAGGGACTTACCATCTTTCTTGATGACGTTCAATGGTGTCCCCAAACAGAGCTTGACTTTTTCCATGAGCTTGCTACGTTTGCTATTGAAAACTTTGGCTCTACCAATGGTATCCACATTATTTTTGTATGTGCATTTACACTCGATTCTCCACGCTACCATGAACTTGTCGGTCTCGCTAAAGATTTGAGCCTTCATTATGAAGTTGTCAACCTTGAACCTCTTGGATTTAATGCCGTCCAGCACATGCTTAATGACACGTTAACAACATGCACAGCCTCGACCAAAAATATTCAGACAAGTGGGAGTGGAGGTACAGCTAATGGAGGAGGAGTAGTAGGGGCTGGAAATTCCCAAGATCACAAACCTTCTTCTATGAAACTAGGATCTAGCACAGCAGACGCAATTTCTTCATCATCCACGGCATCTGCATCTGTGAATTCCTTAGACTCTGGCAACGGTAGTGGATGTAATACATCACCAGTTCTGGCCTCTAGTGTTGGGCTTGCGACTGCTGTTACGGGACTTTCCTCAAAAGACCCCTACTATTTCTTTTCTTCTAATGTGGAGCCTCAAGTCAGCTCTTTATCCCAAATTGTTTACAATGTCACAAACGGGAACCCACTTTTTATTACACTCATTCTAAATTATATGAATCGAAACAAGCTGTTATACTATGACGAATCCAACAGGTCTTTAGGCGGCCGTTGGAAAGTTGATTTTGAAAGTTTTCAACCTTCGGACCTCCCCCAATCGATTACTTCTATCGTTATTGAAACAGTCAATAAGCTTCCTCAAAACACTATAACTATTCTTAAGTATGCTGCATGCATTTGTAGCAACTCATTTACTCTCGAAGATTTGGCTATAAGTGCTGGGGTTTCTTTTTCTGAGGCAGCGCAAGCCCTAAATCATGCCCTTGAAGGCCAGCTCATTATGCCAACCACAATTCAGTACAAATTTCCCTTTCTTGACCCTGTTGGCACTACAAATATCGAAATTCAGGGGGAAGAAATTCGATCTGTTGCTGCATCCGCCACCTATAGGTTTTTCCACGACTTGGTTCAGCAAGCTGTTTATTCTCTTTTGTCATCCGAAGAAGCCATTGAAACTCATCGGTCTATTGGTATGCGTCTTCTTGACCCAAGCAATAATAGCACCATCATAACATCTCAGTGTCTTCCAAAGCTACCTCAGCAACACGACGTTCACAAGATTATTGAGATTGCAAATCAACTCAAAAACGCTACTCCCATTGTCACAGACTCTGAGCGCTACATTTATCTTTCGTCAGCTGTACAAGCTGGTGATGCAGTCTATGCCATGTCTGACTTTGATATGGCCTACTCGTACTTTGACACAGCTCGCCAGATTCTCCCTCCAAACGCACAAGAAACATATCCAGCATATTTTAAACACATTTATCTTAGTTTGGTTGAGCTGCAGTATAACCGTCGTAATTTCCATGAATGCTTGAACCTTATTGACAAAGTGTTTGACAAGTTTTCTGAAAATATCGATAAAGCTGCGCTTCTTCGTACCCAGACGAAGGCAGAATATGGTCTCTATCGACCAAAGGCTGCCATAACTACAGGAATCCGTGCTCTTAATTTACTTGGTTTCCCTATGCAAGAAGATGAGGAATGGAACGCCAAAAATCATGCAAAAATTAGACATCATATTCCTTTAACATTTACCGAGATACGCGGGCTTGTAAACCAAGCACCAGCCACGGACCCAGCTTTAATTCTAGCACAAGAAATCATTTCAATCATGACAGTTCCCATCATCTTGTCATACCGACCTCATCTATTCCGGTCTTTGATCTACACATCTGTGGTGGGGTTTGTTGATCATGGCGCAACAGCCTCATGTTCTTTTTCATTGCTTTCATTAGCATCGCTATTTCAGCGTGCAGGTGAAAATACAAACCTTCTCAGAGCTTACGAATATTCTAAACTAGCCATAGTTACGCTTGAACACGACAATGCAGTTGGTCTTGACTTTGGCATTAATATTTATGAGTATTATGCACTTACCCTTGCCATTTACTTTGAGCCACTTTCTGAAGTCATTAGATACTATGACTTAGTTTTATCATCAGGTCAAACTTTTGATAATCACTGTGGTATGCTAAGTTTATCATAGTAAGTATCTTTCCTTTAACTCCCCTATTAATTTTTCTAATTCATTTAATTCATTTTAGTGATTTGAGACCATTATGCAAGTTTCTTGCGGCTGAACCTCTTTCAGGGGTCTTGTCTTACTTTGAGCAAATGAGACCGGTTAATCTTGAAAATACAGACAATGTTGGGAAATTGTGGATTCAGTTACACTCTCAAGCTGTTGCTAATATTATGGGCATTGGTAACAGTGACCCATGTGTTTTTTCCGGTTCTTACATTGGTGATCCTAATGAGACAACAAATGTACTCAACTCTAACTATGAGCTCAAATATGTCTATTATGTTGTTAAGCTTATATTAGCAGTGGTTCATCGCCAAAAATATCTGGCTGCAGACATTATCTGCGTCAAACTGCCTAAGGTCATGTCAGAATTCCCAGTGACATTATACCACGTTATTGTCACCTTTTTTGGTGCACTGGCAATCATTGATAAGGATTCACGTACAGAACAAGAGATGGAACTTCTCAACCAATTTTCAAGAGACCTTGAGGATTGGTCACAAACCAACCCTAGCATGTTTATGCATAAACATTTGCTCGTACAAGCTGAAATTCACAAAAACTCTCAAAATAGTATCATAACTTTGGATACCTATGAGGAAGCTATTGCTTATGCGATCAACGAAGGGTTTATTAATGATGCTGCGCTTATCAACGAAAGATGTGGTGATTATCTTTTACAACATTCAAGACGACGAAGCATGTCATACTTTAGGGAATCTGTTCGATTGTATACATTATGGGGAGCACACAAACGAGCTTCTCAAATCACGGCAAAATTTCATGATTTACCGAACTTGCACTTGTCCAACTCGATGATTGATATTGCTTCGGCACCGATTACATCTGTGGAAAATGTTCCTAGGCCTGGAGTTGCAAGGCAGCATGGCCGGCAAATAATATTAAATAACAGCAGCGCAAATACACACTCATCATCGCCTCTTCGCTGGATTTTGTCTAATTTATTTCGTGAAGATGAAAGCAGCTCTAGTAATGGAGATAATGTTTCCGATACTAAACGCAAGAAAAATTCGCTAACCATATCAGAAGCCGAATGCAATACTTTGTTGCTTCAGCCAACGACACCAACAACAGTGACAACTTTTTCTGCAGCAGCAGCAATTTCAGCTCAAAGCACCCCAACATACAAGGGTACCTCTTCCGACCTCATTCCACTGGCTGCCATGACAAGATATGGAAATAGTGCTGGGAACTATTCGTCACCTTCAGGTAGTGGCCGTGATTCTGAGAATGGAGATTTAGAGTTAAAGACAGCGCTGCAATACTGCTTAGATATTTCTGAGGCTATTGAGGTAGATAGTGTTTTGGAAAAGTTTGTCAATAGTGTGATGAAGAGTTCTGGCGCTGATTATTGTGTCTTTGTGACGCTTGATGTGGACGAACCATACATTGAAGCCATTGGCATTTTGAACGGTATAACACTTTATAATCACCGCCCTGTTAATGGTCGGTTTGACGTTCCACTTTCTGTTATTTTCCAAGTATCAAGCTCAGGTCAGCTTGTATCGCGAGGGAAAAGCAGTAAAACACATAGTGACAAGCAGTTTGAGCTTTTGTTTGGTCATGATACTTACTTTCAAACACGTCATTCCAAGTCGATTTTATGCATGCCTATTCAGAATCAGCTTAAAGTCATTGGCGTTTTGTATATTGAGCACCAGTCACTTGACGACATTTTTACACGGCCACGAATCGAGTTGCTTGGACTTCTCTGTACACAAGTCGTTATGTCGCTAGAGAAGGCCAAGTTATATCATCAAATGGAGGTTGCCAAAAAGACGGCTGAAGAAGCCACTGAAGAAAAGGCCAGTTTTTTGGCAAATATGTCACATGAAATTCGGACGCCGTTTAATGCATTATTATCATGTTCCATTTTCTTGCTTGATACCAAACTCAGCGAAGTTCAACGCGAGTATGTTGAAATTATTCGCAGCTCGGCCATGTTGACGCTCAACATTATTGATGCAATTTTAGCCTTTTCCAAGATTGAACATGGCTCAATAACTCTTGATAATGCACCATTTTCACTACGTGAATGTGTTGAGAGTGCCATTCAGTTAGTTGCGGAGCCTGCAGCCACCAAAGATTTGGAGCTTGTTCATCTGAACAAGTGTGGAGACATTGACATAGTATATGGAGATGTAACTCGCGTACGACAAATCATCATTAACTTGGTTGGTAATGCAGTTAAGTTTACGTCTGCAGGCTACATTGTTGTTGAAACACAAGCGGAAAAAGTATCTTCGGACAACCGTTACGGATTTGTTATTGCAGTCAAAGACACAGGGATTGGAATTCCCAAATCAGCCCGAGGTAAAATCTTTAGGGCTTTTAGCCAGGTTGATGGATCTTCTCGTCGGCTTTATGGCGGATCTGGGCTTGGCTTGGCTATTAGTAAGAAACTAGCAGAGCTTATGGGTGGGTCACTTACATTTGAGAGCAATGTTGAGGATGCTACAGATAGCCTTAGTGCGGGAAGCACGGATGCTAGCACTAGTAGTAGCTGCAGCACTAGTCGGAACGGAAGTCGAGTTGCTATTGAAACGGCGGAGTCTGGTGAGGTTTCACATCAGCAGCAGCAGCAGCATCAGCAGCAACAACATCCATCACCCCCACTGCCACAAAAGTTAGCCAATAGCAATGGTGGTACTTTTAGCTTTGAGTCTGATCGGACTACTGGGGCAGGAACTACGTTTTGGTTTGATTTTGTTGCTGTAGCACAAAAGCCAGAAGATGAAGAGAAGGAAACTAAGGCGATGCATGAAGCATTTGAAGGGAAACGGGTACTTGTTGTTGATCCGTTTGAAAAGGCCAAAGAATCACTTGTTTTTGAGCTTGAGCGTGTTGGACTTGAAGTTGAATGTTGTGGCAACTACAAAGAGGCCATTGCGCTGGTTGCATTGGCCATGTCGAGAAAAGAGGAGATTTACTACTCTCTTGTGTTTATGAATGGGCGATTTGTGAATGCTGAATGCAAGCAAATTGTTGAAATTCGTGAAAAAAGTCCTCAGACCCAGGTGGTATTTATGACGACATTTGGTGCACCTATTCCAGAGGATGGTAAAGAAAAGGGGATTGCTGCTATTCTTATGCGGCCTGCTCAACGCCGGAGGTTGTTGGATATTGTACAAGGAGCTCTTAAGTTTAGTGGGGTTGGGGAGAATTCTAGATCAGGAACGGATGGAGTTGTTTGTCTAGAGTATCAAATTGGTGGAGATGGAGGTGAAGAAGATTGTGATGAAGGGGTAGAAAGTAAGGTTGAAAGTGGGGATGTTAATGGAATGGATATGAATGGAGAGGAAGAGGGTGGATTCTATAAGATGCCTAACAATACAAGTTTGACTAACTTGGAACATTTGCATACCGAGGCAGACGATATGATTCGACCCTCGAAGCCATTAGAACGGCTTATTACGGATTCCAAGGCGGTATCAGCAAGCCGGTCTACTAATAATGGCAATGGCAATGGCAATGGTAACAGGAGTAGTGGTGGTAGAAGCAATAGCAGCGGCAATAGCAGTAATTGGCAGTCGTTATCTACGAGCCATCCTCTAAAAATTCTTTTAGCTGAAGATAATCCGATCAACACTAGGGTTGCATTACAGCATTTGAAGCGAATGGGGTATGCGGCGGAACATGCCAAGGATGGTGTAGAGGTTGTTGAGAAGTGCATTGAGGAGATTTCATGTGGTCGAAGCATGTATGATTGTATTTTCATGGACATTCAGATGCCACGGAAGGATGGGATTGCGGCAGCACAAGAGTTGATGAGTTTATACCCTGAACAAGAGCGGCCTGAAATCATTGCATTGACAGCGAATGCTGCTGGAGAGGATCGACAAAACTGTTTAGCAGTGGGGATGACTAACTACATTGCCAAACCCATTTTGCCAGCAGATTTGGCGCGTGTACTTTTGGGGGTTGTTCCATTACACAAGCGAGTCCAGGGTTCTGAGGGATATATCAATGGAGATGATAAAACTAAGGAATGAAAAAAAAGCAAAAGCAAAAAAGAAAAAAAAAAAGAATTGTATATTATATATATATACTTATCATTGATTATGATGAGGATGACGAATAATATTTATGACGAATACATGTATAGTAATGAATAATGATAATTTGGATTAAAAAAAAAAAAAAAAAAAACTAGTTATAACTAATAAGTTAAAATTAGTTATAGTTAGCTAGTTAACTCTTTATAGAGTTGAACGATTGAATAGTAGTTTAATTATATATATATTTATAATGTTATTAGTTATTGATTACTAATATTGACAAATAGATAAACTGGTCTATATATATATATATATATCTAAAAAGCCGAGATGCACGTGCTATTTTTTTTTATGTTACAGGGATTACAAAAGTACAATATAAAAATGCCTTTTAATCATTTGGTCCAGCATTCAAGAATATTTGTTTCTAGTGTGTGTGTGTGTTTTTTTATTTTGTTGATGATAATCAAGTAAACTTATAAATAGTGTACACTATTTTCCACGTAGGCACTATAATAATTTATTGCCCCAGCTACATGTTGAGGGGAGGCTAGCATAAGTTTTATATATGAAAGTATATATATATATATATATATATATATATATATAGGTTTATTATCTGGTGATAATTTTTTTTTTTTTTTTTTTTTTGATATATATATACCAATAGCCAAGAAACTTTTTTTATTTTATTTTATTTTTATTTATTTTGTATAATTGATATATAGTTTTTAAATTGAAATTAAAAAAAAAAAACTTTAGAAAATTTTTTTTTTTATTAATAAAGAAAATTCTTTCAAATATTTGAATATATTTTAAAAAAAAAAAAAAAAAAAAAAAAAAATTAAACGCGTAAAAATTAAACGCGTCTTGAAATAAATTGCGCGTGTTTTCTTTTTTTTTTTGGTATTTGCTGGCAAGCACCATGACAAAAAAAAAAAAAAAAAGTGTAACAAAAAGCGGTCACATATTATTATTTATATAGTATATTTTAATTAATATATAATATAGTATATAGTATATAGTATATATATTAATTACCCACCATCATTACCACCATTACTGTGGATTGTTGTTGTTAGTTTAAATTTTATTTTATTTTATTTTATTTTATTTTATATTTTGTTGTAATAAAATAAAAATATTAAAACAAAAACTTTTAAGTGTTTGAAAAGCTCATCGCCCAACTAATTTTTATTTTAAATTTTTATTTTTTTTTTGTTTCATCAACATTCTTTTTATTTTTCTATTTAATTCTTTAACTTCTTATAAAAAATTTTTAAAACAATTAAAAAAAAAATTCCTTTGCATCTTTCATAATTTTTTTTTTATAGACCTTCATTTTCTTTTATATTATATTATATTATATATATATAAAGATATTTGTTTTTTTTAAAAAAAAATAAAAATAAAAAAAAAAAAGCATTTCCAAAACCTCGTGTCTTTTTCTTTCTCATTTCAATTCATTGAACCCTTCATATTATTAAAAATATTTTAATCTTCTTTTTTTTTTTTTTTTTTTTTTTTTTCTTATTTTTAATCTCATTTTCTCGTTCCTTTTTATTAATTGCATTATATCACTGGATTTTGAAAAAAAATATATATATATATATATATAAATATAAAAAGAAAGAAAAAAAACCTCTCCGATTGAAATTTTTTTTTTTTTTTTTTTGGAATTTTTTTCTTTAATTAGACGCTACTTTTTTTTTTTTTTTTTTTTCTTAACTTTATCTCTTTATCAATTTCTTTTTTTTATTTTATTTTATTTTATTTTATTTTATTTTACCACCACCACCACCACCACCACCACTTTAATCTTTCTACTTTTTTTTTTCTCTTTTCTACCCAGATCTTTTTTTCTCTATCCACCACCACCAACCACCACCATCTCAATTAGATTCTTACAATATATTCGAAAATGCAGACCATAAAATGTGTTGTTGTCGGTGATGGTGCTGTCGGAAAAGTATGTATTATCTTTCTATTTCATTTATTTAACTTTTTTTTTATTTTTTTTTTTATTTTTGTCACTCTTAGTTTTTTTTTTTTTTTTTTTTTTTTCTTTCATTCATATAATCATCACACTTGTCAAGATTTTTAAATCTTTTTTTTTTTTTTTTTTTTCGCAGCGGCCACCAAAACTTGAACTTTAATCTCAGATCTTCATCGACATTGTGGCGACCTTTTTTTTTTTTATTGTTTATATTACAGTCAATCAACTAATTATTCTTGTTCGTTTCAATTCTTATTTTTTTTCTTTTTTTTTAAAAAAAAAAAAAAAAAAAGCCTTGTGGCTGCAGCAGTAGTAGTAATGGGTGCAGCTACTGCAGCTGCTCTTGTTGCTTTATTACTGCAACACTGCTGCTGCTGCTGCTGCTGCTGGCCATTTACTTTTTCTTAAATCACTTGAACTCACCATCACTACTAAAGTCAATCAATCAATCAATCAATCAATCAATCAATCAATCAATCAATACCTTTTCTTTAGACAATGCCTTGTTATCACCAGAAATGCCACCACTAAAACACTTGAACTATTCAAATATTTCTTTAGATTCCTTGGCTAAACACCGCTATATTACCTTTTTTTTTATTTTATTTTTTAAACATCTTTATTAAAAAAAATACACTTTGCAAATGACAAAATTAAAAAAAAAAAAAGGGCGCTCGTGTCAGAACAAAATTTCTAACTTTGATTGCTTTTAGACATGCCTTTTGATCTCATATACTACAAACAAATTCCCGTCAGAATATGTCCCTACAGTTTTTGACAATTATGCTGTCACTGTAATGTAAGTGCCAATAACATCAATTCTTATTCTCAAAACCTTTGATTTCAATCTTTCTGCTTTACTTTTTTTTTTTTTTTTTTTTTTTTTTGGGAGAGGGAGGGGGGTTTTTTTTTTCCCCTCCAAGATTACCAGCTTGAATATTCTTTGTATCAAATCATACCCTGTCGCCTGTATATACCACATTCCAATTGTCCTCATCATATTGTATACACTGCTACTGTGTATATATAAAATAAAACACAACTTCTTGGAATCTTTTCTTTTCAGGACACTTAAATCGATCATTTAAAAGAAAATTTTAAAATAGGGGCTTGTTTTATGTTTACTTTCTTTTATATATATATATATATATATATGGACCATCACAACATGCTTATTTTTTTTTTTCAAAAAGGATACATTGATTTCAAACACAAACCTCTCTCCCTTCTTTCTCCTCTTTTGACAGACAAAAAGCCGCCGAAAGTTTTTTTTTTTTTTCGTTAAGCCTTGCAATTTACACACTTATTCTTGGTAAACTACCGGTTACTTACATTTCTTCTTGACTCCTTGAGTGCATCTTCCATTTGCTTTTTTTTTTTTTTCCTTCTTTCTATATTGCACCATATCTATTAATCATTTCACATATCACTCTTAAATATACCCTTCTTTAATCATAAATCCTTTCTTTTTGACCCTTGCTTGAAATCGTATAGCTCGAATAATTCCCAAAAAAAAAAAAAAAAATTTAAAGCAGAGAAAAATTCTTTTTTTTTTTTTCTTGTTTCTTGTTTCTTGTTTCTTGTTTCTTGTTTCTTGTTTCTTGTTTCTTGTTTGCTAACTTTCATTTAACAGGATTGGTGATGAACCATATACATTAGGCCTTTTCGACACAGCCGGACAAGAAGATTACGATCGACTACGTCCACTTTCATATCCTCAAACAGATGTTTTCCTTGTCTGCTTTTCCGTCACTAGTCCTTCATCTTTTGAAAACGTGAAGGAAAAGTGGCTGCCTGAGGTCCGCCACCATTGCCCAGGCGTCCCATGTCTTATTGTTGGTACTCAAATTGATTTGCGAAACGACCCTAATGTGGTTGACAAGCTTTCACGGCAACGTCTTCGACCCATCACAACGGAAAATGGCGAAAAACTGGCAAAGGAAATGGGTGCAGTCAAATATGTCGAATGCTCAGCCCTTACTCAGCGAGGCCTCAAAAACGTCTTTGATGAGGCCATTGTTGCAGCCTTAGAACCTCCTGTCATTAAGAAGAGCAAGCGATGCATTCTTCTATAAACTTCTCATCCGAGGAAAATGTTTTCTTTTTTCTTTTTTTTTCTTTTTTTTTTTTAATAATTAAAAATTTGGAGGGAGCTGGTATATTTATTATTATTATTATATTAAAGAATGTGTTGGTATGCTTTGAAACAAACCTTGAAGACCAAAAAAAAAAAAAAAAAAAAATTATAAAAAAATTAAAAGCTTTTTTTAGTTTTTACCTTGAAAAAAAAAAAAAAAAAAAAGGGAAAGAAAAAAATGATAGCAAATTTATGAAATTATGGCAGAAAAAAGAAAAAAAATGGCATTAAATAAAGATTTTTCGTTTTTTTTTTTTATTTCTTTTTTTTCATTTTATAAAAAGATCTTTGTTTTTATTTATATTTATTTTTTTTTTTTTTTCATTTACACATCCTGGTTACTCTTGTTGCTTTTTTCTCTCTCTCTCTCTTCTGCACGAATGTGCTTGATTTATTTTCTCGCTTATAAGTTATAAAAAAACAAAAAAAAAATAATGTATCCTTGTACTTGTCTATCTTGAAAGTCTCGTTCCACTTTAAAATAATTGTTTCTTAAATAATGTTACAGGGAAGGAAATTATTGAAATATACATCGATACCAAATTTTTTTTTTATCATCATCATCATCACCGTTGTTCGTAGCTTGGGAACATGCGGCTCGCCAGCAAATCCACCTTCCAAACACCAATCCCCCGTTCTAATCCAACCACAAGACTTCCTCCCTCGTGGTCCATCCAGCTTATTCCTGAAACTCCACCATCATGCATTCCAGCAGGCCTAATTGTCCGAGGTGACATTGCCCAACTAGCTACATTATAGGCACCTCCTCTTAATCTTGCCTGGCTATTATACAAGTTATCTGTAGCCCCAGACGACCCTAAAGACCCCACACCAGAATATGCTGAAGAAAGAAGATCTGGACCAGTAGATATATCAGAATATACTTGCTGCCGCCGACTGCTGCGACTACCAGTACTTGCTGCTGCTGTTGTCGTTGCTGCTGTTGTTGTCGTTGCTGCTGTTGTTGTCGTTGCTGCTGCTATTGCTGTTGCTGTTGCTGTTACTGTTGTACTTTGTCGGTAATCTTGATCAATTCCATCGCCAGAATTACCTACACTAGACTGATGGTTACGAGCAGCTGCCCATCTATCTCCCGATGTGGAATTTCTTCTGGCCCATACTGGGCTAGGTGATACAAGTGAAGACGGTGCTGGTACTGGCGATGAGCGCAAAGAATTGGTGGCTGAGCGACCTGAGCCTCTAGCACCAGGGCTGTTATACTCTTCAGCAAGCTGTTGCTCTAAAATAAATGTACGCCGTGCGGCTGCTTGTGTGGTGGCCATAGCGCCAAATGACCGAGATCGGGAATGGGACCCAGGTGTTGGCATTCCATGGATTCCTGAAAGATCCCGGAGAGGTGAGATAAGCTCTTGTCTAATAGAATCAGCTAACTCATTACCTCCAATAAAATCACTTTCCCATTCAGATCCAGTATTACTACTGCGTCTTAATCTCCCGCTTGTACTTCTAAATACAGAGTATGAGGGAATTTCAGGAATCTCTTCCTCTTCCTCAGCAAATGGTGACTCGTCAGATGCTTCTTCAGAACTTGTTAAAGGCAAGTTCCTACTAACATGTGAAGGTGGCGAAAGTGTTAGAAGTGGAGACCCAGAGTATGAAGAAGAATAAGACCGTCTATGAGGTAATCCAGGTTCCATCGACCACGAATTATTTAAATAAGGTAGTCCATCATTGTCATTTGAAAACTCAGTCGCATAGCCTGTGCTTATCATGTCGCTGTACTGTTTTATTATGTCAGGATCGCTATCCCGATTACAAGGCGTATACTGGCCATCTTTAGAGGCTGGTGTCCCTGTTGCCTGTAACCCCTCTCCTGTACTGAGCTTTTTTGGTACCATCAACACTTGATGGTTATCAAAATCTCTAAGATCAATCGCATGAACACGGCTAGTCTGTTCCGACACAAAAACTATATCTTCAAGGCCTTGTGAAAACTTTAGACATCTAAATGCACCATGGATTTGGCGTGGTCGGGTAGAGTATATCTTTGTCAGAGGTTGTGACAAGTTTCTCATATCGTATAAATGTGCAATACCCGTTTCAAAAGCTGCTCCGAATATTAAGCCTGATGAATGAAATGCTGTTGAAAACCCGTATGAAGACCAACTGTCAAGCACGTCTGTAGTCGTCCATGATGTTTTATCAATCGTTGTAGAACTTGAATTTCTATCTTCAGGATGACACACATATAACTGTTGAGTATCGCCACATGCAATAATAGTTTTTCTGTCTGGTGATATTGACGCATGGTTTAAAGCAACTTTGAATTTTGTCTTGCCAGCTACTTTAATACCCGAGTTGTTGATATCCACAAAATATAAATTAAAATCATTATTGCATACTATCGCCTTTACCTGAGATGTGTCGGAAGTAGGGTTGTCTGAATATAAATTAATGGAGTTATTAATGCATTCGCCAATATCTTGAGAACAATTTAGCTCGGTTTGCTGATTATATACAGCAAATAAACCACGGGAATTGTTGCGGGCTTGGGTTCGGCCATTTTCTTGTAGTGCACCAACAGCAACAATATCATTGTATGTCTGGATGCATCGTGGTTCAAATTCAAACTCTGTAACAACTGTAGTCCTTTCCTTTGATAAATTTAATGAATATATAATCTTTTCATGAGGGTATAATATCTCATCTTTTGAATTTGCACTAACAGATACTAAATCACGTAACTGCCAGTGCCGAACAGTAATGCTTGCTGAAAATGATTTAAAACCCAGTGTAAGCATCGGTCGCAGCGGAGCATACGGCTTAGCAAAGCTACAAAACCATGTGTTAATAAGATGGGCAATAAAGACAAGCAATACGAGTTCATATACCTTCCAGTTTCAATAGTCATTTGGGGGAAAGAGTTCAGAAAACTTTTATTCCGTAACAATAAAAGGTTTTTTTTCAAAAAAAAAAAAATAGATATGTTGATTAATGATAAATCAACACAGGTATTATATTTGCTGCCGTTGGAGTGCTTAGATAAAAAAAAAAAACAGGAGTGGCGGTTTTATCCTTTATCTAAAGACAAAAGATAATCACTTAAAAACACGATAATCCTTTGTACCTTCTTAAAAGATAAATGAAAAGATATCAAAAAAATTAACGATAACGAAATAAGTATAGCTGATGAAAAAAAAAAAAAAAAAAAAAAAAAAACGGTAGAAAAAACGTAAACCTTTGTTGAGTACTAAATATATGATTCTTAAATACCTAAGAAACTGGAGATAGAATGGTAGAAATTAGAAATGAGAGGGGAGAGATTATGAGGGGACCTTGTGGAAGAAGGGTTTCAGTCCAGTGCACACCACCAAAGGGATTTATTAACTAATTGCTAGTTACAAAATTAGCTAAGCCAAAACGCCACTTGAGAAAAGTGTGGGGGAATAATTCTTTTCCCCTCAATAATGAATAAATAGTCTTGTAAAGTTCATTAAAAAAACATATTTAGGATATAAACTATCTACATTTAACTAAATATATATAAATTGTTGTTAAAATTTATATATCATATATCTATTTGATCTTTTTCACAAAATCTGTTTTTTTTGGGTGTGGCCTGCTGATTTCTTTATCTTATTATTATATCTATGCTTCATCTATTTGATAAGCCCAATTTGCAATCCTAACCCTAGCATTGATCACAAGACCTAATAACAAGTAATAAATTTCTTGAAATTTAAAAAAAAAAAATCGTTCTTGGTTAATTTAATATAGTATTTTAATACATAATTCATATTATTACAAAACCTCTAAAATATAACTAATTTAATTATCAATTAACTGAAACCTCCATCTCATATCTAATATCTAAAGCATCATTGACACAATAAAGCATCAATCGACCACCTTTTCTGGCTTCAGGAATCGTCAAAGATGCATCAATCTTTACGTCCTTACCTTGACCACGACCCTTCTTTTGGTTAGAAGAGCTGGAGGCAGTAGTGACAGATTTGTTCTTATCACCTCCAAAATAACCTCTAGGAGAACCTCTAGTTAAAGCGACTAGTTCGTCCTTCTCTGTATCCCCAACAATGATAAACCAACTTTCTTTCTGAACTTTGTGGAATTTGGGTGTATATACTTTAAAATCATTGGAAAGAATAGCAGAATTTTTATGAGTTAATACCACTGAGAGAACATTTTGAGCAGAATCGAATTTAGTCGCAATATCGACAATAGGAAGTGAATTGGCAATTCGTGAAAATTCATTCCTTTTATTCTTGAGAACACCAACCTTACTCATAAGGTTTTCCAAAGTTTGGCCTTTGACATTTGCAAAATCTTTGAGAGTGGTTACACGGCTTTTATCATCGGGGATAGGCATCCGAAGTAATGTTGTACCACTATCATTTTGCCGCACTGGATGAGAAACAGGAAGTGGCATTAACGTCAACCCTGGAAGTGCAGAAACAGGATCATCATCAAACCAATACCCTTGCTTCAAGCATTGCATAACGCTAATCAAAGTGAGAACAGTGGATAGATATCCAAGGACAGTAGCTGTGTCAACAGCAGCTTGTAGAATACGCAACGCTTGATCCAGTACTGTAGTTGTATCCTGAATATAATCAGTGATTGGGAGATCGACTCTGCTCATATAAGCTTGAAGTAACAAATAGGACTTCACATGAGGATCCCACATAATGAGATTCATCTCCTCACCTGGATATCTCATTTCTTGAGACATTTCAATATTAACCAAATCTTCATTATGACGAACTGGAAGTTCATCATACTCAGAAGCTAAACAGAGCCATTGCAAACAATCTTTAAAGTTTGGCTTCCGATGCATATGCTTCAAAAATGTATGCATGGTTTTATGGGATAAATAATAGTATGAAGAAATATTAAGGAACTCAGTGGGAACCAATTTTCCATCATAAGTATTTTGTAAGCAACCAGCTTCATGGAGATCGCTAATAGACTTATCAACTAAATTGATAAGCCATTTGTTGATACCGTCTTCAGTAACATCTTCAATGCCGTAATATGTTGGATTGTAGTGAATGCGGCGAAAAAGGAATGTCCAAGTGAGGAAATCCAAAGCCTCTTGTCTTGTTTTTATGGTCCTAGACGTCACTTCAGCGCCCAAGTGATCTGTCAAAACCTTGTGCAAAGATGACTCCACAGGAAAGCCAGAATTCAAAAAGTATTTGTAAAAAGGCTTGGTGGATTCTTTTGTAAAAACAACAGCAACACCACTAGTATCAAAAGCTGGTCTGCCAGCTCTACCCATCATTTGCAGAACATCGGTGAGGTCCATGTCTTTATAAGCTTCTATCTTTGCATCAAAAAACTGTGTGCCTTTAATGACAACCAAATAAGCCGGTAAATTAACACCCCAGGCCAATGTACTAGTCGCAACAAGAATTTGGATTTTATTGTTGGCAAAAAGCTCGTGGCTTAATCTTCTGTCAGAATCAACAAGACCTGCATGATGAAGACCAATACCAAATTGTAAAGACAACTTTAGTGTGTCATCTACAGCGATAGAAATCGCTTCCTGAAGTTCATCTTCATCCATTGAAAGAAATCTTCGAGGGTTGTCTTCCATTCCAAGCATATGAATCAAATCAAGTGCTGTTAATCGAGTCTGTCGACGAGAAGCAACAAAAATAAGTACCGGCTTAGTTGGCGAATGCTTTTTAATCGCAAGAAAAGCAGGTTTATTCATGGACTTCATCAATGGGCAAAATCCCATGTTATCAGGAAATCCATCAATATACATTTCCAATGGAACTGGTCTTACAGTAGATGGGAAGTTAAACAAACCTTCATCCCGAACCTTAAGCCAACTAGCCATGTCATAAGCATTGGCTATAGCACTTGAAAGACCCAAGAGTCGCACCGGACGCGCAGTCTTAGCCGAAACAAAATTCATACGACTGACAATCATCTCTAAAATTGGACCACGGTCACTAGCAAGTAAATGAATCTAAATTTTTAAATGTTAGCGTTAAAAAAAAAAAAAAAAAAATAAAAAAAACTCACCTCATCCATGATAATAAGGGAAACTTCCTGTACAAATTTTCTGCTCTGCCAATTTCGACTGATACCGTCAAACTTTTCAGGTGTAGTAATGATGATGTCAGAATTTTTTATAGTTGAAGAATCCGGTGTGCTATCACCTGTTAATTCAACAAGCTTGAGATTCAGAGGCTTAGTTATTCTAGAGTTCCAATCATCAACTCTTTCTCTGACAAGAGCCTTCATTGGAGCAATATAAACAACTTTAGATTTTGGGTATGTCTTAAATGCCCACCACATCGCAAGTTCTGCAGCAACAGTTTTTCCTGAACCAGTAGGAGAACCAAGAAGTATATTGGTATTAGAGTTGTAAATAGGATGAAAAATCATGGTTTGCATTGGATTAAAAAACCGAAACTTGAAAGAATATATTCCCTCAATTGCTTTATTATCAAGTGCTGTTATAGGAAGTGGTCGCAGAGGAAGAAGTTTAGTAGATATAGACTCAGCTTCGGGACGAATAAGATGCTGAAATGAAACAGGCATCGATGATTCAGCACCAGCCCATGTATCAGAAACAACTCGAATAACAATTTGGGAGGGAAGTGGATCCGCCAAAGGAACAGTGAAATCAAGTAAATGAGGATTATCAAGCTTCTGTCGTGATAAAATAAATTTTTCATAATGAAGAAGCTTAAAGTCATCGGATTCTTCAACCCACACCCAGAAAAATTGTGCATTTCCATGAATCCTACTATCCCAAATAAACTCAGGTTCAAGTGTTATTTTTATTTTCAAAACACTTTTAGTAAGAGGGGCAATTTCTGACTCTATATGAAGAGTAGGAAATCGATCCAAGTAACGGGCAACCAAAGAGGCTGACTTTTGATTATGAATCAGTTGTCCAATTTCACCAATTTCCATGTCACGTAAATCAGATATTTGTGCCCCACTTGACTCAAGATTTCGTAGAACTTGGTGTGGAAGGTCGAATTGAGCCAGAGGGTGTTCAAAAGACCATAAGCGATTTTCAACAGATTTGCAAATTGAAAGAAGTAAATTAGCGAGGCGCCCCCATCGGCGATTAAGAGCAAGAAGAAAAAGAGCGCGGCAAATACGTGTAGAATTTTGGGCAACATATGCAGCATCAGAAATTAAAGCAGAATCTTTAATGGATGCATTTGAAATGTAAGCCTGTAATAAAATATTTGTTTTGCCTTGGGGAGAATCAAAATCACCAAGAACTTGACAAGGAGAAGATTCTTCCATAAGCAATTTTAGTTCATTACCTTCTTCTTCTCTAGCCTTGATTCCATCAAACTCGCCACTCATGCTGATCATTGAAAACACATCGGCCTCCGTCGCAGCAGGGTTCATTAGTTTATTAAAAACTTCAACGCTAGAATTAAGCAAATAAAAATCAGAAGCAACGCGGCCAGTGTCTTTGGAAATGAAAGTCCCGGTAACATCGTCGTAAACAATCATTTGTAGTAAATGTAATTTTCGAGCGGCATCAATAATTAACTTTCGGCGACGCTCTCCTAAAAGAGGGTCCTCAGAAACATCTTCCCACCCGAGTCCATAAGCAAGTGGATTCTTTCGCATTCGAACAAATAAATAAGTGTAGCCTAGCCATTGGACACCTTCATCAATACTAGTTACTGTACCTAATGCAATTTCGGCGTTAAGATTATCCTCTATTCTTGTAGTTAATTTGGATTCGATGGGATGTTGTTGTGTGATTGCTGATAGATAATGAGAAAGTCGATCAGATGTGGTACATAAAATGCCAATACCAACTTGTTCAAACTGAGGACGACCAGCTCGTCCAAAAATTTGAATCACATCAGTGATGCTTAAGTCCACAAAACCACCTCGTTTAGCATCATAAACTTGAGTTCCTTTGATCATAACAACGGCAGCTGGAAGATTTACACCCCATGCAAGAGTAGCTGTACAGCAAAGAACTTTAATCGCGCCATTAAGAAACATTTTTTCAGTTAAGTTACGCTCCGAACGCAGCATTCCAGCATGATGGATTCCAAATCCACCCATAAATAGCTCTTTCATGTCTCTATTCTTCCATTTGGACATCTCTCTTTCAAAAGAAGAGTATGAGTCATTGGTCGAGCAATCGAATAGATAAGTATCATGCATTTTTTGTGCTTGAGAAATATAAGAACGAGCTGTGTTAATTGTGTCTTTTCTCGAATGAACGAAAACCATAATTTGATGGCCCTCATTAAGCATTTCAACAAGTTTGTCATATGAGATGCGATTTATTTCGTCTCTTGCTTGCTTCGTTCCAGCTTTTGCACGAATAGCAAGAAACTGTTGCTCCAAAGGAACCGGTCTAAATGAGTCGTCAAAAAAAAATAGTCCGGCCATAGGATTTACTCGAAGAAACTCAGCAACATCTAAATAATTGGGTAGAGTGGCAGATAAACCAACGATTCGAACCATAGACTGTGTGCTTTCGACCTGGCGAAGAGTACGCGCTACCAAAGACTCTATGACAGCACCGCGATCTTCATGAAGTAAATGTACCTCATCTATAACTAAAAGACGGACTTTAGAAACTAGTTCATTATCACCAGTAGATTTTCTTGTAACAACATCCCATTTTTCTGGTGTAGTGACAATGATCTGAGTCGAAATAATTTCGCTTCGTGTTAGTTGCATGTCACCTGTAAGTTCTCTAACAGATATCCCAATCCAAGAAAGTCTTTGCGACATTTTCTCCACCACTTCGGCTGCTAATGCTTTAAGAGGGGCGACGTACACGATTTTAAAATTCGATAAATCAACAGAATAAGACTGGGTATTAGGATCAAACGTACTGTAATTGTTTATTGTGCTTAACATTGTTAAGAGTGCCACATCGGTTTTACCAGCACCAGTGGGTGCACAAACCAGCATATTTTCGTGGGTTTCATAACCAATCGGATAAACTAATGATTGCATGCGGTTAAGAGTCTTGTATTTTTTGAAAGTCCCCTGACACAGTTTGTCTAACTCTTTGATGGGAATCAATCGGGGTTCAACAAGAGGTTTTTTGCTGCTAGCTGGAATAATAACTTCTTCGTATTTTTGCTCGAGAGTTCTTGTAGTTCCAGCCGGTAAAGAATATTTGGAGCCAAATGCATTAAGAATACTGCCACCAGTGTCACGTTTATAAACGTGTGGATATTTGATAGTAGCTGGGGCCAGTTGAAGATTACTATTAAGCCGCTGAGTCTCGCGTTGATTTAGCACACGTTGGTTTTCAATCTCTTCAACTGTCATTAAATGGTAATTAGTCTCTTTTTCTAAGTCTTGAATCCGGATCTAAAGAATCGTGTAAATTATCTAAATTAGTCTAAAAAATTAAAAATAAAAAAAGAATAGATACTTACACTTTGTTGAATTTCATTTCGACGAGAAATAAGTTCGATGACAAGTTCAAGATTATCGTATCCCAGTATGTCTGGAAGAGAAGATTGAAGCTCCTCATCTGGTGAATCTGAAGTTAAAATTGATAACACAGTAGAATATATCTCATCCCCATTCATTGATGTAGTTATCGAAAACTTAGATAATTGAGATTTAAGCCACTCAAGATTGGTGTCGTGAGTTCTGGAATCTTGTTTTGTGTCCTCATCAAATGATTCGGCATCGCTGCTGGAAAATGATTCATCAAAAATAGTAAGCTTGTCAATATCAGAATTATGTATTGAATCTTTGTCAGGAGATGAAAAATCATCAGGAAGTCTAAGTGATTCGAGTTGAAACTTACTGACAGCATCTTGCATTTGCGTGACACTGTCTAAAAAAGAATCAAACGAATGAATAGGATCTTGAGAAACCATTATTTATGGAATCAGGAAGACAGATATAAAAAGTATTTCAATGTTGTAAATATAAAAATAATTTTGATTATTTATACTGATATATAGATTAAAATGTTTGAAAATATAAAATTTCAGTGCGGGCGAAAATTACATGCTGATAAAAAACAGTTTGAAATAATTTATGGTCGAGTCATAATGAGTAAGTTATTAAAGGGTGTGATTATAAATAGTTGAAAGTGGACATGTAAATTTTGTTTATGTAATATTAACTTGTGTAATTACAGGATAATCTATGTTGTAATTTATTTGAAGTCCATGGAATATTAATATTGTGCTTTATATTTAAAACTTTTAACTAAACAATGCTGCTGTTAAATTTATTTATATTAGTACTCACTGTAATTTAAAGTACATTAATGCAAGTTATCTTAACTATTATATTGAGTAAACTTATAATATAATTATATTATTTCACGGTACTCTTAATGGATAACCTGTTAAAAAATATTGTATTAATCATATAATTAAATTACTTATTTGTTAGATTAATTTATTGAGTTTGGAGTAAAAAAGTTGAGCTTAAAGCTTTTCGTCAGAAATTTGCTTTAGCTCAGAGATCCAACCAAGAATCTCTGATCGGTTTTTAATAGAACTAGAGCTAAATTTATCAAGATTGTTTTGAATTTGATCCATTGCCTGCTTCCAAGAATATATATCGTTCTTTAACGCTAAAACTACTGAATCAAAATCTTTTATTGACTCATTGGCTATAAGCGCGTCCGTATGAAGATCACGTAAGCTATTTAGTCGCAAAAGCACTTTTGGAATAACTATTTCAAGTTTCTGAATTATTGATATTTTGCTGTAAAGTTCTCTGATTTGTTGATCTGATGACACATATGTTTCGTTTCCATTTAATGTATCCGAAGGATTTGGCAAAGTTGTTCCAGTTTGTTTGCGGTTCACATTATGCAAAGATTTACTAGTAGATTCATGTAAATAGCTTTTATCTTTCAAATCTCGTATTTCCTTAATAGACTGTATCAAAACGGTGAGATTGTTTGCGGAAGCCTCAAGTGAGGCGGGTGAACTAGTAATAAGTTTTAGTCTTTGTCTAATTTCTTGTAAAGAAGTTAGAATAGGTCGGTATAAGTCATTTTCAAGATTCATTTCATCAATCCCAATTGCACGTTCCAATGTTAAAATACGATTTTCTAATTCAGTTATTTTTGATATTAGAACCGATGATTTTTGTGATTCATGAGTTGTACTGGCTTCATTATTGATTTTCTCTAAATGTTGTAGCGATGTTTGAATTTGCAGAGATAAAGTAGATGTTTCATCTGCTCGCTCCGTAAGTTGTTGATCTGAAATAAAGTTATTAAGTTGAATTTTTTTTAAAATAGCTTCCAGTTCACTTAATTTTTTTTTATCATCTCCAAACTTTTCTAGTCGTGTTACTTTACTACTAGATAAAACCTCTTTCTGAACATCATTGACTTCATGAAGAAGACGAGCAATCCTTGCTTCAAGTGTTTCATGTACTTGATATGAATTATATTTTGATTTTACCAGGATATCCGATCTTTCGTTTCTAAAATCAACGCTACCCTCAGGATCTAATATTTTTGTAGAAAAAAATTGAGTAGCGGAATCAGTCGAAATATGAGTGTTATCAATTGATCGTCTTCTATTAGAAGGAAAATAAATTTCAGGGTTCTAATTAATATGGTTAAATTAATGTACTTGGGCGTTTTTCTGTTTTCTTACATCTATATCTGGAAATGTGCTGTCTGGAGTTTCATAAACATCGGTTGGATTTTGATCCTAGATTTCTGATTGGTTAGATAGGCAAGTTTAGTTGTGGAACTCAATCAAGTGCTTACAATATCTGGCAAAGATAAATATTTTCGTTGGGCCATTGTATCGCTTGTTATAATGAAAAATACAATCGATGAAAAAGAGACTGAAGAGTAGGTGTCGGCGAAAGTTCGTAAAAAACTAGTTCTCAACTTCCCTTCAAGTGTATTTTTTTTGCACAAGTGATAAATGTTTTAAATATTACCCGGCCTTGAAAACAAACTGCTAGTAATCTCAAAGCTTTTTACATGATCGACCGTTACTACAAAGCTGACGACAAGCAGATATATATCGCTATCGTCTTCAAAAAAAAATAAATAAATAAATAAAACTATATAAAAAGATTTATTTGACTCTTTTTACACTCTTTTTGCTGACTTTTTAGAAAAGCCCAAAGACATTTTTTTGGGGGGTTAAAAACCGTTAAAGAGCTATTAACAACGTTGTTATAATTTACTCACGTTCCAATATAAAGATGTCAAAAATAACTGGCTCAGCTGTTCGGAAACAAGCTGAAAAATACCTTTCCCGGATTTCTTCAAAAAATTCTAACTATAACGCAGTCGTTTCTTTAAGGCACCCTGAAAATGTTCTAAACGATATTAAATCATCTCTTGAAAAATCAGGGAGTATGTTATTATATGACGATTTGATTTTTTAGCTCCAGCTAACAATTTATTAGCTCTTTCTGGTAGTTTTTATATTTTGAAAGATAACTTTTGCACAACTGAACTTCCTACAGCATGTGGATCTAAAGCGCTTCAAGGTATGTTTTATAAAATGAAGAAAAGAACATAATTTAATATGATGAATTTAGATTATCAGAGTCCATATAACTCTACGGCTCATAAACTTCTTGAATCAGCGGGAGGAATTTTTTTAGGAAAAGCCAACATGGATGAATTTGCCATGGGATCTAATAATTTGACGTCGAATCTTTACCAACCTCCTGTAAATCCAATTTTTTCAGACGCAGACTTCAATCCAAGATCAACAGGTGGCTCTTCTGGTGGTTCAGCAGCAGCAGTTGCAGCAGACATGTGCGACTTTGCATTAGGAAGCGACACCGGTGGATCGGTTCGTTTACCAGCAGCCTACTGTGGAGTTGTTGGGTTTAAGCCAACTTATGGCCGCATTTCAAGATATGGACTAGTAGCATATGCACAGAGTCTTGATACTGTAGGGATACTGGCCAAAGATGTTTCTACCACTGAAAAAATTTACAATGTCTTAAACCAACACGATCCCAATGACCCCACTTCTCTATCTAAGTCTATTAGAAAAAATTTGGATCTTGATTTTCCTAAAAAAATTTTAAATGAAAAAAACGACGAAAGAAAATATAGAATTGGAATCATACACGAAACAAACTTACAAGATTTAGATCCATTTGTGCGTCAGGCATGGGTTGATTCACTCGAGTCTTTGCGTTCACGTGGCCATGAAATCGTCACAGTAAGTGTCCCGTCGCTTAAACACGCACTTCCTGTTTATTTTATTTTGTCTCCATCCGAAGCTTCATCTAATTTAGCTCGTTATGATGGCATTCGATATGGCCACAGAGCCGAGCAAGATCGTGAAGGTGATATTCTTTATGCAGCAACACGAGCGGAAGGCTTTGGTTCAGAAGTTCAACGACGGATTCTTTTAGGCGTGTTTAATTTAAGCTCCGAATTTTTTGGGAATCACTTTCAGCAAGCTCAAAAGGTGCGGCGCAAAATTCAGCTCGAATATAACTCTATCTTTACTTTTCCCAATGTTGTATCTTCTTTGAATACTCTTGGATCCTCTTCTGACGAGACAGTTGATGTTGTTATATCACCTGCGTCAAAAACTATAGCACCCACACATGAGGATATTTTCAATTCTGAAAAAGGAAATGGTGCAGTTAAAGCATATGTCAATGATGTTCTTACTGTTCCTTCAAGTATTGCCGGACTTCCTTCCATTTCTGTCCCTTGGGGGAAAGGTAAAGATACAGTTGGTATTCAAATAACTGGGCAGTTTGGTGATGATAAAACGGTTTTAGAAGTGGCTCGTTTATTGGAATCACAATAAGTAAATATTTTATTTAGCATTTGAAAATGCTAAAGTTTATACATTTGAAAAAGAAAAACTGTAAATATGTCTTAGAATGTTATTTTATTATATTTTTCTCAATTTTAGTTATATTAAAACAATAATTTAAGTCGCAAATCTATCTAATCATATCTCTGGAAGAGGCGTCAAAACATCAAAAGAGCCTGTACCGACCTTAGCGGCCTTACCTACAACAATTCTAGCACTAGGAGAATCAAGAGGGTCAAATCCAGAATCCAACACTGTAGAAGTCAGGAAGCTGCAAGTGGTTTCAAATGACATCTTCAAAAATGGCGACGTCATTGAACTCATGCCAAATCTATTAAATGCAAGATATGTACCATCTCTGGTCATCATATCAGCAATAAGATCCAAATGACGCAAGTTGACAGAAATTGCATAAGTCTTGAAAACATTATTAATTTCACGGACAATAGTGTTGCGAGCAGCTTCAACACCATATGTCTTAAGAACTGCGGAAACATCGTTCGAAAGAATTCCATTCACATCAATGAAGTCACCTTCATCCCATAAAGCCTTAAAGTTGACACCTTCAGTTACAAGAACCCGTTTTCCATCATGTTGATCTGCTGACGGGTGCAAGCAACGACCAATATTTGGAATTTCACGAATAACAGTTTGACGGCAAACCTCCTCAATCAAGCTTACGAGAAGAATCTTTGGGGTATTGGCAGGATATTCTAAAGAAAATTCGCACCATTCACCATTAAGATCGTCAAAATTAAAACGAGAAACATTTTTGTGACGCTCAACAATAAGGCTTTCACGAGCCTTAGCTCCTTGAGACATCTCTGATCGATCGACCATCTTAAACCCCGCATCACCATTAGACTCCCCTTCATTATCAGAGGCTTCATCATCATCCATATCAGAATCCTCTTCATCCGAGGTCTGGCTAGCTTTCTCCATAAGTTCCAGCTCTGCATCATCAGGACCATCATAAGAAACAGCCTGAGATTTCTTTGATTTTTGATCTTCATCATCATCCTCTTCAGCAGCATAAGATGAGCCACTTTCGCGATAGGTTATAGCAGATTCACTAGAAGGAACGGCTTGCCCAATATTGGAATCAGTATTACCAAATCTCTTAAACTCCTTCTTAATTTTATCTTCAAGAGTAGAAAGGAATGAACGAGAAACACATTGAAGGACTTGCAAATCAGAAATATCGTATTCGTTTTGATACTCATCTTTAGAAAAGAATTGGAATCTAACGTTGTAATTACGATTGATAACACCAGTGCCAACAGTACTAGTTTCCACAACAGTAACTTTATCGACAACCTCTGAAAGTAAAATACGACCAACACTCTTGCAAAAGATATCAGCCTGATCATCAGTGATATAATCTTGGATAGGGAGAGTCATTTGAGGAGTCATGATCTTTTCAGCGGCCGTCATAATAATTTCTCTCATACGTGGAATGCCGAGAGTGACATTAGCAGCACCATGACCAGCAAAATGAAAAGTGTTAAGGGTCATTTGAGTAGAAGGCTCACCAATAGATTCCGAGGCAATAATTCCAACTGCCTCACCAGGATCTATAGTCGATTGCATGTATTTAAGTTGCATGAGTGTGCGAAACATTTTTTCAGTGATTTGACTATTGCTGCCCTTCAAAAAAAGGCTGGAATTGTCTTTGATGAACTTGTCGAGTTTCTCTTGGAAAACGTTGGAAACACTACCCAAGAACTTGGCTGGATTGTAAACAGAAACTGTAGGGTCATACTTAGGAACAAACTCATAATGAGGTTCATCAGCATGACGCTTAAAATGCTTGAGTGCCTTCTTAGCATAAGAAACTGCTTCTTCAGTGTCCATATTTTCAAGCGTAGGGGGCTTGTGTCGAAGAAGTAAAGAGTTGAAATTGTCGTAACAAAACTTAAAGTTAGTTAAGTGAGATTCCTTGACAACATCAATAGCATCGCCGCCATAGATGAACTGAATAAGAGCACCATCGGAATCACGAACTGAATTGTCATAATTGACTTGAACACCTTCAAGTTGTTTAATGAGACAACGTTGTAAATATCCCGAACGAGATGTTTTAACAGCCGTGTCAATTAAACCTTCACGGCCAGCCATGCAATGAAAGTAGTATTCCTGAGGGCGAACACCAGAAAAAAATCGCTGCGCAATGTATCCGCCAGCTCTGGCATGTGTTTCAAATGGCTTAAAAGATGGTAGAGTCTTGCCACTAACCATGACAGGAACTCTGCGACCTTCCAAAGCTTGCTGTCCCAGTAGACACATGATTTGGGAAACGTTGACATTAGAACCCTTGGCACCAGATAAAGCCATGGCCTGCATAGAATTAATAGGGAAACGTTTCGCAGTTCCTTCTGGAACGCACTTAGAGACGATACTAGTCGCAACAGCATTGACCTTAGATTGAGTAATAGCATCAAGAATACCAAGCTTTTGATCATCACGAAGAATTTCTTCAAGTCTTCGCAAAAATTCGGGATCGTCCTCAGAAACATCTTCTTCTAAATTGGTTACTTCTGCTGCAGCCTTTCTGCCAACATCAGCAGCATTGCGAAGAATCTCCTTTCTCCAAGAATCACCCTCAGCAGTTAAATGAAGATCATCCATACCACACGTAAATGCAACTGACGTGATATATCTAGTAAACAGACGACCAAGAACTGAAAGGAGCTGGCCAGCCGTATGGCTGCCATAAATTTCATGAACAGAATGAACTAAACCATGATCGGCTGCACCATACTGAGATTTGTCCAAAATACCACAGATTAAACTTCCATCTTTAAAAATAACATCATTTTCTGTAGACCCTGTTCCCCAATACTCATTTTTGATTTTATTCTTCGATTTCAAATTCAAACCAGGGCTGCCTTGGGGTGTAATGTTAAGTAGAGCTGTTGTGATAACTTGTTTACCGGTCCACAAAGGAACAGGCTTAATGATGGCTGGGGGAACAGTGATAATCTTGCTTCCAGTGATGTGACCATCTTCAGGTCTTAAGCAACCGTAAATAAGTTGCTGGTATTTTTCTCTTGTAAAAAAGGTATCTTTGCTAGTCAAAATAACACCAGCCGAAATATGGTCTTGAATAAGACCACGAAGAGGCTTACCTGAAGTAGGTGTGAGATACTGAGAATCAGTGTTTGCAAGCATCATAGCTTCAGCACGAGCGGCCTCATTTTGGGGGAAATGCATGTTCATTTCATCACCATCGAAATCAGCATTATATGCACCTGTATTTGCATAATGAAGACGAAGGGTTTTCTCGCCAGGTAAAACGCGAACTTTATGTCCCATCATAGAAGCTTTGTGGAGTGTAGGTTGTCTGTTCATGAGCACAACGTCTTGATTGCGAATATGTCTATAAACCTTTTTGTTTACAACTGATCGTTTCAACGAAGGCGTCAAAAGTTGGTTTGCAAGAGCTGTACGTTCTTCCACTGACATGTTCGCAAGCTTGATAAGTTGACCAGATTCATCTTCAATCGCGGTAGCACCAGGCCAAATATTAGGGCCGTTAATAACAGCTTGTCGCATTTCCTGGAAGTTGTAAGAAGTTACAGGCTCAGGATAAGTGAGATTAACTGCAAAAACTGGAGGGATACCAATTTCATTTGTTTCAATATTAGGGTCAGGGGAAATAACAGAACGTGCTGCATAATTAACACGCTTTCCCATCATATTCTTTCGAAAAAGACCTTCCTTTTTCTCTAAAGTTTGTTTGACACCAGGTAAAACTTTTGTTGACCTACTTTGAGACTTTGTAGAATCCAAAAAAGCATTCACTTCATTTTGAATTTGAACAAGAGAATTCATAAGCTGAGAAAATGTCTGTTTGCGTTCTTTAGACTCAGTTCCATCAGATTTGAGGTTGGACATGCGCTGATTAAGGTCACGAATTCGCAATGATGTAGTGATAATACCGGAAAGTAAATCATTTTTAGGATTTGTGTGAATCTGATCACCGACTTTAGATGGAAGGCGAAACTTGGTAGGCGGGACCACAAGCTTACGAAGAAAAAACATCTCTCCTGTGACTGGTTCAGGATCATTGGGGCGAGAATGAAAAAGTACTTCAATAAGAGTACGTTCATTTAAAAAAAGAGAATTAAGAAGTTCCAAAACCTCGCTGGAAAGAATATATCGTGTTTGATTAGATGAAATTTGAGGAACTTGAACTGCGCCCTTGCGAGGTTCTTTTTGGAAAATGGTTCTTGTTCGAGTAACAGCCTTGGCAGAGTTGGCCTTAAAATCCTTATCGGATAATCCAAGCTCAAAAATTTTAGAGAACCCATCTTTGCGAAACTTGGGACAAACCATATGGCAATTATTACAAGATCCTTTAGCAACAATCTCTTGATAGAATTGACGAATGAGTTTTCTACGCTCTTCTTGTACCACTGAAGTATTAAGACCACTGTGTGTAGTTCTCCCTTCAGTAATAGCTTTCTTAATAACCTTATCCACAAAAGCATTGCGAATAGCAAAAATGTCTTCACTTTCAGTAGATTCTGAGTCACCATTCTCTTCAATAGAATGACTTCCAGATGATTCATGAGCAATCAAAGCTTCTAACTCTGAAATCTCCGGAAACAGACCATATTGAATAAGTCGAAGTTTAGATTCATAAATGTGAGCCGAAGAATGCGAAAGCTTAAACGAATGACAATAAACACATGCTCCACGAAGAAGAACGTACATCTGTGAAAAGAATAAAGGGTTGTAAATGGGAACAGGAAGATCAATATGGCCCATATGGCCAGGGCAAAATCGCTCGTCAAGACCACAAGTCGAGCAGCTTGGAAATTGGTTAGATTTAAGTTTTAATGAAAAATATTCAAACTTACACATTTTTGAGGAAAGCTCCAAGTGCTAAATCGTAAAGACCTCCCGGAACGGGATGTCCCAAAGCATCAAATACTTCAGGTGAAGTAATATGTTTTACAGAAAGGCGATCAATTTCTTTAGAAGATAAAACGCCAAAATCGACGGACTCTATCTGTGAGCCCGTAGGAAATGAAACGTCCATTTTTGTTTTAGCCTGCTATGATCGCAAAAGCTTCAGCAAAATATTTGGTGAACAAACCAAAATTAATGATAAACAAAAATACAGGAAATAGAAAAAAAAAATTTTTCCTTTTCACAAAAAAAAAAAAAAAAGGTGAAAAATCTTATGTAATGCTTAGTAACAATAAAATAAAAATATATAGTACAAATGGAAGGCATTTTTAATCATTAAATTATTAAATTTGAAAATATTGCAATTATTCAGAATCGAACGTATGTTATCGCAATTGAGGTAATTTTGCCTCATCAAAAAAAAAATTTAATATTAATTCCAAGCCTACATTAAAGAATTGAAAACAATTTCAAGTATCACAATTTAAATACTGGGTTCGATTCCCAGAATACCCCCTTTTCCTGAGGATGTGTACGGGAGTATACACCTAGACTGAAAACCATAGGCTACCCTGGTTACAGGAATGCCGACTCTTCCGTACAGTCTAAATAGCCTGCAGGTGATTGCGGGCCGTATCTCTGGCGGAAGAGATTAAGAAATACATGGGCGTCCGTGAAGATAAGTGGAAATGGGTTGGGAAGGTTTTGGGACCGACAGACTGGTTCTCCCTGTTCCTCGTAAGCTGGCATCAGGGCCCATCTTCCGGGCTACCGGAGACGCACAGAACAGAAACCACCCGTACTAAAAAGGTACAAATGAAAACCGGCAAGTCACATAGTCAGACAATAAAAGGATAGCGCAGATGCTGATGTTATATAATTCTATAACCCTTGAATAAAAACAAACAAACAAACAATCACAATTTAATCTTGGTCCATATTTGTCCTTCGGTTTTCATAAAACACAAAATTAAAAATTTCCCTTGAATAAAAACAAACAAACAAAATTAAAAATTTCATGTGAAAAAATGAAAAGATATTAAGAACAAAAAGGATAGCACAGATGTTGATGATAATTCTATCCCTTGAATAAAAATAAGCAAACAAACAATTTTCATACACATACACACACAGTTTAAATAATAAACCTCAAAAGCAACACAACACACGGCTGAATTTACGGTTAAAGCAATTTGTTTAAATAACATGAAATTTCCTGTTTGCAGCTAACTAGAATAAGAAGTGTTAAACGTATTCAATTTAAATATATTTTTGAATAAATTGGGAAGGATTGATGTTTGATCCTCCCCCAAAAGCTGGCATTAAAACTTATTTCACAGGCTGTTCAAGAAGCAAACTTCAAAGTTAAATTAAATTTTTATTTTAAAAACGAGAAATTATATGGTAGGAGCCAAAGAAATAGAGTTGATGATGTTGTTATTTATAAAACTTAAATAGAAACAAATAAATATATATATAACATTATATTACTGTTAAAAATAATTATTGTTAAAAAATTTATCTAATAAGTTAACTATATTTATTTCCATTATTAAGCTTTGTGGAATCACTTTTTAACTGGCCTTAACTTATCATAAGAGCTGTCTTATTGCCTGCCCCACATATTCCACAGTTATCTGTTTTAGTCTGTTTTAGACGACGATAAACCATAGCAATTTAAACTTAGCAGCTACAATTTCCAAGGTTAGCATTTAAAATAATTAAATAAGTTATTTTTTGAAAAATTATGACTCGATTTTTGGCAACTGAGTTTAAGTTTTTAATAAACCATTATTGCTTGAGTTTTATTAATTTTGTTTAGAAATTTATATCACTAATTAATAAAAAAAAATTGGAATGCGGAAGGGAATTCCAAGTTTAAGTTTTATTGTGAAATAGCAATTTTTTAAAAATAAAGAATTGGTAAATTTTCTTATTTTCTTATTTTCTTATTTTCTTATTTTCTTATTTCAACTTTTAGTTAAACAAAAAAAAAAATATCAATTAAATTTTTAAATAAAAAGATACGATCTTACAGGGTTTTGTAATATTTTAAAGCCTTATCTTGTTAGCAATGTTTTTTGCAAAGATATATCTTACTTGTATATAATGTTCTACTATGAGGGGGAAAACATGAACTGATCCAAATTAAAGTTAGGCTAGTTCATAAACCTGGGGCTTTGTCACAGTTTTTATGTTGCCAGTTCTTTTTTTCTCCCATTTTTTTGTTTAATCCCTACAACATCAATAAAACATTTTGCTGTGTTTTAAAATTCACACTGTTATTGAAATTATTATCATTTGATCATTCGGTCATAGAACTACTAAAGAAAGAAATATAACACTTTAATGCTGTCTGAAAAAAAAGAAAACCTATCTGGAAAAACAAAAAGTAACTTTACAAGCCCATCTAGTATTCCTACGTCATATGTTGCTACTGGAACTGGGTTTTTCACTAGATCCTGGGTGCCTGGACAAATATTGTCGACAGATGTTCCAAATTGTTTGAAAGAAAAAGTATCTCTTGATTCTTACGATGTCAAATCTTTGCTGATTCTGTTATTACTTTCTCTAATTGTCAGACTATGGGGAATTTCAAACCCACCAAATGTTGTTTATGAAGAGATGATTCAAATTCACAGAATAAACAATTATCTTAGTGGAAAATTTTTTTATGACATGAATCCACCTCTTTCAACTCAAGTTTATACTTTTTTTTCCTATTATTTTGGGTATACAGGACATTTTCCAATGAGCTCTTCTACTTATACAGGGCATAATTTTCCATTTATAGAGCTTCGCTCATTAGTTGCTCTTCTAGGAATTGTTTCAATAATTCTGTCATATTTGACAATTAAGTTGACTGGTGCATCAAGAATATCATGTATTTTATGTGCAACCTTTGTTACGGTGGAAACTTCGTTTGTATTGCAGCATCGTTATATATTCACAGCTCCTTTAGCTTTAACATTTTTTAGTTTGTCTATTTACTTATGGAAAAAACTAGAATTAAAACAGCCATTAAGCCTTGGTTGGCATGCTACTGCCGCGGAGTTAGGTTTGGTTTTGGGATGTTGCATAAGTACTCAACCTCATTCGCTATTCACTCTAAAATGGATCTGGTTTGCCTCTGTATATCAACTATGGTGGTCATTTGGTGACAAGACTCAAAAGACTTTCATTCGGCGACTTTTTCTTAACATTTTGTTTAGGGTTGTATACCTAGCTCTGGTTCCCTATATTATCTATAATACTACAATTGCTGCTCACTTACGGTTAACACCGTTTTCCGGGGAAGGTGACAGTCTAATTAGCGGACCCTTTCAATATTCCCTTATTGGTAACCCGAGCTCTGAAGTAGTCGGTCCAGTAGGAATTGGCTCTTTCGTCTCTATTAGACATTTAAAAACCCATGTTTATCTTCATTCCCATGATGAATATTTTCCTCAGGGATCATTCCAACAACAAGTAACTGGTTATGGATATCGAGATAGTAATAATTACTGGGTTTTTGAAAATGTTACCGATGCTGAAGCTTTATCTCTTCCACCAAGTAAACATCCCTTTAGTTCATTGAAAAATGATACTTACGTTAGGATACGCCATTTGCAAACTTCAAGAAGACTTCATACTCATAAAAAACGATCACCTATCACTGATTCCGAATGGCAATTTGAAGTGAGTGGCTATGGTGCTGAAGGATACCCGGGCGATTTAAATGATATTTGGAAAGTTGAAATTGTAGACCACCTTTCAAAAAATAATGAAAGTAAACAAGAAGTTAATGCTATCAACTCAATTGTGAGATTTAAACATCTTATCTTAGGCTGTTATCTTTTTACGCATCCAAGAAAACTTCCCGAATATGCCCATGATCAACAAGAAATAACATGTGCTCTTCTTCAAGGAAAACCTGAGTTAACATACTGGTACATTGAAACAAATTATCACCCAAATCATTTACCAAATACTAAAAAAGTCAAATATGAAACTCCGCCTTTCTCAGATAAAATGGAGGAATATAAAGAAGTAATGGAAAAAGCAAGGATTTCAGTACTAGATGAAACTACTGGATATACGTTTCCCGCGTGGAAATTACCCTTTTTAACAAATGGTATACCAATTTTCAGAAGTCATCACCGTCAAACATTTTTGATTGGAAATATTTTTATCTGGTACATGTCTTTAATCGGTTTAATATTTTACATTATATTTAGAATATACACACTTCTAGCTGTTCAAGGTGGTTGGAAAAATTTTGCACCTTTACCTGATGTTAAAGAATATGATCACCATGCTGGTGGATTTTTTGTTCTTTGGGCCTTTCATTATTTGCCCTTATTTTTGGAATCTAGGGCTTTGACAAGTGTTGATTATCTTCCCTCTCTTTATTGCACCATACTTCTTTTTGGAAAAAGTTGGGATTTTTTCACTAAGATATATGTTCACAAAAAAATAATCAGTAAGTTCTTTACCTTCATTCTTATTTCGTCTTCAGTTATTGTGTTTATATTTTTTTCACCGTTTACATATCACAAACCAATACTATCCGATCGATGCCATCAATTAGAACTTCTTAAAACATGGGATTTTGGCTGTTTTTATCATTTTGAAACATATGCTCAATATAATGCTTATGATAGAGACCATTACGCCGAAATATATTACCAATCTTTACCACCCCCAAAAGAAGAACTTGAGCCCCCGTCGGTTGCAGGATCTGTCCATCGGGCTAACCCAACAGAAGCACTAACTAAACGTATAAAATACACAAAGTCAGAAATAAATGCAGCTTTAGAAAAATATAAAAATCTCACTTCCCTTGACACAGAAGAACGAAAACAACAACTCTACGAAGAAGGTCAGAAAAGATTGGTACAAAGTGTTGTTGAAAGAATCAAAAAAGCACAAATGAAACTACACAACATTACAGAAGAAGAATGGGAAGAAAGAAACAACATGGGGGAAAAATACGTCCAGGAAAATACAATAGGAACTCCTACGGAAGAGATTAACCCTAAACATGTTTCTAGAATTCAAGCTCAATGGCTTCGTATTACAAATCCCCCTTCTGTTAACTTTACTGGAAAATCCTATGAAGATATGAAAGACCTCGAACAAGAGTTAAATAAAGCGTCAACCAAAATAGATGGAAACAAAACAAGTTGTGACAATAATAACCCAAAAGAAGCCATTGAATAAGTACTTGATTACAATAGTCGCTGTAAATTTAAGAGGAAAAAAAATAAATTTTTCGACTTTTTTTTTAATTTTTGTACATTTTATCCCATATAAAGTTTTGTATTAGCACTGAAAGAGCTTAGGCCTTAGCAGCAGCAACAGCCTTCTGGCTTCCACGAAGAGCGTACTTCTGGTTTCTGGCAAACTTGGGGTCAAGGTGCTTGAGAGCCTCCTGCTTGGTGGCAACTCTAGCCTTCTTAATACCGTTACGGTGGGCCTTTCTGATTTGGTTGTGGTTGGTGTGGTTCTTAGACTTAGCCATCTAAAGATAAGTTAGTATATAATCAAACATATCAAAAAAAACTCAAATCTGCATCATTCTTCCAGTTTATGATATTTAAAAAATGGTATTTAGCTTCAAGGTTTCCAATAGATCATTTTAATAACTTCGTATCGATTGAAACTTTTGAATATTGAATTTTACTAATCATTTAATATAAAAAAGTGGGACTGGAAAAAGACACATCAGATTGATTTTGGAAAGTTTCAGAACTTACTGTGCTGGTATTAGAGACTTAATATACAAAAATGCCGACAAATCAATTGTGCGTAACAGAAGAGAGAGGAAGGAAAAGAAAAACAAAAAGTAACAAGAAATTTTTTCGCGATCGCGGCTTGTGACACTTGGAAATTCTTTGTAACACCGCTTTGTATTGGAAGTTAATAATAATATATTTGAATCATGTGATTGATATTCCCATGACTTTTTATTAAAAGTCATTTATTATGACAAACCAAAATTATATGGCCTAGTGGTTATTGATGATAACCATAGTGACTGCTTGTGTCAATTAGGGCTATACCCTATAGCTTATAGAATTTAATTAAAGTTCAAACCGACTTATCCATAAGATAAATTATTAAATACAAACAAACAACCCAGTAAAGAATTAATGAAATTTTAGAAATAGGACCATTGAAACTCTCTTGAAATCTGATTAAAAAATCAAATACAACAATTTAAAGTAGTAACCAGAATTATGACAGAATTACATTTTTACTCCTCTTGAGTTGCCTGTTTTCTGTGATTCTGTAATGAGTTATAAAAAGCAAATGTTTATTATTTAATAAATTTTATTGACATTGTATTGTATTGTATTGTATATGTTTAGTGTTTTTAAATGTCAGTATTTTAAAAAATATATATATTTCAATGACAATATTATATGTTTGGCTGATAAATATAAGCATAGAATAACTGGATTACGGTTATTGGAGCAAAATGGGGTTGCTGTATTGAACTTTCTTATTTTTGTGATAAAATCATGATTTTACTTTAATTCAATTCAACTAAGAAACATCAGAAAAGATTTCTGTGAGGTGTAAAAAAATTTGAATGGATTATAATAAAAAGGCCAATTCATAATGATGTATTTTTTCTTTAGTATTTTTTGTAAGCATATGAACATTGTTTAACGTTCATTATAAAGTCAACGTCAAAATAAATTAAAATTAACAGAGGTTACAATTAAGAGTTGACCTCTAATTATTTTGTACCATCGTTTAACTATTTATGAATTCATGAATAAGTAAATAATCCTGATATGATGTCGTTAATAAATATTAATATTAAAATCATTTATTATACATTACAAAATTGCATCTTTTGCTTGATCTTAATCCCCCAAATCACACATTTTTCCCCCATAAAAAATTTCAAGTCTAAATATATTTATGGTAGTGGTGCTATACCGTTACGTTAGCCGGATACAAAGCCATGCACGATTTTTGTTCATAGCTTTATTATTATGTGGTAATTTACTGAATACATGAGAATAGAAGTCGTTAGATTTTGATGAGTGTATATGTATTTAATACAACGAAAAAAAAGGCGCATGGGAATAAATCAATCAGGAAAATTATTTGAGGAGCTTGAAAAGAGTGGAGGAGGTGTTGTCGTTAATGCAGTGTTCAAGGTGGAAGAATTCTTCAACGCAATCTTCCTTGTAGTCCAAGTCAGCGTAGCCGGGTTCCTCCTGGGCCTTGGTAACACGCTCAACGCACTCGTCAAAGTGATGCTTGAAAGAGTGGCAGACGCCTTCGGCAGCGTCCTCTCTCAACTTAGGGAAAACATCCTCAGCTTCTTCCTCATCATCATCATCGTCGTCGTCATCTTCTTCCTCGGCCTCCTCCTCGGCCTCTTCGGCTTCTTCAGTAGATTCTTCTTCAACAGTTTCCTAAACAATGGGTGTGAGTTTCTATTTTTCAAGTGAATAATAATTAAAAAAAGGGTTTCAGAAAAATAATAAAACGAAATAAAGTGTATTAACGTTATCTATGATAAAAAAAACAAAAATATAAAAAGGATCAAAAACGTTGATTTTTTGCTAGAACCAAATAAAAATAATTACTTACTTCTTCGTCCTCGGCAAGAGCGACTGTTGGCAATAAGGATTCAACAATTTCAGAGAGTAAAGATGCAAAGGTAGACATTTTGTATTTAAATATGGGTTTATAACTTGTTAATCTGAAAGATAACGTGTATAAAAGATTAATTGTCACACAAGGTGTAAAAGGTAAGGTGGAGTCAAAAAAAGTCTGGGAATATTGGGTGGTGAGACCTGTAGTAATGAGAAAAAACCTTAGCTAATTCCTTTACCAATACTAGCACAGATTTCATACAGAATTACAACCAGCAAAAGAGAAAAGAAAAAAAAATGTCAACACCTTTTATTTGATTGGCTGAAAAAAATTATATGGTTACCCCTACTACGCCCTTATCCAACCAAACATGGGTGATTAAAAAAACGTGACAGCTACTGAATCCAAGCAAAACGATTATCTAGAATAACATTAATATAACATCAAATTGTAAAAACAATTTTCAGGTAATTTAATTAAGGTAACCTTAATTATAATTAAATTTAATTATTAGCTTACAGTTTGTAATTAATGAAGTAGGTTGTAAAAAGTTTACTAGTGGAAGTCGTTTTACGCAAAATATTCGTGAAGTTAGCCTTTAGTTAAATAAGACATGAAAACAATTAATCTTCACAAATTGACTCAATCTTAACTTCAGTAGTTAATTTGTTACGTTAATTAAAATAGTAATTGTGGCAGGTAAAGTTCCACATTTGAATAACAAATCCTCATAAAGATTAAAAGCTACTATTACAAAGTCATAACGTCATTAAAAATCATACTTTTATTTTTCATCCAATCAACACTAGTATACAGAGTTAAATTAGATCTTGAGAGTCTCAGCAGCAAGACGAGCACGCTTCTCGATCTTAGCAACAGACTTGGAGCCAAGGACACCGCCACCCCACTTCTTGCGGGACTCCTCATGCTGAGTAGTGTAGTTAGACTCAATGGCAGAGAGAAGAGAAGAGAGAGCAGCCTTGTCACCAGCACGAACATCAGTGAGAGCAACAACGGTGGCAGTCTTCTTGTGAACAAGAGTACCAAGACGAGCCTTACCCTTAACAATAGCATAAGGGACACCAACCTTTCTGCAAAGAGCAGGAATGAAAACAACAAGCTCAATGGGGTCAACATCATCAGCAACCAAAACAAGCTGGGGCTTCTTGTTCTCAATAAGAGCAACAACATGCTTAAGACCGTACTTGACAGTGTAGGGCTTCTCAGAAGCATCCTGCTTGGTCTTGCCATCGGCAACAGCAGCGGCCTCCTTCTCAAGTCTAGCCTTCTTCTCGGCGCGAGTTTCGGGACGGTAGTTGTTCAAAAGCTTGAAAGCCTGAGCAGCAGTGCTCTTGTCAAGAACATGGCTGAACTGAGCGATAGAAGGAGGAACCTTAAGACGAAGAGAAAGAATCTTCTTCTGTCTCTGGAGACGAATGTAAGCGGGCCACTTAACAAATCTGTTAAGGTTGCGCTTGGGCTGAATACCATAACCGAGGCCGAAGCTCTTGGAAGACTGTTTAAAATTAGTAAAGTTCAAGTAGCATTAAAATGTAATAACTCACCTCAGTCTTGGCCTTAGCGGCAGAAGAAGTTTTAGCGGGCTGGATCATTGAGGAAACGAAAGTCAGTAAAATTCAACAATATGCAATAAACATATATAGGTATGACTTCGCAATCACTCTACTGTCTCTAGGAGACGCAGCCTTACGTGATCAAAGATACACGTAACAATTCTTAAATAGCCTTAAGAAGGCAGCTTTATGAAAAACTCCAAAAAGAATTGTATCAAAGAAGTAAAAATCGTGAAATATCACAAAAAGTCCCTTTGATATGTGAATGATTACTCGGTCTCCCTATATTTCCATTTAAAATGGAATAGGATCATTAGGAGACTGAACTTACCATTATGAAGATCTGGTCAAGGGTCTATGGGACAGTAAAATTCGTCTGCTGGTTAGAAAGGAAAGAAATAAGAAGTAAAAGTCAATAAATACATTTGAAAATTTTTTTTAATTTTTGGAAAATTAATTTTTTTGTTTGTATGTTTTTAAATTTGTGACTGCGTATTCCTATTCTATGTTACAAATTATCAATAACCCTATTTATTTTAATTTTTTGTAATTTAGGGCACATAAATACACGTGATATTTATTTATGTATGGATGGTATTATTTATTGTATTTATACAAAAGTCGCAGCTATTAGCAGATAATTAAAATTACAATAATAATAATAATAATAATAATAATAATAATAATAATAATAATAATAATAATAATAATAATAATAATAAAATATTACCATTCCAAACCGAGAGATTCCTCAATTTCGGCATTATTAGATACATTATCTTTAATTGTATTCCAAAGAATCAGGGCCTATATTTACTTGTTAATACCTAGTATAAATTCATCTGGAAATTTAATTTTAAAACCATACCAATTTAGTCCTTCTAATGACTATTTTGTCAAGTTTACAAAGATCATCCTCTAGTTTTTTGATTTCTGCAACTGTGAGAGGCTTGTAATTTGGATCCGTACTATCTTTGAGCTCTTCATTGACACTTTTAACTCTATCTTGCAAAGAACTTATTTTTGTAAAAAGCTCGGCATCGGTCGGCGAACTTGTGGCTATTTTGATTTCTGTAAATGTTAGTGAAGGATTAAAAACGGTGTCAAAAATATATTACGATCTTTTAAAATTTTAACTTGGTGATTAAGCATTTCTACTTTTTCATGAAGATTCTTTGCAATTTTTTCATCATTTGATGCAGTCACGCTTGACTCCAGACCATGAACCTTTTTTGATTCCTTTACTTGATAATTAGTACAGTAACCAGTTGATTATATTTTACTACTTCCCTGTTTAACCACATAAACAATTGTTTTCCCATATGTTTTAGCCAAAAGTTTGTTCTCTTCCACAAGGCCAGCCAATACTTTAATAGCAAGAGTTTTGCCAATAACACCATGAAGATTTGTGATTATATCTGTAACGGCGTAGGGTCTATTTTGCATAGACATGTAATCCATGATGATTTTAGTCGCTTATTTTTGAGGTTAGTTAATAGTCCCAATGATTAAATTTACTAACAATAAAGATAATCATTTGTTAATTATCTATATTATTATACTAGATAACAGAAGTCTAATACCCTCGTCAAGATCACAATCTTTTTTAAAGGTAGGAGCCATATTTGAATGTTTAATTATTTATCGCTTTCTTTTTTTTAAGGACAGGCTCACTAGAAAAAGTTAAAAAGAAAAGAGTTATACAAAAACTTATTTATTTAGACTATGTATTCTAGATGAAATTTTTAGCATGGTTAATATTAAACTAGGATATATATTTTTAATACAGATTTTTAATTAAAATAATTCGCCAAAAACAAAGGGTTATTATAAAACTTATGAATCCAACGACTCTGGCATAGACATTATCATTACGACCAAAGATGTCCAACCTAAGAAGTGTTTAACACCTTTCCCTTCACCAGTCATAGGGTCATACTGTTCCCAAGCGTATCCAGTTTTATCCCAAATATTAAAAACATTTTCGACAATATTTGTGCGCAGCTTTTTATAAATAATCCCCGATAGATCTTTAACTGCTTTACTCTCAACTGTATCGTGGTAATAAATCAATGATTCCAGAATCATATAGTTTATATTAATCCAAATTGGTCCCCTCCAATAATTTTCGCCAGTCCCATAAAGCTTATCAGATACTGAAAGAGATCTGATTCCAAAGTCAGTCCATAATTCGCGGGGATCATAAATCATATTTAAAATTGACATTAATTTTTCTTCACTTTCTTTGTCAGTAGGGGAAATCAATTTAAGCAAGAATGGGAAAAGTGAGACGTAACCTTTATGACAGACAAAAATACTTTCTTCAAAATCATCGATAGTGGAATCACAATAAGCCTTTTCCTTTGAGTCCCAATGCAAATCGTTAATGTTATGAGTGATGGCTTCTTCAATTTTTTCATAATCGCTAGCATCTTCGTCTTTGCCTAAAAATACAGCCAACTGTTTCATAGATCGCGTCATCATACCAATCCAACTAATCAGATCAACATGAAGTTCACCGGTATGAGGAATAGAAGCTCGAGGATAGTCATCGAGACCTGATGTCAAGCAATGACTAGGAGTTCTTCCTCTCCACCGATAACCTTCTTTATAAGAAAATGCATCACGCCCCCATTCTTTAATGGCACCTCGTTGAGTTCGTCTAAACCAGTCATAGTGTGATTGAAGCTCAGGATATATTTTTTCCAAATAAGACTTTAACAGCTGCCCAGATTTCCAATGAGCTGTGCCTGAAATAATAACTTCGTCATCTATAATAGAATTAGACTCAGTCAGAGTTCCATCATTGAAGGAATTAAAAACCTTTTGACTATTTTCTTTGGCTTGATTTTTTTTGTCAGTATACCGTTGTTTTAGCTTTCGCCTGTTATGACTATGCAACTGTGGGTTATTGAATTCATTATCTGGGAGTTCATCTTGCTCATCTTGAAACTTATCCAAAATATTTGAAAGCAATAGCATCAGCGTTGGCGGATTTGCATAATGGGGGTATTGAGTCTGAAATTCTTTTGGGACTTTGGACCTAGCTTCAGGGCCAAGAATTTGTTCACGAGCAATCCAACCATCTTTATCAATGAGAGAAAACCATGACTTTAATATTTCTAAAGCAAGATCTGCATCGTACTCCAAAATCGGTATCAAATGAAAACCCTCGTCCCAATAAAATCCACGGGGAAAAAACGGTCTACTAGGAACAGCAGTAAGTAATTCATATGGCCCTTCTTCAACGGCATTTTTACTGCCCTCTTTCAATTGAATAGCAGCTACTTCCCAGAAATCTTCGCTCTCTTCTTCATACTGACTAGAGTAAGATCGATCAACCATAGATGTTCCTTGAAAATAACCAATACCGCCGATTAGATTGGAAAATAACTCTTTAGCAAACTTATCATAATTCTTTTGATCTTTCAGGTTTTTGGACGAATACGGCGACTGAATTGGAAAAGCTGATGCAAATTTTTTTTCAAATGTTTGCAAAGATTTTTGAAAGTGAGATTCAAAATTTTCAGAAGTAAATGCTTCAACAGCCGAATTGCTATTATAAATGACGTCAAACTCAAATGTTCCTCGAAACACTCGCTGTATTATATGTAAATTCCCCTTCATTTTGTGAGACTCAGTATTGACTGCACATACCACCCAAGGAGGAATTGTATCGTCATCTTGGTATTTTGCGTAAAGATTTTGAGTTGAATCTTGAATAAAAGTAAACAAAATATCGCGAGCCTTCCAAACATTGTCATCAGGAACATTTAAAGAAATATGCCGAGCTGAGTTAGGAGGAACATTTTTTGCGGCTGGGTGCGTTGATTTTTTGGGATATTTATTTTTAGGACTATTGGGCCCGCCATTTTCTGTGATGACAAGGTTAAAATTTCCTAATTGTGGAGATTTACCTTGGAAAGCTATATCCCCTTTAATTCCCTTTGCTGAATAGTATTGAGATTTATCCTTTAGTTCAAGTTTGTTTCCATTTTGTACTCCTTCAATTCCCACGTAAAATGCAATGGTAGTTAATGTATTCTCATGCCCTTTGGCCGGTACGCCACTTATACGCGCTGTCCAAGAATTTCCATCCATCGATTTTATGAACTTAGTTGAAAGTTCTATTTTTTGTTCTTTTTGGTCATGAAATACTTGGAAGCCTCCAGTCCGGGGATCATATTGCTCCCACCCATATCCTTTCATATCATCGTTTTGTTCGCAAACATGACGCACTTTATTTAGTCCAAGATAATCATCAATGTTGTACCATATCAGACCGGTCATTAATGAATTAGGGATACCATTTGGTCTTACTCCAAAATATAAATTGGATCTATAAGGACCCCAAAGTAGTGAATCATTAGACTGACGGGAGTAATCATTGATAATATTAGAGGCTTCTATATCTAGTCCTAAAACATTAAATATGAAAAAAAAAAAAATAGCAAGTATTGTTGGAATACACCAGCTTGCTCTAGAAAATAAAAGCATGATGTAAGTAAATGGCTAATGTTGAAATTGCTGAGATTCGCCAACGTAACACCTTAAAAAAACAAATATGTGTGTAAAAATAAAAAAACAGTACAAATTTTAAGATCTTAATTTGGACCAGCTACGCATATTTTTCAACTTTTAGTTATGTTAACTAAATGGTTATTGGAAGTTTATCTACTACAAGATACTCAACTATCTAACATAACCACCAAAAAATTTCAATCAAAAAACAAAAACAAAAAACTGCCTTCAGCAATATTAAAAACAAAATATATAATATATTTTGTTTTTCATTTACTTTAGATTTATAATATTTATTTAAATATTTAAATATTTTTTTTATCAATCAAAATTAAATTAGCTTAATTAATTCATTATGGAACAGCAGAAAGCCGGAAGAACACAAGAAGATGATGCATTTTTAAAGAAAAAAAAATCTTTAGACACACTTTATGAAATTTCACAAATTTTAGGTACCAATTTAAATAAGAGAATGTTATCGATATGTATCGAACTTTGTGAACAGGGTGTTCCACCCGAAAATGTAGCGGTAAGTATATATTCATTATTTATCTCTAAAAAAATTAACATATGATAGGCGATAGTCAACTATTTACTCAAAAAGCGCAAAGATTTATTTGAACAACAACTATAATACAAAATCAACAATATTTTTAAAAAAAACCATCATTTGTTTTTCTCTTTTTTTTTTTACGTTGGCTTGAATTTTGTGATGATTGAAACCCCAATGTTTGATTTTGACTTTGGGATTGGCTTTGAGAAAAAATTTGGCTCTGAGAACGGTTATTTAAGGACGTTGATTGTGTTCTTCTCACCGATGAACTCTTGTGTTTTTGTTTTTGCAAACTTGGCGAAGACAATTTAACTTGATTAAGTGATTGTGAAAAAACGACCGATTTTTCGGATGATGTGCCATCTTTAACCTCCCAAACATTCAATATTTCCTTTGTATCTTCACTTATTCCCACATTATCGAAAGCTTTGGTATATTTTCTTAATACCCCTAAATCCTTATCCACAAACAAACTTGATGACTCTTTTTTTTTGAAAGTAACCGTTATATTAGAAAGTGCGATAACTTTAACCATTAAATCCAGTATCTTTTTTCGACGCTTAAGGAAATTCTTATTATAATAGAAAGGTGGAAATTTATAATCAACAGAGCGGCTACTTAAAATTACGGGCCGGCGTTTATATCTTTTGATAAAGTTGGAATCTTGGTTACTTGCTGCTGGAATATAAATGGCATCTGGTTTTGTTTTTGTTTTTCGAATAGGGCGATTGACAATTTTTTTTCCAAGGCGCCAGTTTTTTAAACCTTTACTTGTATTATCCAATAATGGTACTGATAACGGAAATCCTTTTAGAGGTTCAATCCAGAGCTTTGAAAAATAATCAGATAGTTCATTAATTGATGTGATTTCAGCATTGTATAGCATATTCTTTATTTTTGTTGTTCTGTCAAATACTTCTCCTGAAAATTTCCTTTTAAAATCCCGAGTAAACGATTCTGAAAAGTATGAAAGATCCGTAGTGCTAATGATAGATTCAGAAAGCAGTGATAGTGGAAAAATACCTCTTTTGCAAAACTTTTGTAAAACTTTTGTTTTAGTCATGACGCTTTCGAGAAAAATTTCATTAGATAATATTCCACTTTCTAAGGGTAACATATAATCACATTCAAGGATAAGATTAACTAATGGCCGGATATCTTTAAGGTTATCATGGGGTTTCATTACAACGGTTTCATCCCTATTTTTTATTCCTCTAGTTAATTCCAATAATGATTGATGATACTCTATTGATTCGCCGTCGAAGTTTAAAACTGGAGTATATTTTTCATGAAGGTCGATTGATATTGTTGGGTCAGATGTAAGAACATGCTGTACTAACCCAAAGTCTAAAGAATGCTGAAAGACGGAAAGCGAAGTATCTTTAGATGATAAAATTCCACGATAAGGAACAGTTCTCAAAGTTTGTGTTGTAAACTCGGGATGTAAATTATAACTAGATGGTTCGTTGACTAAACAGGGGAGATTCATATTATTGCGTTTAAACTGATACATTCCTGCCAATGGAGAAAGATGGCTCGTAAGAGTCACAATAACTTGCTTATTTATTTCATCTTCTACTGCGTCAATTTTTAGGGTTGGGTCATTGGAGCTAAAGAAATGATCAACAGAAAGTATTGGACGGTTAGGGAATCTTAGGTCGAGCCACATTAATTTTTTATCAACAACAGCGAAAAACTCCAATGAATTAATAGGTGAGGGAACCGCGTCTGAAACTTTAAGATAAGTTCCTCCTTTGTATTCAAAATCAATAAAAAGATTTGGAGCAGAATATCTTCTTTCCCTAATATCATATGTGTTTATAGCATATCTATTACCAGTTAAAAGAGTATTGCTATCTGTCCAATAAACCCTTTGCCAATTTGAGTGTGAATTTCCGTATAATAATGGCGACAGTGATTGCTTAAAAATATGTGATTTTGTATTTTTCCCATCAGTTGATACTGTATAAAGGGACAGAGACCCACTGGTTTCAATAGAAGCTAAATGTAGAAAGTCTGAATAAAGAGAAACATGAGCAATCGATTCACTGGAATTGGAAGATTTTTTAAGTGGCACTGAATAAAGTAGTTCAATATCAGGGGATTTAATATTAATACCATCATCTTTTTTCGTAAAATACTGGGTCTTTAAAATATTCACTTTAGATGACGTTCGAGCAAGTAAAACTGATAATTGACTGTTCAACCCTGATCCGCTAATTATGTTTAGCTGATTACAAGATGTTTTAGTATGATATAAATATGCATGTCCTATATCAGGAACAATGAATTTTTTTTTCATATTTCTCAAATCTTCAGTGACGTCCGTTTCATTACTGTATGCCATCTCATTTTTTTCTAATAATGACAGGGCAATACTTGTGCGTTCCCAACCTGTGACATACGCTATAGATATATCCTTATTACCTGAATCCTTAGCATATATTTTTCCTGTGTCCATAAGGTTCACAATTGAAGCATCAAATCCCATATATCTGTCATATATTTGTCGCGACTCAATGTCTTCTTGGGAAAAGGCCGTTTCAGGTATATGGTGCAATTGATTAAAATAATGGGAAGGAGAAACATATGAATCGGATTTAAAATAATTAAAATACCTTTTATCCTGAGGTAATATTATCCTGCTGTTAAACCCATTTGTTGCCGAATAGAATTTGTGCTCTTTATTTTTTTCTATAGGTTGAGTGAACTTTTGCTTGGGATATGTTGAAATAAAGGCACCAGTTGTTCCATCTAAACTGACTATAGGACCAAAATTGGCCTGAAGCAAATATGGCCATGACATATAGTTTGATGATGAAAGATAAATATTCTTGAAAAAAGATATTATGAATGAGAATTTAAGCTCAACATAATAAATACGATAATATAGACATTTAGCTACAATTCTACTCAGAAAGCATAGTCAAAAAGCAAACTGAAATTTTTTTATATCACAATAATGTTAATAAATTTGATCACGTGAACTAACACATAATACTGCCTATGTTACAACATTCATTACATATGTAAATGAAATTCGTGGATTCCACATAATGGATTATATGGGAGCCACCCCACTTTTTAAACTTAGTTAATTTTATTTTCATTGAGGCCGAAAAATGTCAATTTTATCGTCCATTTTATCGTTATTCTCTCTTTCGGTTCTAGATACAAGGCTTGATCCTCCAGATGATGAGAAAAAACGACAGTCGATAATACTTTCAGCTGGGCCCAACCGTTGGTATACCAAAGAGTATTATGCTTATGGGATAGTTTTTCTAGTTACCGTTCCATTGATGTTTAAGGCTGTCATCGATGCCAGCAGTGGTATGTAGTGCTTTGTAAAAGCAATATTTTAACTAATTTTTAAAGAAAAAAATGTCAATTATTTAAAATATGAACAAAAATTATCTGATGGGTGGATATTTGGTCGCAAAGTCGACAATTCTGATAGACAATATTCTACAATAAGAGCAAATCTTCCAATATTAGCTGCTGTAAATATTTTACATTTTTTACTTGGAAGAGGATTGCAAAAATTCAACTTGATTTCATGGAGGGCCTACAACTTGATTTTTTCTATCATATTTTTACTAGTTATTCATGGTATTAACCTTTTTAAAATATTAATAATTCTTCTTATAAATTATCAAATTTCTAAAAGCTCACAACTGAAGCAAGCAAAGGCTCTAACTTGGATATTTGGAGTTTCAATACTTTTTTTAAATGAACTATGTGAAGGATACCCATTTAGAAAAATTTTCCCTTTTTTGTCATTTTTAGATTCATACGGAGGAATACTTCCTCGCTGGGATGTCAACTTTAATTTTTCTATGTTAAGGATGGTCAGCTTTAATATGGACCGTTTTTTAGCTGTCGAGTTTTGGAATTCTGAAACGCTTTCGGATAAAGATGTAAGTTACAGTTTTAGTTTTGAATGAAAAATATGTTAACTCACTTTTAGAAGCCTTCAGAATCTACAATATCTGAAAAAGAACGAATCGATACCCCTCTTCCATTGGAACAATATAATCTTACAAACTATTTATCATACGTTTTATATTCTCCTCTTTACATGGCCGGCCCTATATTAACATTTAATGACTTTTATCGACAAACTAACATTACTCTCCCCTCTATAACTCCCTACAGGATTTACAGATATGCTCTGCGTCTTATTTTCTGCATATTGGTAATGGAATTCATCCTTCATTATATGTATGTTGTAGCTATTTGTGAAACAAGGGCATGGGAAGGAGATACTCCATTTCAGATTAGTATGATAGCTTTTTTTAATTTGAACGTTATATGGCTGAAGCTTTTAATCCCTTGGAGATTTTTCAGATTTTGGGCTATGACAGATGGTATTGATCCACCAGAAAACATGATTCGTTGCATGGATAACAATTACTCAGCATTATCGTTTTGGAGAGCCTGGCATAGAAGTTTTAATAAATGGATTACCAGATATATTTATATTCCCATGGGTGGATCAAGGCGCAACCCTGTTTTAAACTCTTTAGTGGTTTTTTCTTTCGTCGCAATTTGGCATGATATTCAACTTCGTCTTCTTATTTGGGGCTGGCTAGTTGTTCTATTTATTTTACCAGAAATTTTAGCCACCGTTATATTTCCTGCAAAAAAGGTATGTGAAAAGGAGTGACTTCATTATCAACAATCACTAACAGGTAAATTCATAGTGGGATTCGAAACCAATTTACCGTCATATTTGTGCAGTGGGTGCTGTACTTAATATTTGGATGATGATGATAGCAAACTTAGTTGGCTTTGCCGTAGGAACAGACGGTATTTTGGAAATGCTAAACCAAATGTTTAAAACAACTTCTGGGCTGTTATTTGTGATAGTTTCTACAGTTTGTTTATTTGTTGGTGTCCAAGCTATGTTTGAGTTACGTGAAAGTGAAAAAAGACAAGGCGTTTATTTGCGATGTTAATAGATTTACATATATGTATTTAATATCAACTGAAAGTAAAAGGATATGATACAATTATTTTATTTTTATAATGACAAGTTGACACGGTATCTATCTATTTTTGTTTTGTATTTCGATATTTTTCTTTGTATTCTCGAGGGGTCTCTAGGTTCTTTTGTACAAAAATCCCTTTCCTTTTCCTTTTTGCTTCTTTTTCCAAATTAATGAATAATTCTTTGTGACCATTAAACTCAGCGCCTGTTTTAGCTTCATATACCGTAGCCCAACCATTTTTTAGCATTTCGGCACTAACATTGAATTTCCTGAAAAAATTAAACCATCTTTTTCCTCGAATAATGACTTCTCCTACAGTTCTTCCGTATTGATCAGTTGTCAATGGAAAAAATCGAACACGACGCCCTAAAATCATAGACCGAAGCCATTGCAAGGCCTCCGTTGAGTATGGTTGTGCTGGTCTTCCAAAATGAGCATTTTCCGGAGCATCTACGCCATTCAATCGGACGTGTATAGTTTGCTTTATCCCTGGTTTTTTAAAACCGTATATTGCCTTGGATCCCAATTTTCTACCTTTAGTTTGTCCTTTTGAAATTGGTGGAATAGTTCGAAGCCAACCCCACCCCATAAGAATCCCACCTGGAGTGTGAAAAAAATGAAAGTTATCGCCATCGCCAACACTTGTGACTACCCCTAAAAGGTTACGGTTCTTAAAATACGATTGAGGAATATGTGAACTGTTGGGGATTCTTCGCACATAATTTTTATAAAAGTATATACCACCAAGTATTGATGATGTCATTATAAGAGTTGTGGACAAAACATTCCAAGAAAATAAATCAACGGGTTTGCTTTGTAATTTGGTGTCATCATTTTCTGTATTGTTTTTTGGAGGGAATTTTTCCGGGGACATGATCACTCAATTAATATTTTTCTTTTTTATAAGGAATAATAGAGGTACTAATAAATGAAGATATTAATTAATTATTAATTAATGTGGAGCTTGTATTGGGTTGAAACCTCATAGAACAATTTTATTAGGGTTAGGTGACGTTGTAAACTATTAAATTATTATACTATTTAAATTAATTATGTAATTATGTAATTATTTGGATAAATTATATAAATTTTGAATTTAAAGAACCTTTAAGCCCGTCGGGAGTCCTAACGCTTATTTTTCAAACATTTAAGCTTGTGTGTTTATTAATGTTTATTTAATAGAATAATTTTTACTTTAAATTTTCTTTGAATTAATACACTGATTATTAATTTGAATTAAAAATAAAATAACATGTTTATTCATTCATATATCTATATATAACTGGTATACGATGTGCTGAAATTATTTCGATTTCACGGCCCATAACTTTAGCAGTTTACAATGTAAAAAAAAAAAAAAAAAACAGAAGAAACACTCAATAATGCCTTTGGAAATTTAGTCATTTTTTATCTATCTCCAGTTGTTACGCTAATGGTATATCTCGAAGATGAAAAACTAGAATCACTGATAGTCTGATAACTGTTGCAGATCCAGCGGTCATTCTATTAAATAAAAATTAATAAACACACAAGTAAATTATTTTTTTACGTCATAAAATTTCACTCAATGAATTATAAATACTAAGATATGGAAACAATTTGTAAAACTCAAATTGTTTTCCAACATTAGCCCACCTCTACAAATTTTTTCAAATAGATAAGCTGTCGGAAAAACCTGAGTTCTAACTATGTGACTGATTATTTCGGCAAATAGAAACCGTCTAAATGAATAGACCTATTATTTATTTTTAAGATTAATGTTTACATATATAACCGTGGATCAGTGAATATAAAAATGATTATAAATGACACAGGTTTAAAATTTGAAAACTTATAACGTATAACTCATAGCGTAAAATATAAAAATATTAAATAATACTTTATTTATATAGGCTGAGTTTGTAATAATTGATAAAAAGTCAAAAAAAAAAAGCAAAAGAATAATAAAATTTGCCTACTCATCATTTTTTTCCTCAATAATGAAGATAAAAAGATAAAGCCCAATAAATCAGCTCTGAGTTTTTATATTTTTATATTTTTTATACGTTCTTATTATGTTGACTTTATCAAAGTTTTCAAAAGTTGAAAATGAATGCCTCTTTTTTTCCAAATGAAATGAATCCTCCACTTTGACCTGATGCATACTCCTTATTACTCTAGTTCTCCACTTTTTCACGATTGGTTTTAAATTTTTTCTGCCCTATTTTTTAAACCATTTTTCTTCAGTTACTTTTTAGTTAAAACTCTTTGCTCATCTCAAATAAGGTAGTTTGTTTATTAATGTTTTGTTTTCAATAATTTAATTTTAGTGATGATTCGTTTGCAATAACACTGAGTTTTTTTTAAACGTTTTCAAAAGTTTTCAAAAGTCATCTGTTAAATAATTTAAAAATACCAGTCAGATTTTTGTAGAAATAAGAGAGAAAATAATTTCTAATTTAGCTTTTGTATATTTGAAGTCCTTTTTCTCTAAAATGTTCTAACTACTTTTTTGTAAGTTTAAAAAAAATGTAAATGAACGGATTTTTCTATTCTTGAAAAGTGATCTAAATTTTTTATTTGTTTGTTTGTAGTCATTATAACATCCCCAACAATGTAAAAATAATGTCAAATATATTTTTTTATTTTAAGCATAAGATTGATATATATTAGTATATTTTTATTAAGTATCGTTGATTTGAAAATTCTGCGTAGATTTTTGCATTTATTTGATAGAAATCGAGTTTATTATAAATTTTTAAATAAAAAAAATTATCCAGTAACGGAAATTATTGTTATGTAAAATAAAAAGTGAAGAATCAAAAAAATATTTATTTTGTTAATGCTAATCGATATGTAATAGAGTTTCAGGAAATGTGATATAGATATGTTATTCAAATATAATCTTTTTTGGAGGCATTAATCAATCGAAGAGAAATAAAACTGTTAAATCCAAATTCCTGCAAACCCATTTTCCATTTTTTTGCCTGAAAGCTATATGCAGCGATTTTAATCGGAAAATACTGAAAGCTTTATAAATATGTTTAAATTTCTCTTGTTTTCAAAAAAAATTGTTTCTTACACTTAGCAGTTTTCAATATTAGTATAACGATCGATTCATTTACATATTCAAATATTACTATATATATTTATACATTTCATAAGAATTGCTAATTCTTTTATTTTATCAATATGTTTTATTTTATCAGATCACTTAAATCAACAAGACAAGCCGAAATGGAAGACTTAGAACGGGCCTCAAAAACTGAATGTTCTTCATCAAGTGAAAGCACACAATCTACTACTGCTTATGAAACCAGTGAGGAAGAAAGCAAAAGAGAAAACAGATATTCTGGTCCTTGCAAGAATTTTTTTCAAAGATTTCTCAAGAATATTGGGGAGCTTCTTATGGAAAATGAAGAACCCCCTTTAATTTTCCCTCCACTGTCAAAGCCTTCAATGGTTCCAATTGTCACTCATGGGCATCTTCATATAAAAGAACACATGGAAAAAATTCAAAACTTTCAAAATGGTGAAAGCTGTACTAGCAGTTCAATTTCATTACCTAATAGTCCACATTCTTTTGATGTTAAAGAGATGGAAGAATCCACAATTTCTTCCTCTCAAAATGGTTCTTCAAGCATTATTTCAGTTAATACCGAAAAGCCTTTGGTGTTGAGTAAAAGGGACCGACAACTACTTTTGCTTAAAGAATACAAGCGAAAAAACGACCAAAATAATACACTTTTTTACAAAAATGAGGATTTGATTCACAAATACATAAGTGAGTCCCAGTTTCATGTCACATTTGACCCTGCTCATGACCCAGAGTATCCTAGAAATTGGGACTGGAAAATTAAAATTCGTGGTACCTTAATTTTTGCTGTTGCAGCCATGCTTGCCCAGCTTGGAAGTGCTGTTATCGCATCGATTGCTACTGATTTACAAAAGGAATTTGGTGTGCGCAGCATTTTAACTTCTTTGGCTAGCACTATTTACTTTCTGGGTATGGCTTTCGGTCCTCTATTTTTGGCTCCTCTTTCTGAGCTTTGGGGTCGGAAGCTGGCTGTAGCATTACCGTTTGCTCTTGGCTCTTTGGTTACGATTTTAACTGGACATGCGCGAAACTTTGCTGTTTTGTTGGTTTGCCGATTCTTTGCTGGTCTTTTAGCCTCTGCTCCAATTGTTATTTCTGGAGGTGCAATTTCTGATCTCTGGTACCCTGGTCAACGTGCAACTTTTTTGACCATCAACTCTCTAGCAATTGTCCTTGGTCCTACAACGGCTTATCTTTATGGAACTATAATTAAAAAGGCTACTTCTTGGAGATGGGTTGTCTGCATTCATGCTTTTCTTTCTGCTCTGATTGTTTTATTCATTATTCTTGGTGTTCGTGAAACCTACCATCCTGTTTTGTTACAACGCAAGGCTAAATACTTACGTTTAAAGACTCAAAATTGGCTTTACCACTCCGATCATGATTCCCTTGAGCTGAATGCAAAAGAAATTTTGAGAGTCCATCTTCTTCGACCTATTTGTCTTTTGTCTACTCCAATCGTTTTAGTTGTCTGTATATTCAATGGGTTTTCTTTTGGTCTATACTACATGATTTCTATGTATGTTCCTAAAAGTTTTCAAGAAGAACGAAATTGGGATGCCATAAGTAGTTCATTCCCACCATTAGCAATTTTTATCGGGGCAAACTGTGGTGCAGTTATTCATTTAATTGTTGGAGGCCTGAATAGAAGAAAATTAAAAAAAGCTGGTGGAGAATGTACTCCTGAGGCTCGTCTTTTAGTTCCTCTTCTAATTGGATGGTTTATGCCTTTTGGTATGATTCTCTTTGGATGGTCGATGACTGAAAATCTTCATTGGGCAGTTTCATGCTTAGGTCTTATGTTTGTGGGAGCAGGGTTTTTTGTCATTCTGCAAGGAAGCCTTAACTATCTATGTGATGCCTTTCCAAAATATTCAGCATCATGCATCGCAGCAAATGCATTTATGAGATCGCTATTTGCTTGTGGCATTCCGTTAGTAGCACCTTTTCTTTTTGAACAGCTTGGTTTAGGATGGGGGGCTACAACACTTGGGTTTATTGGATTTCTTATGACTATATTTGTCTTTTACATTTTTAAATATGGAGCAAAAATACGAACCAAAGAAAGTCTTTTAACCCATGATTGTTAGATTTTTTTTTTTTTTGAAGTTGCAATAAAAACTTCAGTTGTTATATAATCATTCATTTAGAACTGCATTTACAATAAATCAATAGATTTTTTTTTACTTTATTCTTTTAATTGTAAACTAGGGATCTTAGTTTTGGAAAGTTCACGTAAAGTGTGTGGGTTCAATGGTATTTTTTCTGATTAATATTCTAATAGTACTAAAGACTAGTCTTTTTGAAATAAAAAAAAAATAATTTCAAGTAGCTAGCTAACTAAATTTGGTAAGTTAGTATCTATAACTGAGCTTGGCATTTCTTTTCAAATGCCAAATTTGTTGCCAATCCTCGTTTTCCCCTCATTTATTTAAAAACTACAAATTAGGTGAGTTGGATCATGCACAATGCGTGCCTTTGGTGTAATGCTACAATCGCTCACCATTATTAAAACGTTTTGTAGGTTTAAATAAGGGAAGACTATTAAATGAATATTGCTTAATGGATTTTTAGTTATCCAATCACTTAAGTATCAGAACTAAGCAAAAAAAATTGGATGTAATGGTTAGCCATAGTTAAAATTAAATGTTATAATTTTTTTACTAGGGTGAATATTTAGCATAGTTTCATGATGGTATCTTTTTCTTGCAATTAGCTTGTTTGATTTGTCTTGGTGAGCTCAATCTATCTTTATGGGGGTTTTAAAACAATAGAAAAATTTGAGTGGCATCTTAACAAAAGATTCAGCCGTTTAATGTGTGGTAATCTAGGAAGCTTTTAAGCATAGTTTCGGATAAGTCCATAATCAACGATGGTGATCGGAAGGAAAATCGGAACGTAATTAGGGTCTATCAGAAAATGTTGATTATTTCGGGTATTTGAAAATTTCGAATTAAGGAATAATAAGATCGGTCGATTTATTATATTGCGGAAACCCTCTTTAACCATATATTTCATTCTTAGGCAATATTAAGAAACATTAAAAAAACAATCTATTTATTTTTAGTTAATTACATCACTGAGATTTGTTTGAAGGGATTTCTCACGACTAAATAGATTTGTTTGTTGATTCCTCATCATTATGATAGTATTATTAGATGTAAATGACCTATTCCATTATTATGTTTCTAAGCTTATATTTTTCCATCGAAAATGCAAATAGTCCTAACCAAGACATAAATTGCAACGACCCAACTTTTTCCATAAAATCTTTTAAAAAAAAATATTTTCATGATGAGTGTAAATAACCAAATCAACACTTATATTATAGACTTGACCTCAAAAAATCTTCTCAAATAGTAGATTTGAAACAAAGAGTTCGCAGCAACAACTGCAATTTGAAACAAACTCCACCATTTAACCCTAGCGTTTGTTGATTCAGCTGTATTTCTGTGAATTCTTTCTCTAATAACAATGTAAGCTTGTTCATTCTTGATAGACTGGACATTATCGGCAAGTTTTCTAACTTCATCCTCGAGAGATCCAGGCTGGACATCTTCGGTACCCATGTAAATAACACCATGAACGTGAAAAGTCACATCCTTTGTGCCAGTAGCACTAAATTCGTTGGAAAAGCAGTACTCATATCTACCGCTGTTTTGAATATCGACACTAACATCGCCATCAGCAACTTTCTGCTTAGTAGCAACTCTGTTTCCGCTAGGATCCGTAATCTAAAATTACAATCAGAATTAGTTTGACAATGCTTAAAAAATAACCTTAGGTCTTATTTGACTTACCCAGAAATCGGCAATCGGCTGCTCAGAAGAATATGGGTCTCTGTTACCAATTTGAAAAGTAACAGCTAGCTGATCACCCTTCTTGACATCTTCAAAAAAGCATGCTTTACCCCACGATGGTAATAAGTGGTTGTGCGCCGAAACAGAAGCTGCTAAGAAAGCAAGCGAAATATACAGTATTCTGACAAAAGTGAACATAGCTATTTATCGAAATGATTTCCTAGTTTAGGTCTGGAAAATGAAGTTTAATAGTTCGAACAAAGCCAAAGTTTTGTGAAAAGAAGTGTTGGTATTAGTTAATAATGTTGAAAGCAAACCACAAACGTAATCCCTAGTTGTTTTTTTTCTTAAACCTTTATATAATTCTGATTTAAAGGTTTCAAAAAAATTCTAGATATCAATATTCAGGCTTTAATGACTATTTAATGTTGCAAAAAGCTCTTTCTCGATTGACTACTAGTGAAATGTGCTGGAGAAGTTATATTAGTGAAATGAAGATTATTGCAAGGATCGTAAGGCCCAGTTCAGACACGTAATCAATTGTGATGAGAGGGGTCCCACACGAGTGAGAAAAAACAAAACAAAATTACACTCATAGTAAATTTGTCAGATATTAGGTAATGGTTTAGTCATGTGACATATTATTAATTTATGGGCGTCTGTGTTTGTCAAGTACACATTTCAGCCAAAGGAGTTCACAGTCTGGTATTGGTAAATTTTTATTGTTATCAAGGTGGACTAAGCTTGCGTTGACTACTTAGACTTCAAAAACGACTACACTACAGTCACTATTACTATTACGTACATGTACAAATTTTCGAAACCACTTAACTAAAGAAACGCATTAGTTAAAAATTGTTTTCTGTTTTTTTATTTCGGAATCACTGGTCATTTTCTTCAATTCTATTTCTTGCAATTGAAAACCCTCAAGTATGTCACTTACTAAATTGTTTTCTTTGGTTTTTCAAAACGAAGGATGAAGATTTGTGAGAAATGAGAAAATTCTTAGAAAAATAGCTAACAATGTGAAAAGACTTACAGTTAGAACAAGAATCGCTATACAATCAGTTTTTCTTATTTCTTTTTTAGAAAAAAACAATGTTCAATCCATACAAGACCAAAAATTTAGATCCTAGTGTAGGATTTACTCCCCGTCGAACTAGTGGATTTCTTAGTACACCACAGAAGAAACTGGTTCTCTATATTGTTGCACTGCTAATAATTGGTGGTATTATTCTAACAAGTATTAATATGAATTCTGATTCAGATGATACCATTTTGGTGCGAAAGAACCCTAAAAGACCACTCACTGAAGACCCATTACTGGATAGTAACGATGATGACCTTTTCGCTTATCCTGGCGAAAATGATGACAAGGACGCTGATTTAGATTAAAAATAACGTTTTAAGTAGGGGATTTGATAATAGTGAATATAAGCTCATGAGCTAATAATTTGTTATATATATCGTAAGCATAATTAGAAAGCAAAGATTTCAAAACAAAAATTTATTCAGACTAAAGCCCTCTTTCCTCAATTCTATAATGTAGAGGAAGAATATTGGTAATACATGTTTTTATTTATTCATATGAATACAAAAATTACTTTTTTTTTTCCATTATCTTCGTAAGTCATGCCAGTCGTTTACTTTCGTCGGAAAGAGCAGCCCTCAGTGAGCTTAGCCTTGCCACCAGTGGGTTGGCAAAGGACGTTAGAGCAAGAGCCGCAGGTAACGACAGTCTGGGCGTGAGAGAAGACAGTGGTGATGGAGAGGCATCCAGGGCACTTAACATCCATGAAGAAGGATCTGGGAGCAGGGACAAGAGTCTTAAGCTTGTGCTTTCTAGCCTCAGCTTGAGGAGTAGGGTTGAGAAGATCTTGAGCCAAAACCTATTTTTTTTGTTAGTAATTGAAAATTGAAAATTAAAAATAAAAACACCGAAAATCATTTAGAGCTCTTGTGATTGTATTGGTAAATCTTATTTGAATCAATAGCAACATCAATATGCGCGGGTATCAAAAATTTCCGCCATAAATGAAATGACAAAAGTCAGCTTAAAAAGATGATTATAAAATGAACTGGATAAACAAATTCAATGGATTTAACAATCCAACAATATTACTGATCAAATATAGTAATATTATAAAATTTTCAGCAAAAAAAAAATCGTTTCTATTGACATCAAACGTATATAAAGAATTTTTAATAACCAAGTGGCAACATCAGCAAGGCAAAAAACAAAAAATCGGTATTTTATAGTAAGAACCTATCGAACAAAAAGTGTCCATACCATTTTGATGTATATGAGCTATCTATCACGAAGTCAAGAAAGGGCCTTGAGTTATTGAAGATGTGATGCTTCTGGGTGCACAAAAGGAGCAAGAAAAAAAAAGAAGAGGGGAAGGGGAGGCCAGGGAAAAATTTTGTGTGTGTATATTGAAAAAAAAAAAAAAAAATCTATGTATAACCAGAGCCCTACAGTGTAACAACTAATGATTACATCATGATTACAAACACAATAATGTCATTTTACTTCATTTAAAGTCACATGATTTTGAGCGGTAATAAAGTTGAGTCCGTAAGTGAAATATTATCAGACTGAAATATTCAATAATAATATATTTGATACTGATTTGCGTGACTGTATTACCTAAAGTAATGTTACGCAAAAATAAGAAAATTGTCTTTCTTGCAATAGATTACCCCACTATGCAAGGCTGAATCAATAAAAAACATTAGATTCCAATAGCACTCATTTTGACAGATCTTTACTTTCTAGTCATTTCTAGTCATTTGTAAAAGGCAATTTGGCATTGTTTAAATAAATCACTGAAAGATCCAACTCATTAACATGTGATAATTTATTCTATTACTTAAGCCCATGTTTTTTTGGTCAAAGTAGAATATTGTGCATTGCTTAATGATATTGATAGTTCGTCACTAATTAGTGATTCTAGCTCAAAAAACTCTGTAGTTGCTTCTTCATTTAAATGTAAATATTTCCAAAAAAAAAAAAAAAAATACTGTGATATTTTACTGCTCTACAAGTGAGACAAAAAATTTTTGATTAAAATAAATACCTTTGACACGCAGATGTGGATAGAAAAGAAATTTATTAAATTGTATTTTGTTAAGCATTTATTCAAAGTAAACTCAAAAGGACTTGTTAGTTAAAATCTCTAAGCATATACAAGAATAAGAGCTAATGTTAAATGTCATTCAACTAACACAATTTGAATTCTTAAAAAGGTTGAAGACTTAATCATGGTGCCTATTTGTAATATACAAAAAAAAATTAAAAATAAATAAACCGAGATGACATAATCATTTGAAGGAAAAAGTTTTTGTTACTGGTTTAACAAAGCTTAAGTGAAGTATGATGTCTGTCAAATGTTGTTAGAAATCAGTGCATATTCTGATCTAACCAGGGGGGTTAATGAAAACCACTGTTGGTCATTCACTTGAAAGGTTCTCCTTATTTATTCCTTTTTCGTTGGGGTTTTCAGGCCGTAGGTTGATTGTTGTCTAAGTTTTGAGGTGTCGTTCTGCGTTTCACATTGGCTATAGCGTCTTCAAGATCCGGATACGCTTCCTTGATGGCATCCCCAAGAATCTCGCGAAACTCCTATTGACCAGTTAGTAAACAAATTTAGATATTTTGTATTGTCTTACCGCCATGGCTTTCATTTTGCCGTTAATGTACTGGTTTTGTTTTGCAGCAAGCTCGACAAACTCTCGAGTATAGACATCTGGATTACGGCCGTTTTCGATGTACCTGAAAAAAAGAAAATGAAAAAAGAGGTCAGTTCTAAGTACTTAAGATACCTTGATTACCACTTACTGTACTACATCTATGGGGAACTCCTCTTTCAATCTGTTACTCTCAACAGCCAATTCATCTAACTGACGCGTCATCAATGACCTATGAAAAATCAAAACACATTTTTAGTTAATTATCTGTACATGAATAGATACAAAGACTTGTTCTCTTTCTAATTGTTTTATCTCCCTGTAAAGGCTTACACTCTGTCAGTTAGGCCTTCTCGGGACTCTCCCGTACCCTGAAAGTCGTGGACCATGATTCCCATTTCAATGAGAGTTTGGATAACGCGCCGAAGCTGATCCTCTGTTTCCAGAAGCTCAGTAGGCGCTGTTGGCAACACTTTGGGAGTCGGCATGAGAGTGTGGTGTGTTTATGTGATATTGTTGGAAAGAAGGTTGTGAAATACAAAAGGTAAACGATAGCAATAGTTTTTGGTGGTGCCTTTTCATTCAAAACAAAAGAAAAAAAAAATTATAATATTTGTATCTTCCGGATGATGCAGCGTTAACTAAATGATTTTGTAAGATAATATTGGGCTTATCGTACAAAAAAAAAGATTCAACATTTTGTTTAGAAATTTAAGATATGATGATTAAAATTTATCATAATGTCATAGGCATATATTATGAAAACTGAAGAGGATATGAAGATGATTTCAAGCCAAATATTTTTCTGTTAATATAATAATTATTACAATATTTTATTATTTTCTCTTTTAAATTTAAATTAAAAGTGAGGGAGTGGAGAGTCTCTCTTGAATTTAAACTTAACTTTCTTGGTTGTAAATAAGCAAAAGGGAATTCATTTGGTACAAATTAGAAAGTGGGAAAAAAAGGCAAGAAGTAGCCTAATGAAACAAATTAGGAAATTAGAAAATTAAAAAATTAAAAAATTAAAAAAGAAAACTTCATAGCTAATATCAAAAAAAAATTACTTGAGTGTATCATTAAAACGTTCGTAAGGGATTGAGATAAAAGAAACAAGCTTTGATTAAGCAACAATCAAACTCTGGTCAGGCAAGAAAAACTCTCTGTGAGTATGCTCGACATTTAATTCGGAAAGATACTTGGAAATATCAGTCATGAATGAAAGAGGACCAAGGTAGTAAACGTGCGTGTTCTGAAGTTCCTCAGGAGATGTGGGGAGAAGTTTCTTAATATCATCACTAGTAATGTGGCCAGTCTTATTTGGAGCTTCAGTGGATGAAAGCTTAGAATAGTAGCTAACAACATTGTATTTTCCCTTTGATTCAGCTTCAAGAGAAGAAAGTTCCTTTGTAAAAGGTTGGTCTTCTGGATCGTGTACTGCATGTACAAGTGTTGCAGAAATGTTTGGATACTGAGAAACAACCTGCTTAGAAAGTGAAATGATAGGGGTAATTCCAATGCCGCCTGCAATAAAGATAATGTTTTTAGTGGTTTCAGGTTCAGCGAGAACAAAATCACCTTCAGGAGGAGCAATTTCTACAACATCACCAACCTTGAGAGATTCATGGATAAAGCCAGAAGCCTTGCCATTGGGAATCTTTTTGACAGAGATGCGGAAAGTCTTACCATCACCAATGTCAGAAAGAGTGTATTCACGGCGGACAGTGCCTGCGGAATTAGCAAAGTATTTTTCATCGTTAAGCTTGATACCAATGTACTGGCCAGGTTTTCCAGGCTTAACTCCACGACCATCCTTAGGAGCAAGAACAAGAGAAACGACATTGGGGGTTTCTTGAATCTTTTGTTGGACGATAAAATCGCGGTAGCCGCGCCACTCGCCGGCCTCATACATCTTTTCCTCAATGCCAATAAGAAGCCCTGCAAGATCGGTGTATGCAGCAGTCCAGGCTTCAAGAACAGCTGGAGTAGCCACATCTTCACCAAGAACTTCCTTCATAGTAGCAATTAAGTATTTGCCGACAATTGCATAGCCTTCAGGTTGGACATTAAGAACGACGTGTTTGGCAGTGATACGCTCAACGAGATCAGTGAGTTTTGAGAGATCATCAATATAAGTAGCGTAGAGAAGCAGGGCATGTGCTAAAGCACGGGGTTGAGCACCAGTAGCTTGGTGAGCCTGATTGAAGATACCCTTGACCTCTGGGTTTTCTGAAAGCATATTCTGATAAAACCGAGTAGTGAGGGTCACCCCGCCTTCCTTAAGAATAGGGATGCAGGCCTTAATGATATTGACTTGTTCAGGTGTGAGAGGCATGTTTAGTAAAGTGTGTATGTATTTGTGTTTCTTTTTTTCAGTGATACAAAATAGAAAGTGAAGATAACTCTATGTGACGATAGATTGAATGAATGATTTGTAAAAAAAAAAAAAAAAAGAGAAGATAAAGGATTTAAGACTACGGCATTCAGGAGTATTTATATATCCAGAATTTTTTATTAATTAAAAAATAATAATTCCCCGTACTACTAACATTACAGTCTATTAGTAAACTAGTGTTAGTGGAATATTTTGGTGGTAATAATAATAATAATAATAATACCACCATCACCTACACCATTTGGTCTTCAATTTAGTTTATTAGGACCGCCCGAGTCAGTAGCAGTTACTGTTTTCCAGGCCGAGCATATTAAAAACTCGCCCGAGGAGAAGTACGGCTGCAACTATCATGCACAATCTTCTACCAAACTGGAGCGCCACTCTTCCTGCTCAGCAACAACGTGAACTTTAGATATTGTTTCTTTGCAACAGGTAGTAAAAAAAAAAAAAAAAAAAGGTTCGCATGAACCACAGATTAAATTGGAATCCGGGTCAGAAGCAAAAATATATTATTAAAAAAAAAAATTAAGAAATAAGAATAAAAATAAAAATTAAAAATAAAAATAAAAATTAAATGAGCCTAGAAGTAAATCCAAAAGAAGAAATCCCTATTAATTAAGACACTGTGGCTGTTTTAGCAAAACCAAATAGCGTTTTTAAAGCAAAAGGTCTCGAGCTAGTGTGTTTTTGAAAATGCTTCTTTTCAAATATGGGCAGAATAATCAGCATCGTAGGGCCAATGATTGGCTATTTTTTTTTAGTTTTCAAAAAGCGCATATGCTTTTTGATGGTGTCATTGTGGCCTGGCAATTCGTACCGTCAATTCCTCTTTCTTTTCTGTTTTCTTAAAAAAAAAATAAAATAAAATAAAAATAAAACTATCAGGAGAAAAGTGTCAAGTCCGGCCGGGTTTCTTGAAAACTAAAAAAGAAAGAAAAAAAATTTTCAATTATCGTCGTGACGTTCCGTTTTGACCGTTTTTTTTTATTTATTTATTTATTTATTTTTATTTTTTTGAGTATTTTGAGTATTTTGAGTACGATTTTCCAGATCGATCTCACAATGTTGAGCCACTACCTTATTTTTCTTTCCCCTCCAAAAAAAAAAAAAAAAAAAAAGCTGGTGATGCCCGGCCGACTCCTAAAAAAAAAAAAAAAATTAAAGTTCATTTGCGGGTGTTGTTTAGGCAGCACATGTGGAAAGCCCAGAATGACGTGTATTTATCAAAAATAAAAATCTAATCACGTGTGTTTCTATGAAATTTTCATAAACCTTCCACCCGAGAATTTCAGAATATATCAGACATAACGCTATCAAAATTCCATTTTGGAAATTATCTTTCCTTTTTTTTTTGTCACAATCCACCAGCAATATATTCAATAACAAACGACCCACAAAAATTACTCGGGCGACTTTTTTTTTTCTTTTAGTTATTTTTTTTTTCATCATTCGATTATTTGCTTGTAAACTATTTTCTTGTCGCTGAAACTTATAGAAAACTCATTTTCCTTCCTTTCATTTCCTTTCATTTCCTTTCCCTTCTGCCTTTCGCTCATGTCGAACAAATCGTCAGCCCCAACTTCACCAACACCTTCAGACATTCTTGCAGCATCACTTGCTACACTCGATTTCACGCATGTTTTTTATGATGTTGAGGATCCATTATCATTAGGCATGGCATACCTATCTCTGGTCCCTCAGGGACTCACAATTGGGTATGCTACACTGATGCTGTCGCGCCGTGAAATGGAAACTTTTATGATGTTTGCAGGACAGCTTGCCAATGAGCTTATTAATGGAATCATCAAAGACATTATCAAACAAGAACGACCAAACGAAACTTGTAAGTTTATCTATTAATTATTATTTTTTTTTTTTAAAAATAATGCACACAAAAATAAAAGTATCGTTTAAGCGATAATACCAAACATCTAAGTTTTTGAAAGAAGCTCACAATAAAAAAATAAAAAAATATAAAAAAAAGGATACCTTATAAAATAATACTAACTAAAGATACCCCTTTCTCATACGAAATTTGTTTTACCAGTCTGCAACATTGTCAATTCTTGCCAAATTAACTTTGCTTCCATCACATTTTTAGTCGGTCAGGGCTACGGAATGCCTTCCGCACACTCTCAATTTATCTTCTTCTATGCCGCCTATCTCACCACTTGGATGTACACCCGCGCAATTCGCTTCTCAGCATTCAAGCGTGCATACCGTACAGTAGGTCTTTTTATTCTTGCCATCCTCGTCTCCTCCTCCCGTGTTTACCTTTCTTACCACACAACGGAGCAAGTCTGTGTCGGTGCAGGAATCGGAACTCTTTTTGGCGTCTTTTATGCTCTTTTTATTGGGCTCTTACGCGATACCGGTGTTGTTGATTGGGTTTTGAGCTGGCCGTTGGCTCATTTGTTTTACATTAAAGACACTTGCTTAGACCATGAATCTACCATAGAGATGGAATACAAACGCTGGCAACATGTACGACAAAAACAAAAGATTATTTCAAAGAAAAAGGATTAAACCTTATATTTGCATTAGAATGAAAAAAAAAATTTTTTTTTAATACCCCACACTTTGCATGTATATATTTTCATAAAAGACACTAAATCAAGGATCAACGTCAGGGATTGGGAAACGGGTTGCAGTATTGTAGTATGCTCCAGGCGTGATTTGAACAATCTCATTTCGTGGAAACTTGAGAAATGGAATATCATTTACTGTGCATGCCATGAGGTATCCATATAACACACGCAATACACTCTCATGCGCAATAATAAGCAAATCTCCCTCATTGCGTTCCATTTCCATAATCAGCGGCTCCAATCGCACAGCCAAATCGTGATACGATTCTGCGCGTGGGTACCGGTGATGGTATGGGTTTGCAACATGTACGTCATACTCTTCGGGATACAAATCTTGAATTTCCTTTGCAGTCAACCCATCCACAGCGCCAGGATTGAGTTGTGTCAATTCAGGACGACTAATTGTTGGATAGCCATCATCTGCAAAGTACTTTGCTGTCTCTATGGTTCGCAACCGTTTTGAACTCCATACTAATAACAGTCGCTTCTCTGGTACAACAGGAGTTTGCCAAATGCGCGAGGTTGTCGGAGTAGGCGTCGTGAACTTATCTTCTGGTGCAAGTGCAGGGGCCTTCTTTTTAGCTTCGGCCAAACGATGGGCAATTTCATCCTCACTTAGGGTAATATCTTTAGTCAAAAGAGGAGCGTCTTGCTTTTTGTCCTGTTGCTGAAGTGGAGTTGACACCCCGCTAACACCTGCAGTCGGGGTAGGCACTGCTTTTGTGGTTGTGGCAGTTTCAGCTGGAGTTCCAGAAGCTGTCACATCTATGCTTGCTTCAGCACGTGACACTTGTACCCGGTAAATCTCTTCAAGATGCTCCAAAACAGTACTCTTGAGCTTTTGAGCATAGTCATGACCCTTAGCTGAAAGCAAGTTATCGTTGCGGTAAGTCAGTTCTGAGGAGTCACTTTGCCCTGCTCGGGCAAACAAATAACTACCCGATTTGACATGCGTATTCATCAGAAAAAATACAATGCGGTTTTGAAGGTATCCAATGGGTGCGTGATTCATTTTAATATGTTCAACGCCATTAATGAGTTTTATGTAGCTTAAATCCGTCTCAAGGGCACCCATAGTTTCGTAAAATGGAATTCGCAATTCAATTCTGCGCAAGTAGTTGCGTACGGCGTCCTTATAGTCCACACCTTGAAAATCTGGGGATGAGAGTTTAACATCGCGAACGTTGCGAGCCACCAGGTGATCGTCAGTAGCAATACACTCCACAAAAAGCAAGCCAATTTTTTTTTCAGAAAACAGCTTCACTAGTTCTGCTCGGGCGCTGACTGAAGAGTTGACAGCATCGTAAATAGCCACTTGGCCTCCATCACCGAAAAATGAAAAAATATCTTTCATGCAAGCGTCAAATACTTTTTTGCGAAATTGCTGTGTTGCTTCTGAAGACTTGGGCTGGAAATAGTCATCTGGAACAATATGATTGGGGCCTCCTAGTTTACGACGGTAATCTCCGAGATGGAATGCATGGGACTTGACGCCGAGCCAACGTAAGTACCGCGTGAGAGCAACTGAATGATGAGTTTTACCGCGAGCAGGCAACCCCACAAGTACAACAGCTAGTTTTCCTGCATGAAAAAGCATACCGGAATCCGTAGTATACAGCTGAGCAGGCGAGATATCAGAAGGTTGAAGGTGTTGATGGACAGCATCAACATTAGTGTTGGATTCACGGCGTCTCATGGGACGTGGGGTACCCGAGTGAGTGGACCCACGCGAGCCCCTGCTGCGGTTAAAGGGTCCCGGAGCTGGCACATCTTCGACAAAAACAAGAGGAGCATCATTTTCGTCTTCGACAGAGGAGTCGCTGGCGATGGCATTATCTGAAGCAGATTTTGAAGGTGGCAATGACATTTTGGGTGTATAGTTTTTATTTAAAATACAAAATAAGAAAAAAAATATGGTGGTTATCAAGATAAGAAAGAAAGAAAAAAAAAAAAGAGAGAGAGAGGGAAAGAAAAAAAAGAAGAGAGAGAAAAAAAAATTAAATAAAAATGACGGAAAAGCGGAGGTTTTTAAAGTCAGTGACTAAACAAGGTTTTTTACGGGGGAATACACAGAAATGATTGGACATGCTGGGAAAATCTGGGGGGTCAAAAATTTATTTTTTTTTGTCAAATACATTTTGGCACATTAAAAAAAATTCATAAAAAAAAAAAACTTGTTTGAAGTAAACAATAAAATATTAAATACAGAATCATATCTCGTTAAAAAATGGGGGTGGTGGTGGGTGGGAATATATGCCCAAGTCTATTATAGTTATCGGTCATTGCTTTTAGTGGCTCTTAAGAAACTCTTCGTACTTTTCAAAAGTGTAGAGCTCATCCAGTTGCTCAGGCTCGGTGATCTTAACCTTGGCAATCCAAGCCTTGCCAGTGGGGTCCTCGTTGATGAGATTGGGCTTCTCAGAGAGATCAGTGTTACCTTCCAGAATCTCGCAGGAAACAGGTGCGTAAATTTCAGAGGCAGACTTGACAGACTCAACAGAGCCAATGGAGTCACCAGCCTCGGCGCTATCACCGGCTGCAAGAGTCTCGACGTAAGTAGCATCGCCCAGAGCATCAGCAGCGTAGCCAGTAATGCCAATGAAGGCCACATTATCAGGGAAAACGGCAATCCACTCGTGTTCCTCAGTGTACTTGACAACGGGATCGGAGCTTGCGTACTGGGTGACCGGACTGTTCTTGGTCAGAGTGTTGCTGGAGGAGAAGCGCACAAAGCGGGGGGCAGCGCGCAGGTACATGGGTGTGATGGAAGAGGAGGAGGCCATGGCCATTCTAGGGAGGGCCGAGCGGGTGGCTGAGCGAAAGACAGAGGCGAGCATTGGTATTTTATGAAGGAATTGAGAAGAACGGGTGTGAATATAGATAGAATAGAAAGAGATACTTGTTGAAGACAAGAGAAATAAAAGGGATAAAAAAGTAAGAAAGAAAGAAAGAAAGAAAATTTTCTTAAACCAAAAGGCGGAATGCACTGAGTTTATATATAAGTTGGCACAGGCCCAGTTTTATCAGCGAGCACCGGGTCGTTTGTTTTTTTGAGGGTGGCAGAGGTTGGTAGAGGCTAGTAGAGGTTGGCAATGGGCTGGTGATGGGCTGGAGCGAGCAGCGTGGCTCGATGAACGTGAAAAAGTTCTAACTCGGTGACATTTAGCCCTAACCCAAAATTTACTCGGTACACTTAAAAAAAAGTTACAGAGTTTTTTTTTTTTTTTTGGAAGAGCCAGTCAAAAAGAACAGCAGATAAGCGATCAAAGACGGCGGTTGGAGGAACCATAAAAAAAAAACAAAAAAAATTAAAAGAATAGCGGCTGGTGGAACGTCATAAATAAACGGAATTACTACTCCAGAATGATCCCAAACGGGCGTTTTTGGAGATTATTTTTCTCTATTTTTTCTATCCATAATGAATCCCTGTAACACAATGAGTGATTGATGGCTTGTGGCCTACAAACGAACAAGCAAAGGGATCTATCTCGGAGAAAATTCACTTGTTGCCACAGTATAAATAAGTACCTAAGTATATTTCAGTACCATCTACTCCTCCAAAGAAAAAAAAAAATTTCTAGCATCACCACTTAAAAAAAAAAAAAAAATTATTCACACCAGCCAGTCATAATCAGAGACGCTAATTCTCATCAGTACCTCTCAATAGCCCACTCTTATATTATATTACATATACATCCCAGCATGCTTTACGAAATTGTCGGAATCGCCCGTGCTGTCGGCAAAGAGACCGCCACCAAGGAGACCATCGAAGTCCTTAAGACCATTGGCAAACAGATCATTGACAACAGAGGTGTCGTCCGTGACATAAAAAGCTGGGGCATCCGGCCTCTGCCTAAAATCATGAAGAAGCACGGTGACTCGTACCTCTACGGTTCTTTCTTCTACCTCAAATTTGATGCCAGTCCTGGTGTCCAGTCCGAAATCTCAAGAATTCTTCGTGTTGACCGTAGAATGATTCGATCCACCGTCGTTAAGCTTGGTGGTGAAAGGTATGCATATTTCACTCATCATAACAATTCTTAACTAACCCATCTTAGCTTAAAAAACACTATGTAAATTATCCTGTTGCTACAACCATTACCCATTTTATGATTTCTTTTTTGTTTTGTTTCTGTAAATAATTCATTTTTTCCCTCCCTCTCTTTTCCTTTATATCATTATTATTATTATTATTATTATTATTTTTTATTATTTTTACACTTCTTCTATCAGTATCCCGACTTGTACTCGCGCAAAATTACAGGCACAGAGCTTGGGGGCAGACTGCCAAATTCAGTAACAACCTTTTTAATAAAGTCTGGTGGCGCAATATCGTATAGCACATGTGTGACATGAAGGTTTGGTGTAGTCTTCCAGTTCTTGAGCGCTGCCGAAGGTACCGGCAGCTTGTCCATAGATCTGGATAAATTAATGAGTGCATCGGGCGAACCAAGTTCATTAAATGTAAAAGAATCAAGCAGTACCTTATCAGAAAACTTGATGGATTGACACAGAACAACCACAGGGATATTACGCGAAGATGCTGCCAGCGCTACGGCGGCAGTGCCCACACGGGAGTAAAGCATTCCATTCGAAAGCATAGCATGTGCACCAACCATTACTGTCTTAACATCTTTGAGCACGTAAGTCAAACCATTCAGCAGAGTATATGATGTCGAAATCCCTGCTTTAGACAAAATCTTGGCAACGCTCTTACCTTCAAACAATGGCCGCGAATCCACCACAACTACCTTAAACCGTTTCCCCTGCTTATGAGCAGCAATCAATGTCGAAAGCACCACCTTAGACGATGAATATGTCAGAATTGTATCACCGTCATTAATATTGTTAATTGCATTCTCAACGATCACCCGGTCCGCATAGTCTAAACGCACACGAATAAAATTGTCAATCTGGTCATGTAAATGATCCTTAGCCTCAGCATCACTCACATCAATGCCTAAGTTGGTAATCTCTTGCTTAAGCCATCGAATGGAATTTCCCATAGCAATGCTCAACGGTCGTGCTGTTTTAAGGTGATCAATTTGGTGACTCAAATGATTTGTCAAATTTCTCGACAGCGTAGTTCCCTCTGGGGTCTTGTAATCTCGAATCACATCCTGGAACGCAAGCAGCATCGCACGACACCGTTCTGCAGAACCTGCAACGTGGAAAGATGCAAATTGCATTGCTAGATACAAAACAGAGGGATGAACTTCTTTATTTGCCTCGGCTGCAGAAGTTATCCGGGTCTGCTCAAGATGTCCAAACAATGTAAGTCGACTAGGGGCAGCGTTATGACTAATAGAACCCGCAGACCCTGGTGCACCTCCAACAGGGGCCGATCCGCCATCTCGACTAGCCACATTTCCTCTAGGAGTTTGCTGAGATCTTTTATCGGAAGATGCTTGATATTGTTGGCCCTGTTGACCCTGCTGGCTTTGTTGCTGTTGCTGTTGCTGGCCCTGCTTGGCCTGGCGCGGATCCGAGACCGCGGGAAGACCAGCTGCCACTTTTTGGGCTGCACGCTTTGCAGCTTTCTCAGCTTTCTTAAGTGCCTTTAAATCCTTTGCAGAAAGGATACCAGAATCCGCATCAGCTGTAGTAGGAGCAGGAGCAGCGCTCTGCGCTGGGGCCTGACTGGCTTCTTTGGCAGTGTCCATTGTGGTATATGGTATTAATATTGATTTTTTTCAATGCTGGTGGCTATGGGGAGGGGCTTCAAAAAATTGATACAGAAAAAAACAAAAACAAAAACAAAAAGAAAAAAAAAAAAAAAAACTTTACCAGGTATGACATTACAATAAGTTTTGTAATTAATATTTGGTCAGATTTTACATAATTATAGCTCGACCAATGAAGAGAATAGGAAAAAAAATTAGGCAGAAGGCAATCACAAACCTCCCAAAACCTACACTTTTCTCTCCCGCAATACAAAAGAAACCTTTCGGTTTTTGATTATAATCCTTCAACCCCATCTTTAAATTTTAAACTATCCCGATTTAAAAAAATCAACAAAATACACATTCACAATGGGCTTATACGAGGAATTATTAATTTGGGCTACTGTCGGTATGTTCAAGTCAAAATATTTGATAAAATGAGCCTTTGCTAACTTTTTTTTTTTTACAATAGGTGCTTGCACTAACGGTCTTGCCCGCGGCATCAGAAATAAGCCTTTGGCTTTTAAGCCATTAGGCTACCTTTACGGTGCCATCATCGGTGTTGGTCTTGGTTTTGTTGCTGAGTCTGCCAGAGCGCAACAGGCTGAGTTCAACAACAGAAAGGTTCAGGCTCTGCTTACCGCCAGAGAGTCGCGACAATAAATTATTCCCTTCCTCTCAGCATTCCCTTTCCCGTAACACATTTCATTCCAGCAAAGTACCAAAGATCGCGTGTTGACACGCAGCTAGGACAAAAAAAAAAAACTAAAAAAATTAATAAAATCCCTTCAATCTGCTTAAATCACCATTTTCAATTTCCCTTTTTCCTTTCTCCCCCCTTTCCTTTTCCATTGTACCTAATAACGGATCATTGCGCCAATATCCCACCAAGTTAACAACATACAAGCAATATTAACGATGACGAAATTATGCCATACTTTTGATTTAGATAAATACTAGATGTTAATGAGATTTTTTTTTCTCTTGAATTCTTTTTTTCTCAGAATTTGCTAGCTAACAGTGACCTCTTTTTATTTGTGAATTATGCTTTTTAAATTTTTTTTTCCATGCAATTATTTATCTGAAATGGCAGTAAATCATTATTCACAAGCTTGTTACTACAATTTTATCAATAGTTAATTTAGCTGCAATTGAAAAGACTTGCTCCTCGACATAACTTTAGATGGGATGGTAATTCGTACAAAGTTGCGCGCATAATTGTAAAGCGATATTATTCGAAACGGACTCAAGTTTACTCGTAGCCGTAGATCTGGGAATGTCAATAAGATATGGTATCTTAAGCCACGAGTCTTTTAGATGAATCCTAGAACTTGGAATCATTAATACCAGGTGGCAATAGATTAAGCTACATTAGATTAATCGCTTTTGCTAAATAATTTAAACGAGATAAGACTAAAAATTCAAATCAAACCCATTTTCTTTTTTTTTGTAGTCCAACTTCAGTTCACTTTTTGTTTTTTTTTTGACCGCTATGGCTGCTGTTTAGCCACAGGATACTATTTCCACTTCTCCCCCTACATTTTTGACGCAAACCCTGTTCTCCTAGACGACCACCTTTTTGTTTTTGTTTTTTATTTTTTTTTTCCCTGATCTCACCTGCTTAAGCTCACTCACTTTTCTCTTTTCACATCATTCTTCTCTATCCCATTTTCTTCAACTCCAAAAGAAATCTATCCATATAGACATATAAGCTTTTGCTTTCTCTTTAATTGAACTGCCAGGTTTCTTTTTTAATACTTTGATTTCTTTTTCAAGATGGTCTCCTCTTACGAGCCCGGAACGTAAGTCGCTCAATCCCCAATAAAATGGAGGCTTTTGTCTCCCCCTTAATCCTAGTGAGGTGTTCAGTTTTATCCATGGCTACACAAATATAACAGCGTGATGCCAAAACATTTTGGCAATCATATTGAATACCCAATCATTTTTTTTTAAACCACCACTTATGAGACTCTCTAGTCAAAATGTTTTTTTTATTCAAATCGTCTTTTGGACCATAAAACTACAAAACTTTAGTGATTATTCACTGGCTCAGAGTCGATTTTGAATTGACATGTGGTCATATGCACATGCAATTCCGGATATATACAGTTTTGAAGCGTTTTGCCATACTTCACTCTTTATTCTACTTTTTTGATCATTACATCAATACTAACAAATATTCATAGTCGTTGCTGGGTCAAGGATGACAAAGAAGGCTGGGTCGGCGCCTCTGTCGAAGACAAGGTGATTGATGGCAATAAAGTTACTCTGACACTAAAAACAGAACAAGAAAAGGTGTGTATCTACAGAACTTTTTTTTTTAAATACTCTCTTAAATCTAACATTAATATCTCTAGGAGATAACTATTGAAACAACTGCCGAGGATATCCAAAATAATAGTGAATCTCTCCCCCCACTACGAAACCCTCCAATTTTAGAAGCCACTGAAGATTTGACCAGTTTATCATATCTCAATGAACCTGCCGTTCTTCATGCGATCCGCATGCGATATCGCCAACTTAACATTTACACCTATAGTGGTATTGTTCTTATCGCTACAAACCCCTTTCAAAAGATAGACAGTTTATACACCTCTGATATTATTCAAGCCTATTCAGGAAAAACTCGCGGTGAACTTGAACCACATTTATTTGCTATCGCAGAAGACGCTTACAGGTATATTGAAACCTTTTTTATTTTCACTTTCATATCACTAACCTTTTCAGATGTATGCTTCGTGATAATAACAATCAAACGATTGTTGTCTCCGGTGAATCTGGTGCGGGTAAAACTGTCAGTGCAAAGTTTATTATGAGATATTTTGCTACTGTCGAGGATCCTGACCACCCCCGGAAACGTGCTGGTGCTGAATCTATTAATAAGACTGAAGAGCAGATTTTAGCTACAAACCCTATTATGGAAGCCTTTGGTAATGCAAAGACTACTCGTAATGACAACTCTTCTCGTTTCGGAAAGTATTTGGAAATCCTCTTCAATGAAAATGTCGACATTATTGGTGCCAAAATTAGAACTTATTTACTTGAACGCTCCAGATTGGTTTTTCAACCTCCCACTGAGCGGAATTACCACATTTTTTACCAGCTTATTTGTGGTTCCACTCCGGAAGAAAAGGAGGCTCTTGGTCTCACCTCTACAGAAGATTTTCATTATCTCAATCAAGGTGGCGACCCTAAACTCCCTAATGTCGATGATGCTGAAGAATTTGCTGCCACTAAAAAAGCACTAAGTACTATTGGAATTGATGATGCTGTTCAATATGATATTTTCAAGCTTCTTGCTGCTCTTCTTCATATTGGTAACATCAACATTACAGCTACTCGTACAACTTCATCTCTCTCTTCGGATGAACCTGCTTTAGCAAAGGCTTGTGATCTTTTGGGAATTGACCCCACTCAGTTTGCAAAGTGGACTACTAAAAAACAAATTGTCACAAGAAGCGAAAAGATTATTTCTAATCTAAACCTTCAACAGGCCACAGTTGTTCGTGATTCAGTAGCAAAATATATTTACTCAGCCCTTTTCAACTGGCTTGTTCATAATATCAATCAGGGATTGTGCACTTCCGAAATTGAGGCTGAGATCAAATCATTTATTGGTGTTTTGGATATTTACGGTTTTGAGCATTTCAAGAAGAATTCTTTTGAACAGTTCTGTATCAACTATGCTAATGAGAAGCTTCAACAGGAGTTTAACCAACATGTATTCAAACTTGAACAGGATGAGTATGTCCGAGAAGAAATTGAATGGAAGTTCATTGAATTTTCAGACAACCAGCCTTGTATCAATCTTATTGAAGCCAAACTTGGTATCCTTTCTCTTTTGGATGAAGAGTCAAGACTTCCCTCTGGTTCCGATGAAACTTGGGTTGAAAAGCTTTACCAGCATTTTAACACCCCCCAACACAATAAATTCTTTAAGAAGCCTCGCTTTGGAAAGTCGTCTTTTATTGTCAACCACTACGCTATGGAGGTTTCTTATGAATGCGAAGGCTTCATTGAAAAGAACCGTGATACAGTTCCTGACGAACATCTCGAGGTCTTGCTTAACACTTCTAACGGTTTCCTTAAATCGGTCATTGATTTCAATCAAGAGCTTGCTAATGCTACGGAAAAGGCTTCAGCTTCAGCTGCCAAGTCCCGTATTGCTGTTAATAGAAAGCCCACCCTTGGTAACATTTTCAAGGGATCTCTTATCGAGCTTATGAAAACTATTAATTCTACTAATGTCCACTACATTAGATGTATTAAGCCCAATGAGGCTAAAGAAGCTTGGACTTTTGATGGCCCTATGGTTCTTGCTCAACTTCGTGCATGCGGTGTTCTGGAAACAATTAGAATTTCTTGCGATGGTTTCCCCACCCGATGGACTTATGAAGAGTTTGCAGACCGTTATTATATGTTAGTTCCTTCTAAGGACTGGACTAACACCAACATTCAAGATTTCTGTAAAATCATTCTTGAACGCTGCATTAATACTCAGGACAAGACTGACAAGTACCAACTTGGTAAGACAAAGATTTTCTTCCGTGCTGGTATGCTTGCTTGGCTTGAGAAGTTGAGAAGTGACCGCCTTAACCAATGCGCAATTATTATTCAAAAGAATTTGCGAATGTTGTATTGGCGCAAGCGTTACAATCTTGTAAGAGAAAGCATCGTTAATTCTCAAGCTCTTGTTCGTGGTTTCCTTGCCCGTCGCAAAGTCCAACAACTCCGTGAAGAAACTGCCGCAATCAACATTCAAAGACTGTGGCGTGGCTATAAGCAACGTGTTGTATACCAACAAGCCAGAACATCTATTATCTCTTTGCAGTCTGTCATTCGCGGCTGGCTTGTTCGTCATAATATCTTGCAGAATCGTTACAACGCAGCTGCTACTGTTATTCAGCGTATATTCCGCGGTTACGTTGCTCGCAAGAATTTCAAGGCTACTGTTCACAAGGTTTGCATTATCCAAGGTCTGTGGCGCAGCAAGCTGGCTCGCCGTGAACTTGCTCAGCTTCGTGAAGAGGCTCGATCTGTCACTCATTACCAGGAGGTTCAGTATCATCTTGAAAGTAAAGTTGTTCAACTCACACAGAATCTTACCGATCATAAGAACGAGAACAAGAAACTCAAAGAAGTCATTGAGAGTCTTAATGATCAGCTTTCTGTTTGGCAAAATAAGCATGCCGAATCCACTGCTATTGTAGCGGCGTTAGAAGCCAAAACTGAGCAGTCAAGAAAAACTAACTTGGAGGCAGTGACTGTTATGCAATCGCAAATCGATTCCTTGACTAAAGAATATGACCAAGCTCTTCTTAACTACCAGAACTTGGAGAAAGAAAAGCAGGGAATTGAGGGTGCTCTTGCCGAAAAGGAGCTTGCTCTTGCTACCTCTCAAGAGACTCTTCGTGACTATGAACAGTCTAACACCAGTCTTTTGGAGACTGTTGAAGAGCTTCGGAGAAACCTTGATTCTGCTACAGCTAAGGCTTCTATTGGCGCTGTTGAGCTTGGTGCTGCTTCTAATGCTCTTAGACGCAGCAACAAACGCCGCAGTTTGGATGATACTTCATTTGCTGCAAAGGATGCTTCCAATTTCACCCCCCGTCCTGCTTCTGTTATGTACTCTGACCTCAAACGTATTGATGACGAGGAAACTGCAGAAGCCCAGTTCAATGAAATTAATAATGAGTTAGAAAGACTTTTGGAGAACTACAAGCTTCTTTGTGACGAAGTTGTTAAGGGTGTCATTAGCACGTTAAAGATTCCTGTTCCTTCACCTTCGGACGAGGTTCCTCCCAAGGAAATCTTCTTTCCTGCTCACATTATCAGCACGGTCACTTCAGAAATGTGGCGTATGGGTTATGTGAAGGAGTCGGAAGACTTCCTTGGCCAGGTCATGCATGCTATTCAAGAGACTGTTACTCAAGACTCTGGCGATGACATTATTAATTCTGGTGCTTTTTGGATTTCAAATGTCCACGAAATTTGGTCCTTTATTTGTGTGGCACAAAACAATATCGTGTCTAATGAAACACTGCGTGAGGAAATGGGCATCGAAATGTTCCACCAGTACAATAGACTCGTTGAGGTTGCAAAGCAAGATTTGGAAAATCTGGAGTTTAACATTTATCATGCTTGGATGAAGCAACTGAAACGTTCTTTGGACAAGATAATTGTTCCTGCCGTTGTTTTATCTCAATCGCTTCCTGGTTTTATTACGCCAGAAAATACTAGATTCCTTACCAAGATGTTTGCGTCTTCTAGCACACAACCTGCCACCATGGATGACTTGCTGAGCTTGTTTAATAAGGTGTACAAGGCTATGAAGGGATACTACCTTTCTAAGGAATTTATCAAGATCCCCATCATTGAGTTACTGAAGCTCGTTGGCGTTAAATCTTTCAACGATTTACTTATGCGCCGTAACTTTGCTTCTTGGAAGCGTGGCCTTCAGATTAACTATAATGTTACGCGTATTGAGGAATGGTGCAAAGCACATGACATTAGTGAGGGCATCATTCAGCTGGAGCACATAATGGAGAGTGTTAAGCTGTTGCAGCTTAAGAAGGTGACTCTGGAAGACATTGACATTCTCTATGACATTTGTTGGACTCTTACACCTTTGCAAATTCAAAAGCTGATTAGTCAATACTTGAATGCAGACTACGAACCGCCTATTTCAGATGATGTTTTGAATGCAGTAGCTGCACGGGTGAAGAACAATGATTCATCTACTCAGTTGATGCTTGAAGCCATTCCTCTAGATGATAGTGGTCCATACGAAATTACTGATCCTCGTCCATTATCACGCTTAGAGCCTTATGTTCCAGCATGGCTACAAGTTCCTAATGTCAAAAGGCTTTCTGAGATTGCCGAGATTATTAATTCTAGCCCAATGCAAAATATCGAAGAGGTTGAGGAGGAGGGGTATGCGGATGAGAAGTTATTACTTGGGGGTGGTATGGGTATCGAGGACGGGATTGTCTCTGGGTTTGCCAATGGTGAGATCAATGGTGGCCACCCTGCGGCGGTCCAAGAATAAAGAAAAGCAAAAATGGGTGAGAGAAATAGCTGAACGCAAACAAGCAGAAAACCTTGCAAGAGCAAAACTTCAGGAGTTTACAATGGAGACGAGACGAAGAAACAAGAAGAAAAAAAGGAAGAAAACAACAAAGGAGGAAATCTGCAAACCCATTGAAGAGAAGCTTGACTATGAGTTGAAAGAACTACAACGATCTATGGAACAGATTCTCGAGCTTCAGCCTCTACCTAACCTTGAACCACCAAATTTTAAGAAGAAGAATAAGAAAAAAAGACGAATAAATAAAAAGGAGTCACCAGCGGCAATAAAATTAGTTGTTGTTTTTATGGCGATGATGGTTTTTCTTTTTTTATTTGCCATTTTGACACGATCGCGAGATTTAAGAAAGAGATAAAAAGATGATGATTGTTGTTATTTCATTGATACTGACCAAAATATGTAAAATAAAATAAATGATTTTTTAAAAAATATATATATATAATAATTGCAAAAAAAAAAAAAAAAAACTCATCTGCAGGTTTCTCTATCATATTATGATTATTTCTTTTGGTTCCTTTCCACTCCTTTCTTCAATAGAAAGGCTAAGTGGAGTCATGCGTGATGGTCATGAGGAAGAAGGACGCAGTGAAATGTAATTGAGAGGATAAGAATAAGGTTTGTACAAATAAAAAATAAAAAAAAAAAGAGAATCTTGAAAAGACAAAAACTAATTGATACGTGTCGTCATTGAGAGCGGGTTTCCCGGATGTTTGAGATATGGATGGAATGAGGACTTTTTTCTAAAAGGGTTTATAATGAAGATTTTGAAATTTATTATTAAGTTTGTTTGATAGAAGAAATAAATGTAAGTTTGAGGATATCTTAATAGTACCAGTACATAAGAAACTTCCAGTTTTAGTCAGTCTTTAAAAATAAATAAATAAATAAATTTTTTTAAGATCACAAGATCACAAGAGAAAAAGAGATTTTAGGATTTTCTTTTTCTTTTTTATAAGTAGAATTGAATTTATAAGATTATTATATTTATTATAATTATTATAATAATAATAATAGAAATTTTCAAAGGAGATCTTTTATAAATTCTTTTTCAACAGAAGAAATTTCATGCCTGCAGAACCATAGTGGAGAAATGCATCGGCAATGTCGATCTTTGAGATCCGCAAAGGAGTGTGGTAGAGAGATAGAAAAAAAAAAGGAAGGCGTAAAGTGCACATTCAACTTACATTCACTTTAATAACATAAATAAGTTATCAATGGGTAAGTAAAATATACTTGTGTGACAGTTACAAAACAATTACGCGGACTGCTGCCAGCGTAGCTTCCCGTTAGCACAAACAAACAGGCCATCACCACCACCACCACCACCACCACCAAAAAGAGCCAGGATACCTGCTAGCCAGCCAGCCATCCAGCCAGCCAGGATTTTCCCAAATTTCTCCTTTTTTCTCTCTCCTTTTTCTTCTTCCCCACCACCACCACCACCACCACCACCACACCCACAACATTCAAATCCATTTCAGACACAAGCATCTCTTTCCTAGCAACATCCTCAAAGAAGACTTTTGACGACGAAGACATCGACAAAGACCTTTTAAGAGAACTGAAGTGAAACAAGCCATTTCATTTCATTGTTTTTTTTTTCTTGCTTGTTTTTATCACTCTTTCACTCGTTTGCTTCCCTGTGAAAATCCTAATCAATTGTCTACCTTCTCCCTATTGCATTTATAAAACTCCACTCTTCCATTCTCTATTACTACCACAACTGTTTTCAATATGATGAAAGGATGGACCAAGCGTGTAAGTATCATTCATTTGTTTTCATAACCTACTTTCCCACTTTTTTTTTGTACAAAAGACACACCATTGCCCTTCTCGACAATAAATCGGAAACCTGTGGGATTTTTAGTGGTACCCTGTTTAATTTCTAATCATCAGTTATTGCCATATACACACACCAACACAAATAATACCTTACGCACACAACTCATACGTAAACAAGAAAAAAAATGTTTTCCAGTTGTTTTTTTTAAATTGAAAAAAAAAGAAACAACCCCATTTTTTTATTTCATATTTTCTTGTTTTTTTTTTTTATTTTCTTCAACTTATTATTATTAAATTTTTTTAATTTTTTAATTTTTTCATTTCATTTCATTTCATTTCATTTTATTATTGTTTTTGTTTTGATTGATCACATGGCCATTTGTTTTTCTTATTAAAAAAAATCCGCAACCAGATGTGCGTCCCTCAGATAAGCAGGTATTTTTTTCTGTATCCTTTCTAAAACGATAATTCCGGGTCTTTTGGTGTGTCATCCACTTTTTTTTTTTAAATTCTCTCAATGTCCACTTGTTCATTTTTCTTTTTTTACTTTTGTTTTGATATCCTATTTTTTTGGTGTGGTTTTGGTTATGGTCATGCTGGCAATTTCCGCCTCTCTCAAATTGGGCGAAAAATATATATATATATAACTAACATTTTATTCAGCTCGGACGCTCTAAAAGTCATAGCAAAGGAAAGAAGGAAGGAACCAGCGAAAAGAAATCGTCCTCAAGTTTAAGGACTGAATCTTCCTCTTCCTCGCTTAAAGGTGATATTCGTGAAAAGGAAATAAAAGATCGAGACGCCCCCAAGTCAGCTCAGTCTTCTCCGCAACCGCAATCCTCACCTCAACAACCCTTGCAGCAACCACAACAACAGCAGCCTCAAACACAACAACAACCCTCTCAACAACAACAACAACAGCAGCAGCAACAACAGCAACAGTCGCAGCAACAGCCATCGCAGCATCAGACCTCTCAAACTCATTTGCAACAAGCTCAATCTCAACAACCTAATGCAAGCTTTTCAAGCCAACAACAAAATCATGCAACCAATTCTTCTAATAACAGAATACCCAACAGAGCTGCTCCCAATGGTAAGCACATAACCTTGTTTCTCTTTAACCTTTTTCTAATTTTTTTTTTTTCAGAATCTACAAATGTTTCTCAACCATTCCAATCTTCACAGCATGTACAACAACAGCAACAACATCCCCAACAACAATACCCAATTTCTTATGGAAACACCCTACCTCCCTCTTCTCAAAGGGATGCTCAAGAAAACGGCTTTCAACAGTCTCAAGATCAGCAACAGCAGCAGCAATACATGATTTATGACAACTCTCAAATGCAAAATCAAATCTACGCTGATGGAAACGATTCGCTTTCGCCTCCTTATCACCATTTGTCTCCACCATCACTAATAGTAAACCCCTCGGCTCTTGGGCTCGCACCCCCTCCTGGAAGCACAGAAACAATGCCCCATGATCTGGAGGCAATATCATTTAATAAAAATGGCCCTCCCAGCCCTGGTCGTCTTTCGTTTGAACGATACAGTATTGACGGAATAAAAACACCCAAACGCCACAACTCGTCACGATTTGAAATTTCGGAACGACGCGAACTTTTCCCCTTACCTTCTCTTAATGAGGTATCTCTTGGCGAACGTGATGACCTCTTTTTGAAAAAGGTGGATCAGTGTGCCGTAATGTTTGATTTCAATGATCCATCTTCGGATATCACGGGAAAGCAAATTAAGACCGAGGCCCTTCAAGATTTGCTTGACTACATCACTTCCAACCGCGTTCAAATTACCGACCAGATGTATGCTAGTGTCATTCAAATGTTTGCTAAAAATCTTTTTAGACCGATTCCTCCTCCAGTAAACCCTGTTGGTGAACTTTTTGAACCAGACGAGGATGAACCCATTTGTGAGGTAGCCTGGCCTCACATGCAGATTGTTTATGAATTCTTTTTAAGATTTATCGAATCTAGCGATTTTAACCAGGGCATGGCTAAGCGGTACATTGATCATGCATTTGTTCAAAACCTTTTGGAGCTCTTTGATAGCGAAGATCCTCGCGAGCGCGATTTCCTTAAGACAACCCTTCACCGCATTTATGGCAAGTTTTTGAATTTGCGCGCTTTTATCAGAAGGTCTATGAACAATGTCTTTTTCCAGTTTATTTACGAGACGGAACGATTTAATGGTGTTGCCGAACTATTAGAGATTTTAGGCAGTATTATTAACGGGTTTGCCTTGCCACTTAAGGAAGAACACAAGGTTTTTTTGAGTCGTGTTTTGATACCATTGCACAAGGTGCGATGCCTGGGTGCATACCATTCGCAATTGGCCTACTGCATTGTACAATTTTTGGAAAAAGACCCCAGCTTGACGGAGGAGGTTATTATGGGCCTTTTAAGATATTGGCCTAAGGTTAGCAGCCCTAAGGAAGTGCTGTTTTTGGTGGAAATAGAAGACATTTTTGAAATCTTAGAGCCGAGCGAGTTTATTAAGATTCAAATCCCTCTCTTTGTTCAGCTTTCAAAGTGCATTGCAAGTCCACACTTCCAGGTTGCTGAACGTGTGCTGTACTTTTGGTCTCACGAATACTTTTGCAGTTTGGTTACTGAAAACTCCGAAACTATTCTTCCCATCATTTTTTCAGCTTTGCACGAAAATGCAAACAATCATTGGAACCGCTCTATTCATGGAATGGTTTACAATGCTAACAAGCTTTTCATGGATACAAATCCTTTGTTATATGACCAATGTGCTATTCTGTACAGACAGTCGAGAGAAGCTGCGGAATCTCGTGAGCAAATACGGCAGAACAACTGGAAGGCTCTTGAGGACCGTGTTCGAACCATTCATTCACAACCCCAGCAGCAGCAACCGCAGCAGCTGTTGCAGCAACAACAGCAACAAATACAACCACAACAGCAGCAACAAATATTATCATACCAACAACAACCCCAGCTGTCACAATACCAGCAACAGCAACCAATCCAACTACCACAACAGTACCAGCAACAGCTTCCTCCTCAACAAGTTTAGCTTCCCATAATTTTCTTTTCTTTTCATTTCTTTTTGATTAGTTTGCTTGCAATCAATTGTTTTTTCTTCTTCTTTTTGTGTTATTATTATTTTCTATTTTTTTTTTTAAAGCTGGACCTTTGTAAGATTTTGCAGGATATAAAATATATAACAGAGCATGGTATGCTTTTAGTGTCGTTATTAAATACTCAATACAAAAACTATCCAATACATAATTCAGAAAAGAAGAAAAAAAAAACTACAACAATTTTAAAGAAGAACAAACTTTTCTAAATTGTTATATGATTAAGTAAAGACTTAGGCTGAAAGATCAGACTATTGTCTGAAATTTTAGTGATTACATAATCCCATTATTGTATGCTTACTTATGGCTTGAATATTGAAAGACCTACAATCAAATACTTAGAAGTTGCTGAGATTATGATGGCAGTTGTCTTGCCTTTTAATTGGCTTCTTGTTCAACCCATTTTAATACTTATAAGATTTAGTGATAAATCAATTGGGAATTTGATTTGAAAATATTTTATTATATATTGATATAAAGGCTTTGTTATGTTTGGATTTTGTGTACTTTATTTATTTTAATGACTTAATTAGCAAATTCCTGTTTTTCACCCCTTTTTTTAAGGCATGTAATTTTTTTTATCCCATCCACAATATTTAGAACAAAGAAATGCGTTTAAAAGTCAACTACTGTGGCATAGCACAGATCTGGTGGATTGTTGAGAATCCACTTTCCACAATCATTGAACAAGTGATTTTAGATGTCAAGAAGTATCTAGAGGAACAACGCCTATTAACTCCCAAAACTGCTTTGGATGCAGAACAATCTCGTGATGGTTCTGAATCAAATGGACGGCAGCTAGTGATGAAGTTCAATGGATATATTGTTCCATCTAAGTTTAAAATTGGGCAAATTATGTTAAAAGATTCTGCCGTTGAGTGAGTATAAATAATTAATAGCAGTTTTTTTTTTTTTTTTTTCTTATTGATCTATTATTGACTATTTTAAGCATTGAAGATATTAAACTACCTGGAGCCAAAGGAACTGAACGAACAAGACGTAGAAATGAAAGAAGAAGGAGAGCACGAAAGTTGTCTAAGCCAAAAGTACACATGTTTATAAAAAAATCTATTAAAAACAATAGCGACAACAGTAATAGCAGCAGCGACAGCAGCAGCGGCAATAGCAGTGAAGATGATAGTAGTAGCAACAATGAAGACAGCAGTAGCAGTAGCAGTAGCAGTAGTAGCGAGAGCAATGATAGCAGTAGCAATAGCGACGACAATAGTGGAAGTGAAAGTGACTCTGAAAGCGATAGTGACTCTGAAAGTGACAGTGATAGTGACAGTGGCAGTGACAGTGGCAGTGACAGTGACAACGATAAGGATGGAGATATACTGAACGGTAGTATTTCAAAAATCGTAAAGCGACCGCGTTATGAACATTCTGATTTTTCAAAATCAACAGAGCTTATTAGTGATCTTAAGGGATCCACCAATGAGAAAACAGCTGATACATCTGCCAGCAGTTTTTCGCAAACCAAAACTTCTTCTTACAGTAAAGAAACTATGCTCACTGTTATTTCTTCAGAGGATACGGATGGTTTAGCTCAACAAATTAGTAAGTCTACCAAGATCCTGGAGTCGGCCAGCGAAACTGGTAGCCCAGAAGAAGAAGAAGAAGATGATGGGGAAGAGGAAGAAGAAGCAATTATTTTAGAAGAAGCCGAGGTTGTGACGGAACAGGATTTAGATATGGAAACAACAGATGATACAAAGAACGATGTGAATAATAATGATGAACCAAAAGAAATCCCATGGACTGAAACAAGAACACATGGAAGGCTTGTTCTTGGCCAAATCGAATGTATTAATCCTGGCACTTTACGCGTTGATCTTCCACCGTTTCCTTACGCTAGTACATATTCGAAAAATGTTGACGAAACACGCTTGGAGTACCGTGTTTTAGATCTCAATTGGCTTTCCAAGCAAAAGCGCAAAGTTCTTGCGAGCCGACAAACCATTAAAAAAACACAAGGCAATGATAACCAAATAGATCAATATTCGGACCGATTTATTTATGTTAGACCTGAAAAATTGCGCCGGGGGGACGTGATTGAGATTTCCAAAATGGTATTGGGCCCTCATGGACCAGAAAATCAAGAACGGGTTTATCTCATTCATGAAAATGAGGTTGATAGAAATACAGGATCATTAACTATGCAGGTAGCAAAGGTATTTGCAGATCATGATGCGGAGGTTGCAGGTGGATCTTCGTTTTTCAGTGCTGGACAAGAACCGGTACCTGGATCATTAGATTTTGGCATTTCTAAAATAAGCTACAAGGATTTGGATCAAGAAGAAATCTTGATTTTATTGCGAAACCATGTAGTGTACCCTAGTACATGGTTCAAAACATTATGATAAAAGAAAAAAAAACGAAAGGAAAAAAGAATAATTAAAAAAACCTGTCTATATATAGGGGGATTAAAAAAATGAAAAAAAATGTAATACTGATTTATAGAACTGAATGATTTACAGGTGGTTTGGAGGACGATTCTTCGGGCGGCTCGTCATCATCATCATCATCTTCTTCTTCATCGTCAGCTACAGCAGCTGTTTCTATAGGCACTGGCTGCAACGTATCAATATCTTTTTTATTCTGTTCGTCGTTGTCATTGTGGTTGTCATTTTCATTGTTATCTTCATCAATTTCTTTATTATTTTCATCGTCACTGTTATTGTCATCATTATCATCATTATTATCACTATCGTCACTGCTGTCACTGTCGTCGTCGCTGCTATCACTATCACTATCACTATCACTATCACTATCACTATCATCGCTGTCATCGTCACTTTCGTCGTCACTATTGCTATCACTATCGCTACTACCGTCATCACTGCTACTACTATCACTGCTGCTATCAGACTCTTTTGAGTTCTTTTTCGCAAGAGAATCGTCCTCTTCAGGTGTTAAGACTGTGTAATGATTCGGGAGTGCTGTACCTTTTGTAATAACAAAAATTGTCGGGAACTCAACGACTGATCGGTTCTGTAAATTGTCATGTATACTCTTAGATCCGTCTAAAAGAATAGCAACTGGTGCGTTTGCAGGGGTATGAACCTTTTTAAGATAATAACTGTAACGTGTTGAAATCACAGCATCTGTTTCACCTTCAGGAATACCATTCACTTTGGCATTGTCTTCGAGTTCTTGAATCCTTATACGTTTGCGTGGATTTAAATGCAGATAACGCACGGCTGTTTCTCCAAGAAGCTCTGTTTCGGGGATGTTGTGCGAGACTTTGGTTAAAAATTCGCTACTAGGAGATTTTTCAGAGTCACTTTTTTTCTCATTATCTTTTTCATCAAAAGCTTTGCGACCGGCATTAAGTAAAGAATTTAGCACACTTTGATTATCATTTTCAGTTTTGGTATCATTATGGGGTTGTTTATCTAGATTAGGCTCGACTTCTTTATACATCCATTCTACGGTCCATGCCCAATATTTTGTTTTTTTACCAGAGTATCCTGTTCTATTCAAAATAGCCCGAGAAAGACTTGGTGGCAGTTGGTATATATGAACGCCATTAACAGTTGTCATGTTTCTATTAAAAAATTGCGGGGCTGCCAAATTTTGAGATGACATTCTTTGCCGTTTAAAGTCACTGATATTATTATTATTATTATTATTGTTGTTGTTGTTGTTATTTTGACCACCTCGAGGACCTCTCCCCCCAGAAGCCATAGGACCACGTTTACGTTTTGGTTGGGGCATTTTTTCCGAAGTAATGTTAAGAGATACATGAAACCGCTGGTCAATGCGCTGGATAAAGTTGTAATCACGATTTAACTGGTGTTCGTCGGACAAGAGAGCACTACGTGAGCGGTATTTCGCCGGATCTATTTCTCCTGTGCATGACATTTGAGCTTTATGCTTTTTTGAGCATTGCAGAGAACATGAACGGGTTTCACAGGCTGGACATGTATATATCGGGAGGTTGATATGGCAGATTGGACACAAGTTCTGTAGCAGAGGCCGTGACTCTGAAGTGAGTGGAGGGGCAGGTTCTATAATGTCTTCATCTGGGAGTTCTGTAATCAAAGGTCTCGGTTTATATATAGAATCTGGTTCATTTGAAGGGGATTTTTCTTGATCTATATTTGACTGTTCCATTGTATTTTCTATATGGTTCAGGCTAGTTTACTGTGTTGGAAAAGTCCATGATAGATATAGATCAAAAAAAAAAAAAAAAAAAAAAAATTGGACTAAAATTTACTAAATCAGACTGGAATATACTAGTGTTGTTACAATTAAGTGTCATGCAAAGTTACACACATACACACACACACACACACACATTATTTCGGGTCTTTTTTTTTTGTCGAGCGGCTTTGTCGTGCATGGCGTTCTTATGTGAAAGCCTGAAATAAATGCACGCGGCCGGTGGCTGGCGGTCAGCAAAAATTATAAAAATGATGGCAGCAGCAGCAGCAACAACACCACCACCACCATCTAAAAAATTTAGGCAGCCTTTTGTGCAGCAGCAGTTCTATATTTTTTTTTTTTTTTTTTTTTTTTTTTTTTTTTTTTGCAGCACAGAACCCTCCTTCTCCCCCATAAGCGTACACACAACAGCCGCCTTTCTATTTTCTTTCTCTTACCGCACAACCACCATCATCACTTTTCATTTTATTCACCACCAAAGTCATCTTCATTTCGATACAATCAAATCACAATGGTAAGCCGAAAAAAACCCAATAAACCAAACTTTTCAACAGATTAAAACATATGATCCATTATTAATATTTGGTCTGGTACGAGAACGGTCTTGAAACAATGTACTAATTTTTTTTTTTTTTTTTTTTTTTTTTTTTTAATTCTAGTCAGCCCAAAACTCTGCCGGTATTCAAACTCTGCTCGAGGTACGTTTCCCAGCTCTTTAACCACGAATTGAAGGTAAATTTGAAAACAGGAGTTAAATAAACTTGATATTTTAAACGCGAGATTAATAAGATTAATAAACACAGAAGCGAGCTCTGGTGAAACTACAGCAACTCTTGACTTTTTTTTTTTTTTTTTAACAATCATTAAACACGCGTATTCTTGAACTTTTTTTTCCTCCCCAGAGTTTTTCAATTTTATCATTTTACAAACATTTAAAGTAACTCTTATGCTAACTTGAGGTTCCTTTTTTTTTTTTTTTTTTTTTCTTTTTTAGGCTGAGAGAAAAGCCCATGATATTGTTCAAAATGCTCGTACTTGTGAGTATACATTTTAAAGATTCATATTTTTCTACTTTTTATAAATTGCTAACTAAAGTCATTAATTCATTTAGTCAGAACTCAACGTTTAAAATCTGCCAAGGCTGATGCTGCTTCTGAGATTGAGGCTTACAAGAAGCAGAAGGAAGCTGAGTTCCAAAAGTTCGAGGCTGATGTAAGTTTACTTGTGAATTGAATTTATCTGCAACAATTTTTTTAACAATATTGTTTTATAGCACTCTGGTTCTTCCACTAAGGACGAAGAGGAAGCCAACGAGTCTGTTAAGTCTGAACTTGAGCACATCAAAAAGCAGGCTGCTGAGGGCGAGGCCCAGGTCATTGACCGTCTCCTGGAAGCTGTGTCTACCCCCACTCCTAAGCTGCACATCAATGCTTAAACGGATCTCTCAAACATTTCTTTCCGCATTTTATGTTTTCTTGCTAACAATTTTTTCTTTTGTACTACCACTAATAATAATACCTCTTGTGATGTCTTTCTCTTTCTTTTGGCTTTCTTTTTTAATTGAAGTCATTTGTTTTTTATTCATTTATTCATTTATTCATTCTTTCTTTTGGTCTGGAGAAACAACGTAGCCTCTCTCTTTTTCTCTCTCTCTTCCACCGTAGCCTGTTACGTAATTTCTGACAGAACACTGGCAATTTTGACAACAACAAAAAACCCTCTTTCAAATCACCATCATCACCAACAAAAACAAAAAAAAAAATCACCCAAAAACAATCTTTCCGCCTCTACTTTCCTTCCTCCCCCCCCCCCAAAAAAAAAAAAACCTCTTCTTACAATAAAATTTCTTTCTTTCTAGCTTTTTCTTACATATTTTTTTTCTCACTTTCAATTGCTTATTTAGATGATGATTATATTTAGATTTTGGTCTATATTTTAATAACAAAAAACCTAATCAGAACTACCCTAGTTGAATTGTTATTACATTTTTTTTTTATTTTATTTTTTTTTCACTCATCCGTTGGGTTATACACATACCTTCCCCCACCATCTACTCAACAATCGACCAATTTAGCATCGCAAACAATTTCTTTGTTTTTAACAACCAAATAAACTATTCTATTCTACAAAAATTACATCTTTAACTTATAAAATTTATTTATCTCAATTTATTTCATTTCATTTCATTTCATTTCGTTTTATTTCATTTGCATTGCCATGAACCTTTCTGACGATACTTTGGAGACTCTTCCATGGTGGAAATCTTCACATGTATGGACTTCTACGGATCCCACAATCTCACTAGCAACAACCGCCACCCTTCTCATTCCTGCAATATACTTTCTATACAGAGTTTTATCAAAAACATCACGCCATGAGCGACCAGTACTTTTTACTTTACCAACTCCAGAGCAAGCCCTTCCTCACTGGAAGGGCAAACGACTGTCACCCGTTTCTATACGAGACCCAAATAACCCAACACACATACAATGCTATTGCCCTGCAACAGGCCAGTTCCTAGACTCTATACCAGCAGCAACTACCTACGACATTGATGAAACAATAGAACGTACAAAACTTGCCCAGAAAGAATGGGAAAAAACAACTTTTAGCCAGCGACGAAAAGTCCTCAACACAATTGGCAATTACATTAACAACAACCAAGATGATATTGCTAGAGTGGCATGTAGAGACTCTGGTAAGACGATGCTTGATGCTTCACTTGGAGAGATTTTAGTCACTCTGGAAAAAATTAATTGGATTGTCAAGCACGGTGAAAAAGCTCTGAAACCTTCTTCACGTCCAGGTCCATCAAACCCACTCTTATCTTACAAGACTGCTGAGGTTGTTTATGAGCCTCTTGGAGTTGTCGCTGCACTTATTTCTTGGAATTATCCACTACACAATCTCATGGGACCGATTGTGGCATCTATTTTCTCTGGGAATGGCATTGTGGTCAAGTGTTCCGAGTCAGTCGTATGGTCATCCAAGTACTTTATTAAGATTGCCAAACAGGCTCTCAAAGTCAACGGATTTGATCCAGATCTCGTCAATGTCATTGCCTGTTGGCCAGAAGATGCGGACTACCTGACTTCTCACCCAAGTCTTTCACACATTACTTTTATTGGCTCGCGACCAGTTGCTGAAAAGGTTGTTATTGCTGCTGCTAGTTCTATGACACCAGTAGTTGTTGAGCTTGGTGGCAAGGATCCTTTTATTGTTCTTGATGACGTTACAAACAATACTAATTCTATGGAGAATATTGCTTCTTACATTTTACGCGGCACGTTTCAATCTTCCGGTCAAAACTGTATCGGTATCGAGCGTGTTATTGCACTTCCCAAAGCTTATGATTATCTTGTGAATTCTCTTAGTAAGCGAATTCCAGAGATAAGATTAGGATCTTCTATTGACCAACAAGACGACATTGACATGGGTGCTACTATTACAGATTTAAGATTCCCGGCTCTAGAAGAACTCATCAAACTAGCAGTGTCCCAGGGTGCCCAGCTTGTTTGTGGTGGTGTTCCATATCCTCATCCTAAATACCCTCAAGGGCACTATTTTACACCAACACTTTTAACTGGTGTCACCAAAGATATGGACATTGCACAACAAGAAGTTTTTGGCCCGGTATTGCTAATTTTTAAAGCAGAGAATGTTGATGAGGCTATTGATATTGCAAATTCTACTGAATATGGATTGGGTTGCTCTGTTTTTGGGCAAACTAAGGCAGATATTGAAAAGGTAGTGCACAATGTCAAGGCAGGTAATGTTTCTGTCAATGATTTTGCATTTTACTACATTTGCCAGTTACCATTTGGTGGCACCAAGGGAAGTGGTTACGGCAAGTTTGGTGGTGAGGAGGGTCTTCAAGGCTTGTGTCTGGCTAAATCTATATGCAGAGACAAATTCCCCTTTATTCATAGCTCCATCCCACGGCCTTTGGACTATCCAATTCCCGACGTAAAGCGAGCATGGAAAATTGCTAAAACAATTAACGTCGTCGGATACGGCTGGGGCATTTGGAATCGTCTTAGAGGCTTACTTGAATTGAGCAGAAGCACATGAAGAAACTTCTCTGAGAGAGGTGGGGAAAAAAAAATAAAAATAAAAATAAAATAAAGGAGAAAAAAAAAAGTATACTAGAAAATGGTACACTCTTTTTTTAAGATACATTATTATATCAATGGAACCATGATATAAACAAACCATAAGGTATAAATAACTTTTCTACTTTTATGATGGGAAAAATTACATAACGTTAAAGTTACGACTGTAAAAATAAATGATAAATTATTTTTTTTAAAAAAATATATATATATTTTGTTATTAAATTAAATAAACTACTAATGATGGAGAAGGAGGTTTTTTTTTTTTTTTTATCAAGTCAAGTCTCTATCAATGAAGTCTTTTGCAAGAGATATCCTGGTCTGTGAGTAAATTTGGTACTGGACAGCCCTACCAAATTTTTTTCTTTTTTTCTTTTTTTCTTTTTTTCTTTTAAATTCGCAACTTCAATAATGACCAGACACACTTCTTTACTTTAGTCTGCGTCACAACAATTCAAATGCCAAGATGCCAGTTTAAATACTCTAAAATGGTTTATTTCAATAGCTATGTATTGTTGAAAATGATGACATGCTATTTTGTCTAACTACTCCGACAAACACCCCGCTTCCGGAGGGATAGACCGGCCATAAGGAGTCAGTCAGCCTGGTTTTGTTTTCCCCACTCCAGCCCCACTACTATTTTTTTTTTTTTTTTTTTTTGTCTTTATCAATAGACAATTTATATAAATACTGGAATATCTTATTTAGAAACTTATCTTTTTGAATCACCTTAACCTTCTAAATGTTTTTATTTCTCAAAAATGCCCCAAGATTATCCTTCTTTTCAGACACTCCCGAATGATATTCACTTGGAGCTTCAGGAATATCTACCAAACAGTTCTCTTGTTGCAATCTATAAAACTTCTTTAGCACTAAGAAATATATATCAATCTGCAGCGTGGAGCCACTGCGAAGTAACATTTTGTTCAACAGATTATCATCCAATTCCAATTAATGCTGTTTTCCAACCTTCAAAATACTCTTGGTTTAAGAGCCAGTACATTAAATCAATTTCTTTTGATATTTTTTTTCAAGTAGTAGAAGATTTAAATGAAATAGTTGGAAGACATTTCCCATTTGATAAATATCCAAAACTCACTGAGATATCTTTCCTTACAGCAAGCTCATGGATCTACAATTATATTTATTTCCCAAACATTTCCTCACCATTATTACCTGGTTATAAAAGCGATAGTAAACTTAGGTTTAGTCTACAACCAAATACATCACAAGAGGATTTAAAAACTATTTTTGATAAAACAATGAGACGATACATGAGCAAGCTACAGGTAATAATTAGCAATAAATATCTGTTTTTCCAGGAATTACATTTAAATGTCAATATTCTACGAATGCTAACTCTTAATTTTGATGAAATTCCCGAAGTCTGTGCTTCAGACCTTTCAAAGCTTTCTTTAATCGAAGAGCTATTTATTCATTCAATGACTGTATACTATTCAGAAGGAGAAATTTATATATCAAGGAACTTGGCGAATATTTCCAACGTTAAACTTAATTTAAAAAAATGTGTTCTTCAAATTTGTGGGTTCTCTCGTCGTCTTAGATTCATTCCTATGACTTCTCAGCATACTTTTCCAATTATCAGTGAGATTAGATTTGACAATAATTATGATCCTCTTAGTATCAAAGATTTAATTACTCCCATTCGTTTCCCAAATATTAAGACTACTACGTTCCCTATGTCTGCCCAAGTTTTCAATTTAAATTGGGAATACCTATCTTCAGTAACTATAAATACTTATTGGGCTGCTAGTTTACCACTAAATAAAAATGTTTTTGATTCTGTTCCTTTTTTGCCAAATGTTACAAAAGTGTCTTTAGAAATTGATCCGTTTTTTCTAAATGGTGAAAAAGGCGTTGTTCTTTACTCCTATTTGGAGTATCATTGCAAGTCTTTGGCTCTCAAAAGACTTGATAAACTCACAGACGACTATGCTGACAGTAATTCCAAGTTAAAAGAACTTTTAAATGAATATAATACAACTGCTACTCCCCCGTTAGAAGAGTTTGAAATGGAAAAAATTTCAACTGCTATTAAAAGCTTAGCATTTAATCATATGGATAACGACTATGCACAATTAGACTTGAAGGAGATGTTTGATCAGTTTAATGGATTTTTTGGTAGTTTACGGCTTGTGAATTCATTTTTAAGTGAAATGGAGAAAAAACTTCCATCAACGCAATATCTTTTAATACAGGACGTGAAAAAGTATAGTTTCTTTTATCCATTGACCAACTTGATCAATTTATGCTTTGACCAAAAGAATCTTTTGCAAATTTTAATTAAATATCCAGTCCCTGAAAAAAAGAAACGGGAAATAGAAAGTGAAGGGTTTGATTTCAAATTTGACTGGTTAAAGCCAATTCCTTGGACTTATCAAAAGGTTGATAATAATGAATCTTCTATTTGCATTGATGTTGGTAAAAGAAGGAATTTTTCTCAAGAATTGATAAGTATTCCGGATCAATATTACCCTAATATAGATGAGTTGGATTTTAATGGATGGGTATAAAATTTATTATTTACAAGAAATCGTTAATGAAAACTAGTACAATCATAGCATTGTTGGTAGATTAATCTTTCATTGTAGCTGCTTCAGCCTGCTTTAAAACCTCGGCAAGTGTATTGCACTTAGCTTTGTAAGCATCCTCGATTTTGGTCTTGACAGTAAAAAGATCTGTTTTAGAAATAGTAACCTTTTTTAAGGCCTTCATTGCTTCGCCGCGAATGGAAGTCAATGACTTCTTGGTAGGAGAGTTCTTGAAATGTTCAAACTCATGTTTAAGATTCTTGATAATCTCCTTTTTAGTCTCAGAAGTAGTAGGAGGCAAGGGAACTCTGAGAACCTGTTCCTGCTTAGGATCAGGCTGAGGGTTCAGATTAAGATTGGCACCGATGACTGCCGAGATGATATGCTTGACATCTGCAGCATCAAAAGCGGTAATGGTGATTGCTCTAGGACCCTTCATTGCCACACGAGCAATGTTCTTAACAGGCTCTTCAGTGTGAGCTGCAGTTTTAACCACGACATTTTCAATAATGGCAGGTGTGTAAATGCCTTGACGAACAACCGTAATACGTTCCTTAAAATGGTCCACAGTAGCATCCATCTTTTGCTGAAGCTCTGCTATGTTAACGATTTCGTCCAGAGAAACAGATTCCTCGACCTCATCTGCAGCAGGAGCTTTTGAGCCACCCTTGTGGTCTTTACCTTTGCCCTTTTCCTTGCTAGCCTTCTTAAGGGTTGGCATGGAGCCAGAGAAATGTCTCTGAAATTGGGTTGGGTACGCAGAAGCTTGTGCCGATCTAATAGCAACAGGGCGGGTGGCTAACAGAGTAGCACGGTAAGATGTATTGACAGCATTGCCAATAGAACGACGTGAAGACTTAAGAGCAGTTTGAATAAGATAGGAAGACATTATTATTTGATGGATTTGAACAAAAAAAAAAAAAAGTGGAGTATGAAAAAGTGATGGTGAACAAAGCGAAAGGTGAAAAATATCAAAGCAAGGCACTTCCGAAGAAATCATCTGACCAAGTGCTAAATAGCTTTAATATTATTAATAATTAATTACATAATCATTTAATTCAAAAGTTTGAAAACTTTTCAAAAAAGTTGAGTATTTCAGAAACCTTCCAACAAGTTAGGCATAATATATATATATATATATATATATATTTTAAATTTATTGATATAAATAGTAATTATGTCTGAATGTAGATAAATATTTAAATATTTAATCAAAAAATCACTTAAAAAGCAAGAACAGTAAGGATATCTTTTTTTTTTTTTGGCGAAAATCATATTCTGTTACACCGTGAGATTGATTTTAGTTTTCAAGATATTGCAAAATGCTCGTAAATCGTTAAAAAAATTGAATTCAAAAGATTTCAAATAAAGCTGATAAACTGAATTTTTTAAAAATTCTCAAGTGTGTATATATATTGTTTTGAGATTAAAATTGAGTTCTCAAGAAGTCATTCCGGGACCAAATGTAACAAACAATTTATATAAAAGCTTTTTTTTTTTTTTTTAAGATGCTCTAAAAAGCTTTACTATCAAATAAAGAAATGAACTGACAAAAGCAGTCAATAAAATTGTATAAAAATAAAGGCGAAAGCGTTCTTGTACAACTAATAACGGTGGTCTGGGATGATATTGCTTAAACGGTCTAGTTCTCAGTTTTGCCATTTTTTTTTAAAAATTTTTTTTTTTTTAATTACCTTAAAATAATCAGAATTCTTTGGAACATTTACATATTATATACTTTTTTATGGAATTTTATTTTTGAAATTTTTAAATGATCTTACAAATTGTTGTGTCGAACATAAAACATGTTTAGTCATGAGTTTTTTTTACAAATAATTTTAGTTTTTACTCTGTTTTTTTTAGTAATGTTTATACTTGTTTTTAAGCATATTTGGTTATAAATGTTTAGGCCTCAAAAAAAAAAACTTTTTTTTTGTTAAATGTTTGTTCAAAAGGCCAACTAATGTTATTTATGTCCTTTAACATGATTAAGTAAACTTGTGTTTAGCAACTAACTATATCTAACTATATCTAACAATAGAATAAAAGTTACTAAACTTCATAGTTTTTTTAATCACTATCTTTATTCAAATTATTAACCAAGTCTCATTTTGAATTGATTCTTGTTACACCATAGTTGTGGAATAGTCAATGCTTAGACCAACAGAATCTAACCTGCTACAAAAAACTAGAATTGCTGTAAAAGTATCACTATTAAAAAATTAGAGAGAAACAAAAAGCTAATATTTTCTTTAAAAAATAATTTATAGATTTTATGCTTAGAACAAGCTTTTTTAATAGTAAATTTACGAACACACTAATATATGATATTTACCATGTTCTATCTTAATAAAATATATATATTTTTTAATTAATTCAACCAAGAAAGAGGTTATTCTATTTTAATCTTTTATTATAGTATCTCAAGACAGTTCAAATAAGAAATAATGTAAAAAAAACATGTGGCTCGAGGCTCAGGTTAATCTTTTGTAGTATTTTATATAGCGTCAGTTTTAAACTGCTAATAAGTTACAAAAAATTTACAGCGTTCGTAAGCATGATTAGCTTTTTAAAGTATTTGTTATTTTTTTTTTTACAAACATTAGTATAAGACTTATTTTTTTTCAATCGGGTATTTAATCGAAAAAGTGATTGTCCTTTTTAAACATACTATAGTTTACCTAATATGACTAGTTCATTTTTTTCTTTATAACAAACCAAAAAAAATTCAAAAAGTATAATTGAATTATATGAAATTAGGTATTTTTGCTATATATATTCCTATATTTTTCTTCTGATGTTGAATTTTTTAACCAATTCACATTATTTATTTTCTATTTTTTGTTTGTGTATATCTTTTCACAATGTCTATCTCACCTGAATCGTTAACCTTGCCTGTCACAGAGGCAAGTGACGAAAAAAAATCAATTCAAAATTACACTATGAGTTCTGAAGTTAAAATTCTTGGAATCCCTTATCATGTCAAAAATCATTTTGTTGCAATGACAGGGGAATTTTGTGGAACTTTTTCATTTTTGCTTTTTGGCTTCTTTATTGCACAAATTGCTAATCAAGACACCTCAATTCCTGCTTCAAGCTTGCAACCCAATCTCACTAAACTTTTGTTTATATCTTTTGGTTTTGGTTTTAGTTTAATGGTCAACGTTTTTATATTTTACCGAGTTTCAGGTGGATTGTTTAATCCAGCCGTCACACTTGCATTGACTTTGGTTCGAGCAATTGATCCAATCCGTTGTGTTCTTTGCTGGATTGCACAAATCACTGCTGGTATGGCTGCTGCTGGTGCTGTATCAGCCATGACACCCGGTCCAATTATGTTTAATGTTGGCCTGGGTGGAGGTGCTTCCAAATCTCAAGGTTTGTTTATAGAAATGTTTGGCACAGCATTACTTATTGGATCCGTTTTGTTTTTGGCTGTAGAAAAGCATAAGGGAACTTTCATTGCTCCAATGGTGATTGGATTTTCATTGTTTGTGGGACATATGTATGGTATTTATTATACTGGTGCTGGTTTCAATCCCGCAAGAGCGTTTGGATCTTGTGTTGCTTCAAGGTCTTTTACTCATTATCATTGGATCTATTGGATCGGTCCGCTTCTTGGGATGTTAGTGTCTGTGACGTTGCATTACTTACTCAAGTTTCTCAACTATGAAACAACAAATCCTGGTCAAGATTCTGACTGCTAGTATAAACAAAATAAATAAAAAACGGAAAGAAGAGTGTGATTTTTTTGATCATTTTAAGAGAAAACCCCGCAGAAAGTTTAATAAAAATTTTTTTTTTTGAGTATTTATATAATTTATTGAGGCATACATTAAATTAATAACATAATTTTTTTTTATATATTAATATAAGAACAACATAAATATGGAAAGTACTAGTACACCTAGTTTTGATAGGACTTGTAATTGCCCACAAATTTTTAAAAATGGTGAAGATGCATAAACTTACTTGAATAAAAAAAAGCAAAAATAAGAAAAAAAAACACTTTAAAGATGGGAAAAAAATTCAAACACTAAAATTGAGGTGTCTCGCACAAAATAAAGCAACTAAAAATTATATTGAAAAATAGTCCTTAAGGACTATCAAAGCTGTGAATATTGAAAAAAAAAAAGTAAAAAAAAACAAATTAATAAAATCAATAATAGTTTTAATTTTTTTTTAAAAAAATGAGAAAATCTCTTTGGATTTTGCAACAGTTTCCTCAATAATTATTATTTACAACCTTATGGTTGCAAATAACGTCTCTTGAAGCCAAAAGGAAAAAGAGCCAAATATCAGTCAGTTGATTGGTAATAGGTAACTTCTTATTGGCTTGAACTTTTATAAGAACGAAAAAAACAAACTTTAGCCGTATCAAGTTTAAATTGAATTTTAAATGAATTCCATGTATCTGGAATTTTTTTTTTTTTTTTTTTGATATTTTGAAAAATTTATTTAAAAGACTATTTTAAGATATGATTATCAGAGATATGTAAAAAATTTAAACATGTGAAGACAATTTTGAGGCAATTGAACTTGTATATTTACAATGTTACGTCTTTAGTTCTAGATTGAATTCTAGATTTATTTCGAATTAAAATATAAGCCACTTTTAAACATATAAAAGTTGGATATAATATCCATATTTGGAAATTGAATACGTTTACTGAAATAGTTGATCTGTATTAATTGAATACTGATGTGTACCAATATTTTAATAATTTTTTTTTATTTCAATTCCATTTTCATTTTAGCAAAAACCTTTTTAGCTATATTTTTTAGTTTTTTTTTAGTTTTTTTTTTATTTTTTTACGAAGATATTCAATTGAATTAATATGGTGTAATATTTTTTTAAAAGCTAAATAGATGTTTTTTTTTGATAGTAAACGTTTCTAAATTATTTTAAATCAAATTTGTAAATTTATATAGAGTAAATTTTGATTGAAATTTTTTTTTAAATTTATCTTATATATACAAATTTATGTTTTACAAAAGAACAACTTAAAAAAATAGAAATGACAAACTGACAATATAAGATCAAGTAAACCAATTGACTTAATAAAAAAAAAACCAGTATAAATACTCTGGGTACCACCGAAAAAATATTCATATTTTAAATATATATATAAATCTTTAATAAAAAACTAAATGTTGCCTAATCTAAAAACAGCTCCCAAGTGGAGGTTGCAATAGTGAGTAAAAACATTAATCAATGGGGTTATGCTTATTTAAGTAATTTAATACATTAAAAATGGTGGGTTGAGGTTATGTGGTAATTTATCAAAATCTCCTTGGTGCAATTGAAAATCAAATTTGTTAGACCAAGAGTGATAATGAGCTCAGTATTCAGTTTCTTGCCCTATAATAAATGGAGTGTAAGTGGTTAAATGTTTATACTGATTTCTCAGGCTACGCTGGTGAACAGGAAACTCGATTCTTCCATTCAATGTAATTAGCTTGCAAGCGATTACGGACTGTATACATTGCGCAGGGTGTTAAGAAAAATTAACGAGTGTCCCTGAAGAGAAACAGAAATAGTTTTTGGTAGGTTTAGGACCGACATACCGATTCTCCATGTTTTTTTTTTCGTAAGTTGGCATTACGGTCCATCTTTCGGGTTATCGGAGGTGCACTGATCGAAACCACTTGTACCGAAAAGGTACATTAAATAGACGGCACATCGCCAAAGTTAGTCAATTGAAAGGATATCATTGATGCTACTACACTTCTATTTCTTATAAGAAATATTTAATTAAATAAAAAATAAATATAACTACTATATAGTATAGTTTATTATTGATGGTGCAATTGCAATCATTCCTAGATAATTCCACAATTCTTGAAAGTAGAGGAAACTAGCACGGCTTTATACGTAATTAGGTAAGCTTATTAGGTTACATGCTTTTTTTTTTATTTTTTTTTTCTTTGGATTGGAGATTGAGATTGGGAAAGAGAAGATTTATTTTTTTAAAGAAAAAAAATTAAAGATTAACTTGACTACTAAATAAATAACGAAACAATAAACACACAATTTTTATATAAAAACAAAAAAAAAAAAACCCAGAACAAATAATATGCGAAAGAAAATATACTAAATAACTAATAACCATTTTTTTTTCTTTAAAAAGAAACCCATGAAACCTTTACTGGAGAGCAATTTTAGTAGCTTTTTCAGAAACCTTCTGCAACAACCCTTTTTTAGGCTTAATATTGAGAACATCCTTAAATTGAGTATCGTCAACGACACACCATTCGCTACCAGTATTGACAATTGAATCTTCAACGTTTTGCTCCGTTTTGTTAGCGGAATCCGCATCGCCAGTGTTCCAAATTTGGTTGACTAAAGATTCAATTTCTTCCATTTCTTGGTAGTACTTCTTAATGTTATTGCGAACCAAAGTTAATTGCTCAGCAACTATTTTAGGTACATCAATCATCTCCTGTTCCAAGTCAGTGATGGGAGTACTAGCAATTGTTTTTTCATCATCAGAGTCCTTATCAGTATCAATACAGACAGAAGCACTGGTAGCATCAGCAGCGATAGCGGCAGCAGCTACAGCAGTAGTAAGATCTTCATTTTCCTTGAGCTTCCGTTCTTCCTGAGCCTTGTAAAAAAGAAGAGCAGACTTCAATGAAGATAAGGGATCCTGGAATTCCTTAGACTTGACTAGCCAGACTAGAAACCCACGTTCCTTGTTTCTGTAAGAGCTCCAAGAAACGCCACTTTCAGGCCGGGCGATATGAATTTTATACTGAGGGAGATTCAATTCAATATAGTTTGTCAACAAGTCAAAATGATCCTAAAAGAAAAAAAAAAACCTAATTGTTAGTTGACACGTGCATAAACAAACAAGTTTTGAGTGAAGATTTTAAGGTTTAGTCTTCGAGGGGATTAAAATTTCTAAGTTAAAAGCACACAATCGCTGAGAAACCATGATAAGAATATAAATATGAAGAATCAAAAACCTTTTATAGAATTTTTTTTTTAGCACATACTTCAAAAACCCATCGAAGAAAAAAGAGATCATTATCAGAAAGCTCAGATCCCTTAACATAGTGAGGGGTTTCAACGGGCATTATCTCTGCATGAAAGAAAGGGGGAGATTGTGTAAAATCACAAGTGCAAGAGAGTAAAATATGGTTGGAATCCATTTTGAAATAAAAAAAAAATCAATTGACGAAACTAGAGGAGGACGACAGAAAAGCCTAACGACTGATGGCAAGAGGTGATCGTTAAATAAAAGAGCGATAAGAAGAAAGAAAAAAAAAAAAGGAAAGGAAGAAACAAAAAAAAAAAAGAAAAGGAAGAAAGAAAGAAAGAAAAATAAAATAAAATAAAATAAAATAAAAGGGCTAGTATTATTATACTATTATATTATATTATACTATACTATACCATAATAGTAAATAAGAAAAATTTACAGGTGTTCACTACACAATAGCGGATGACCAGGTTATCGCGCAACAAGTTTGATAAGAAAGCATTTAAATTTGCAGTTACATTACACTTTGCTCAGTGAAACTAGGACTCAACTACATATATGAACTATAACCGTATTATTTAGAGAAATTGAAACAAAACAAAAAAAAATAATAATAATAACAATAGTAATAAATATTAAGCAACTATGAGTTTTTCTTTTGTGATTTTATGAAGAAAAATAAATCACTCGAAATTTGGTACTCCGTTATCTTGACGATTATTTTTAATTGATCTTTACGTACAAACATGTGTGTGTCAACCATGTGTATATATATGCACCATATCCTGAGCCGTGCATAATATTATATAATGATTAATAATAAACTTATCTCCAGCAACTGTACCCGATGTTAAAACAACTCCAATCGGGGCATCACGAACATAGGCATGCTTGACCTAATTGTTTACAGCATCAAGATAAAACAAGCCCTTGTTCTCTAAAAGTTATTATAATATTATAAACTAAACATGTACACCTATTGATTACAAATAAATATGTTGTTTTTCAGACGCTACCCAATTACGCCAAGCTTGACGAAACCCTCGTTCCACGTCTCTTACCCACTGCTGCGTGTCAAAAAAATTACTGATTTCCCGTTGCTCAAACAAAGTCCGACGAATTTCTTCGAGACGCGTGCGACCTGCGCTCGAGCCTCCAAAATAACATAAGCGTGACTGATACTCTTCATCTGATCCTACAATCAGTTGCTCGGCCATGGCCTGACCTGCTTGAGTATTGGGGAGTGCAGCAGCTACGACCGAGGCTGCTACACGCGAACACATTTTATACTTGTATCGAGGAAACGTTACAATAGGAGTTCCGGACCATAGCACATCAGCCGCTGTAGTATGTGCATTGCACTCAGGTGTATCAACAAACACATCACAAGCACGAGCACGCAAAATGTGTCTACTTTTTTCGGCAATAGGTGTAAATATGATGCGGTCAACAATACTTCGATCATTGTTTGTCCATCTCATGGCCGCCAGTTTCAGGTTCTCCTCACCTGACTTTGGAAATTGAAGTAACCATAAGTAAGCATGTGGTAACTTTGAAAGAATCTGTAGCCACACCATGAAGGTCGTAGGGTCAATTTTATACAACTGATTGAGATTGCCCATCAGAAATGCATTTTGAGGAAGCTTTGGAAACAAAATTTTACGAACCTCTTTCCGAACCTTGTTTTCCATTTCCCAAGTTAAATCTCCAGGTGTGGTAAGCATTTGCTCTAAAAGAAGACTTTGTTCCTTTTCATTAGAAACTGGTGACCCACAAACTGACTTGTCTGCTTCCCCCGCCTTCCTAGAGACATTATCGTCGTCTCTTTCTTCAACCACATTATCGACCCGTGGCATTTTTGGCGCCGGCGGTTGATGTTCCAGAAATCTAAACCTTCTGCTTTCTGATCCATCTTTCCCAGAAACAGTTGATGGAACCTCGCCCGTTTGTGCTTGTTTGTTTCTTTGAGCAAGACTATCCAATGCACTTTGACGATGATCACAAACAAAAAACGATCGTGGCATGTAAATGATTTTTTCCCTATATACCCACTCTGGGTCATTTTCTTTTTGGTACCCAATCGAATACTTGTCTCCTAAAAGGTAATCACACCATCCACCCCCGAGCGATCCCGCAAACCCAATTAGCGATATCTGGACTGGACATGGACGAACCGCAAATATGTCATTACGGGCACCACGTGTAAATCCATTCAAATTCACTAAAATATGAACACCATCTGTTTGAATTTCTTTGAGAACTTGCTCAGTATTCCAGCTGCTCACATCTTTAAACTCATGGCTTTCTGTTTCGATTTTCTTACGATAAGAAGAATTGTCGGATGGCGTGGTGGCATAAATAATTGCATGAATTCTTTGTCGGTCATGAAAACCAAATACACTTTGCATCAGATGAGCTAATGGATGATCCAAGAAATCAGATGAAATATATCCAACAACCAACTTGCCAACATTATTTTCTTCTAACTCCTTTTCTTTTTCTGAAATTCCTTCAATTGGTTTTGGAGGAGGTGGGGGTAGAAATACATTATCAGGAAGCCAGCCCTGCATCAATGAAGATACTGTAATTCGAATTGAAGTGCGCTGTGAAATTTGAGATACTTGTGATGCATTGAAAGGAATAGTAAATGCATGAAATGGCAAAATGGTTGTTGCCAAAGGAATCGGTAGACCAGATGGAATCTTTGGTCGAGGATAATTTGAAGCATCTTTTTCAACACCTTTCAATCGGTCCATATACCATCTGTGCTGGCTGACCGCTGTAGCATGCTCAATGAGTTCCACGATTCGAGTTCCTTCATCTTTTTTATTCATGAGAGAGGTCCAAATGTTGATCCAATGATTTCGGGTAGAAATGGCTTGAGGACTAGTGCCTCGTAAGTTGACTGAATTCCCTCCAATGGCTTGAGCAACTTGTGTAATTATTGAAGGCTGTCCTTCTTGAAATGCTTTGATTTCAGATTCAATAACACCAATACCCCAGCGTCGAGCTTCCTTGATTTGTTTGTCAACAATACCAATAACGTTAGATACCCAACCATCTAGTCTCCCACATACTAGTCCACCCTCGGATGTAACAGCCACTTTTTCCCATCCCCAGCTACCACGCCCTTTCCAATCACAAACTGAAGATCTAGAATTTGCCAAACCTGATACTGCTTCGATAAAGTCTGGCGAGCATTCGACTGCTTTTTGATAGTAATGAATGCTTAAATCAATTTGGCCTTGGTCTCTTAGAGCTGAAGCCAAATTTGTAAGGGCAATATTAAAAGTGGGATTACATTCAACTGCTTTGCTGTACATTTCAATTGCTTGTTTTGCCTGTCCTTGGCCTCTTAAAAGAGACCCAAGATTTGTGTAAATGTGAGTGTTTCTCTTATCAAGAAGTAAACCAAAGTTGTAAAATTGCATTGTCAAAGCAAAAAATCCTTTTGAAGGTGACGAAGAAGAAGAAGTTTTTGAACCAGTATTACTATTTGCGTTAGCATTGGTTCCAGGTTCAGGAGAAAGCGATGACAAGAGAATACCAATATTATTTGCAGTACTTGCACTTGGATTTAATGAGAGCGAAAGCATGTACAACCCTAAAATATCGTAACTTGTGGGAACATTGCCATTTAAATACAAGATGCGAGTTGGAATGCCCGAACAGATTCCGTCTTGAAAAATTTTTGCAAGGTTCAAAAGAGCGTTACTGACAACCACATCTACTGAGTTTTGTTGAACTTGTAACGTTGTGACCGAATTGTTTGGTTTGCTTTTTTCTTGTGGGCTAGTTGGGGATGGCAGTTGTTTTGAAAGGCTGTGCTTTTCAGTTTTAACTTCATCTTTGAAAGTGTTCAAACTTTCACTTGTAGAGTTGGTTTTGGTACTTGAAGTAGCAGATTTGGTAGGCTTAGTAATAGATGCGATATGTATGCCGTTGTTGACTTTGATATCGGCTTTGTATTTTTCCCATTCAGGTGTATTTGCCTTACTTGGAAGCTTACCCATGGTTGGAAACATATAGTATTTGCAAAGAAGAGCATGCCGTAAAGGAATAATGAAGAGACTGGAGTTAGCTTCACCACCCTCCTTAAAATGGGCAGCATTGTTGTTTCCAAAAATACGATGAGTACTGTCACAAGGTGCTGCAGGTGTATTTTCAATAACATGTTTTTCTGAAAGTTTCACTGCACGAGATATTTGTGTGATAAGACTGGGAATGAAAAGTTGCGAACCATCTTCAGCATTTGTAGCAAAGGAAGTGGAACTAATTCCAGTTGTAGGCCCTTGATTAACTTGTTGAGAGACTCCAAGCATATCTGGAGTAATATTATCGTCATTTAATGCAAGAGCAATGAGATTAGAAAAAGTTAGTGCTGCTTCGTAAAACATATTTTTTGCAGAGTATGTTTCACCAAGTGTATGGTGTAAAGAAAGGTACTTCCACCATTGATGTGGAGTCTCCTTCATATCATTCAGATTCAATGAGTTGATTGTTTTAAAAAGAAAAAGAAGAACATCATCTTGTCTTTTTTGAGTATTCAATAAAGTTACAATCTGATCAATTGCATCCCAATATTCAGGTCTTGCAGCAAGTGCTTCCATCCAGTACGTTTCAGCATATCTCTTTTGTCCACAAGTATTATATACCATTCCAATACCAAAGTTTGCTTCAGGGCTATTAGGGGAAACTTGTAAAACCTTTTGAAACGAAATGAGAGCTCTATTGTGTTCATTTAACGCCTTTAATTTGGTCAGTTCTAATACTCCAATATACTTGTTGCAAATTAAAAACTTACGTTAGCCATATTGCCAATGATTAAAAGAGAATTTTGATAAAGAGTCAAAAGATTAGGTTGCGGGCCATTTGGTGATGATTGCGAAAACATCAAAGATATAACATGTGCTTGGATGACGTCAAATATTGCTCGGCACCCGGATTGTAAATTTGGCTGCTTTTTTTGCGCTAAAAGTTGAGCTAAATGTTTATCGTTAACAGCACCATTTGCCATACTTCTGGAAGTTAAAGAGGTGTAAATAACTTCATTCCAGCATTCAAGACAATCCAAGACAATATTCAAAATGGTTGTGTTGATCTGATTTTGCTGAAATTGTTGGAAAGTGGTACAAGCTAACTCAAACATAGATTCAAGTTTTTGAAGGTTGTCCTGTTTTGAACTAAAATAACTTTGTGCAGTAAGTTCATACTCGGAAGCAGTAGAATTGCCATCCTGATCTGTATCTGTATTGTGAGGGGATGAATGTGATTTTGACGAGAGGTGTGTGTGTGAGTTAATTTGCTCCTGACCTTCATACAATTTGTAGTGCGCACTACTATCTGCAGGAGTGTGCAAATAATGGTTAAGTTTTTGCGAGGGATTTTGTTGTCGCCGGCGAAGATCAAAATTATAGTTTCTGCCTTGTTCTTGTTGACTGAGTGGTGACGTACTTATATCGCCTCTATAAGAAAAAAAAAATGGTTAATGATCGTTCAAATTCATACGGGGTAGTGTACGTCTAAAAAAAATCACAAGGCTGAAAACAATTATTAAAGTCTGCGGCATCCCTGAACAGAAAAAAAAATACGGACTCTTTCTTTTCAGTGACTTTTTTTTTTTGATTTTTTGTAGATTGGATAAAAAAGAGGTAAAAACTTACTCTTTGTATTGACCATAATCAGTAGGGGGCACATATTTGCCTTTGTTTGTTGGAGGATTAGACCCTTTAAACATTGAACAGTCTTTTGAGCTTTTTGAAGAGTTGGGAAATGAAGAATCCCATCGTTGCTGAGAGTTCAAACGATGGGAGTCACGCGGTTCTTTTTGTATTAGACAAGCAGTATCAGGGGTTACTTGTTTTCTAGGAGAAGATGGTGAAGATGAAGACGACTGCACAGAGTCTCGTTTTTGTAACTGAACAGATCCCATTTTTTTTTCTATTTGTACTGAATCTAAGATGTAAGGGAAATCACAAGATATTTAATCTTTAGTTAATCAGAATAATAAAAACATAAATTTGTAAGAAACAAAGACAATTTGAATAAAGGCTATTTTTTATAAGTAGATTGCTTGTATTAATAGTGTGAGCAAAGTAAGAGGCTTTAAAAACTAGGTTGTCAAAATGAGTTAGAAAGTATGATAAATTGCCAAAGGAAGATGTAAAAATATTGAAAATGATAAAAATAATGAAAAGAAAGAAAAGAAAAAGAGTAAGTGGTCAAACGGGAGAAGAAAAAAAAATATATATATAAAAAAGTAGACAAATCTCTTAGTAAAATAATCTTCAAAGTTTAAAAGACTTGTATATTTACTTACTGAAAGTTTTGAACTTTAAGACTAATTTAAAGCAAGTTTCCATTAATAATGCGCTAAAAGCTTTTTTTTTTTTTTTTTTTAGTATACGGGTTTTCCTTATTCTCCAGATTGAAAATTTTAAAAAAAAAACACTGCCCATGAAATAAGGGAAGCCCATTAGCTGTGCAGTGGAATTAAGTATACGATTATAACTTTTGAACACATCAGGCCCTGCAACATGGACCCGCTTAGATTGATCAAGGCGTTATATGGTTTTAGCAAAAAGTAAAAGATGAGATCGTGCAAATTTTTTAACTAGGAAGACAGTAATTTATATCTAATTAAAAAAGTTTCGGGGCATTGACAAGTGCCTATCGGTAACGCACTCCACAATGAAGTCAATTAAATTAATATGGCAAAGTGATAATGGTTCGCTCTACAAAAACAGACGCCAAAGAAAGACAGTTTACAAAATGGTTTAAAAAACAGAAAAGGATGTTGTGTGATGTAAAATCATAAGGAAATAAAAAAAAAAGAAGAAGTCAAAGGAAGAAAGAAGAAAGAAAATCAAGTTTTTTGCACTAAGTCCTGCATAAACCGTTTCTTTTCTGGATGTCAGAAACATATCAAAGACGGAAAAAGAAAGGACTGATTGATAATTTCACTTTTTTTCCGATGCTAAATAAAGAATTTGAGCAGAGTTGTAATTGTTGGTGGATCAGAAAATCTTTTTTTTTATAACGAACAAAATAATAATCTAGTTTTTTTTTTTTTTTTTGGATTTTATTTAAGACCAGATCAACTTGTTGACTATTTTGTTTAGCCTAGGCTTTAAAAGTCTTTGATCACTTATTGCTTTAATCCCCCGATGCCTCTTGCTTCCTAATTTTATATGTACCTTTAAAACCTATGATATCATAGCATAATACCTTGTAGATGGTATTGCATGTAACCCTCCTTCTAAAAAAAAATCATCAAAACAATTAAAATAAAACGTTTTCCTTCGGCTTTCTAAAATCTTGATTAAATTTCGATGATACTCATAGTATTATGTATAGACGTATCTTTCAGGTTAAGAGGTTCCCGTCCCCCCCCTAATTTGTGGTTTTGCGAACTGTTTAATATCCTGATATGACCATGACTAAGGTCTGATTGTTTTTAAACTTTAAAAAAACACACCGACAGCTTTTTTGGCAATACATTTAGTATTTAGGGCGTCACACATGCTTAAACCACTAAGACATAGACAAAAAAGTAAGTTTTCTTGCAAAGATGTTCTCTTACTGAAGTTTTTCAATGATAATGGGAAATTTTATATTATATTCAAAAAAAATGAGACTCATCCAGTTGTTTTTTCAAAGACGGTCCTATTGGTTTATAAACCACTAATTGCTAAAAAAAACATCTTTTAAAATGAAGTTGACGTCTAGTATTAAAGGAACTCATTTTTATAGATTTTTTGAACAAAATCAATAATAAAGATTTATTTTTGAAATTTGATTCAAAAGCAATTATATATTTATTTCTCCTATTTGCAAAATGTTAAAAATTTTAACAAAAATAACTTGAAAAGAAATAGCTCAGATTTCTGAAACTTGCATTTTAGCGTTAGCAACAAAGCGTCATGTATTAAGGAATTTTAAAAACTATTATCCCCCTAATTATTATTATTAAACACCTCAAACAATTGTAGTTACTTTAATATATTAATTTTTAAATACTGTTAATTTTCAAGACTTTATCTTCTGACATGGTTAATGCTGTCACAATTAATATTGTTGGTGTTTAAATTTTAATACTTTAAATACATCAACGTTTTTTACTCATGTTTTCACTATTCCTGCATTCTTTTAAAAAAATCTACAACTGTTTGTATTCGAACAAATATTTCAATAAAAAAAATGTTGATTCTGTTAATTCTTACCAATAACTGGCAATTCACCAAACAACTGTAAATCTCGTCATTTTTTATACCATAAAAATTAATTCTTTTCATTAACTGATAAATCTGTCACCCTGATTCAAAAAATCCTAAACAGTGTATTTGAACCAAATATCCTTGTTTATGACTCCTTAAGTCTCATATTTATGACTTCCACGCTTTTTTTTAATCTACAATCTGATACTACCAACTAAGCGGGCTAGGCTGTAATCAAAGATTTTTTTTTTCTTTTATTATTATTTTTTTATGCTAAAAACATCGCTTACTTTTCAACTAAGATCATTGATTTTTCTAGCTCTAATTGTTACAACGATTTATTCTAATTAGAATAGATTTTATCACTAATTTATTTATTTGTTCATTTATTTATTCATCTGTTTTCTTTAATTTTCAAATGCTTTTCTTTTACGTACATATAGACTCTGTTTACTTGTCCGTTAATTCAGGTGAGACTAATCTGGGACAACGAACCCTTAATAGCATGTGGTTATCGGTTAGCGGTATAAAAAATAACCTGTAAATTAAACACATGCATAAAGGTATACTATTATTTTTTTTTTTATAAAAAATCAAAAAATCTTTAAAAATTACCATTTCATTAAACATTACATATTAAAACAATTGAAAAATTAAATCTTTATTTAAAGGAAGAGGACACTTCCAACAATACCGGCAGCCACAGCTACAGCACAATTAATGTTAGCTCCAAAAGAGGCTCCATTAACTTGTGGGACTGTAGGCGAAACAGTGGCATTGTGAGAAGGAGAGTGGGTAGCAGTTGCATTGGGAGTCGCTGTAGTATGAATGACAGAGGTTGTGTGTGTAGCTGTACTGTTGTGTGCAGCAGAGGTAGTGTGAACAGCAGAACTGGTAGCGACAGTTGATGTTTTAGCAGTACTAGAAGCAACCGAAGAAGCACCAGAAGAAGACTCATCCCACAAGACACGAAAGATGACATTGTATTTGGTATTAGTAGTAGTAACATCACCAGAGTATAAAGCATAAACGCTGTTCTCAAGGACGGCAGAAAATCCTTCTGTGCCATCGGCAGAAAAGTAAGTTCCATCAACGTCAAAAGTAGAAGGAGTAGAAGAAAGGACAATAGACTTATCCGAAGCAACTGCAAGGTAGAGGTCGGTTCCCTTAACCTTGACATAGCCTTCGGTAGTAAAAGTACCAGTAAAATAATCTGAACTAGAACCAAGTACCAACTTGTTGTCAGAAATGGAAGGAGAAGTAAGATGAACAGGAGAGCCTGATCGAATAGTGAGAAGACCAAAGCTTGCACCAGGAGTAAAGGCAGCCTGAGCAAGAGCAGCCATTGAGGCAAAAGACAAAACAATAAACTTCATTTTAATTAATTATATAGATAGCGAGCGTGCGATTATGAGTTTTTTTTATTTTAAAACAAATGATTTCTTTGAGGAAAGAAAATATAAAAGGATAAAAAAAAAAACCTGGAAATCCATTTCCTTTTTATATGAAAATGTCGGACTAAGGCGATTTGATTTTTAGCAAGCCCAGCTTCTGAACAATGGCATGGAAGTTGCAAGTTAAAAGGCATTAAGCACAGTGTAGAAACGAAAACGTGTGTTAAAAATAGCATCAAATTGTGACCTCGAACGGCTGCATAGCGTCATAGCATTAGTATGAGGTAATTAACAATGGTTTTTATGGCATTGCATTTCTCCAGCATTAAGAACAAATTAAGAACAAATTAAGAACAAAAGAACTTCAACAGCCACATTTCGTTTCAATTGCTCTGATGGCTTAAGAATTTTGATGTAAATTGAATGATGAAATATATAATTCTTATTTTCATAATGCAAACAAATTGTTATTAAAAACCTTTTAAAAATTTTTTTTTTTTATTTTCTAATTTCTACAATATTTCTATCTACTTCTACAATATTCTCCTTTACATTTTCTCTCCTTTATTATTTCTTTTTCTTTCTTCTCTCCTTCATATTGTTTTCTGACAAAACTTCCTTATTTTTGTTATGTAATCCTTTATAACTCAATTTATTTTTCATCTACCAAATTTGGCCACGCCTGTCTAAATGTGAGCGCCGCGAACCAGTATTTTTTTAAAAAGAAAAAAGAAAATGTTATTGTCACCATTAGCTTGGGACCAACCTCGTTTTATTTTAAAGAATTAAAGAATTTTAAAGAAAAAATAGCAATATCAAACCAAGATTTGGGTAAATTTTTGTTATAACAAAAATAAAATAAATAAAATAAATATTTTATTTATTTTTTTTTTTTGCTTAGAAACTACTCAACGTTTGTATTACTTGAAAACCGGGTTTAATAAATTCATTAGATCTTTGTGTCTTGATTGCATTGCAGTTCTTGTAGTTTTTTATTTATTGATATCAATAAATTCATTATTACTATCGATAGTAATTATGAATATTTGTCTTGACATTAATTTTATTGAAAGTCATTCCAAAATTCCCTCAACCATCAGCATGTATTTAATTAACTATTTTATTATTTCGAATCTGTTTTTTTAACAAATCAGGGTACAACTTTTAGGTAAGAATCTATGATTTAATTTATGTTACATGCAAACAATGCCCTGTACACTAGAAATACCCCGCATTTCATATATTGTCTTCATAAATATAAATATGAAGACTTCCATGGCTGAATGATAAAAGTTTTGTTTACTTGGCAAACTCAGTTGCGTATTTATGAAGAGCACCCAAACTTATAGGACCCGATAATGTAGGGTCATCTAATGCTTCAACTACAGCTTTGGCAACAGTTTGTGTAGAAAGAACAGGACTGGCACCTATACATTCTTCAACCCCAAAGACCTTTGATAAGTTATTTCTCAAAATAAACGCATTACCCAAAAAATCTCTTAAAGTGTTTCCCTTAGAACCATTATCCACCATAAATCCTGGTCTTAAAAAGACAGATCTAATACCGCCGATATCAGAAATCAAACTTTCAGCAGCACGTTTAGACTCGATATACTCTTCAGGAGCAAACTTATTATAATCCTCCGCCGAAATGTAAACAAAGGCGTTGCCCTTCTTAGGACCTTCCTCATTTGAGCGATGTTCTTGCTTAATCTTGGAAAATTCTTGTGCCAACAAAACAGCTGATTCTTTATTAAGTTTTTCAAATAGCTGTTCATTTTTAACGGTTTGATCAATCACTGGAGTTTTGTTCATAGGGTTTGCAGATTTTGAAAAAGGGGTTGAAAAAAATGATAGTGGTGACTTGGAAATTGCAATGTCTTTAGCAGTTTCCAAAATTTTTGGAAACTCATTGCAGACATCACTGTTAACTATGGTCTTATAACGCGCATCAGGAAAAATAACACCAAGAGTGTGAACAACACCGTCTGCATTTTCCAACTCCTTTCGGTAACTTGAAGGATCAAAAACGTTGGCTTTTTTCCACTGGATTTGAGATATGGTTTGAATAGGGAATCCTTCAAGCTGATCTTTGCTTAGTTTTCCTGAACGCCTTAACACTTGTTAAATGAATTTCTTTCTCTTTCCTTTATTTTTTTTTTAAAAAAAAAGCATGATATTACTTACGACAAGGAAGTGACTTTCCAGCCAGCGTTAAGAGCAGCAACGCAGATGTGTTTTCCTAAGGAGTGTCAGCAAGGATCTTATCTAATTTTCTCAATTATACTTTACTCACCAAGAAAACCAGTGCCACCTAATACAACAAGAGATTTAGGAGCCATTGTAATAAATAATGAAGTCGAAAAAAATTTGGCACTTAAAAGTGGAACGATGATATTCGTTATTTAAGCCTAATGCTAGAATTGTGATTACTATGGAAAGTTATTGGTCATTTGTCGTGTATATCAATAGGTTGCTAAGACGGTCTGTATTTTACACAAGTCTGTAAAATACTGTTATTTTTTTTTATTTTTTTTTATTTGTGGAAAAATGTTTGCACAATCAGTTTCAATTAATCACCATTTTCGCTATCCCTGGACTGATTTCTTGGTTCTTTTATTAATCATTTGTATCATCTATTTACAAAGGAATCATCGTGGATGCTTAAGTTGAATTTTTTAATACAATTAAAATCAATAATTTAAATTTAAGGGTTAGGGTATTACAATCCTTTAAGTTGCCTGGTGATGATATTTTTTTTTACAAAAACTCTTTATCTCCCACCCATTCATTTAATTTAAATCATATATTTTGTTAAATATTAACTTAATCTGCTTAGCTAATATTCATTAGCACTTTCAGTTTTGACCAAAGTTCTCACTTGCTCTTTTTTTGTCAAATAGTTGCAAGTAGAAAATGAACCTTGAAATATACAATGAGTAGTAGTTCCAGGGCCAAGAAAAGCACAAGTTCTTTTCGCCGGTCGACATCAAATTCTCGTGTCTTACTAGCTAATAGCGAGACAAGTTTGGGTGGGAGCACGCGAAAACAGCAAACGAAATTAACAAAATCCAAGTTAATAAATGAATTTCGAGATGGCTTTTCTGATGATGAGAATCAAGTTAATTATAAAGAAATGAAAAATATCTCTCATGTAAAACCCTCAGTTTCAATCCTTTCCAAACGCAAATCTCTCCAGGTTGATTCTTTAAGGTTGGATAATTTTATGTCGACAGGTGCTGTTACTAAACGTCAAAAATTTGATAGATCGGGCAATACTGGTAATGCTTTCAGGCAAGATGATGATTCGGATAATTATTCTACAACAGCATCTGAACTAACAGAAGATGAAAACGGAAAGGAAGATTACATAGATAGTGATGATGAGCAAAATGTTTCATGGATTGATAAATATGCACCAAAAAGTACTAAAGAAGTAGCCATCAGACCCATAAAGGCAAAGGAAATGAGGTCTGCTATTGAAGAAATCGTTTCACCTAATTCCAGCACTAGAATTTTATTATTAACCGGTCCTGCTGGTACATCAAAAACAACCATTTTGAAGACTACATTTACGGAGGTTTATAACTATTCTTTTAATGCATTTAACTCTGTTAAACATACTGGCATGGAAAGTAAGCCAGAGGTCATCGAATGGTCAAATCAAAATACTTATATCCCTCGTTCAGCAGTAAACCTTTTTCGCGAATTTTTAACGGGAGTGAAATATGTTGGCAGTAATAAGGATACTTTAATTATTGTCAAGGATCTTCCGAATCTAACAAATATATCAATCAGAGAAGAGTTTAACAAAGTTTTACTTGAATGGCTCCATGACTCGATAGATTATAATAATGAAGATACCCCTAACCATAAGCCTCCTTGTTTGGCAATTGTTATTACAGAAGTCGAAATCCCCAGCGAGGCTGATTCAGGTAGTAGAAACTTTGTTTCTAGTTATATGAATCCTGCTTCTTTGATTGCAGAACAAATATTTAAAAAGGAAGTGCTGTTGAATCCTCACCTTAAACGAATAAAATTTAATAAAGTAATCAAAACACAGTTAAAAAAGTTGCTGACAAAAATTGAGAAATGTGAGCCAAAAGTTTTTTCAAAAGTGGTTTGCAACGGGGGAGATGTTGACCAAAGCATTGATTATTTTTCGACATTTGGCGATGTACGAGCTAGCATTGCCAATTTTGAATTTTGGGCCAAAAGCTTTAGTTCGTTAAACAATAAGAAGAATCAGTCCAATTCAAAAGATACTCTTAAGCAAATGCGGCGAGATGTACATTTGGAAACTTTTCACGCTGTGGGGAAAGTTATATATCGGTCTATGAATAACCGATTGGGAGAGCCAGTGGAAGATAACGACATTGTTGTTGACGATATTGTTGCTGATTGGGGTGCCAATGGTTTAGGAGATTATCAAATGATGGAGAATCTTTTGTTTGAAAATATGTTACCTTTAAATAATCAGATTTTAGGAATCGATAAGGCTCTTGAAAGTGCAGAAGCTATGTCAAGCTGTAATATAATGACATCTCATCCTATTAAATATGCCAGTGCTAACAGAGTAATAGCTGAGATTGCCTCTCAAGTCGAAGTTCGAAGTCTTCGCTATGCCTTATTAGAAGCTCTATCAAAGTCAAAGGGAAGTGTTTATCGAAGGTTTACTAAAATGAAGGGATCAGTTTTATATCAAAAGAAAAAGGAAGCCAGTGCTCAGAATCTCATTCAAAGATTGGAAACGATGCAGATTGACTGTGCTCAACAAAATGGAATAATGATTGGGCTGGAACCATTGGTGACATATCAAAAGTTTTACAGAGATGTGATAAAAAACAATAAACATGTTCCTTCAGAAGTTTTTGAATCAATGCTGCCGGACAGCGACGACGACATGTTTAGTGAAGAGGATGAGAAAGAAGAGAAAATTTCAGCTTCTGTAGCCACAGCTCAAGATACAGTATTGGATGATTTCCCACGTGTTCCCCCGTCTCTTGTAACTGAAATTAAACAGCAAAGTCTTGATCTTGATGGTTTTGATGATGATTTTGACGATGATTTTGATGACGAAACAGTTCAATTTTTACATAAACATTTGACACAAACCATGGCTTCTCCAGCTACAAATTAAGTATTGATATATATTTTTTTTAAAAAAAAAAAAAAAACAATTGAAATATAAACAAAAAAAATAAAAAAAATAAAAAAGAACGAAAGTTTTTTTAAAAACAAAACAAAAAGAATAGAATAGGATTTTTTTAATTTTTTTTTTATAATAAAGCAAAACCTTTTTTTTTTATAGACATGAACGTCTAAGAAGCTTGTTCTAAAGCAGTTTTGAAAAAGTCCGGATCTTCAGTAAGAGACTCCTTAATGATGTCAAGACCACCCTGAAGCTCGCCATTGACGTAAAGCTGAGGGTATGTGGGCCAGTCTGAAAAGGCCTTGAGGCCTTGACGAACACTGTTATCCTTTAAAATATCGAAAAATCCAAAACGAACTTGGTTCTCGCGCAGCAGAGCGACCATCTGGCGCGAAAAGCCGCACGCTGGGGCGGCGGGTGTACCCTTCATAAAAAGCATGACAGGAGCAGCACTGACCAGCTTAGACAAGCGTTCATTCAGTTCAGCTTCTGTTTCTTCGTGTTCCTCAGCTTCAGCAGTGTTGCCACCTTGTGTTTTTTCCTGGCCAGTTGCAGCACCAGCTGAAGAGGCAGATCCAGCCGTTGCTGTAGAAGGTGTTGAAGCATTGGAACCAGCAACTCCAGAGCCAGAAGCAGATTGCAAGCCTTGGCCAGCCACATTTCCAGCGACTGATCGTGCAGCAGACGATCCAGCAAGTTGAGATTCAATGGCGGTGGCAAGTTCCTTGGGATCTGCACCGGAAAGTTCCTTGAGGATTGTGGCGTCGCGAACAAGCACAAAATAAGGTACTGCAGAGACGTCAAAAGATTCAGAAATATCAGGGAAATCGTCAGCATTCACTGAGAGGAAAATAGCAGAAGGAGTAGGTGTTCCTGACGGAGAGGCATGTGCATCTGATAGAGATTGGAAAACAGAGTTCATTTGGGCGCATGGGGCAGCCCAGGGAGTGTGAAAGTAAATAACAACGAGGGTCGAAGGATCCACAGTTGATGCAAGCGAGGCAAAGTGCTCATCGCTGGTTATTGGAATAACTGGCATTATATATGTTGATTAACTAAATTTTATTTTAAGAAAAGAAAAAAAAAAAAAAAGATTAAGAGGAGGGGGTGGTATGTGAAAAATTGTAGGTATTTGTAATACACTAGGAAAAGAAAGGAAGGGAAAAAAAAAAAGAGGAACCCAGACTGATCTAGTATCATGATAATCAAAAACAAAAATTTTAAAAGCAGGTTTGGTAGGTAATAAAAAGTCTTGTGTCACGTCACGTGATTAAATTATATAAATATTATGTAATTGCCGTTATCGGCAAATATTAGGCCCGCGTAGGTATTTTTTTTTTTTACAGGCAAGAAATTATCATTCCTTTAAAAAAAAAAAAAAAAGCCGTTTTAAATACATTTCTTAAACTTTCGTTTAAGCCCCGTCGTATTTTGTTAAATCAATTTAATATTTAAATATTTAAGTTACGAATAAGACATAATTGCCTTCTAAATAGTACTATTCAAATATATTAAAGACATTCAATTCATTAAGTCATGAGAGCAAAGGGGGGGGTTCAAAAAGTAAACCCAATGTATACAAAATATACTATACAATATGATGATATGGTTATATTTAAAGACCATTCATGAGAGCTTGTTTATGGTCTCTATTCTTTTGAATTTTCTTTTCCCGGTTGCGTTCAGACAATTCGTTTTCAACAGCAGTGCTCTTAAACTCAGCTTCCAGACCAAGAGAGTAGGCGGCCTCTTCAGAAACAGCAGGATAGTCTGGGTGCTCTTCAGGACCAGCAGACTTGACCAAATCAACAATTAATGGATTGTTTGCCAATTGTGTGGGAAGAGAGTTTCCATAAAGCCACTTGAGGCCCTGAGACAATACCAGCTGGCCCCAGGTGGCAATGGGGAAAGCTTTTGCTCTAGATAGACGAATATGAGCAATCGCTTCGTCGAGAGCAAGCAATCTACCCTCTTCAGTCAAAGCCTTTTCAGAATTAATTACTTGTAAACGTACTTCGAGGTACGACAAAATCTTGTGGAAGATAGAACGTTGCTCCTGCTTAATACTTTTACCAAGGTGAGAACCAGAAGTGTCTTGCATGAAACGGATATCATCAATCATGTCACTATTGTCGACGGTCGGAATTTCAAAACGGTAACCATTAAAGCCAGCAAATGATGAATCATCATAGGTAGTTTCATCGTATTGACTGCTAAAATCATAAAGCTCGTATAAGAGAGCAATTGTCTTACCTGCGCTAATGATAACTTCACCACTATTGCTTTTAAGAAGCTCAACAATTTCTGGAAGGATTTCCTCAATGACATTGTTGCGAGCAGCAATGGCACCAACAACCAAGGAAAGAGCCAAGAGAGCAGATGAAGTAAGGACAGATTGAGATGCAGAAGTTGATGACGCAGTGGCGACATCCAGGAGAGCACTCACCTTGTCCTCTAGACCAAAGCCTTGGCTTCCAGTATTGATAAATGATTGAAGCAATCCGTATGAAGTTGCCAAGGAAGCACGTAAAGCAGATTCACGGTCATCATCAACAATTATGGCAAGCATAGGTCCGAGAACCTTACTTTGAATAAACTCAACAGAGTCTTCAATTTCAAGAGCAGCCAAAAGAGTAAGGGCTTTAGCAGCAAGAGCAATTTCTTGGGAAGTACGGCCAGTGGAAAAGGATTTCTCCAAGACTTCAAGGTTTGAGTATTTAAACATTGTAGGGTCATGTTTGGCGGCAAGTTGAGAGCAAATGCGTTCAAGTGCAGATTGGCGAAGAGATTGAGATGAGTGGCGACGGTCTTTTGATAAGATATCGTAATTTACATTGTAACCAAGAGTCTTTCTGGCCTCTGAAGAGGCAGACTGCTTAGTGATAGGGACATCAGCTTCAGCAGCCTCGTTAACATATTGCATTACGGCAGCATCGTACTCTTCAGTGAGTTTTGCCGAGTCTTCAATGTTTCTTGGGGTGGAAGTACCTGACATGAGTTGTTCAACAAAGTCATTCATTTCGCGTTCAAATTCATCTTCAACGTCGCTCTGTGGGCGCGACGATGGGACGGATGAGACGGGGCCGCTGTTCTGGTTGCGACCGAGACGGGTACCCTTAGGACGAGCGCTATTGCGCTTAATCATTTGTTGGGCAACATGTGTTCTATACATTGTAAAGTAAATTCAATTGATAGATAAGTGATAGATAGTGTAGAAGTAAGCTTGTAAGTGATAAAGATAGGAAGGTTTAGAAAAGTTAGAAGATTAAAAAAAAAAAAAAAAAAAAGGAATTGAGATATATATAGATAAAAAGAAGAAGAAGAAGAAGAAGAAGAGAGAAAAAAAGTTGAATGGTAGGAAATTGCAGCCTTTTTATACTTTTTTTTATAGCATTTTTATTTACTTCAGAACGAGACTAAACAATAGTTCATCTTTTGCTTTCTTTGTCCAAGTAAAGTTAAATTTGTGTGTGTGTGTGTGTGTGTGTGTGTGTGTCGTCTCAATAAAGGTGGGGAGTTTTTGTCGTTCTTTTTTTGTTCCCCCCTCTAGCAAACCAGCTGATTTTGTCTTCAGCCATTTTTTTTTTTTTTTTTTTTTTTTGGCTGAAGTTCCATGACTGTACAACCGTCATTTTTGAATATTTTTGAATATTTTTGAAGCAAGTCAGTCTTGTAGCAATTCAAGGAACTTCTAATATCCTCCCCTCCCTTCTTCAATTGGAATTCGACAGCAACCAATTCATATTGTTGAAAAATAAAATAATAATAAAAAAAAAAAAAAAATACCCGCGCAAAACTTAATTGCTCTTTCTTTCTTACTTCAAGTTTTCTCATTTTTAAAAGCCCCTCCTCTTCCCAAAAAGAAAAACTCAATTAACCCCGCGTGTACTGCTGCTGTATATTTAAGTCCTGTGCCTTCTAACCCCAAAAAAAATAAAAAATAAAAAATAAAAATAAAATAATTATCACTCTGGGGTGATCAGATGGTATATATTCAGACTTATATATACTTTACATGACTATATTTACACATGATTACATCATTACTACTACGACTACTACTAGATACTCTATTTTTATTTTTTTTTTTCCCTCCCTCCCTCTTTCTCCCCACCACTGAACCACATATACAAATTAATTTGGGGTTCGAATCTTGACAGTGCATATTCATTTCTACAATTATTTCTCTGCCCCTAAAAAAAAATTTTTTTTTGGTGAGATTTCCCACAATATCAACATCAACCAACTCTTCCATCAATCTCCATCACTAAACTTCATCCTGTAATCTACAATTGTTATTTGATATGCAAACATTTAGATATAGTTGTTCAAAAATACACACACTTTCTTAAACAACTACAAAGGCATGAAAAAAGCTGCGGTTCGCCTTTTGACCCGCCACCATCCATACCAATCAATAGTGCGCTCTACTGCGTCTTCTTCGTCTAGCATCCATACAACCACAAATAACATTACCAACAACAACAATTCTTTATTCTTTTATTCTCCAAGAATGTCTTTCTCAATCCCCTATACTAAAATTAATCCTGAAATTTATCGGCCAGGTGAAACTGTCAAACTTACACTGCAATTAACGGACCAAGAACAAAAGATTCGTGATCTAGTTGTACTTTACTGCAAATATTACAATGAGACTAAAAAAAATACCTCCCAAAATATTAACGACTCTTCAGAACCAACAGAGCCACTTATAGCTCGCATCACTGGTGGTTGGGTTCGCGACAAGCTGTTAGGCAGACAGTCGCATGATATTGACATTGCTATTAACTCGCTCACAGGCCTAGATTTTGCTGAAGGCATGATTGATTATATTTTGACTCATGGAGACGTGTTGACAGAACATGGGCTTGGGCCTATAGAACCCCGGAGCATTCACAAAATTGAGCGCAACCCGGAAAAGTCAAAACATCTCGAGACTGCTACTACCAAACTTTACGATCTTTTTATTGATATTGTTAATCTACGCTCCGAGGAATACGCAGAAGACAGCCGCATCCCTACTATCATGACTTTTGGAACAGCTGAACAAGATGCATTCCGACGAGACGCTACAGTCAATGCTCTATTTTATAACCTGCAAGAAAATTGCGTCGAAGACTTGACAGGTCGTGGTTTACAAGACCTGCGCGATGGTATCATTCGTACACCTTTACCTCCCTTTGAAACATTTAATGATGATCCTCTACGTGTTCTACGCTTAATTCGCTTTGCATCAACTTTTGGCTTTCAAATCGCTTCAGAAACCCTTGACGCCATGTCAGATCCACGCATTAAAGAAGCCCTCATGCTTAAAATCTCCCGTGAACGTGTTGGTGTTGAACTTGCAAAGGCTCTTACTTCAACCCGACCCCAAGTCTGCCTTATGCTACTTCATTACCTAAACCTTCACAATGCTGTTTTCTATCTCCCAGAAGGATACCATCCTAAAAACATCACTGGATCAAAATCTGTCGAACTTCCTGAAGACAATTCAATCGAAGCTGTGGCTTCGGCCAAAATAGCATTTCAAAAGGCACACCCCTACTTGGCTCAACAAATTGCCGGCCCACAACCAGGTACAAGTGAAAGTGAATCAACCATAGCGACCGCCAAAAAACTCCATTTTTGGCTTGCTCTCGCGCTTAATCATCTCGAAGGTATTCTTGGTGCAACCGACAAACCCCGTGAAAGTCCGTTAATTGCGCTTGCTGCCGCACGCATTATTCGTGTTGGTGTCAAACTTTCATCTCATGATGCTGACACAGTTGCACGTTGTCACCTTGCTCATTCTCAAGATTTGTCTTATTTTGGTGTGCCTTCATCAAAACTTACTGGAATGGACTATGTGCGTGGTGCATCACGCAAGGAACTAGGATTATTGGTTCGAAAATGTGGACAGCAATGGGGTCTTTTATTTTATTATTGTTTGGTCAAAGACCTTACAATTTTGTATGAGCGAACTGGACTGGCTCAAGAGTTAAGCGAAAGAGAAGAAGAACCTAAAGGCACAGCCGAAGTGCTTGAGTTTTATCATTCGCTTGTCGAACGTATTATCACTGAGCTTGGACTTGCTGACGCGTGGGCGCTTAAGCCTATTCTTAATGGCAAAGATGTGCAATCTGTATTTGGAGCGAAAAAGGGTGGCCCATGGCTTACCAATGCTCTTGCTGCACTTATTGAGCTTCAACTTGAGAATCCAGATACCACTAAAGACTCTGCCAAAGCATACCTTTTAGAAAACAAGTCCAAGCTTTACCCGGAATAATTTAAACTGTTAAATATTTATTTAAAAACTTATATGATTTTTTTTTTTTTTTGATTAAAAAAAATGCTAATTAGAATTGAAAAAAAAAAATTTTTTTTGTCAACCATAAGGTTGCAATATTATCTATATTTTTAAACAATATTCATTTACATGCATATCTGTGAAATTTTGGGATATTTATTTACATTTTAAATCAGTTGCTACTAGTAGTACTATTATATTGAATATCGAATTTTTGTTTAACTTGTGCTGCGTCCAATTCCACAAATAATTCCTAAGGCAACACTTACTTCAGTCCAAATGACTGCCAAAATTAGCCACTTTTAAAATTGAACCTTTTTATGAATATATATTTCCTATCTATACCAAAACAAAAAATAAAAAAAATAAAAAAAAGCATGCACTCTAATAAATCCTACTATTTTTTTTTTCTTTTATATAAATGAAGTCAATTACTTCTTTCCAAATCCACGTGAAATTGCACTCTTCAACACAAAAATAGTGCACCCAATCATTCTAAATCCTGCCATAGCAGCTGTGATAACAATCAAAATGAAAAAGTAAACACTTGATCTTGATGTAGTACCAGAGAACCCAATGCTAGTGACTGATTGGGAAGTCAAAGCAGCAGCAAGCACAACGTTACACAGAATCCATAAAATAATCAAGTTAGTTCTGAAAGTTTTGCTCTCATCATCAGGGTCAGGTTTCTTTTTAGCATCGTTATTGTCCTTAGGGTATGGCTCCTGAGCACGCTTCATGACAGCCAAAAAGTTGGTGTCGATATCGTCCTGAGGTCTCTCATAAGTAACAACAACTTCAGTTTCACCATCCTCAGTCGTCTCAGACTTTGCTGCTGGCAAATGATCAGCCTTGTCAGCACCCTTAGTACCCCATGAAACATCGTGCCAGTTGCAGAAAGCAAATACGTTAATGACAGTAGTGAAGGAAGGCATAATGAATGAGTATTGGATAAAACTGTGGATAAGATGCCAAGGGTCAAGATAAATAATACCAGCGTAAATGTATAGACCATAAGTTGAAACCAAGGCAATGATAACCAAAAGACGTGCGTTTCCATATAACGATGCTGTTGTGAAAAATGCATCAGTGGAAGTTGCAAATGCATTAACACATAAGTAGATGGCAACAATCAAAGCATAAAACTGAATAATACCAAAAATAATGAAAAGGAAAGTAAACTGCTTTTTAGCGCCCTTGGGTCTATTACCAAGAGCCAAAAGGAAGGAAATAATAATCATGAGCATGTAGATGAATCTGATAACTAAAGCAATTGACAAAGATACGCGGTAATTTGAAAATGGGAATGGCTTTGCAGTGGTATCTCTTTCAAATAGATTGCTAAGGCCAACTTGAATTCCGCGTGCCAAAAATTTTGCAGCAGTGGTAGTAGAGTCAGTAGAAGTAGAATCAGTAGAGGTAGAATCAGTAGATGAAGAAGATGTGCTCGATTCCTTTTCATTATTTGGATTAGCAGCTAATTCCAAAATAATGGTCGTAGTCAAATAATATGAAGCAAGAGAGAACCAAGTCATGATGATGTTGATAAAGTTGTAAAAAAGTTGGATATGCATGAAAAATGTGCGGAGTAAGTTGTGACCAGTGCGGTAGATTTGGCCAAAATGCATCATGGAATATAAAGTTGCAGCAAAAGAACCATTGATCCAACGACGACGTTGAGAAATAAACTCGTCAATTACCTCAGGAACATCTGTCTCGGCCTTGGAAGCCTTGACGTACTTCAAATGCCACTTTTCTTTTGCCTTAAAAGTGATTTCAAAACAGAGAATACGATCTTCAGCCAAAAACATATTTCTTTTAAAAATGTTCATACCATTCAAGCCCTTGTCTCCAAGTCTATCAGCAAGAGAGTGGTCACCACGGAAGTATTGCTCCAAAGGTCTACCCTGGATAGCTTCGAAACGATAAGCAGAGAATGCACCTGGAAGGACAGAAATAAAACCAAAAGTGTCTTCCAAAGGCTTGTCAAGCTGATTAGAAAGTTTGTACTCAAAATTTTGGGCAGCAATAAGAGGGTTAAGTAAATCTTTGCCGCGCTTACCCAACATGGCGTGAATTTCACCACATGCACCACCAACATTTTGATTATTGTAGAACGCTCTCCAAAGATGGACAATGGCTCTAGAAGAAGGTCTAGTACCTGCATCAATGAGGACACAAACTTTAGGATTAAGAACAGAACCAAATGCATTGAAAAGCCATCTGTGTGAGTTGATCTTCTTTGAGTTTTCTTGCTTTATACACAAAACATATTGAATAGGAGGAATTGTGTATTTGGAGCTACTTCCCTCAGATGGAGTAATAACCTCAAGATCTGGAGTAAAGCAGACTTGAGAAGTGTACTCAAAGATGTGAGCAACAGTTTGTTTATCGTTGATTGGATTTTTCATAACGTCTTGGTAAACACCCATGGAAGCGAGAACGTCCAAAACGTCCTTACGACAAGGTTTAATACCATCCATAATGAGAGTAACAACAATCTTCTCCCAAGGTTCACCGTTCTGATTGCGCCAAAACTCGGATTTGTCTGCGCAAAAGTGGTGAATGTTTTTCATAATACCTGTGAGTGTTCTAGCAGTAAGGACTTTGTCTTCTGAGTAGTAAGTAACGGCAATTAAAAGTTCTGTGCGGCGGCCAGCTTCAGCTGCCCGAAGGGTATAGTTTTGGTCTTTGAATTCGTCTGGATCACATGTACAAGCAGTATAGCGCATGTGTGTAAATTCAGTGGAACCAGCTTCCAAGTTTAAGTACTTTTCTTCAACAGCACTCTTGACAGGTGTAGGGACTGGGAATTCGACGGAATAAATGCCATTAACAAGGTTGACTTGCTTTTTTGTGTAGTTTTCAACATTGGCAGGCTCCATTTGCTGACGCATATTCCAAGACTCTTCAATAAGATCTTCCTGAGGTAGTGCATTGGGATCAGGCATGCTAAGTTGAACTCCAGGGAAAGAGGAATCCTGAATGGGGTAGGGGAAGTAAGCATTTCCTTGAGGATAAGCTGAGGTAGAGTAGTCGGGAAGATCACGGAAGCCAGTATTAAAAGTAAGAGGAATCTCACCATCATTTTCCGAAAAGGGTGTCATAGAAGAAATTTGAGGAGGAATATTTGAATATTGGCTATTAGAGAAAGCATTGTTTCCTGGTCTTCTTGTACTCCTAATTCTGTTCATGAATCCACCTCCTGACCCAGTGTTGGCATTGTCTGGGTATGGAAGGTGGTTCCCTTGTGCGGTAGTGTTTCTCAGGGGGACATGATCAGAATTTTCGTAATCGGCGTTATAAGGGTCTTCCATTCCGCCAGAAACGCCCAGATCGTAAAGTTGGTAAGATTCTGTTGGAGCCAAAGATGAACGTCTAGAGTCAGACTGGGGGTAGATGGAGGCGTCAGGGACTGCAAGATGTGGTTCTGGGCGATGAATAATAGGACTAACAGCTGAATTATCGCCAAAGGGATTGCTTGGAGAAGGAGAGACTCTAAGAGAAGATTCTGAAGGGTTGAAAGGATCATTAACAGGATATGGTGTCCGATACTCAGTGTCTGGGTAAGGAGTTGGTGTATCATGGTGCTGGACAGGCAATGGAGGCTGTGGAGGCAATGGGGTAGGGGTTGTAGTTGTTGAAAACTGTTGTTGTTCCTGTTGTTGTTCACGAAGCATTTCTTCGTGCTGTTGTTGCTCTAATTGATGAACATAGTCATCGTGCTGCTGATGCTGCTGCTGCTGCTGCTGCTGCTGCTGGTCATCCTGGCCCGGGTATTCGTTGTAATTATTGTTTTGGGCATTTGGATCAAAAGAGTTATTGTTATTAGGATTATTTGGATCCATTGGTATTTAATGGAATGATCAATGGATTTTTAACTTGATAATAAAATGATAATAAAATGATAATTGGTAAAAAAAAAAAAAAAAAGAAGAAAAAAACTTGGTAAAATTGCTGTTATATATATATATATATATATATAAAAAAAAGAGAAGATTAGGTTTTTAACAGATATATAAAGAAAAAAAAATTATTTATATATTATTATAAGTGAAACCTAGGAGAAAACAAATAATTATAATAATTATTATAATAATAATAAAAAAAAAATTCTATATGAGAAGGACAGCGCAGGGCCTCTACTATTTATACACCTCCTGTCCTTCAGCTACTTTGAATGGGAGGTGGGCGGGAGAGGCTGGTTATTTTTTTTTTTTTTTTTGGGTGTTTGATTTCTTAGCGGCTACAAGCCATGCCTCCAGTCCAAAGCGGCTAACGCTGCCATTATGGTGGATACTTAACGAGGCAAGCATTATTTTTATTTTATTTTATTTTATTTTTATTTTTATTTTATTTTATTTTTATTTTTATTTTATTTTTATTTTTATTTTTGTTATTATTATTATAATAATGATCAATAATTATTGTTATCGTTATTTTATTTATTGAAATTTTACAATTCTTTTTTTTTTTTTTAATAATATATAATATATATATTCAATTAGTACTTCGCCTCGGTCTTATATTCTTTCAAAGCCTCCTCCCGCGCAGCAACAACAAGACTACCAACCAAGTTTGAAAAGTTTTTAGAGGCTACATACACATCATAGTGGTAAATAAATAACGTGCCAATACATCTATCTTTCTATTCTATTTTCAGCCCCTTTGTCATATGTCATGTTTATTGGTAGGAACCAAATCCATCCCAGCCTTGTATGGCGGCTCAATAATGAAACTTGTAGGAATTTTTTTTTTTATTTTTATTTTTTTTTCTAAATTCATTAACCATACAATACAAAACATTCCAATCTATATATAACTGGTAATTACATTCTCAAAGACCTCGAGCAATAGAAAGTAAAGTTTTCAGTGCATGAAGCTGTCTCACTTCGCTTGCAATATCCCCCAGCCTAGCAAGTTTAAGCTCACTCTTACCATCATCATCTCCAAACTTGCCCAAAACACGTCTAACTTCAAAGTCCAAATCACTTTGTACTCCAAGAGACATGCTATTACTGGTGGTTCCCTCTTCAGATGATTGTGAAGATGGTAACACTGCATCTGGACCAGCAGTAAGTGCCATCAACCTACGCATCCGACTCGTGTGCTCATACTTTTTGGCCGCCTCTTCAGCATTGTCAACAATCTCGCTAGCAATTCCACACATGGTCGCAACATGCATGCCAAAGGATCCTGGAGATACACCATCAACAAGCTTGTACAAGAAAGAAACCTTTCGTGAAGCTTCTTCCACCAAAATAGCCATCTGCTTAGACATCACCTCTGGGTGTCCTCGTACAGACCCCCAAAGTGTGTTGTAATGCGTCGCGAAAAACCCAAGACTCCCAACATGTGTTGCCAAATGATGAAGCACAGCCTCTGCAATGGCAAACCCATCAGAACTACTTCCACCACGTCCAAGCTCATCAAGCACAAGCAACGTCTGTGGCGTGGCCTCAGTCAACATCCGTTTTGTCTCGGAAAGCTCAACGTAGAATGTACTCTTGCCTGCAAAAATATTGTCATTGGCTCCAAGACGCGTCATGATCCGGTCAATCGGTGTCAATCGGGCCTTGGACGCAGGAACGTAGCATCCAATCTGTGCCATAATTACTGCAACACATGTCATGCGTAAAACTGTAGACTTGCCTGCTGCATTGGCTCCAGTCAATAAAACAAGATTGGCCTGTTCACCACCAAGTGCAACATCATTAGGTACAAAGGCACTTTTGGTCTCATCAAAACATGGATGCCGCAGCTCCTCAAACTCAAGAAATGTTCGTGAGTCCTCATCCTTGTAATCAATAATTTCCGGTCGCGTGCTCGGCACCCCAAGGGCCATGGAGCTCTTTGCCAAGCTTAACACGCAGTCCAAACTCCCAACAACTTTCACTGCACCAAGCCACGAGGTATAGTTTTCATCAAAACGTGCGTACAGCCGTGTCTGTACCTTGTCCCCCACAGATCGCAGGGTCTCCTGAGCCTCCATCAGTTCACGTGCCATGGCCTTGACCTCAGGCGACCAATATCGTTTTACCTTCGAAGTAGCAGCCATTTGCTGCCAGCTCTTAGGAATCCCTTTGACCTTGTTCGGGACTTCAATTAGATAAATTTCTTTACCACTGTCTCGATAGCAAATTTCCTGGCTTCGGTACGTCTTGCGGTACTCTCGCAGCTGGGTATTTAAGCGACCTTCAATTTCAGCAATTACTTCAAGGCACTCATCGTACTCAGGTTCCACCCCGCGTTCAGGTACAAGCTTATTATTTTTTTTAGCTTCTTCCCAATTCACAGCCGTGGACCATTCTGGAAGAATTTTTTCAATTTCAGGCATCGACCTAATTAGTTGTCCAACAAGTGATGACGAATCATCATCCAAAATATCACCAAAGTTACCAATGATTCCTGCCTTCAATCCATCAATATTTTGGAAACCCTCCACAACACGGAAAAAGTCCTTTGGTTGTAACCTTCCTGCATGGACGCGGGAAAGCAAGCGCTCCAAATCTGGTAACTGCGTCATCTTTCTTTCCATAAAATCACGGAGCTCACCATTTTGCATCAGCAGCTCTACTGCATCTAACCGAGAATTGATCTTGTCAGCCTGCATCAATGGATGACACACCCATCGCTGTAACTCTCGTTTACCAAATGGGGTAATGCATCGGTTGAGTAGTGAAAACAATGTACCCTTAGGGCTGCCATCAAATGTATTTGCAAAAATTTCCAAGTTTTGCAAAGACTGACCATCCAACACCATTGTTTTTTTACTGCGCTCAATGGCTTCGTACGAATTGAAGTTTCCAAGAGAAATAATACTACCGTCAACCTTTAACGAACGAAGGTACCACATCAATGCGCCAAAGGCACTAAGAGAAAGCCTTTTTTCTTTAGACTTGCAAATTTCTTCAAGAACAGGAGGATAATTAGATAAATCATCCAAATCTTTGGCAGGAAAATATTTGGAACGCACCAATTGCTCAAATGCAGTATCAGAATCCCAAAACTCCACTCCAGGATTTAAGTAATTCCAAAGAGTCCCAACTGAAGTGTTGTTTTTAAGAATCTTGACAGCGCGCATGGAAATTACACCCTTTTCCAAAACAAGTTCGCGGGGTCGTGTCTGAGCAATTAGCGTCTCAAAGTGCGTGTAATCAACATCATCTTCAAACTCGGTTGTGTAGAAAGTGCCTGTGGCAGTGTCTACAAAGCATACTGCAAATCGTGTTTCGTCTTGCTTTATAGAGATACAATATGTTGACATGTCATCAACAAGCATGGCTTCGTCAACAAGAGTGCCACCAGTAAGTACAAAGCTCACCTCACGGCGAATGACCTTGTCTTCCTTTTTTGATGGACCAATTCCAGATGACTCACGCATTTCCTTGGCCAATGCTGTTTCAACCTGGTCAACACGGGCAACCTTGTAGCCCTTGGCAATGAATGCGGAAGCCCAGTAATCAAATGACATTTCAGGAACACCGCAAAGACGCATATTAGCGCGGCCACCACCTGCAAGCTTTAGGTCAAAAGTGCTGTGTGCAATATCTGCATCGTTTTCATAAAGCTCGTAGAATTTGCCCTTTTTGAAAAAAACCACAGTGTTCCACATTTTAGACTTCACTTCCCAGTACTGTTTTTCAAAAGGTGTAAATGTTGCCCATGCAGATTTAGGAATGAAAATAGTGCGAGGATCGTATTCTGGGGAATCTTCAGGATTACCATCAGCATCACGGATATTAATGAGCCATTGGTAGCGCTCTTCATTCTTCTTTTGGAAAGTTGAGTGTTTAGAAGGCTTGGAATCCTCCCGTTTGGGAGTTTTTGAAAGATTGGATCCTGGAGAAGCAGTATATGATGAGCTTGAAGAAAACTTTTCAAGAGCATTGCTAGTCGATTTTGTAGATTTTGGTGTAGAAATGGGGCGCTGTGACTTGGTAGGAGAAGATTTCCGTCTAGATCTGAGTGGCATGTCGTCATCAGAAGCATCGTCTGGAACCACAAAATCATCCATATCATCGTCGTCATTTTCATTGTCATTTTCATTGACGATTGTGGCATCTGCATTTGGTTGGTATTCGTCATCAGAAGCTTCTTCTAGAGCAATCTTTCTTCTCTTGCCTGTAATAGCAGTTAGATATTGATTAAAAGAGACAATAGTATATAAAAACTCACTTTTGGTAGGAGAAACAATTTGATTTTCTTCTTCTTCTTCATCGCTTGATTCTGCATACGAAATACCTTTGCTTCGTGTCTAAATCAGGGTATATATATATATATATTAGAATTTTTTCAGACAAGAATCATATAATTATTAGAAATTTAACATACGCGCTTGGTAGGACTATGAGCTGTCTCCTGAGATGAGGATATAGAATTTAACAGAGATCCAGGGTCATAGAGTGTATTATCAGTAGGAATAGAGTCGATAGATGGACTTTTAGGAATGTTTTCCTTGCTTAGGATGGGTTCTAGTTTTGGCTTGTCAGTCAGTGCCTTGGGTGGCGATGCATTAAGCTGGGTATTTGTGAGCTCTGAAGGAGCCTTGAAGTTTGATTGTGATTGTTTTTTGTCTGATTTAGTAGGAGATGCTAGTTTAGAGGTTTTTTTAGGAGTTGGAGTTTTTGAAAAGAAGTTTAAAAGACTACTTTGAGCTGACTTTTTCTTTTCTGACGTATTTGGTGCTGGCTTGACCCGGTTGCTTTTAGGGGTAGCTGCTGGCATGATTTCGAATTTCAACGAAGAATATGAGAATAAGCAATTAGCAAAAGAAAAAAAAAAAGTATGAAGAAGCTTCAGTGATAGGAAAGGTTGAAAATGTTTTGAAAAAATAAGAAAAAGAAAGAGAAGAAAAGGTTTATATTAAAACCAAAAAAAAAAAAAAAGTAAAAAGTAAACAAAAAGAACGCGAGTCTAAAATAAAAAATAAAAATTAAAAATTAAAAATAAAATAAAATAAAATTCGACGTGTACAGACAAAAATAAAATAAAAAAAAAACTGTAAATAAAGAAATATTAAATGGAAGACTCTCATTTGCTAGTGTCGCGTAAAAATGTTTAAAAGTAAACACTGAAACGTGTCGCCAAAAAAAAAATAAAATAAATAAATAAAAAATAAAAAACGCGATTATCACGTGAGTATATTGTTTATTAATAATTGTAATAATAATGTATTTTGTAACATTGTAATTTCAAAAAAAAAAAAAAAAAAAAAATATTTTGTAACATAAATATGTAATATGTTCTCCTCTTTCATATATTGTAATTTTTCTCTACAAGAACTATACCTGGGCGGAACATTTCGAAAAGTTGTAAAACCCAAAGTTGTAAAGTATATATAGTTGACTAAATATTTTATTAATTTATCAGATTGATCTGTTTTACAATTAAATTTAAAATAAAGATTATAGCTTTTTTTTTCTTAATTTATAGCTTAAAAAAAGTAAAAAAAAGCTCCTTTAAAGAGGTATATATAGTATATATATTTCATTTCCCCGCAGAAATTTCAAAAAAAAAAAAAAAAAAAAAAAAAACATTCAGACATTTGAAGCCGATAGAAACTTTTGAATGATATACTCGGCTTATTTATAAATAATTATTTATTTAAAAAAAAAAAAAAAAAAACCCCGTTTGGCCACCAAAAGAAAAAAAAACCCCCCCGGGGACCCGCACCGGGCTTTTATATGCCAATCTCCGAATCTTGAAACCCTTAGGCTTTACTTTTTCATCTAAACAAACAATCACAATCACAATCACAATCACAATCACAATCACAATCACAATCACAACCATAACCACAACCATTATCATTATCATTATCAGGTTATATATTTTGTTTTCATTTTTTGCGGGGTCTCACTAACAAAATATATATCGGTACATTCCCGTGTCTTAAAAAAAAAAACAAGTAGACCGGACATTATGCGGGCGGGTGAGGATTTTTTCTTTCGTTCTTTTTAGATGGAGAGAAATGAGGAGTTGTTAATTTTCAAAGTTTTATTTTAAGTTACAGACAAAAAAAAAAAAAAAAAAAAAATAAAAAATAAAAAATAAAAAATAAAAAATAAAAAATAAAAAATAAAAAATAAAAAATAAAAAATAAAAAATAAAAAATAAAAAATAAAAAATAAAAAATAAAAAATAAAATAAATAAAGTGGCACGGCTGAATTTTTTTTTTTTTTTTGTTCTTAGTGCATTTATTTATTTATATACGTTTTAATAAATTTTTTTCGGTAGAATCTCAACTGAACCACCGAAGTCAATCCGGACTATGTGGAGAAAGAGAGAGAAAGACGTTAAAAAAAAAAAATAAAATAAAATGAGAATAGAAGAGAAGACTTAAAAAAAAAATGACAAACTGAGAAAGAAATTTGTAGATTGAAATTTTCTCTCTTCCTTTTCCCCGCAAATAGTAATGGAGGTGGGGGAGGAGGAGGTCGTTAATTTTTTTTTTTTTTTTTTTTTTTTTCGGTTCAACAGTTTTGGTCTTCTTCTTCTGTGTGTACCACAATAGAATTTATATATTAGGCAGGGTTTCCCTCGTCCAAAAACTATCCATCTGTCTTTTATTTTTTTTTTTTTTCTATTCTATTCTGACTCATTTTTTTTTAATTTTTTTTTTTCATCATTATCGTCATCAATTAACTATTCTTCAAATCATCATCACTATTCTATATATATATATATATATATATACATCACTCAATTAAATAATGTCCAATATCCTTCGACCAATCCGTCTACTACTTCTCGGAGCCCCGGGCTCTGGAAAGGGAACCCAAACTTCTCGAATCCTTAAAGATTTCCCGCAAATCTCTGCAATCTCATCTGGTGATCTTCTTAGACAACAAATCAAGCTTGGAACACCTATTGGTATGTCTAATTTATTTTCAAATTCATTTTCATTTTTATTCATCACACATAATATCAAACTAACCAAAAAAAAAAAAAAAAAAAATTTAAAATAAACATTATTTTATTCAGGCAAGGAAGCTGAAGCCATTATCAAAAAGGGTGATCTTATCCCAGATGACTCCATTGTATCTCTAATCAAGGAAGAACTCAACGCTAAAAACTTTCTTAACGCCTCCTCCAGCTGGCTGCTCGACGGCTTCCCACGTAACGCTACTCAGGCTCATGTTCTTGATAAGACACTATCCTCTCATGATTCTAGCCTTAACCTTGTTGTCGAGTTAGATGTCCCAGAAGAAGTCATCCTCGACAGAATAGAAAACAGATGGGTCCATATACCCTCTGGTAGAGTCTATAACCTCACTTTCAACCCTCCTAAAGTTCCTGGCAAAGATGATATTACCGGTGAGCCTCTCAGCAAAAGACCCGATGATAACCCAGTCACTTTCAAAGAAAGAATTGATACTTATAAGCATCAAACTTTACCTCTTCTAGAATACTACAACAAATTTGGTATTCTCAGATCAGTCAAGGGCGAAACTTCGGACATAATATATCCTCAGCTTAAAGAACTTCTTCTTAAAGAGTTTTCCAAGCAATAGAATCCTTCTCTTGTTTTTTTTTTTTTTTTTTATATTGTTAATGATAGATACTCTTCCCAATATATATACTTTTTACAGTATAGCCCGTCATCCTTTAGCTGCTTTTTCTTGTCTCCCCTGTATGCTTCTTTTTGTTTTTTTTGGTTTTTTTTTTGGTTTTTTTGCTGCCGGTTGATTCTACCGGATCGCACGCGTCCTTTGCAGCCATAGCGCACTGATCTCTTTCTCGCGCGTGTCAAGTCCCGCATCCTCGGACTTATGGTTGAAAAATAATCAGTGACGTAAGTGTTTATGTAATTAGTCAGCCGTATGTAACAACCTATCCAGTAACTTTACCATGTAAATATAAAAAAAAAAAAAGCCAACTGCACTTGAAAAAAAAAATTAAAATAAAATAAAAAAATCTCCTACCCTTTCGCCACTTTTTAACATCAAGAAGTTAATCCTAGTTTTGTTTAATATAAAAAAAAAAAAAATTAAAAAAAATACTCATATTACCATATAATGAAAATAAATATCGAGTCTCTCGAAGTCATTTTCCCTTATGAAAAAGTATACCCAGAGCAAGTACAGTATATGACCGATATCAAGCGCACACTTGATGTCGGCGGGAACTGTATTCTAGAAATGCCTTCAGGCACAGGTAAAACTGTCTCCCTGTTATCCATCACAGTGGCTTACCAGATGAATTACCCAGAACAACGTAAAATCATTTACTGCTCTCGTACAATGTCTGAAATTGAAAAGGCCCTAGCAGAATTGCGTAATCTCATGGCCTACCGTGCTAAAGTGCTGGGTTATACTGAAGATTTCCGAGGACTTGGTCTTACGTCAAGAAAAAACTTGTGCTTGCATCCAGAGGTTCGCAAAGAACGAAAAGGTGCAGTAGTTGATGAAAAATGCAGATCCTTAACAAATGGTATCTCCAAATCTAAACTCCAAGCTGGTGACGAAACTGCAAAGCTATGTGAGTTTCATGAAAATTTATACAACCTCGAACCACATAACCTCATTCCAGCAGGTGTTTATACCTTTGAGGACCTTATAAACTACTGCGAATCAATCAAAACATGCCCCTACTTTACAGTACGTCGAATGATGCCCTACTGTAACATTATCATTTACTCATACCATTATCTTCTCGACCCTAAAATCGCAGACAGAGTTTCCAAAGAGCTCTCAAAAGACTCCATTGTCATTTTTGACGAAGCACATAACATTGATAACGTTTGCATAGAATCCCTCAGTGTTGATTTAACCCAGGATTCACTAAGGAAAGCTGCAAGAGGTGCCGCAGCTTTGGGCAGAGCAGTCGATGACGTTAAACGCACAGACGCTTCCAAATTACAACATGAGTACGAAAAGCTGGTTGAAGGTCTTCAGCAGGCTGAAGCTGATAGGGCAGAAGATCTTTTCATGTCTAACCCTATTCTTCCAGAAGATATCTTAAAAGAAGCAATTCCAGGTAATATTCGCCGCGCAGAGCATTTCGTTGCATTCCTTAAACGCTTCATCGAGTACCTTAAAACTCGTATGCGCGCACTTCACGTCATTTCAGAAACTCCCACATCTTTCTTGAAACATTTAAAAGAACTCACCTACATTGAAAAAAAACCTTTAGGCTTTGCTACCGAGCGATTAAACTCCCTTGTTCGCACACTAGAACTGACAGACATTGAAGACTTTGTCTCCCTAAAAGAAATTGTTACATTCGCAACTCTTCTTGCTACATATGAAGAAGGCTTTGTTCTTATTCTAGAGCCCTTTGAAACTGAAGGCTCTACAGTTCCTAATCCTATCTTACATTTTTCTTGCTTAGACGCATCCATCGCCATGAAACCTGTTTTTGAACGCTTTTCTTCTGTCATCATCACTAGTGGTACAATCTCTCCGCTAGACATGTATCCGCGAATGCTTAACTTTGATACGGTCATTCAAGAATCTTATTCCATGACACTTTCTCGACGATCCTTTTTACCCCTCATTGTCACCAAAGGATCTGACCAAGTAGCCATCTCTTCCCGCTTTGAAATCAGAAACGATCCCAGTATTGTTAGAAACTACGGTAACCTACTCATTGAGTTTTCTAAAATAACCCCAGATGGTCTCGTCGTCTTCTTCCCAAGTTACCTGTACATGGAAAGCATCATTTCTTCTTGGCAAGCCATGGGAATTCTAGATGAAGTATGGAAATACAAACTTATTTTGGTCGAAACGCCAGATAGTCAAGAAACAAGTTTAGCCTTGGAAACTTACCGCACGGCCTGCAGTAACGGCCGCGGTGCTGTTATGTTTAGTGTCGCTCGTGGTAAAGTTTCGGAAGGTATCGATTTCGACCATCATTATGGACGTGCAGTTTTAATGATTGGACTGCCCTTCCAGTACACTGAATCTCGTATTCTAAAAGCCCGTTTGGAGTTTTTGCGTGAAAACTTTCACATTAGAGAAAACGATTTCCTTTCTTTCGATGCTATGCGCCACGCTGCCCAGTGTCTGGGTCGTGTCTTGCGTGGTAAAGACGACTACGGAATCATGGTTTTGGCTGACCGCCGGTTCGCCCGAAAACGAAGCCAATTGCCTAAATGGATTGCACAGGCTATTTTGGAAGGTGACATCAATCTTTCAACTGATATGGCTGTTGCTGCTTCGAAAAAATTTCTGCGCACTCTTGCGCAACCAGCAGATATTGAGGATCAGAACGGTGTTAGTGTTTGGACTCAGGAGCAGGTGGAGGAATTCCAGCAAAAGCAGCGCATTAGTAATTCCATGCACCCTCAACCAGAGCCTATGGACGTTTCCTAAATAAAAGACATATATAGTATATATTAAAATAAATTCCTTTAAAAGAATAAATAAATTTATTTATATTTAGTAGTAATCGGAAACAATATTTGAACTATATGCCTAAATTTTAATTAATTCGCAAAAGTTTTGGTTTGAGCCTATTTTGTAAGAGTTATAACTCTTATTAATTGGTGATCTGGGGAATTTTAAAGTGATTAACAATTAGTTAGGCTTGCATATATATGAATTTTCCGATTTACAATCATAAGCAACTCGATTTTCTTTTAAAGTAACTTAACTGAATTTTTTTTTTTTAATTTAAAAGCTTAAACCAACTATGATTTTATAATATAATATATATATTTATAAGTATAATAATAGAATTATATGAAATACAAAAAAGGTATCATAATACGATAATTACTCATCATCATCGTCCATTTCCTGATCAGACTCCCCTTCTTCAACTTGCACCGAAAACTCAATTTCTTTATCAACATCAAAGTAGGAATCACTCATACACAAAATAGAAAGTTTGTGCTCACCACCTGTAGGAATAGAGTACTTGAGCTTAAACTCCTGCTGAGGTTTAGAAAGCGTGACTCTTCTAATACCAAATATTTGGTTCGTGCTGGTTTCACCAATAACCAGCCACCAGTTTTCAACCTTGGGTTGAGTGTAAAATTGTGATTCCACAGTGACATCAACAGCAGGGTCCTCTTCATCAACTTCGCGCTCAACCCGAACCAAAACAGTAGATTGTTCTTCAGCCACAATGGTTTCTTCAATAAGTTCATAAGAAATTTCAATGTTGGGATATTTATTGACAAAATTGGCAATAGCCACCATACGAGGATCCTCTTCATCGATTTGAAGAATGCGTTCACGAACATCATCATCAATCATAACAAAGTCATAAACAGATTTAATATTCTCTTCTTTAGAGCGTTGAATCATGTCAGATGTGAAGTAAGGAATCTGCTTCAATGGGCTGTCCTTGTTCCAAATAGCTTGGACAATCATTTGACTGAGATCCATGGCATAGGTGGCATTAAGATTACCTTCGCCAGAAAGAACATCAACACATGCTGCAAGTAAAGAAATAACTTTGCTCAAAACAATGTTTTGGTCGGCAATTAGATCAGGAGAAAGTGTGATTCGGGAAATATGAGCCTCTAGCAAAACATATGCCTTGAAGTGTGCTGAGTAAGGCGAAAAGCGAGCCATCTTCATTGGAAGGTGACTGTGAATCTTGACAAGAAGCTCGTCTTCATGTGTTCGGATAGGCAATGACTCGAACTCTGTAGCAGATGTGACAATCTCAAGCATGCCCTTAAGTCGAGTCTTTTCATTAAGAGAAAGAATGAATGTCTGCATAGTATAATAAGAGACATTGTAATAAGAGCTGATGATTGCACCATTAAGAGGTGTAATAGAGTCTTCTGACTCAGTATCCAACTCGATCATCTTCGCTTCGGCCAAGCTATCCAATGTATTTTCAACAAGCTCAGATAAAAATGCATTGATTCCATCGTACGATGTGTCACTAAGATCATAAAAGGTGGGATTGGCTGTTAACCGGGAGAAGAAGTATGTATACATCAACCAGCCCATACAATCATTTCTAGCACTAATAATTCCTTCGCTTACTTCTGTAATGAATGCATCAGCAAGATAAGAAGGCATATGAGATTCAATTGGAAGAGCCTCGCTTAAGAATTTGCGATAATATTCGCGTTTAGAAGTATTTGTCAAAATTAAGGCTTGATTGAAATTCTTAGAATCACTAGCATTGCCAATCATTTGCAAAATTTCAGCAATGGTATAATCAATGTATCTGTGCTCCCGTCCTTCGTAAAGTTGAGTACCCATAATAATGACAAGGGTTGCTTTAGGGCACGACCAGCATGACTCTCTCGTAGCCAAAAGAACTTGAATAGCCTTTTTCTTAAAAAGATGCTCAACAATCTTTTTGTCTGACTTCTCCATGTAAGGGTAATAATATCCAATGCCACTTGCTAAGCTTTCTTTAAGATTTTCGTCCTGTACCTTATCCAAAAATGGTTTGATTGATTCCGCTAGCAAAAAGCAGTCTGAGTTTCCATCTGCGTGTGATACCCTCACTAAATCAGAAGCAGTCATAATACATTGTTTTCGATTTTCAACAAAAATAAGTGTAGATTCACGCTCTTTTAAGTTTTTGATAGCAGAGTAAGCAGGGTGTGCTAACGAAATCATAAATGAAGGATGATGGGGAATGCTGAATGACTGCAAATGAAGTTCCAAAGGAACTTGCCGTTCACCTGGAGGAAAATTGAAAATAGAATGAGATGTTGCACCAATCCATTTTCCAAAGTCTTTTCCATTTGCAAGAGACACGCTTAAAGCAATAATGCGAATCGGTTGTTCTTCTTGAGTGGCAACAAAACGAAAACGAGAAAGTACATTTTCATAAATAGCTCCATTCAAGCCACCAATTAAATGTGCATCATCAGCAATAACTAGAGATACTTCTCGCACATTAGCGCGCTTTTTCCATCTTCTGGAAATTAAATCCCATTGGACTGGGGTTGCCAAAATGATGGAAGCGTTTTCTAGTAATTTCAAATCAGCGGAAAGCTCACCAGTGAGCTTCTGAATCTCTGATACATCGATTACGCTGCCAAACCGTTTCACCCAATTATTATAACGATCGTTAACTTGTTCTTGGAATGGTGCAAGGTAAACAACCTTTCCTTCGTTTCCTTCAGAAATATGTCTCAATAAAGCAAGTTCTCCACAGACAATTTTTCCATTCCCGCCAGAGGCACCAATAAATACACTGTCATCAGTGTTAAAAAGTGCATGGAATGTTTGGGTTTGAATCTTGTTAAAGAAATCAAAATCAAAAAGACTTTTAAACTTCTTTCCAAGTGATGAAACAGAAACTGGCTCCATATCATAGATGGGCGTATGCGCAGGGAACTTTTCGGGAAGAACCAAATGGTTAAAAGGAAGAACAATTCTGCTTTCGCAGTGCAACCACTTTTCTGAAATAAGCGAAACAAAGTAGTTAGGAGGGATTGGCTCAGAAATTGGGACAGTAAAGTCCACATAATGTGGTTCTTCACTGTTGAAATAACGTTCACGAAGAATGAAATAGTCGCTAAATAAAATTGATTCACCGTCGCCATCTTCGACCGTTAAAAGATAAGTTAATGCTGTTCCATGGATATCTCTATTCCATTCGGTAAACTCTGGGGTGATAGCAAGTTCAATACGCAGTAAACTTGGAGTTATTGGTCTAAAGCGAGCGTCAACATGAAGGCGTGGAAATTGTTGAAGCATTTGATAAACCATCGAACCCTTACTATCTAGTCTAATGACTTGACCAACTTCAGCAGGGCTATCCAAGTCAAAATATTTTGACCATGGAAGCTGAGAAGCTTCTGTGCGCTTAATAACATCACCAGGAACATTAGGGAATTGTCGGAATGGTGAGTTAGAAAGCCATAATCTCCTTTCCACCATTTTGCAAAGATCTAAAGTGATTCGGGTAAGTTGGGCCCATCCTTTTCGAAGAGCAATTTCGTACATTGCGCGAATCAATCTGCCTGCTGATTGAGTAATATAAACCATATCTGCCATAAGTGCAAACCCATCTAATTTAAGTCGAGAAATATAAGCTTGAAGAAGAATATTAATCTTTGCAGATGGCTCTTCAACAGTTTCCTTGACCGGAATAGGCGCTTTTTCTAACAACTTAGAAAGCTCAAGTTTTTCTTCTTGTCGAACAGGTATATATTTAAACTCTTCAGACATTGAAAAAATTCTGAAAATTTCAATATTTGTAAGAAACGGCTTGAGATTACTATTGTATGTGGCCATTGAAGTATGGGATATGTAGAAATGAGAGGCAATTCTACCTAACTCAGTTGGTTTTACAGCACCAGTGTTGGGATCATAACGCACTAAATTATTGTCATGCAAAACTAAAAGCGCTGAATGTGATAAATCTTGACGTTTGTTTATCAATGTTGGATCACTAGCATATTCTTCGCCAACTCTATAATCTTTTGGCGATTTCAACATGCGAACATAGAGATAGGTGTAGCCTAGCCACTCAACAGCATCCTTGCGTGACGTTATAGTTCCAAGTGCTACTTCCGCATTGATACTATCAACCAATTTAGCCATCATTTGACTTTCAATAGGAAGGCTTGCATTAATTAATGACATGTAGTAACTTAATTCAGTATGTGCAGTGATAATGACACCATCACCAGATTTGTCATAACCAGGACGACCAGCACGACCAAGCTAAAAAAAAATTTTAGTTAAATTAAAATAAAATAAAAAGTTAAAAAAAATAACTTACCATTTGAAGAACATCTTGGGGAGAAAGCTCTGTCCATTTGCCTTTTTCAGGGGAATATACCTGTGTACCTTTGATAATAACTGTGTGTGCAGGAAGATTGACACCCCATGCTAGTGTAGCTGTAGAAACAAGAACTTGGACATAGCCATCTCTAAACAAGTCTTCGGCAGAAGTTCTATCGGCACGCGAAAGACCAGCATGATGAATTGCAAACCCTGATGGTAAAATATCCTTAAGATCAGCATTTTGAACCGATTCACTTTCAGAAGTTAATAGCTTCGTAGCAGCTGAATCGCTCTTTAAAAATCTTCTTAAAGTACCTTCTTCTGCCGCTTTGTCTCGCAAATACTTGGCAGTTTTAGCAGTTTCTTTTCTTGAGTGAACAAAAATAATGACTTGGTGCTGGCCAGCATATTGAAGGACTTTATCATAGCATGCGTCATTCATTGCTTGGTAACGCTTAAAAGCCTTTTTCTCAGTAATTCCAATGTAGGATTGGGCAAGAGGAGTTGGGCGATAAGAGGAATCAAAAAAAAACATCCCTTTATCAACATCAACCCGGAGAAATCTAGCAACATCTTTATAATTGGGTAAAGTCGCAGATAAACCAACAAGTCTGACAGCTTCACCAGTTGAAGCTTCTCTTCTAAGAGTTCTTGAAACAATACTTTCAAGAACAGGACCACGCTCATCATGAAGTAAATGAATTTCATCAATAATAATAAGGCGGACAAGATTGGTATAACTAGTATCTGAGGATTTTCTAGTAATAACATCCCATTTTTCAGGTGTGGTAACAATCATCTGAGTTTCAGCAATTTGCTGTTTCGTTAAATTTCTGTCACCTGTAAGTTCGGCAACCCTAATTCCATAACTTTCAAGTTTCTTAGTAAATTCTCGGACTTGTTCCTGGACCAAAGCCTTTAAAGGAGAAATATAAACTATTTTAAATGAATCCAAATCAATGTTATTAGTTTTCAAATCAAGATAATGTGAAATTGTTTCAAGAATTGTGAGAAGAGCAACATTTGTTTTACCAGCACCAGTAGGAGCACAAAGTAAAAGATTCTCACTGCTGTTAAATGCCGAAGGAAAAACCGAAGACTGAACTGGATTTAGGGTCTTTGTAGTCTTGAATGCAGGTTGAGCCCAAGAAGGAAGAGATGATATAGAAACAAGAGTAATATTTTTTTGGGCTGGTCGAGGTGGAGGAATGTCATATTGCTCATATGTTTTGGTGACTGATTTTGTTGTGCCTTCAGGGAGTCGTAATTCGCTAACATTGTTAATGCGATGACCTTGTTCAAAAACCAGGTTGTCAAGGTCCACAACTTTAGGCTGTCTTTCAATAGAACTACTAGGGTATTGACTATCAATAGGAGCATCTTCCATGTCAACATCATTATCATTGTTATCATTACTAGCCGAACCATGGATTTCTCGAAGTAATGAGTCCAAACCTCGTCGGACCATTTCAGTTTTAACTTCGTCCTTTTCAGCATCCGTACTGGCTTCGGCCAATCGAGTGAGCCAGACAATTCGATCTCTGTTTTTGCACATTTTTTTTGTCATTTCGAAATGTTCAAAATCAAAAATTTCCATTAGTTCATTTTCAACTTGATTCAGTGGTGCAGGTGATGACAAAATTTTAAAAATATCAGCAGTTTTTTGATGAGTTACTTGAGCATCAGAGTATATAGATCCTACTTGACGCTGAAGCCAATACTCGTCAATTTCATGTACTGGTATAATGTCGTCTTTGTGTTGAATTTTTTTTCTGTTTCCTATTACTTCTGTTTCTTCGTTCATATCGTTGGCGTCTTCATTATTGGGCCCTTGAATAACTTCCTCTTCACTCTCTTCGTCGTCATCACTATCAATAGGTATATCGTCGTCATCATCACTACCTTCAAAATTAACAGCAACGCCTGTCTCTTCATTGATTCTTAATTCCTCTAATCCAGCTTCTTCCTCCGCATCGATATAGTCAGTGATTCGCTTTGATAATTTCAAAAGTTCGCTGAATTTGTCGCCAGAAATTTTAGTGCCAAGAATATCCTCTATTTCAGTCTTCTTTTCTTTATCCGGCATGTTTTCATCTTTGAGTACAGTGAGTGCAGCATCTGCAGCAGATCTTAATGTCTCATGGGGAACGTCCTCTAAAAATGCTTGAATCCATGACATGATGAGATCAAATGCTTCACGAGTTTCAGGCGTTCTGGGGTAGTAGTTAAGACCTTCTGCATAACCCGACATTTCAACAAGAGTAGTACCAGCGTCTGATGATCTCAAAATGCCTTTTTTACTTCGTTTCTTAGGTTCAGATACTTCAGTTTTGATCTTTTTATCAGTTGTGTCTTTTTCGACCTTGGTATGAGTAGCTCTAGAGCCAAGGTCCTTCACACTGATTTTTCCAGCCAAAGATTCAGGCTCCGCGGTAGATTCATTATTATTACGCGTCACAAATCTTCGATCGGCTGTAAGCACTTTGTTTGACATATTCCCACTAGCTTAATGTTAGTCTTTGATTTTTTTTTCTGGTAAACCCCAAATTTACTTACTATTTATATTGGGAATTATCACGCTCAGACATCTTGAAGGATTTCTGGCAATTGATTCTAGATCAACTGCTTATTTTAAAAAAATTCAATGTTATTTGGTAATAACAGGTTTTTTTTCTATAAAGTAGAAAAATATTTAAATGAAGAAGTAAAAAAAAAACGCGTTGTGAGTGCAAGTGCAAAAACACGATGTTGAAAAATTTTTGGTGGCGAGAAGAAAAACTGCAAACAAAAATTGAATGATTACGTAATGCAACAAATACCCAAAAAAAAATTGCACCCCACGCAAAATCACAGCTAGAGCTTTCTTTATCTTTTAAATCATTTTCTATACACTAAATTTTAAGCTTGGCTTAAAAAGCTATCTTGAATGGACTATTGTTGCAGTTGGATGTCAGGCTTCAACGCGTACATTCTTACGGGATAGATGCCCCTAGGCATTCCTTTTTGGAGTGCAGTCATAATCAGTCGAAGACCTGCTTCTTTAAAAATTCTTCGAAAGCTTTCGTCAGTGCGTGTGACAGAGCTATCAGTCTCATCGAAGTCATCAGCCACAGGGCTATTATTCTCCTTAACAACAATCATTCCGCCTGTTTTCTGAAGAGACTTTTGGCATTTCTTTAAAAATTCCACAAGAATATTATCGGGTACTTGACCGACGCACCATTGGCACCAAATTAGCCAGTACTTATCTTCTTCAGGCTCAAAATCTTGGATGCCTAGCTGGAATATTTCTCCAATCTTGCCTTCTTGTTTCAAAGGAGCAAGTTGGTTATGTGCTTCTTTAACAAATGGCTCGACAGGTTCAAGAAGATCAACCTTATCGCATACTTTTGAAAGAAAATCGCGAGTAACACGCCCAATACTAAAACTGTTAGAATTGGTTTACTAACTAAAATCTGCAATTCTTACCCAGCTCCAACGTCAAGACCATATTTTACACGGCCCTCCCCAATTTTTAAACTGGGTCCTAATCTTCTAACAAAACCCATAGACCCTGACACGTCGGCCTTGGGCACAGGAGTAGTTTCGCCAAATCCTCCCAAGACGCCATTAACTGTGGCAGGGACAGATGACCAATAACTCACGGCATCATCATAGTTGATTAGGTCGTCAGCCTTACTTTCAGGTTTACTAGATGTATTTGGTTCCATTGTTGTAATGATTTTCTAATCTTCGTGAATTGCGAGGCTTGAGAAAGGAAAAAAATTTAAAAAAAATCCAAATATTACATGTTGATCATGTAATGAATTATTAATGTATTATGTAATTGATTTAAATATTTCAAGTATCACCATAATTACAGTATTTGAATTGTTGCGGCGGGTTTATTTCTATTTTTTTCAATTCCAAATTGATTTTTTCAAAGATTTCAAGAGGTTTGGTCTAAAAGACTGATATTTCCTATAATACTTTTGTCAACCATGATGTATCGCAAATTGAATATAAATTCAGTTTTATGGTTGTTCTTAGTAGCTTAATTGAACTCTATCTGTTCTAATTTTAGATTTAAAAAAAAGAATAAAACATTAAGCTCAAAGCTTCGTGGAGCTGGAGCTGGAACAGGAGCTTCAGTTCGTTAAATTTGTCATTTAAAAATGCTTTTTATTGTCTATTCATTTAAAGTGAATTGAATGTCTTTGTTTTTATTTATCAAAAGGGGGTTTTCATAAAAAAAAATCCCTTAAATCTAATTGCTTTATTATGTGATACAAATCGCCTCAACGGGTTTTGTCGCACAATGGTATTAATATCATCTAAACAGGTGTGGTAGAATCGATTGTAAAATTAATCGATTAAAAGATTTACTTTATAAAAATTCTGTCTTTATTATGAAATAAACATTTATTTAATTGAAAAATGAAGAGTATTCAATATTTAAGCCTTAAAATATATTAAAGGAACATGTTATCAAATCATTATTGATTCCTTAAAAATATCTCCCTACAAAATAGCCTCACAATAGATACGAAAAAAAATAAATGTCAGAGCAAGTAGTTATTCTTATGTATCACGTTTTCAATCAAGTTTGAAATGATTATAAACTCCTTTTTTTGAATGATTGAAAAAGGGTCTTTGAATGCTACTGAAAGTATTGAAATTCATGCTAGTATATAATTCATCAGCGTAATTATACTGAGAGATTCATTTTCAAAATCTAGGCAAACCTTTTTTTGTTTCTATAAACTTTAAGAATCTTAGTAAGTACCGATCGGTATTACAAGGCTTTAAACCCATGCGCGGTTCAATTGTTTATTCTATCAAGCCTAATTTCAATTTAGAATACAGGGGAGGGGGTAATGATCAAGATGAAATTTTCTTTTTTTTCTTTTTTTTTCTTTTTTTTTCTTTTTTGCTTTTACTTTGCTTTTATCCTGCTTTTAAATCAAATAAATCTACGATGCCTTCTATTAAACAATTGCTACATATGTCTGACTTTTACAGTCATGTTGTAAATAGTCATATCCAGATTTTTTTTTAAAGAAGAAAAAAACCGTTTATAGGCAATTATTAAAAAAAACTATTAAACAGATCTTAATATTATTTTCGCTAGTAAAATGAAATCAACTTAATCAATAAATTTGTCTCACAAGTTCCCGTAATTTGGTGTTAAAATGGATTAATTGTTAAGGAGAATAGATTAGAAATATTTGTACAACCTAGAGTTTACGCATATATATTTCTGTTTTACTTTATTTTTCCAAAACAAAAAATCTTCTTGCTTGAACATGAAGTGGTTATAATTCATGCAAAATCCATGCACCTATTTTCATTCTATTTTACTTCAAACAATGAACTCCTTAAAAATTTTTTTTCTCAAATATATAAAGTCTAAGTTTTTTTCCTTTTTTAGTATTTTTTTATTCATTTTCGATATCTATTTAGTTCTAACTATATACACTCTTTTATATATATACTCCGATAAATTACTCGCAAGCAAATTTCAGCCTAAATGATATAACGGTCGAGAAATGCTAGTACAGTATACGCTTTTTCTATTTGCAACATGCGTTTATCAGGCATGGACCTTGGACATGGATACAAACTCGGCTGATTCTGTGAAAAGTGGTTTATCTCAGATAGCAAAAGGCATCATTGATTATTATAATGGTCACGATCCGGGGAATTCGCCAGGCATGTTTGTGTCTCCATACTACTGGTGGCAGTCAGGAGCCGCATGGGGTAGTATACTTGACTATTGGTACTTTACTGAAGATACAAAGTACAATGAGTATCTTTATGACAGTCTTTTATGGCAAGCAGGCCCGAACTTTGATTATCTTCCAGAAAACCAGACAAGAACGGAAGGTAATGATGACCAAGGATATTGGGGTATTACATTGATGAGTGCAGCTGAAAGAGGGTTTCAGGCGCCATACGATGGTCAGCCTAGTTGGAGTGAAAGGGTTGAAAACATTGTCAAGTCAATGATCTCGCGATGGGATACCGACAACTGTGGAGGAGGTCTTCGTTGGCAAATTTATCCATGGAACAATGGCTATGACTACAAAAACACTGTTGCAAATGGTTGCTTGTTTCATCTGTCAGCCCGTCTTTCGCGATTTAATGGAGATAACACCTATATTGAATGGGCTGAAAAAACTTGGGATTGGATGGTTGATCACAACTATATCGTGACTAATACATCGGCCTACAAGATTATGGATGGCGCAACCATTGACTCAAACTGCATGAAAATCTCTCCTGAACAATGGACTTACAACGCTGGTCTGATGCTTTCCGGTGCTGCTTATCTTTATGATCATACCAAAGACTCCAAGTGGCTTGATAGAGCTCAAGCGATTTGGAACGGAAGTAAAATTTTCTTCAAAAGCAACACATACATGTACGAAGCATCCTGTCAAATCTCGAATCGATGCAACAATGATCAGCGAAGCTTTAAAGCATATTTTTCACGGTTCCTTGGTCTTACTTCTGACCTTTTGCCTGAGATTTCTGATGACATCATGAACTATCTCCGTGGCACGGTCCCTGGCGTGCTGTCTTCTTGTACTGGTGGTAGTGATGGTCACACTTGCGGTCTTGACTGGAGTGCTGGGAAATGGGACGGTTTCTATGGACTTGGTGAACAAATGTCTGCTTTGGAAACAATTCAGAATGCTTTTTTGCTTCATTCTAAGCCTGGACCGGCAAATAAAAACTCTGAGGAGTCTCTTCAAGATCAACTGTTTGGATTTTTTGGGCCTCCAAAAAAGAGCACTGAAGGTTCAAGCACCAACACTAAAGAATCTTCATCGTCTGATTCATCAAGTTTTCCTTCAAGTTCTTGGTCTGAGTCCTCCTCTACTTCCTGGACTGAATTATCAAGCTCTGAATCCACTTCCTGGTTTGAATCCTCTTCTTCAATTTGGACTGAGTCTTCTAGCACCACTTGGGGGAATACTGATACGTACTCTTCACAAACTGACATTGTTACAACACAAGCACCTCAACAAGAAACCCAGTCTTTAGATACTTGGAGCTCTCCTGCAACCGAACAATCTAAGGTATCTTCCTCCTCTACATGGGAAGTTTCTGAAAGTACTTCTACACCTGATATTGGTACATCATCACCCGATATTGCAAGTTTGTCTTCTGGGTCCAGTGCTGTTTCACCAAATATTATGGGAACCTCAGGCGCTTCGGTCGCACCCATTGATTGGAACCAACCATCAACAACATCCACTGAAGTTATGGTTGGAAATAGCCCAAATCCTACACCAAATAATTCTCTCAATACATATTCTGAATTTTCTTATCCTTCCGATGCACCTGCATATAACGACCCAGTAAGCTCTCAAATTTCTACTGTGTCATTCAATAATCCTCCTGCCTCATTCCAGACTTCAGCTTCTAGCAACAGCTTTGTTCAATTTTCTACCTCTTCTTCTTCATCTTTTTCTAGTTTTTCCTCTTCAATATCAAATGTTGCACCCACACCTGTTTACGAGACTGTGACCGTACCAACACCTACTGTATATACGACCTTTTTTCAAACTCAGCTGACTCCTAGCGTTGCCAGCAAATTGCCATTGGCAAGTCATAATGGTACTGCCGCACAGCAGCTACCTCCACCAATTCAAGTACAAGGTAAAGAAGGTTCATCAATTTGTGACGAGCCCACCACATTTTATGCTTCTTCGCAATACCCCCGTACAGCAAAGACTTCAGTTGTTGGTGTTAAAACTATTTCAACAATCACACACGCCGATGGCGCTATTTGTGAGGTTCTTATAAGAACCATTGATATCTATGGTTAATGAAAGTGATATGTAAAATGTTTTTGAATCTATTTGTTTTTTGCTGTTCTACTTGTTAAGATGTGTTTTGTCTTTTAATGAAAGTCAGCACATTTCATGCGTTGAAATGAAATATATATATATTAAATGTTTAAAAACTAAGTTTTTTAAAATGAGTTATTATTGAAATATATATATTTATCTATTTATTCATATAAAATATTAATTATTTAGCTATATTGTGATTAATATTAGCGTGAAACAGGCGAAGCATTTATAAGTTTATCTTGACAAAAATATTTCCGAGGCGCCTGAAAGACTTGGTTAAGAGGGATTATGCTATGAAGTTTAATTTCCTACATGGAGGAAATTTTTCCGCTAGCATTAGGCTCCGGGAATACCGGTAAATTATTGAGTCAATTGGGAGTGTGTTCTTTTTTCCTTTTGGTTACTAACTGTCTCTATGTCAAAAAAGTCCTTTCCATTAATCAATGTGAACTATTTATAATTCAAAATTGAATGATTCTGGATGAAATCTTGCAAAGGAATTATAATTGTCAGTGCTTTGCTTGAGAGTTGCATAAGGTCTTGATATACCAGAAACCTCAGGTGCCTCTTATTCCAGCTTCTCAACAGGAATATGTGGATGCAAATTAAAAAATAATCCGGGGCTCACAATTCAAATATACAATGATATAGCGGCTGAATATTCTTATATCACTTTCAAATAACTTCTTCTTGAATTTATTATTAAAAAACGGCTTTTAATTAATGTTTTATTAAAAAAAAAAGTTATTATAATTCATATAAATGCCAATTTTGCTTCATAGTTTGTTGGTCATATTTGAAGAGTAAAAAAATAGGCATTTGTTGTGAGTTGTAAAAAAAAAATCAAATCACTTTTTGGGACCTCAGAAATTGACAGCACTTCTAAAATATAATTTCAAGGGCCTTAAAAAATTATCTGTTGAATATAGAAATGATTCAATTATTACAACCTTTTCACAATTTTTTGAAGGGCTTGATATAAATAGTATTGCAGTAAAAAAAATTTAGCAAAGTATTTCGTGATTTCAATCTCAAAAGATGAACAATGGTCAGACTGGTCATCGTTTACCAATTGCATTAACTAGAATGGGTGTAGGAACGTTGGGCCTCATAACAGGAATTAGCATCTATATTTTGCATCCAAAACGAATTTAAATAGATGAGTGACTTTTATAACTACGTATTTATACCCTTCTCTTTATAAGACAAATTGTGATGGTGATGGTTTTGACTATTCATTATTTAATGTAAATTAAGATTTTTGTTACCGTGTTTATTATTAATGGGCCGCGTATTCATACCAATAGAATTGATGTTACATGGTTGTTTTTAAACACCTCTCACTTTAACTTTAACTTCAAAAAAAAAAAAAAAAAAAAAAAACATTCCACCACCTCCTTCATAAATAAACCCGCGTGGGCAGCACATCTACTATCTGCTCCCTTTAATTTTCTTGCAACAAGGCCAAAGAACAACGGCCCACTCAACCCGCGACGCACATACGCCTATTTCTCTTGTCTTACCTCTAAATGGCGCTGTCTGCAATACAACCACCTCCTGCCTCAGGTCCCGGCACAGCCGCCCCACAGCGCTCCTACCGGAGGCTGATCATCTCCGTTCTCTTTGTGCTTGTTGCATTCTCATTGCTTCCAGGCGTCTCCGCCTCCACTGGGGATCGTCTACCTGACTTTATCTCATGCACAGCACAGTGTGATGCGTTGAATTGCGATGAAGGCTCCTCCTATGTTCCTATTTACCTACGTCTGCTTTTTTGGACGTGCTCCCAGAATTGCGACTACACCTGCCAACGTTTGGTGACGGCGGATCGCATTATGATGGGTGAGTCTGTGGAGCAGTTTCATGGTAAATGGCCCTTTTTGCGGATTGCTGGAGTACAGGAACCCCTTTCAGTACTTTTTTCCATTCTTAACTTTGTCCCGCATTACCACGGCTTTCGCGCCCTTCTTAGCTCCCTCCGTGCACCCAACGCACCCACAACTCTTCTTTGGGTTTACCTCGGCATTGCCATTACCGGAATGAACGCTTGGACTTGGTCATCCGTTTTTCACACACGCGACTTTGTTGTAACTGAATGCCTTGACTACTTTTCGGCCGGCCTTACGGTGTTATACGGGTTTTACGCGGCCTCTGTGCGCGTATTTCGTCTGGATTACCCACGCCGTCGCTACACAAGATACACACTAGCATTTGTGTGTATTGTTTTGTACATTTTACATGTACTTTATCTTTCGCTTGTCCGTTTTAATTACGGTTACAATATGTTGGCCAACGTTTTTGTGGGGCTGTTGCAAAATGTGCTTTGGGTAAGCTTTTCACTTTTTCAATACTGGAAATTTCGAGAATACTGGCGTTTGTGGCCCCTTGGTCTCGTTATCACTGTCTCACTGGCCATGTCCTTCGAGCTTTTCGATTTCCCGCCCATTTTGGATATGCTGGACGCCCATGCTTTGTGGCACGCTGGCACTGTGCTGCCCACTTACTGGTGGTACAATTGGATGAACCGCGATATTCAAGCCTTAAAAACTTCGAAGGTTAAGAACTGAAAAAAAAAAAAAATAAATAAATAAAAGGAAAAACTTGACGTTAAAATCAACATGTTCAAGTGAAGAAAAAAATTACCCTTGTTTATTAGACTACATGTATTACTATTAAAAATTCACCACTTCACTCTTTTTCTGTATGAAAAAAAAAATAAATACTTTGGTTTTGTTTAAATCCAAAAAAAAAAAAAAATTACTGGGGAGGTTTCAAAAGACGCGAAACCTTAAGTGCAAGTTCGTCAGCCAGGACCCGAGACGTGGATTCGGCATACACTCTAACAACGTTTTCCGTGCCAGAAGCTCTAACAAAAGATCTTCCCTTGGGGAACTGCTTAACAATATCATCAATCTTGTTTTGAAGACCTGGGGGAGATACAAGACGTCTCTCAGCGTCAGTAGTTTTGAAAATAGTTCGGTCCTTAACTTCTACCTTAGAGAGTCTGTTGGGCAGATCAGTGTAGCAAGAGTCCCAGTCGCTTGGTGACCAGTCCTTGATAGTAAGAATGGCGATAACGAGAAGAAGGTCAGAAATGGCGTCACCAACTGTTTGATTTATTAAATCAGAAAGCGCAAGTAAACTATCAATAGCCAATTGTTGAGCAGGTGAAGAAACTTTAGATGCTTTTAACGTTCCAATAATATTAGGATCAAAAAGAACAGTTCCATGGCCGTTAGCTTCAAAATAAACACCGATGCCAAAATGTTGAGCAGCATGATGGAGATGCTTGACACCAGTTGCTGTGCACTCCACAGGGACCTTGAGGGTGTTGGTAAGGTACTCAGTCGAGCTGCCATTAGCATATGCAGTCTGAACAACACCAAGGCTAAAGCCAACATCAGACTGAACCGCCAGATCATGGAGGAAGGAAGCGCAAAGTGTGGCAATTTTGTCGCCATCCAGAAGTTTAAAATTATTTTCCTCATCGACAAAAAAGAAGACAATTCGATCAGCATCACCGTCAAAACTAGCATAAAGCTTAAGATTCTCGGGTTCAATGCCTGAGGGTAACTTCTGCTGCGTCTTGACATAGTCAGCACCGCAATTGCTATTCAAAAGCTGAGGCTGATCGTATTTGTTGTTCACAACCTTGACGGAAATAAATCCTTCAAGATACTTTGCAAGTTCCTCAATTTTGGGACCCCCAACACCGTTTGCTGCGTCAATAGTAATTGAATAGGCTTTGCTGTAGCCATTAAGAACCTTCTTGTATGCTTCAGAGAGCTTTTCGTAGTAACCTAACTCAGTTGGTTCGCCATAGGAATCAGAACTTTCTTTGGTATTTAGGCAGCGGACAATATAGTGAAGCTGGGGCGTGGTGACAACACCATAGTCTGCAACCTCAGCTCCAGAAACCTTAAAGCCATCTTCAAGGGCTGCAACAAGCCTAGGACCAGATTCTCGTGAATCACGGCCGTAGATGACACGACCAGGTATGCCAGTGTCAATTTCGAGTTTCTCAACAAGTTGATTGTAAAGAGTTTGTAGTTCTTCTACGGAAGAAGCATTAGCAAACGAGGTAGCATAAGTTTCCCAATGAGCTTCGAGCATTTCACCCTAAAATACGAGAAGGGGGGAAAAAATAAAATAAGAAGGTTAGCGTTTGAAAATGTTATTTTGGTGTTTTTTTTTTTTTTTTTTTTTTGACATTTGTGTTTTTTCACAGAAATGAATAATACATACCTCCGGATCAACAACTTTGACCCCATTATCTTCAGGGGGATTGTGAGAAGCAGTAATCATTACAGCAACAACTCTGTTTCTAAGGTACTGTGAACGAAGTGTGGCAAGAAGACCGACACGAAAGATAGTCGAGTCGAGTAGATCGGCCTTTGTACGAAAACCTGCAGTGCCATAAGAGAAGACGACTTTGGGTTTAGGGTGTCTGAGCGACAGCTGAGCAAGATTTTTGAGTGGAGCCATGAGAAATAAATGTGAAATTTATTGACAATTGGATATATTAAATCTAGGTGGTTAAGAATGGAGTTTTTTTAATAATGATAATAATAATTAAAAAGAGAAGAAAAAAAAAAAAGCTGCATAAGATAAAAAAAAAAAAAAAAAAAGGGTAAATAGGGAAACGTTGAAGAAAGTTAGCGGCAATGGTGGCTTTAAATATGTTTTTTTTTTCTTTTTTTTTCTACTGAGGCACGTCAGCCACCAGGCCCAGCCGCAACCAACCGGCGATCCCTGCGCGCAGTCGCGGGGATGGTGGGATTGATAGAATGTCTGTTTGGTTGTCTGTTTGTGTAATGTCACACACACGAAGGGCAGGTAGGCAAGCAGGTAGACTTTAATATTTTATAATAATTAGGCAGCCGTTAACTTATTTTTTTTTTTTTTTTGGTACATCACGCAAATCAACCCAAGCTTGTCTTTAATATCTCCTTTGAATAAGTATTTTTTTTTTTTTTTTTGGAGAGGGGATCTTGCAAAGTACTACAACAACAACTATCTTCAAATGGCCCCTCCTGTTCCAGTTTACACTAGTAAAGACCTGGCCAGTCTTCACAAGTTTCCGATTAACCCTGAAACTAACCAACCAGACTGCCCGCTCAAGGAGTTGACGCAGTACGAGTGTGAAGTCTACGGCCAGGAAATCATCTGTGTTCCCTTCAAACGACTTTTCCGAGCGTATGTAGTATAGCAATATAAAATAATAAATATTTGGTATTACGATAAAAAATAAAATAATAAAATAAATAAAAAAAATAAAAAAATAAAAAAACAAATTGTAATATATGGTTTGAATCTCTTAGTTAACTCTTTATTTCTTTTTTTTTTCTTCAGCTGCAAAACTCGTTCAAGCACTCACGAAACACTTATTGAGGTCACAGCCAAAGATACAAATATCCAAGTGGACTTTGAAAAATTACATGAGTCTCCTATTCTCTCCTCTCTCAAAAGAAAACAGTAGAGTAACGTGCACGATTAACCAAAAATATGGAACGGTTTCCAGACAAAGGGGAATATATAGAATCAATCACATTATAATGGGCTGGCTATACGTGTATATACAATTTGTGATAGTGTGATTTTAATAGTGCATAAGCATGGTTAAGAATTTTTTTTTAACAACAAGCCTATATACAGTTTAGAATAAAGGAATCGAGGTAAATAACTAATCTGGTCTTTATATAAAAAATTAAGCCTTTGTATATATAAATACTAGAAGTTCTAAACGGATTTGTCGTAGCATGTTATCGGTTTAATATCATAATCATCATTATTATTACTATACTAATATTATTCTCTTGGTGACAGGCTTTTTATCTTATCTCATTTACAAAAAAGTTATCATCAATAGCATAATCCAAATCCTACTTGTCACTACAAGCAAACTTCTATAAGAGCTGTTGTTGCTTTTAAAAGGTTGTGCCCTCAGGAGGTTGAGGAAGCTTTCTGTTGGTAGAAGAGGCCATCTCACTATTATAAATATGTTAGTACACTTTTTTTATTCTCATAATTAAATGAAATATTCAAACACTTACTGTCTGAGATCTAAAAGAACATTCTCCATAGTATACGAGCGCTTCCAGTTGGCAAGGCAAGGCACCTTAGAAGGATCTACAATACCAGTCGTCGAGTTGACACAGGGAATGTTGATCTTGGAAAGAAACTTGACTGAAGGAGGATTATTGGGGTATTCCGGACCAGCCTCCAGACTAAGGCAGTAGATCCGATTCTCGTGTGTGCTGTGCGGCGGACCCAAAATGGTGCCATTCCAGTATCGCATGTCAATATCATCGCCATCGGCCAAACCCAATGAGCAGGCCTCGGAACCAAGACCCTTCTCACCCTTTTCAAGTTCTTCCAGTAGACGGAAACTGCGAGGACTGTGTGGTTATAAAAGCTTTGTGTCAGTAGCGTGGCGCAAAAAAAAAAAAAAAAAAAAAAAAAAAAAGGCAATAAAATCAGATATATCATCAACGATCTGGGTCTTACTTACATTTGAACTGACATTCTGATTATATATAAAGTCTATAAGAGTAATGGATTAATTTTGATTAAGAAAATAAAAGAAAAATGAGAAAGATGATTCTCTGACAAAGCCTGTCGAGGATAAAACAGTATAGGTTTAAGCAGTGGGAATACTGGGTGTGATTACCAACAGGTGGTGGTGAAGTTAAAAAAAAACAGGTATATCCGCAACAAGGAAAGTGATCCGGTGACTGCCGAGCTAATAACTCACTCAGAGTATTATGATTGCTAAATCAATCTCATATAAATAGTCAGCCTTACATTCCATTCTCAGGGTTTTTTTTTTTTTTCTTCTTCAAAACACCCTTAAAAAAAATCTGCATCTCCTTTTTTGATGTTTCCACCATCATCACAACAACAATCGCCACACACTCATCAAATGTCTGGCAAGTCTCCCGATCCAAAACCTGTTCAGGATTTCCCTAGCTCGCCATTCACACGGCAACCACAGAGATCTCCTGTAGTTTCTCCAATTAAGAAGCCGGTAAGTCTATTTCTATTTTATTACACATTCAACTAACTTTTCACAGAATACCCCCTCGCAACTGGGAACCCCGAAATCCAGGGGCTCCTCTAGTCCTCTTAAGAAACCAGCACTAATTGACCTAACACCAGTTATTAATGTTGAAAGGTCACTGAGAGAAAAAATATCTTCACTGGAATTCCAGGTATCATCTCTGCTTGAAGAGCGTGAACTTAACAAAATACTAAACGAAAAGTCCATCCGTGAGCTGGAAATCAAGGTTAAGGACGAAGGAAAGCGTGCAGACAGACTAGAAACCGATAATGCTTATTTATTTGACCGCCAAAAATCTTTTTCGCAACAGGTTGAAACTCTTAAAGACGAGTCATCGAGTCAACAAGAAACTTTGAACGAGACCATAAACACTCTTCGACAGGAAGCACTTAATTCTCAGCAATCTTATTCAAAACTCGAATCAGATTATACAGCTTCTCGGGAATTACTGGAAAGCAGAACTAATGATTTTGAAACAAAGCTCCAGTCGGCAATTAATACAAGTACTCAGCTTTCGCAGCAACTGGAATCAACAATTACACAACTCAATCAATCCAAAATTAAATGCATTGAATTGGAAGATGAAGTCACTAAACTAACAGAACAAAATAATGCATTTAAAAATCAACCACAAGAAGCCAAAAATACAGAAATTGTTCAAAACCAGCTACATGAGCAGCTCGAGCATATTAACAAACTTGAGCAAGTGATTTCTAGCCAAAAAACAAAGCTCCAAAGTTTTGAAGATAATCAACAGCTTGTATCTGTAATTGAAGAGCAAAAGGAATCTTTGGAAAAGAAGCTGGAGTTTATGGAGGAACTGCGCACTCAACTTGTGGATGTGGAAATGAAATTGGCCGAGTCTCAGGCCCAGCAGGAAAAATGGACATCCTTTCTGGAAAAGGATGAGACTTTTAATTCACCTGAAGACGTTATGAAAGATCTTATGGTTTTGCGGACCGAGAAAAAAAATTTAGAGGAACGGATCAGCCGGTTGGAGCTGGAACTTTCTCAGTCAACACCAACAATGGAACAAATGACCCAACAAATTGATAAACTGGACCAGGAATTAAGCGATGCCAAAGAGCAGATTATCAAGGAATCTGAAGCACGTATGAGACTTCAGAGACAGCGTGATTTGGCACAAACTGAAACGAGTTTCTTGCGTGGCCAAATCAAATCATATGATTCTGAGGAAAGTGTTTTGCTACAAAAGATTAATAACAACATCTCTGCCAAATCAACAGAATCAGGTCTGACAGACGGAGAAAATATTAGCAATACTAAAGAGAACTTGGCGTTTCTTGATAATATAAAGAATTCTCGGATCACCCAACTTGAACAAGTTTTGGAAAAGTATCGAGGCGAAGTGGGACTCTTGTCAAAGGAACTTGAAAAACGTGACGGTACGACACCCAACATTGAATCCTTCAGTCCTCTTAAGCGGAAAATCACACCTTTTAGCTCTGGCGAGCGTGTCGGCGAACTCACTCGCAAAATTCGCACACTGCAAGTAGAACTTGACAATACCAAATTGGCTCTCGATACACGTACCAAGGAACTTGACGCTGCAAAGAAACAAGTGGCTAAGCTTGAAAAGATGCAACGTTCCCGTGAAAATCACGGCAGTGGACCTAAGCTGAGGATTCTCGAGCTTAAAGATAACCCAGCAGCACGCAATGAGGCGGTCAAAATGTCTACATTGCGAGCGCTCAAGAAGGAGAACGAGGGCTTGCTGGAACAATTGTCTCAAAAACAGACAGCAGCAGGTGACCGTAAGCTAGTTCCCTACTCGTCTCTTGAGGCGATGCGTCAAGAGAAAATTGCACTCAACACGACGATTGCGGATCTCAACAAGCGATTGGACCGACTCAAGCAAGTTTTCTCCAAACAATCACTCGAGTTTCGCGAGGCAGTATATGCGCTTGTCGGGTACAAGGTGGATCTTTTGCCCAATAAGAAGATTCGTGCAACATCTAAGTTTGCGGCATCTGAGGATGATTGCTTTATCTTTGTTCCTGAAAAACGACCTGGCAGTATCGGCGGAAGCTTAGGAAGCAGTGGCAAAATCAAATTCACAGGCATTGAAGACGGTCCTCTAACCACTGAGTACGATAACCTAGTGACTTTTTGGATTAAGGAACGGCATGATATACCTTGTTTTTTGGCTGCGCTCAATCTAGAGTTATACGACAAAACGACCAAAGCTGCTAGTTTTTAACATTATGAAAAAAAAGAGGGGAATGACTTGAAAATAAAGGGGGAAGTTTTTTATTATTATCTAATATACAATACGTAGTGTATATGAAAGGTTGGAAGGCCCTGGCTACTCTGCACTTGTTCTACCTTAACTAGCATTACTTCTATATTCTCTTCTTTTGTTGATACCCCTTTTAATTTTTTCAATGTTTATTAGTATTTAGATATTCTATACTAGAAATATGACAACTTTCAGAACGATAATTTTTTTTATTGCACAAATTTAAGATCTTTAAATTTTTCTGCTACTCTCTGAAACAAACCTGACAAAAGTTTAGATTTAGAAACTCCATTGTACACATAATATGCAAAAATACAAACATATATTCAGGTTTGCTAATAGCTACAATTTCTCGAAATTTATCTCGAGAAGTTTGTGCTTTTAGTTTCTCCATTCTTAATCCTCGAGTCCTCTAAGAGGAATTGAACAATGTTTTTATGTAAACAAAAGACAGTAAATACAATTTTTTTTTAAAAAATTACAAAAAAAAAGGAAAATAAATAATGTATAAAAAAAAAGCAAAAAAAAAAGCAATCGAATCAAATATCATTTATGATATTAAAAGGGGAAAAGAGACATGAAGGATATCTGGTTTTGAGATTTTTAAATCCGTAAGTTTTCTCTCTTGTTTTTCATTGTAAGAGTAAATTTGTGAAGTCATCTTTTTTTTTTTTATAATAACCGTGACTAAAATTTAGAGGTAAATAAATTTACTCAAGACCAGAAAGTGCCCGCTTAACAGAAGGACGCGAAAGCATAATCTGAGTCCACTTGAAAACTTCTGGAAACTCATTCTTAAGATCAATATCAATCCTATCAACGACATGGTTCCAAGTGACAAATGATAAGTCGGCAGCCTAATTGCTAGTTAGTTAACAAATTTCTAAAAAAAAAAAAAAAATAGATTTTTTCTTTTCCAAATTCCAAATTCCAAATTCCAAATTTCAAATTCCAAATTCTTACTTACCGTCAATCTGTTTCCAACGAGCCACACGGGGTCCGCAAAGTATTTTGACTCGGACAAAGCCGATGTACCTAGTGAAAAGCTTTCGTCGTCCATCTCCATAATCATTTGCTCGCGCAGCTCCGCAAGCCTCATCTCAACGACACCGTAGATCCGCCGCACTTCATTGACATATCGTTCGAGTGCAGAGTTAATACGCTCTGGGTGGAAATACTTGAAATGCAGAGCCTGGCCAATCATCGGCGCGTGGCCCGACGCCTGGAAAAATAGCCACGAAGTGATGCTTGATTGCTCACAAATATCGTCAGACCATATCGGACAGTCCCGACCGGCACGCTGACATAGGTATATTATGATGGATCCGGACTCCCAAACCGTATGATCATTATTGTCATGGTCGATGATTGCTGGCACACGTGCATTTGGATTCATAGACAAGTAGTAGGGTGATCGTTGTTCATTCTATGAGACAGAGTTGGTAAAAAAAAAAATAAGATCATTAGTATATAAGCCAGGTTGTTTTTTTTCTTTATTTTTTCATTGAATAACTTACCCGTTTAAAGTCAAGGTAAAAAGTTTTATATTTAAATCCCAGTTCTGAAAGAACTACTGCAATTTTAAATCCATTTGGCGCAGACTATAGAACTGAGTTAGATAGGCACTTTAAATGCAAAAAATAGATAATTAAAGAGCAATATAAAAGAGCGAGAATAAGGGGGTAAAAAACTTAATGGTAAAATAAAAGAAGAAACAATGTACAAAAAAAAAAAAAAAGAAGATCAGATAGTGACGGTTTTCAAGATATGTCCAACTTACGCGATGAGAAAAAAGACTTATGCCTTCAGTGGGCGGATTTTTACGATAGAGAGCAATCCTATCTAGCGGAGGCTCGTCTGGTGTCTGGGACATGGGTATATCGATACTGGAGGTAAGAAACTGGCTTCGCGAGTCTTGCCGTTGCACAAAAGCGTTATTGGAGTTGTTATTGATTATGGGGTATTGATTGGGAATGAGATTTCCATTCATATGATTTATACCATTTGAATTGTGAATATGGTTTGGATTATTGTTGGGCACATTATTGGAGGATCCATTGGACGAGTTATTCATATGGTGGTTTGAACCGTTGCTGTTATTGTTGTTATTATTACTGGAAGAGTTGTTGCTTGTGAACATGGACTGTCCACCGTACTGTGTATTATGGTACTGCGAAGATTGTTGATTTTGATTCTGCGAGCTGATATGGATGTTTGCTAGCGCCGACGAAAGATTTGAAACCACAACAGGTTTCTTAGGTGTTTGTTGCGACATTTCTGCTAAAACTTTGTTTGTTTATTTGTTTATTTGTTTATTTGTTTGCTTGTTTGCTTGTTTGTTTGTTGGTTGGTTGGTTTGAGTATGTTTTTTTTTTGTTTTTTTTTGTTTAAAGAGGGGCACTGTTTTGATTAGAAATACAGTGGTGGTGGTATACAAGAAATGGGGTCTTTCTCTCTCTCTCTCTTTGTATTTTCAAGTCAGATGGGAAAACTTTAGAATCGATATATTCACCGATACAATATTACTGATAAAAGGATTTGACTCTCTTAGATCACAGATTTGACAGAATATGGAGGGATAGGATAGTGAAAGAGTGGCTCGTTTCTACTGGGAAAGTTGCTTTTTTGTTCTCTCTTGATGATGGTTTGCGTGGTGAAAAAAAATTTTTATGGTGGTGGAAAACAGCACAGGCAAGTGTGCTAATTAAACCCCAGCCAGCGTGGGGTATGGCAAGAACTACCAGGGTATGCTTGTGTATGTGTATGTATGTGTGTGTGTGTACTACTGTAACCGCTGGCAAGACGGCTGATACCCTAACCCTTTTGTTAATTTGAACCACACAACCACACAACCTTCCAAACTTTACACTCGTCTCTCCCCCTCCCCTTCTGCAAGTTCCCTCTTTTAATATTTCTTCTTCAACAAAATTTATTGCTTTTTTGTAGGGTTCGGACCTCAGTCTTCAACCTCATTCACCTATATGGCCAATTTTTTTTTTTTTTTTTTTTTTCCCTCTCAAAGAACTACGTCTGATATTTGACATGATGCCGTTCATTTTAAAGAAAATAGAAATCCTATATTACCGCTTGTTGATATCAAACAAAGTGGCTTATGCAACCATATTTCCCAGAAAGCCGCTGGTGGGCCTGCGGCTAAATTTCGCTGATCAGCATGCCATGACCCTCTTTCAACGGTGCCTGATAAGGAACCAGGCTTGGAACACATGGGGCCTGGACTATTTGTAGAAACTCAGCTACGACAATCTTGTATTTCTACAAAAACAAACAAAAGCTATCCACAGTTAAAACAAAAGTCTTAGATATTGAGGTCGGGCTTATTAGATTTTGACCGTACCAGGATTAATCTACTTCTTAGTTTTTTTTTTTTTTTGTTAAACCCAGTTTTAAAATAATCATATATATATGACCGATTATAAGAACAGACTTTATTAGATAGCCTACTTAGGGTAAGCATGCTATAGCATAGCTTTGATGACTTTTTCCCTATCTAAACTTGAAACGATGGTTTCTCTAACAAACAGAAACTTTTTTAATCTACTGATTCGGTTTATTGAGTTTAAACTATTCTTAGTTTAACTTCATATCTTATCAAGCACTGGATTTTCTTTTTTAACACAAGATTTTCTCTCCTTATTGACCCACCCATTAATATCCATACTAATCTTAACTAAGCCTTGAGTTTATAGCAATACATTACTACATACAATCTTTCTATAATATAATGGATCATTATATTAACTATGAGTATGATTGTCAGAGCAAAAAAAAAATACCTAATTTTACTAGACCTACTGTAAACCTATAATCTGATAGAAAAAAAAAGAAAAGAAATGATTTCTGCACTTATGCATTAGTAAACTAGGCAAACAATTAGGAATAATTTTTTTTTTTTTTTTTTTTTTTGAAATTGAATCAAACCAACATCTTACAAGAGTTATTGGTGGAACCAAGAGTTCAACAAATATTGCTTGAACAATCACATCTAGAATTTTCGTATTCTTGATACCTTTCTTTTTGTGTAAACGTTTTCTTGATAATATAAATCACCAGATTCTACTTAAATATAAGTCTTTACCCAAACTTATGGGAACAATGATTTTCTGTTCTAAAGTTTTCTATTTTATTTTTTTTTTCTTTAAAAAAAAATTTCGACATTTTTTATCAATATATGACTGGATATATATTTTTTTTTTTTGACTTGGTTACTACAATAACTCGTTATTTTTTTTATTAATCTTTATTTAATTAACTTTTACTTTTAATTTTTGAGTATTCTATGAACATTAAAAAATATCTTTGCTGATAGACTGTATCATTGCTTCTCTTAATAGTTATTTAACATTAACAGGCCCATCTCTTAAATATTTTACTCATTCATTGTAACTTGTTTAGAGAAGACATAATTTCTTATATAAGTATATTATATTCAGTCTAAAATAATAAAATGATAAAATAATACAATGATCATAATACAATGATCATAATAATAATAATAATAATTATTATTATTTTAGTTTTCATTTCTATATTTCTTTATTGAAACTCAATTAAACTTTTAGAAAGAAAAAAAATGAAATGATCACTACTATTGATTAAAGCTGAAAATGAGCTTAAAATTGTGACTGCAACTATTCATAACACAACAGTTAACTAGGTTCGGCACTCCTAAAAAAAAACATCTTTTAATATTTTTTTAATATTTTTTGATATTTTTAAAGCTTTGTTTGCTTGTTTCTTTTTGGTTATGCAATTGAAAAGGTTCTCAGGCCATATGAATGCTATTAAGGAACATTGAATAAACTGTTTCCCTAGGTAACCTAAATTTTCCACACTGTTTTCACTTTCTGTTCTGTCATTTGACCCAGTCAGTTAATATTTTTTTAACAAAAAATTATCAAAAAAATGTTTCTTTTTTTTCTTTTTTCTTATATTATTTATACATGAGTTTTTAAAAAGAAACAGAATGGTTTTTAATTTTTTGTTCTCGCTTAAAATTGCAAATATGATTTCAAACAGGTGTAACAGCAAGACGAACAAAATACAACATATATATATATATATCTATTTACCTATGTCACATGCCTAAATTTACTGGTTTTTATTGTTATCATTAAGGAACGCCTTACCCATTACCTTGTTTATGGCTTGTCTAATTAGGAGATAATTGCTCTCTGGTGAACAAATAAAAACGAATAAAAATGAATAAGTAAATCCGAATTAAACTAACTAGGTAAAAAACTATATAGCTTTTTTTAAAAAAATATTAAAAGTAGTTCTATATACCGGATAATCATCTTTCCCTTATTTTCTAGTAATATCATGAAAGACCAATTAGAATATTAAAATGTCCTAATTAGGATGTTTGTAATATTTATTGAATAAAATTAACAACATTAGTTTGAATTCAATAACAAAATACTGAAAAAAATTAAAAAAAAATTAAAAAAAAATTAAAAAAATACAACAATAACCATTTTTAAAGATTTACAGTATTAATTTTTAACTACTTCAAAATGGAAAAGAAGAAAAAAAAAATATTATTTATGATCAATAAAGGTTAGATTTTTACTAGCTCTGCAGCTAGCATGCATATAATAAATTATTTTAAGGCATCCTATTGCTATTACATCAGTGAGAATGCGTGGTAAAAAAAAAAGATTCAAACAAAAGAAAACTCCCTTATTGCGATATCTTGTAACCGGTTAAGAATTGACAAAAGAATTGATTTTGAGGTTTTTTTTTTTTTTTTTTTTTCCTCTCCCATATCTCAAAGGCATTTTCAATATAATAATAATTTATATCTGAGAACATTGTAATTGAACAGTTACAGCGCAGAGAATATGAATATATTCCTTCTTCATAGATTCAAATTTAATGTTTGCTTGGCATAATCTTGAATCCTAACCACTCCATATATTGCTTGGTTAGGGTACGGGTCCCAGCTAGAGACGGCACAATAACATTTGAGTGCGCAGTCAATCTACTCTGTGTTATGCAACAGGGAGGCAGATTCCAACTATAAGACCAAGTTATCAATGCACCCTTGTCCAGGCACTTTACTTCTCATAATTATGATCATAAAATAGACTACTTTGACTTACTACTTTCCAAAGAACGCAAATAAAACTTATTTCCATAATAAGAATAAGAAAAAAAAAACAATATTATTATTATTATTATTATTATTATTATTATTATTATTATTATTGAATGAAATAATTGATAACCAGCTTAACAAGCTATTAAAAGCCGTATGGATTTAATGACAAATGTGCAGATACGGAACTTTGAAAAATTTGAATTACAAAAATTTACGTTTAGTTTCCTTTTCATAATAATAAAAAAAATTGCGGGAAAGTTAAGGAAGAATTAGATGAGTTAATAAGGATATGGACAGATAGTTTTAAACACTAAATAAATTCAATTGCTGTAAAGTTAAGATTAAGCCTGATTTTACTGTTAATAGATTGTCTTAACTAATTAGCTCTATCTTATAAGATGATTTTTTTTTGACGGAAGAAAACAAAAGAAGACAAAGATAAGCAACTAAGGAAAGATTCAGAAATACAATGATTTTTTATTCAGTGAAGACTTGGATTTTGATTACATCATAAACAGTCTTTTTTTTTTCTTCAAGTTTTATAGAATATTCTATAAAACTTTTGAAACTACTTTTTTTCCATTTTTGAAATATTCCTGTTTTTTTTTTTTTTTTTTTTTTTTTTCATCATGATCATTAATAATTTGTACAAAGCTTTGAAAAAAAAGATTTTTAATAAAAAAAAAAATACGTGGGTACTTTAAAAATAAACTTTCAATAAAGAAGCTAATCTTATTCAAGCTTAAAAGAAAAAGGTTTTTGTTGGGCGTTTCAAGTTAGATACTGACCTTTATGCTGTTTGAAAAGTTTAATATATGAATTTACTTTAACGCGATTAAACAATCAATAAAGCAATAAAGAATTTTTTTTTTGCAAAATAATTGCTTTAATATTAAATAGAGACCCTGACCAAAAACAAAAAAAAAGAGCTTTGAACATTAAATAATATGTTTTGCTTTCCTTTTGTTCCTTTTTTTTTTTTTTTTTTTTTGAATAGTAATCCATTTATTTAAGATGCTTTTTTTTTTTTTTTTTTTTTTTTTTTTTTTAATAATTACACAATAAGTAAAAACGTCATGCAAACTCTTTAAATTTTTGACGCAATTCGTGTTTTTAATGAACAAAAAAAAATTCCATAAAAAGGAATTAAGGATAAAAAAAAAACGATTGTTACGTTTTTTAAATCAGTTAAAGTAATCGTTATTAACATTAACAATAACATTAACAATAACAATTAAAGACAAGATTAAAAAAATTTGAAATATATATTTTTTTTGTTATGAAGATTCTTTTCAATAATCAATTTAACTAACCAATCTCAAAAATAATAATAGGATAAATTTTTATTAAAGTTGAATGATATATGCAAAAGAACATGAATGACGTTTAGAACATTTTAAGGTAAGCTTACTTGAATTACAAACTTAATAATTTTCCATCTTAATTAAGATAGAAAATTATTATATTATCATAAGAAGGTTACAAATAGAAACCTTGTACATTGCTGATTAAACATGAATGAAAAATGTTTACATAAAAAAAACCAACACTCTATTCATCAGGAATAAAATTTAAAAGATCGATCGATTCTATTCAACTCAATATACTCAAAACATCGGGGGTTTTTTTTTTTTTTTTTTTTTTTTCTTCAAATAAACCCTTAAAACTTTTGCTACGACCCTTTTATACCCTATTTTGTATAGATGCGTTCTTTTACCTAACAAAATTGCATCCGTCGGTGAATTTGAAGATTTCGAGCTTTTTTCAAAGAGTTAAAACAAAGCGTAGAAACATTTTTAAAAGCGTGCGTATTACCTTAAGTATACCTTTTTTGTTGCAAATTCAAAGTTTTTCTTTTTTAACAAAGTTTCCAAAGTGTAATTGTCATATCAATATTTTTTATGGGCTTTAGTTTAGGTAAAATGAGTTTACGTTGTTGATATTGATGATAAAAAGATTTTTTTTTTTTTGAAATAGAAAAAAAAAAAAAGAATAAGAAGAATAAGAAAAAAAATATTATCAAAATAAAATATTAAAAGAGGTTAGTTTGTTTCTATTAAACTTTTATACCGGAATCGCACTTAATAATGGGATATGTATGTAATACTAATTTTAGCAAAAAGAATCAATACGACCATCACCAAACACTGAGTTTAAAAAAAAAAAAATAAAATAAAAATAAAAATTTGGTTTTTTACACAAAATTATCGGACGTTTTCCATCTGCTTGTCAATCGAATAAGTCAATAAAAAAAAAACTTCAATATATTAATATAATCAATAATATAAAAATTTAAAAAAAAAAGTTTCTTAAAAAAAAAGTTGTATAAAAAATAGAATAAATTGATAATTTGGGGAGACCTGATACAAAATGTATCTACATATCTCAGTTTTTGTAACAAAAATGTAAAGGTATATAACCTCAAAAAAAAATTTTTATTAATAGTTTATATTATAAGTGAAACGTACTGAATAAATAAATAAAAATGGATCTCGTGTATTGATATCGGTTAATGAGAGCAGAAATATTTCCTTTTTTTCTAAAGCAAAATACATTGATTTTTGTTCCTTGAGAGCTTAAAAACCAAAATAAGATATTGTTAAAAAACTATATATGTAACATATTATTTAGAAGAAACAAAAAAAAAAATCTATAACTGTCACTTTTTTCACTTTTTTTTTTTATTTAAAATTGAAATCAAGTTTTGATAATAGAACTTTAGATTTGAAGTAGAAATCAAGTTTTTAGTTAGTCCTGACCTTCACTAATGTCAAAAAAAGCTGGAATTAACTAAAATACCTTAAGCATAAAGCTTACTTTGAAAAAAAAAAATAAATAAATAAATAATACTGCAGATAGAAAGGTGGGAAGAATAAAGCCTAAATAGAAAAAATAAAGTCCTATCATTAATTAACCGGTATGTGAATGAAATATCTAGAACTTCATAATGGAAATACGATTATTTTTATTGCTTGTGTGTTTTTTTTTTTTTAAAAGAAGAGATAGATAAGTTTAAAATGAATTATTTTTTTTAAGGTCCAATTGGGACCTCATCAAGCTAAACAAGGATAAAAAAAAAATGAAAACAATATAGTTTGTACTCAAAAAAAAAATAAAAAAGTTTAATATTTTAAAGCAAATCGAGATATCATCATCATCATCATTATTATTATTATTATTATCTTTACCATTAACTTTAAATCAAAGGCTTTTCTTCATAAGTTTTTTTTTTTTATTCTAAGCATTGAAGTGACTTCTATGCTTGACATCATGACTTTTTTTTTTTATTTTTTAATATTAAATAATAAAAAGACAAAGCGAGAAAGCCTCAGAAACTGACTGGCGTCTGCAGCTGACAGGGATAGAAGAGTTATATTAATTTATATATATATACTGTATATATGCAAAAATTGTTCTTTGTCCAAACATGGCAAGAAAAAATATTGAAATTCACGAGGCTGCAGCTTTAAAGCTTTAAAGCTTTTTTTTTTTTTTTTTTCTACATGTAATAATAAATACCATAAGAAAAAAAAAAAAAAAGAACTGCGCCCAAAAACTTTAATCGAAATTGTTTTCAAAACCGATATGTCTTGGTTGTATTCCAAAGTTTTTTTTTTTTTTATGGAAGATTTCCAGTTTATTTCATGGTCACCTCATCTTGTAAATTTATAAAAAATAAAATAAAATAAAATCTTCCCAGTTTTCTATGCTCGAGAAGTCCACTGGAAATATCCTAATTCTCTTGTTGATCCGTGTGTGTGTGTGTTTGTGTGTAACAACGCAACCAGGAAATACTTTTGTGTGTGTGTGTGACAACGCAGCCAGGAATACAAAGAGAAAATAAAAATAAAAATAAAAAAATTAATACCGACGATAACCAGCAATTATACCATTTAATTGTTTATATATATATTTCCAATTTCTCTCTTGGATAGAATTTTTTTTTTTAATTTTTTTTTAATTTTTTTTAATTTTTTTAATTTTTTTTTTGTAATTATAATTCAATTTATCAAATAATACAATATTAGTTTACCTTAAATATATTCATATAAAATACACACCCTCAGCTTCTTTTCACTTTTTAAATTGTTTTTATCAGTATTCCGTCACAATGCAAAGTGACCAATTTCTTCATAACGCTTTAAATAATAGTGTCCTGGATTCTATTGTTGGTACATGTGCAATTCAACTTCTCCAATACGACGCAGCTACCCTACATCTTAGCACCCAAGATATATCTTCTCATTCGTTTCTCAAAAGCCAAAAGCGTTTGTATCGCGAACTTAAGCCTCAGCGATGCCCTATTGAACCACAACATGCAGTCTTTACTCCACAAAAAATTCTATCCTTTGATGTACCCCAAAAAGAAAACATTGAAACATTTATCCAAGCTAATCATATCTTTGAACTTTCAGATTGCAAAAACAACCGTAGTTCCAATTTGGGTCACCACCGATCATACCGAAATAACGTCCATGTCACTTCTTATGATCTTGCTTCGTCTTTCACAGAATCATCTCCTTTTAAATATGCCTTGGTTTTTTGCAAATCCTTAGAACCTCGCAAGAAAATTTCTTCCAATCGCAACAGTATAGTACGAGTATCAAAAAATCTTAAAAACTACGAATCTCCCATCAAAAATGATGAGCAATCTCGCAGTAGTCATTTTGTTCTCAAAAAGCGACACACTCAAGTAAACTTTCAATCTTCTCCTACTGTCCAGGATTACTCTTTCAAAACACCAACCCGCTATTCTCGTCAAAACACTGATAAACAACCTTCCACTGAAAATAGGTCCTCTTATCTACAACCACAACTAGAAATATCAACTCTAGACACAGTGACAAGCACTCTTCCATTTAATATTCGCTGGCTTAAGTCTTCACAGTCTAACGTTGAAACTTTTGTCATTCTTTTTAGCCAAAAAAGAAAGCGCAAAATTTGGAAACGCCTTCTTTTGGAAAGTTTTGGTATTAAAGTATTGAACCTTAATAGGACCATTTACAAAAATGCTAATGGTGAACTTGATGAGGAACTAATAGAGTCCTTTTCTCACTCTGGTGATTTAGAGGCTTCAAAAAAAAAATACTCATCTGAATCAGGATTGAAATACAATGACTCTCATGAAAAGCTTAGTTATGACCCCCAATTGTGCAATGAACCCCCTTATTCTCACAACCATTTCAATAAATCCCCTCCAGAAATCTCCGGTCCCAGCATATCTACACAAGATAGTCCAGAAAAATATGAGCAATACATTAAGAATCAACAAAATGGTATCCTTGGAATGGGCATTCATTACAAAAATAAAGACGGCATTATTGTCGATGTCGCAGACAATAATTTCCAACTTTCCAAATCTAACACAACCATTAGCAAAAACACTGGGCAAAAACACTCCACTGATGAAACGCTATACCAAAATTTTGGAGAGGAACAGCTGTACAAGTCTATTTCTGTCACAAAGTCTAAAACACCCACGGGTACTGATGATACCTGGGTGGATCCAGTTAAGCCTCTCAACATTTCTAAAAAAAACAAAAACAATGATCGATATGAATCATCTTCACAACAGAGTATCCATAGCAAAACGAAAACTTTGCAGTCACCATTCTCTCCAAAGGGCAAGAACAAGTTGTCGTCCAACAAGTTGTCGTCCAACAAGTTTTCTGAAACACCGCTCCCACCTCTTCCTAATCCTCCACCGGTTGAACCAGAATTAGTATCAACCATAAATGTGGAGACAGAGAGCAATCTTAACTCTAATTATGAATCTGAAATTGTGAACCCTGTTACTCCAGAACTAAATGAGTCTCCAAGTGATACTTCTAATGATAGCCATGGATTTAGTTATATTAGTCCCCAAACGACTCCTCCATCTTTGACAACTTCTCCTTCCCCATCATCCCCATCATCTTCACCACATCATACAGAAGCCAAAAACTCAAAGCACCTTGACCTGTCACCATCAATTGAAATTTATCCGGGGGAACCTTTACAAAATTTCCCTGGTACACAACCTCCCCCTCGCCGATCTTCATTAGCCAAGTCTCAAAAAAAGGAACATTTACCACAACTTTTACCTGATGTTTTTAATGAGCATCAATACATTCGACCGGCTACTGTTGACCAGCTTGCACCTATTTCCAAAGACTTTATAGTATCGAGTTCACATGACAACATTTATTGCTCTGATCCAAGCGAGGATCTTGCCTTTGTTAATGCACAAAAAAATAAGAACAAGCATTTCAGATTTAACAGCCGCCCAGAAAGTTTATTATTAACACCACAAGATAAGTTTGACCAAGAATTGGCTCAACTTACTTTATCTAGAGAGTTGCTGCTTTCAAGTACTAAGCGATCTAAATCACCAGAATCTCTGTCACACTCTTCTGAGGTTTCTGTTTCTCCATCCTCTAGTTATCGGAGAAGATCAGGGGTATCCACTATTTCATCGACTAGTTCAATTAGTCCAGAGGTGTTAAAAGTTCCCACTGTCAAGGATTGGGCTGTTACCAACATGATGGTTATTAATGGAATGATTGATATTCCTACTAAATCATCTAATGAGTTTGATGTTAAAACCATGGATACGGAAGAAGTAATTTACTGTTCTTTGCCTAAATGGCACGCCTTAAGCCCCCCTATTTCCCCTCAGCCTCCAAAGTTTAGACTGCCGGAAATTCCAGAACGTCCAGAGCTTGAAGGCATGATCACTCCTTTTCCAAGAATAAATGTTTAAATTTATAATTTTTTTTCTGTATCTTTAAATGTTTATTAATAAAAATTTATTACGTGGTTACATTAATAGTAGAATGGTCTGAAATTGTAAAACGTTTATTATATTTAACTAATAAATTTAACTAATATTAATTTGTAATTACAAAAACACTTTGCGGTAATTTCTAAATCATCACTTCATTTTTAGGAAAAAAGAGTGAAATTTCTGGAAAAAGACGACCGGGTGCTTAACTGAATTAAGTTAGTGAGTCTTTTTAAAAAACAAATCTTTTATTCAAAAGTTTAATGTTTTCATTTTTTAGACACTAAAAACATCATTATTTTTTATAAACAATGATGATCTTAAAAGTATTTAATGTATCGGTGACAATAACATTTTTTTTTTTAGCTTCGATAGACTGAGAATTTTAAGATTATCCATTTTCATTATATTAACATTAAAGATATAATTATTGAATTTTTTTTTTCACTGGCTTTATTAATGAGTTAATTATTACATAAATTTGTTCTGAGCCTAATTCATGGATTGTCTTGATCAAGGTATATATACACAAAATTCAATATAATAATACTATGAGTGTTTAATTAAAAGTATTTATCATCAACATTCAAATAAATCAACTAGCTAGGCGTATTTTACAGTTATTGTTTGTTTGTTTGTTTTTATTCATCTTATCCTTTGAATTAAAACAAACAAATTTGTTTAAACAAAGAAACAATAGTTCGACAGCCTTTGTGATAATAAGCTATTCCACTAAATATTTATAGCTAGATAATATCTAGCCTTAAATTATCATAGAATAACATATATGTTATTACTATGTTATTGAAAAAAAAAATCAGATGATAAAAATACCATCAACAGATAGCAGATTCACTGTAATACCTCACAATATTACTTTACAAATTGTTACATGAAGTAAAAGGAAACTCAATGCCAGATTAATTAAAAATTAATAATTATATTTAAACCTCAGGGAATAATTCATCTATCAAAACATCTAACAAAGAGTATACTAGGTGTGCATTAAGTTTTTCATGCTGAAACATTTCAAATAAATGATAAGAAGCATACTTAGAAGATGTAGACCCCACTATTTTCATACATGTATCCCGGATAAGTGTATGAACAATCACTCTTGAATCATGTTTGCATTTCATTTTCTCAGCACCTGTTCTTTCGGGTTGTGATTCAGCTTTTGAAGCTTGTGCTGCCATAAATGAAATACCATTGGGCCACATTGCGTCAAGCAGTCTTTGAATTCCATCAGTAAAATTCTTTTCGGAAGCTAAATTTCCAACAATAGCCTCCCGAAGTTTTCGTTCAATGGTTCCACCAAGAATCTGTTGAACAACCACAACAACAGCACGACCTCTAACCCAATTATTTCCACGGTCAAATCCAAAGATTTGAATGAAAAAATCACAGATGGGTTGTATAAAGGGTTTATGAGAAGGATCTTCCATCTCAGCCTCTGCTTCAAGGGCTAATGTAGGAAAGCCAGAGTCCTGCGTAAATGGTACCCCAGCATTATTATAACCTCCAATAAGACCACTTGAACTCATTTCAGTATCATCATAAATATCCTCATCCCCATCACTTTCATATTCATCAAGATAAAATGCTGAGTCCCTTTTCCCACCAGTAGCTGCTAAAGCAGCAGCTGCAGTTCCTTCCTTACTAGATTTGGGAACATAATCCTTGACGGAATCTATTGAAAATGTTTCAGAGGAAAGAAACATCCGAAATGCTTTTGACCTACAAACATCCGGCATTTGAAGCAAGTCACGAAGATACTTTTGAAGTGCAATACGGCGAACATCAGCAAATGATTTTTGTTGAAACTTTAAGACGACCCGTTTTTTAGGAAATTCTAGATTTCGTACTTGAGGGAAAATGCTTCTAAGAAGTTGGTGGAGCTGAAAAAATTGAGAATATCTTCTGGCAACAACCCATCCAGCAGAAATATTACCGTTAAAATCAAGTCGCTCAACTTCAATAACATAAAGAATAAACGGTCCATTTGAGTCTCGAGCAGTCATATGAGATTGAATTTGAATGTTGGAACGACCATATAAACTGTTTTCCGACTCTTGAACAATATATTGCTGACGTTGTAACTCTTTTCTTTGAATTTCTCGCTCTAAACTTGCTTTGGATTTTCTCAAAACTCTTAAATTTCCAACATTATTTGTTAGCTCAGCTTTCTGAAGAAGTGGCTCGAGTACCTGTTCTTGACGATACAAAACTTTTATTTGCTTTGTCAGCATATTAATTGCTTCAGTTAACCCAAGATCACCTGGCGCGGCTAAATGAAGCTCACTTGTTGGCTTCTCTTCATGCTCATCACCAGTTTCATCGGCAGTATCCATATCGGAATACATTTCACTTTCAGAATCCTCAAATAAAGGTAAAGGGGCACCGGAATTTCGTTTCACTCTTTTATCTTCAACCAAACCCGAAATTTTGGAACTTGATTTAAGATTATTACCCAAAAAAACTTCATTTAATGAAGAAGTATTACTTCGGCTGGGTCCTGTAAACTTATTTCCCATAATAGAGTCAAAGACCTTTTCAATATCTTCAACATCTTTTTCATTTGGCTTATTAACAGGTTCTTCATAATCAGAAATGCTTTCCATTTGTAAAGAATCAATAGTGCTTTCAGCAGTGGTGGTGGCCTTTTCGGCTGCTTGCTTACGATCAGAAGCAAGAAAGTTGAGAAAAACATCCGATTTTCTGTAATTGACAAGATAAACATCTTGAAGTTCTTTAAAAACTGCGTTTTGGGTATGAATCAATGCTCTTCTTGCTAGGGATATTAGTTCATGTGACTTTTTTGGTGCTTCAACAAAATTTTGAACGGCTTTCTGGGCTTCCTTACTTATACAAGGCATTTTACCAGAAAAGTAAGTGTTAAAAATTTGGTATATATCATTTTCACTAATCAAAATTCCCATAGTACCAGCATTGTCTTTAATTTCACTAATTCCATTATTACTACTAAGAAATGATGAACTTGGACTTCCGGAAAAACTATTCCCTGTAATTTGACTATTCGAATTAATATTACTGAAAATATCTTTTGTGTCATCTTCGTCATCGTCATCGTCTTCTTCCAATGGATTCCTTAACCCATTCATTGTCAACCAAAATTGAACCAGCAGAGATTGTTTAGAAAGGTCCATAAATTCAGTGAAAGATTGGCGATAAGCAGGATCATTTAAAATTTCAAGTAAATTGTAATCTTTTCTAGGATCGTGGTTAAGAAGTCCCCCATGGCCATATGTTTGTGAAGAATCTTCATTAAAGCGAGAAGACTTCTTTCCAACTCCAACAAGTTTTTTTATGCGTTTATCAACAGAATACTGAGCTTGATTTAATAGTTTAATATAATTTTCATTTGTTGCATCTTTGGGTATTCTATCAAGTTGAGATGAAATATAGTATCTGATTTTTCTTGCTTCAGGTATTGATTTGCATTTCTGTATATCTTTAAAGAAATGATCGAAATCATTTTGGCCAGCATCAGAATTTAAAATGGCATACGCAGATGAACTTGCAGACGATAAATTCTTAAAACCAGAGCGACTTCCCAATGTTGCGTGCTCATTTAATGCTTTTCTGAGCTGTTCAACCTTTTTTCGATCTTGAAGAGTTGGACCTGCCATTGTAATAACAAGCTGATTCCAAAAATCAGGATCCGACAGCATCGTTAACGTAGGGAAAAAAATTGAACATGCCAATATGTCACTAGCTAAGCTATTGACAACAGTACTAGTAGCCGTATCCCCTATTAAAACTAAGATCAGTTTTGAAGTAAGGTCGCGAAGCCAATTTTTTCGGTAAGAGTCATATTGATAATGTTTTAAAGGTTGAAGAGCGGGATGAAGACGTCCCTGAGAATACTGAAGGGCTACGGCATACTGAAACTCACTATTGTCAGTAAGATTTTTACCCATAGATTTTTCTCTAACGGCGGAATCAGCTGCAGTAAACTTTCTGAAATGCTCTGTAAGTACGGGGACCATCTTTGTCACAATAAGGTCTGGCCAATTGATGCGAGATGAACGGTTGATAATCTGTGAGAACGCTAGCCGTAGAGTATGATCTACCTGAGAAGGGAAAACGGTGTCGCTAGTAAAAGAACGATACCACGAAAGAACAAAATCTCTCATAACATATTCAATCAGTTGATCTAATGCATCAGATACAAGAAACGATTCAGGATAAAGTGAAAATGGTAATGGCTTATCAGATGACAAAGAAATAAGCTCCTGTGTCCATTTGGTGTCTTTGGTGAATGCATATGGCTTAAAAGTTTCTTTCAAAGACTTTCTCTGTTTTTTCATTCTTTCAGTAAGGTCGCTAGGAATTTTCAACGCGGCTAAACAAAAAACGCCAAAAAAAGTGAAAAAACCGGCCCAAATGTACAGAGACTTGACAAATATTAAATAAAAAATCTCCCTAACTATGAATCCCAAAATAATCGCGCTGAGAAGCAAAAGAAGCAATGCCTCTAAAGTTATCTGCTGACCGAAAACAGATACTTTACTCGGCATTCTGTTGGGTTTTCAGAAATTGTCAAATATTAAATCTTATTTTACTAGTATAATGATATTAAAAAAAAAGCTTTTCTAAAGTGAAAGAATTATTATCATAAAAATGGTTAAACTGATTTTTTAAAAAAAGTCATAGTGACAGCATTTATTCTGAATGAACTGGCGGTTCGTATGTCTAGTGAACGTATCAATATATTTAGTGGTGCTATTGCAAGTAATGCACATTGCTGTTTTTTTTTTGTATAATATATTGTGCTAGGGTTAGGGGTTTAATGTATTATTTTTGATACCTTTTTTTTCGCCACTTTTTTGATTAACATTTCAAACCACAACAAATTAAGTTCGTCAAAAATGGATATTGATATAAATGACCAGGATGTTCAATTGGAAAGAGATCAATTGGAAAAAGATCTTCTTGATGTTCGAAAGTTATCTTCCGAAGTTGAATCTGATCCATATTCTCATCAAGCGTATATCGATTTAATCAATAAATTTAAAAGTATGGGCCCATTTATGACTGAAGAGCTGCAAAATGCGCGTTCTTCAATGGCAGAAAAAGTTCTTCTTTCTCAAGGTATGTATTTTTCATTTTAATTATACACATTTCAAACTAATCTAATTATTAAGATGAATGGATTCAGTGGTTGAGTGACACAAACTTACCTGAAGAAGTACGATTAGAGATTTACAGAAAAGCTGTCTCTATGTCACCAAGTGAGTAAAAAGTCAAATAATAAATATGCAAATTTATTAACTGTTTAAATAGCCCCCAAGATGTGGAGTGAATACGCGTCTTTTTTGATTTCAAAATATAATGAAGACAACAACTCCTCGAACTATTCGCGAGATAAAATTTCTCGTGTTTTAGAAAAAGGTTATAACGTTGTAAAATACGATATCCCTGAGAGCAATATTGTTTGGGATCAGTATCGAGATTTCATTGCAACAGATTTGGAAATACCACAAAAACGAGATGCTACTATTTCAAAAATTAAGGAAATGTACCTTCAACGCTTGGCTATACCGCATAAATGTTTATCTGATACCTTTTCTGACTTTTCTTCATTCATCACCACTTATGACAATAATAATTACGAAAAAGAATTAGTATCGGCCAACAAAATATATCAAAATACCCTTAAGGCTTTAGAATTAAGAACTCGTTGGGAGCAATCATTATATGAAGCGAGATCTTTGGATAATTATGCATCTTATATTTACTGGGAAATAACTCTACCCAAAAAACACCAGGAGCCACATTTAGTTGGTGCTCTGTATGAGAGGACCATTCTAGACTATCCTTATGTCCCAGAGGTTTGGGACGATTACTTGTTCTATACAACAGAAAAACTTTATACGGATAATCTTTTAAGCAATATAATTGATAGGTCTTTACTTGCAAACCCCTTTTCTGGAGTGTTGTGGGCTCATAAGTTACGATATTTAACAGGAAAGATTGTAAATGAAGAAATTTGTGATCTGAAACAAACTTTTGACAACATTTCTGTATTCAAGGAACCAGAAAAATATAACGACTGGAAATCATTTATGACAGAATGGGTCACTCATTTCACTAAAAAATTTGGCCCTGTTTTGAATGATCCAAATGATAGTTCTTTATTTGAAAAGGTTTTAGAAGGGTGTGAAGATGCTATTGAAAGAATTATGAGAGATGGTAAAGATGATGCAAATTTTGATTTAGAGGTTATGATTTCCAATTTTTTTACAAAAATTCAATATGATAATTTTGTATGGGAAAAACTTAAAAAGACTCGTGGTAATTATTCAGAATATTGGATTCAATGGGCTTCTTGTGTTAATAAATCAGAGGGTTATGAGAAGAGCAAAGTGAGACTAATTTTTGAAGAAGCTATTAATCGAAAAAATCTTGACTGGCCTGAAAAGGTTTTTGAGGAATATGTATTATTTGAAAGAAACTATGGTACCTGTCACTCAGTTCAAAAGGCATTAGCCAAAACACGGATTTTAAGTAAACTCCTTCAACATCGCAGACAGCAAACTCAAGCATCAAAAGAAGGATATATTCAATCCGAAAAAGTGGATTCAGTTGAAATAATATCTCATAAGAGAGCGCATGAAGATATTGATGATGTTGTCCTAGATCAAAGCAATTATAAAAGCGAAGATTCTGAAACTAAATCTAAAAAATCGAGCCACCAAAATACAAGGGATCGCGAAAATAATACAATTGTTGTTTCTGGATTCAGTAAAGCTACAACTGAAAAGGACCTCCAAAAATTTTTTAATGAGTGCGGTGAGATCATTTCAATCAATATTGGTGAAAATAATGTTGGAATTTTGGAATTTGCTGATCATATTAGTGCACTATCAGCGCTTACAAAAGATATGAAGAAAATTAAGGGTCATGAGATCAGTGTTCGGTCAGGAGAGGCAACAACACTTTATGTCACCAATTTCCCTCCAGAATTTAACGAAAGTGATATCCAACAGCTATTTGAACAGTATGGTCAGATTTTGTCTATCCGATTCCCTTCTTTAAAGTTTAATACACACCGTCGATTCTGTTACGTTCAGTTTAGTAGCGGAGAGAATGCAAGAAAAGCTTCTGAGACATTAAATGGTGAACAAATTGGTGAATTGACAATGCAAGTTCTAATATCTGATCCGTCTAAAAAAACAAGCCGAAAAGGAGCTTTATACGAAGATCGAGAGGTTTTTATTAAGGGGCTGGATTTTAACTCTGTTGATGAAAAAGAGCTCAGATCTATTCTTAGAAAGTATGGAACTATCGATCGCATTCGTTTGCCATTGAATAGAACAAATGAGAAGCAGGGTAGACTTCACGATGGATATGGGTTTGTTGTTTTTGGTAGCTCTTTAGAAGCAGAAGCCGTAATCAAATCACTTAATGGAACGAAGTTAGGTTCACGAACCATATACGTGTCTCTTGCCAGTGATAAAAATACAGGTCCTAAAAAGTTGTCAAAAGTGGTTTTTGATAATGGATTTGAAAAAGAAGATAACAATTATGATCGCAATGATATATTGGCAAGAACGCTTTCCATATCTAATCTTTCTGACACTGTCAATGATTCGCAACTTAGAGTGATTTTTGAAAAGTATGGTCCCTTGAAGCAGATTTTATTGAGACCAGATCTTAACAGCGCTAAGGTTGAGTATGTCAATGTTGCTGATGCTGGGAAAGCTGAACTTGCACTTCAAGGTCATTTGATCTCTGGACAACCTATAACTATTAATGCACCCAATGTGCAGAATGCCAAAAGTGCTGTTAGTGGATTAGGACATTTATCTTTTATCCCACGTGCCGCAATGAGAAATAAGCGGTTGTAAATTTTGAAAATAGTAGAAACGTTTTAATGTTAAAGAAACTTTTTCTCAATATGTGTATTCTTTGAGTTGTGGTAACAAATTGATTATCCATCTAAAAAGTCTAGTGTTTTTGAAAACATTTTGATCTTTGCTACTATGCATTTTAAGTTTTAGTGTATTTATTCTGTAATAATTCGATAATTTGGTTTGGAGGTGGAGAAATTAATAATCTAGTAGTGGTTAGGGTTGCTACATGTCAAAATTACACAAATTTCATGACACTAAAGTTTTTTTCGTGGCATTGTGAAATGTCATTCACAAATAATGATTTAAGAAAAAACAAGTGGCATTTAGTGTATTTTTTTGTCAAAATATCTTAAAAATTTTTGATAACTGATGGTTTTAAGCCCTATATATTTGTAATGTGTAAATATTTAAATGGATTGACAGTTATAAGCTTGTCTATGATGCAATCATCCTGTTTATAAAAAATATACGTGACAAGTTTTTTAAGGTTGGTGTGCTAGTTTTTTTTTTTTTTTTTTTTGCAGTGACAAAAAAATTTGTTACGTGCAGTTCAGTATAAAAATTTTTACCCTCCCCTTTCCACTCATAACACACACCTCTTGCATTGCCACCAATAAGTATAGAAGTACTATTTTGTTTGACATCCAAGCTTTTGTATCGACTACTTGTCCTTATTTATCATCAACCTGACAATTACTATATTTGTTTTTGTTTGTTTGTTATTGCTTCTTTGGTTATTATTTCTTGCCAGAGTATTCTTAGAGACTTGTCATTTCTTACCGACTACACTTGCGATACGCTTGTCCTGCAAATCAAACCCTTACAACTCTTTTGAATAGATATTTGCATTTGATTTAACAATAAATTTTAGAAAAAAGAGTTATAATATTGAATCGAAATACTTGATTGACAATATTTTCTATTTTTCACTTTATCCATCTTAAAATCTAAATTTCTTTCAGAAAAAAATGTCCCAACCTACTACACAATACTTTGGTACGCTTTTATGTTTACTATATTTTTTTTAAGATCATTAATTAACATCTTAATTTAATAGCACGGATACCTAAGACTGTTGGTCTTCATACAGGAGCTCCCGATTACACATCGGTATCAGGATTTGCTTCGTAAGTTATTATATTATATTATTACTATTTTTGTTGTTATTAACAGTTGGATTCTTAGCCCCTCAGAAGTTGTTAGACAGTCATTATATTCGCCTAACGGTAAATACTTTGCCTATAATACTGCTACTGGGTATGTTTTATAATGTTTTTATGAAAGTGACACCTCTAATTTGCTATTTTAGTGTCACTCTTATTGATCCTGATTCTGGATCTACCCTGAAAACTATTGAAGTTGAAAATACCTTAGACTTTGCATTTTCTCCTCTTGGGTCTATTCTTATGACATGGGAGCGTCCTAAACGTGATGAAAGCCGTGGCGGCGACTTTGGCCCTAATATCAAACTGTTTAGAACTGAAACTGGAGAATTTATTTGCGACTTTGTTTCCCGTTCGCAGAGCAATTGGCAACTTCAATTTACTCATGATGAAAAGTATTGTGCCCGCATGGTAACAAACCAAATCGAATTTTACGATTCGAAAAATTTTACTAAACCATGGGCTCGTCTTAGAGCTGAAAACTGCTCTAATTTTTGTGTAAGCCCTGGTCAGAATTACTCAGTGGCTGTTTTTACACCGGAGAAGTCTGGCAAACCTGCCAGTGTTCGTGTTTACCAATTCCCCAATTTTGAGCAACCCGTTTCTCAAAAAACTTTTTTCAAGGCTGAGATGGCTAAGATGAAGTGGAATAAGCTTGGAACCGCCCTGCTTGTTCTGGGGTCCACAGATGTTGACAAGACTGGAAAATCTTACTATGGTGAAACCAACCTTTATCTTTTAGGTATTGCAGGATCGTACGATTCCCGTATTCACTTGGATAAGGAGGGTACAATTCATGATTTTGCTTGGTCTCCAAATTCTAGAGAATTTGGTGTTGTTTATGGTTTCATGCCGACTACCACGACGATCTTCGATGCAAGAGGTAACGTTGTTCATACATTCCCTATCGCACCTAGAAACTCTATTTTTTTCTCGCCCCACGCTCGATTTATTTTAATAGCTGGTTTTGGAAACTTGCAAGGAGATGTGGATATCTACGATCGTCAAAAACAGTTTAGCAAAATTTGCACAATTGAGGCTTCGAATACCTCTGTATGTGAATGGTCACCGGATGGAAGATACATTTTAACTGCAACAACTTCTCCTCGTCTTCGTGTTGATAATGGAATTAAAATCTGGCATTACACAGGCAAACTCATTTATACCAAGGATTATAGTGAACTTTTTGCTACATCATGGAGACCTATTGATGCTAATCTTTTCCCTATGCGTTCGACCTTGTCACCTGCTCCCACACCCCATGCATCTGCTGCCACCTCTGCAGGCAAGGGTAGCGCTTCTTCTGCAGATACTCCACCTAAGAGTGCCTATGTTCCTCCTCATGCTAGAAACAGACCTGGTGCCTCTGGTCATGTTGCCCCTACCACATTGTATGAGCTTGAGCAATCTAATAACAGTGTTCAACGCCAAGTGCCTGGTTCTGCTGGTCGCACAATTGTTGGTGCTCCAGTTAAGACTGGAAAGAAGAGAAATGGCGCCAACAAAGTTGCTGAGGAGCCTCTTCCTTCTATTTCTTTTAATGCTCCAGCCAGTGCTGAAGAAAAGAGAATTCGTTCTCTTCTCAAGAAGATTAGAGCTATTGATGAGCTTAAGGTAAAGCGTGCCAAAGGTGAGAAATTGGAAGATACACAGGTGAAAAAGATTGCAACTGAAAAGGACATTTTAGAGGAGTTGAAATCACTAGGCTGGTCCGAAGAGAGCCAGAATTAAAAGCTCTTTTAGGAATCTTTTTTAGTTAAAGAATTGAAAATGTTTTTTTTTGAGCATTATTGCTGATTAATTGAAGTAATGCTTTAAGATTATAGAATACCTTCATCATGTTTGTAGTTTTCATAGCTCAAAAAGATTTGAACTGGATATTGGATAAGTGTGACTCCTGAGTCATAACTATCAGACATTAAAATGGTTATAATAGGAAAGGGCAGTAGTAGAGTTTAATAATTTATAACTTTTTATAATAAACAAAACCAGGTTTTCTGAATTGTATTGAAATTCAAAAGTCAACTAATTAGGAAAGGTGTAATAAGTTGTTAATATTGTTCAAAGGAGTTTGGTTATTTGGTAATCAAAGATAAGAAACGCAAAAAAAAAAATTGTTGGTTCTTTAATTTAACTTATTTTCATGCATTCATATGAATGGGCAATCAGACCCAAGCTTATAGCCTGTCTCAGTAATCACAATTTCTTTAAAAATACATTAGAATTTTAATAAAAAATGAAACCTATTGAAGGAACGAGCGGTACTTTTATAACATGCCATTTCCGGTATTTGTTGAATTTTGCTTAGAGCATCCAATTTAAGTAATTTGTTACTTATATCCAATTAACATTTCTCAGGTCAAAACAAATAAAAAAAAATTCATTATCCCAAAATGAAAAATAAAATTACCAACCCCTCTAATTTATGGTATTAAAGGAGGACAAAATCATATATATAAATTCTTGATTGATAACTGGTTTTGTGGTTTGAAAAAAAAAAAAAAAAAGTTAATTTAAATGAAAACTAAAAGATTTTAAGGGTCTGTTGAAATGAAAAAAAAAAAAAGAATATGTTTAGTAAGATATATAACAATAATAATATTACGATATATATTGAGTATCTCTATTTTTCCATATGCTCATTGTTGAATTCTCCGTTTTTTATTTTGAGACCAACTCCGATTGTTTTGATTTTTCGCCTCATTTCACCTGATTTGGAAATTGTTGAATAAAGCAGTAGCAACGGCGGGAACAGCGGGTAGAATGGGATTCCGGAAGCAATTGCAATTACTATTGTTAAGCTTAATTTTTTTTTTATGCAATCAAATTACGTGTGCGGCGTATCGCCATCTAACGTCAAAGATGAACCTAAAAAGATAGATGTTATTGGTCTTAAAATAACTCCGAAAAGTGTTTTCAAAGACTTCGTTTGCGCAAATGAACTTTAAGTTATTTGTGTATATTTAATTTAAGATATGTTTAAGAAAAGAATTTTTTTTTTTTTTTGACAAAGCGAAGAACTGAAGAACTGTAAATTAGCATTTGTATAAGATAAACTTAGAAAGTACACAAGATCTTGTTTTTTTTTTTAAAAAAAAATTGATTGTGATTGTAAAATGATAGTAGTATACATGTGTAATATCAATAACATCCATAAATAAATATAATAAAAACGTTGTGCATTTTATCATCTTTTACCAAAAGTGAAAAATGACCATGGAATGAAGGATTGGGGGGGGCTTATTCTCCTAAACATTGGACATCAATAATAATAAATATAGAGACGGACTATTTTTTTTTTCAAAAAGTTCCACCTTCCGAGCGAAGGAAATAGAAATAAAGTCCGTTAGGAGGCATCTGCAACAGTAAGAAAATACGTTTTAAAAAATTTGCTTAAGAGTAATGGATTAAGAACAAAAACAAAAGAAGGCTTTACTTCAAGTATATTTTTTTTTTTAACAACTGATAATGCATATTATTATTGTTATTATTTGTTTTTTAATTTTAAAAGATTGATTTGAAAAATTGATCCAACCTTAAGAGCATTTAGAAAATTAATCAACGAGCCAAGTAATCTCGGAACGGAAACTTCCAAGAGATTTACAGTCAATCTTGAAAATGTTATTGTTTGTTCATTCATCATAGTGATATTGTCACTCACAGTCATCGAGCACTGAAGTTATTAGGAAAACACAACTAGCCGCGCACATTACATAATGCTAAGAGGTTGCGGATGCTGAGGCGTTCCAGCGGAAAGCAAGACATCCGCCAGTGTCCGTGGGTGAGAATGCAAAGACAATTGTGACTAAGCAACAGTGCCAAGACTTAGTAACATATATTCGGGATACAACTTAGATATTTGGTCAGATATTATTAGCTTGAAAAGACCATTTCTGGAGCTTGCAGGTGAAAAAGTAGATAAATAGCTTTGGATCCCCCCATTGATGTAGTTTTTTTTGTGTTTAATTATTCATATCATTCTTTTTTACAATTCATTATTTATTATATTAAAATAGGTTAATAGTACTTTTTTTTTTTTTTTTTTTTAAGTCTATTGTAATCTTTTCAATTAAATTTTCACACATACTCAAACAAACAATTAAAGAACACCAAATTGCATTCTTAAGCATTGAGTAATATCTCTACTTTCTGCCATGTCTGATCAAAACGAAAAAGACGGGCCCATTAACTTTTATGGGGATTCATCTTCTTCTGATGAACGTGATGAGAAGCAACAGCTTCGTGACGCTGATGAGAAGATTCTCTCACTTGCACGCCAATACACAAATCAATCTACACAAAACATTGAAAGCGCCTCTCTTCGAAATGTTCCCGTCGGAGAAACTGCCTCCATTGCCTCCGATGGTCTTGGTCGCCGCCTTTCTCGCACAGTAACAAACATGCTTTCTCACATAGACACAAATATCAACCCTTTTATTGAACCTACCGACCCAATTCTTGACCCTTACAGTGACCAATTCAACGCTCGTGCATGGGCTCGCCATGTTTTGAGATTTAAGGATCGGGATCCAGAAAGATATCCTATGCGAACCACAGGCGTTTCATTTAGAAATCTCGGCGCTTTTGGCTACGGTACAGGTACTGATTATCAGAAGACTGTCGCAAATCTTCCACTTCAGGTTCCTAGTGTTATTCGATCTTTTTTTGGTCATAAGGGTGACAAAGTTCAAATTCTTAGAGAGTTTGATGGTCTTGTCAGGTCTGGAGAAAGTTGTGTTGTTTTGGGCCGTCCCGGAAGGTAAGATTTTGAGTTTTTTTTTTTTTACAAATCCAAAAATTAACTTTTTTTTTATAGTGGTTGCTCCACTTTTCTTAAGTCCATTGCACAAGACACTTATGGTTTCCACCTGACTGAGGACACTCATATCAATTACCAAGGTACGATTGCTTTAAATATCGTATTAAATTTCCCATTGTTTAATTTACTAACCGAAATAAATAGGTATCACGCCTGAGCAGGTAATCAAGAATTTCCGTGGCGAAGTTGTTTACAATGCCGAGACTGAAGTCCATTTCCCCAAACTTACTGTTGGTGACACACTCAAGTTTGCTGCATTGGCAAGAACTCCTGAAAATCGTCTTCCTGGCGTTACCCGTGACCAGCATGCTACTCACGCTCGTGACGTTGTTATGGCCTCTTTTGGTCTTTTGCACACTATGAACACTGTCGTTGGTGATGATTTCATCCGTGGTGTTTCTGGTGGTGAACGCAAGCGTGTCAGTATTGCTGAAGTCGTTCTTGCTGGTTCTTCTCTCCAATGCTGGGATAACTCCACTAGAGGTCTCGATAGTGCTACAGCCCTCGAGTTTATCAAAAACCTTAAAATTGACACTGACATTTCAGGTGCTTCTATTTTTGTATCCCTTTACCAGGCTTCTCAGGATGCCTACGATCAGTTCGAAAAAGTGACTGTTCTTTACCAGGGTCGCCAGATTTTCTTTGGCCGTGCTGACACCGCCAAGGAATTCTTTGAACGTATGGGATATGAGTGCCCTCCCAGACAAACTACTGGTGATTTCTTGACCTCTTTAACATCTCCCGCTGAGCGTGTTGTCAAGCCAGGATATGAGGGCCGCGTCCCCGCTACTCCTGATGAGTTTGCTCAGTACTGGAAGGCCAGTCCTGAGTACCAAGCTCTTATTGAAGAAATTGAGGAATGGGAAAGAGAAAATCCCATTGGTGGTGCATCCGTCGAAAGATTTTTGGAATCAAGATCTGCTCAACAAGCTAAGCACACCAAGGTCACTTCACCTTACACTCTCTCCTATTGGATGCAGGTTAAACTTTGTATGCACAGAGGTTTCCTTCGTGTTAAGGGCGATCCAGCAGTTGCATTGTCTACAGTCATTGGTAATTCCATCATGGGTATGATTATTGCCTCAGTTTTTTACAATCTTCCTTGGGATAAAACATCTTCTTTTGTGGGAAGAAACACTGTTTTATTCTTTTCAATCCTGTTCAACGCTATGTCTTCTGCTCTCGAGATTCTTACATTGTATGCCCAGCGTCCCATTATTGAGAAGCATAAGCGTTATGCTTTTTACCGTCCCTCTGCTGAAGCCTTTAGTTCCGTTATTTGCGATCTTCCTGTTAAGCTTATGACTGCTGTTGCTTTCAATATAGTTTTATACTTTATGACCAACTTGCGTCGTGGCAGTGCAAAGGTTCCTGGAACTCATCAAGGTTCTGATCCTTCTTACTTCTTTGTGTTCTTTTTGTTTTCTGTTTTGTGTACTTTGGTTATGAGTGCCATTTTCCGAACTATTGCTAGCGTCACTAAGTCTATCTCTGAAGCATTGACTCCCGCCTCTCTTATGATTCTCATGTTGGTCACCACTACTGGCTTTGTTATCCCCAACGTTGATATGCACCCATGGTTTCGTTGGATTGGCTACATTAACCCCATTGCTTACTGTTTTGAATCTTTGATGATTAATGAATACCGCAACAGATATTTTACTTGTAACAACTTGGTTCCTTCCGGTGATGGCTATGATGATATTCCGATCTCTGAACGCTCTTGTTCTATTATTGGTGCTGAGGCAGGTAACCCTATTGTTTCTGGCACCGCTTACATTGGCAAGTCTTTTGAATACTACACTGTTCATATGTGGAGAAACTTGGGTATTGTGTTTGGGTTTGCTGCTTTTTTCTACTTTACATACTTTGTGTGTGCTGAGGTTGTTGCTGGTGAACGTTCTCGTGGTGAAGTCTTGGTTTTCCAAAGAGGTTATAAGCGTTATGCAAATGATGAAGAATCTCAGAATGAGCTTCGTGATAGCAATAGACCTCCTTCTGTTGAGGGTGAGTTCACTCTTCAAAAGCAAGAGGGCATTTTTGCTTGGAGAGACGTTTGCTACGATATTAAAATCAAGGGTGAGCCTCGTAGACTTTTGGACAATGTTGACGGTTGGGTTCAACCTGGTACCTTGACTGCTTTGATGGGTTCTTCGGGCGCCGGTAAGACTACTCTTCTGGATACACTTGCCGATCGTCTTACTATGGGTGTTGTTACCGGCGATATGCTTGTCAATGGCAAACAACGTGACAAGTCTTTCCAGCGCAAGACGGGCTATGTCCAGCAACAAGATGTTCACTTGGCCACTTCTACTGTTCGTGAGGCTCTTGAATTTTCTGCTCTTTTGAGACAACCTGCTCATATCTCTCGTGCTGAGAAGCTTGCTTATGTTGATGAAGTTATTAAGATTTTGGAAATGGAGGAGTATTCTGATGCTGTTGTTGGTGTCCCCGGTGAAGGTCTTAACGTTGAACAGCGCAAGCGTTTGACTATTGGTGTTGAACTTGCTGCTAAACCTGAACTTTTACTTTTCCTTGATGAACCTACCTCTGGTCTTGATTCTCAAACTGCCTGGTCTATTATGTTACTCATGAAAAAGCTTACAAACAGTGGTCAAGCTATTTTGTGTACTATTCACCAACCTTCTGCTATTTTGTTCCAGCAATTTGATAGACTTTTGTTTTTAAGGAGAGGTGGTCAGACTGTGTACTATGGTGACATTGGTGAAAATGCCTCCAAGATGATTTCTTATTTTGAGCGTAATGGCGGACCCAAGTGTTCACCTGATGCTAACCCTGCTGAATGGATGCTTCAAGTTATCGGCGCTGCCCCTGGCTCCCACACTGATGTTGACTGGCACCAGACTTGGCGCAACTCTCCTGAGTACCAGAAGGTTCAAGATGATATTTCTTCTCTGATTGAGAGTGTTGGCCCTGTTAAGTCTGCCTCTACTGCTGTCAAGGAAAACGAGTCTCGTTCTTTTGCTGCTTCGATGCCTACTCAGATTTTTGTTGTTTGCAAACGTGTCTTCCAACAGTATTACCGCACTCCTTCATACATCTATGCCAAAGCTGCTATGTGTATCATTTCTCCTATTTATGTCGGTTTCACTTTTTACAAGGCTAAAAATGACGTTCAGGGCATGCAGAACCAAATGTATTCCATTTTCATGTTTCTGGTTGTCTTTGGTACTCTTACACAGCAAATCATGCCTCACTTTGTTACGCAACGTTCATTATACGAAGTACGTGAACGACCTTCGAAGACATACTCTTGGGTTGCATTTATGATTTCCAATTTGATTGTTGAGATGCCCTGGCAAACTTTAATGTCAGTGTTTTCTTTCTTCTGTTACTACTACCCAGTTGGTCTGTACCGCAATGCGTCGGTTAGTGGTGCTACCCATGAGCGTGGTGCTCTTTTCTTTATGATGGTTTGGGCCTTTTACATTTACACTTCGACTTTTGCACATATGGTGGTTGCTGCCATTGATAGTGCTGATGCAGCTGCACACTTGTCTAACTTGCTTTTCATGATTACTTTGATTTTCTGTGGTATTATGGCCCGCCCCGATCAATTCCCACACTTCTGGATCTTCATGTATCGTGTGTCTCCGATGACGTATATTGTGAGCACGTTCATGTCGGCAGGTCTAGCTGGAAATACAGTAGAATGTGCAACGAAAGAAATTGTGCACTTGACCAACCCTTTCACAAACAAGACTTGTGGAGAATTTCTTGATAGTTATGCATCTTCTTCTGGCGGTGCTGTTTTGAACCCCAATGATTATACTGGATGCCAGTTCTGCACCATGGCCAAGACTGATGACTTCTTGGCTCTGCTTAGAACGCCTTTGAGCGAAGGCTGGAGAAATTTTGGTATCATCATCGGATACATTGCAATTAACTGTGTGGGTGCTCTTTTATTCTACTGGCTTGGACGTGTGCCCAAGGGTTCTAAGAAGAAGAAAGAATAAATTTTTATTGAAAAAGAAAAGTATTTTATATAGAGTTAATTATCGGTTACTATATTTATTTAATTTGTATTAATAGTTTAAAAATGGTATAATAATGAATTGGTTTTTTACAAAAAAAAAATCACTGTTTTTTGGCTCGTTCAAAAAAAGGAACTTGAGAGACCTTGCGTTTTTTGGAATCACCACTTCCGACACCGGATGACAATAAGGATTGTTCAGAAGGAGGTGCTCCCAGTCCTATCCCTGTGGAGCCATATATAGTATTTGGCATAATAGCACGTCTAATTCCATCACTCATACGACCAAGGCCTGTGTTTTCTTTCCAGCCCATTTTCTGGAGCATCTGGGCACCAAAGCTCAATGCAACAGGAGGTTTTTCCTCACCTCCTGTTTTCAAAGACCCGGAACTAGCAACTGAAGAATTTGAAGAATTGGAGTCATCTTCGGAGTGTTTAAAGTCGAGCATAATGCGGGCTGAGTTAACTCGCTGCTTGATCTTCATGTTATTCAAATGTTCTGTGGATTTGGCATGAGCATTTAGCTCACGGGTGGAATAACAACGATACGAGCACAAAAAACATGTGAGTCCGTCAAAATCAAGAAACTTTGCAGAAATAGAACTGTCATCCTCTGATTTATTAGAATTTTCATCATTTTGAGGAAGTGAAAATTTTCGGTGCTCGTCAGGAGGTTCATCAGCAGTAACCACAAACAGTGACTCATTTTTGGATTCAGCTTGTTTTTCTTCCAGTTGATTTTCTTCCTTTTCACGTTCTAAGAGAAATTCAGCACGTTTTGTTTTCCATTTATTCATCTGCTGTAACATTGCTGCATTTTTACCAGACTTGATCTTGTGGTGCCTTTCTTCTCGCCCTGAACTACTCTTTTCTTTTCCCAGGGATTCTAGGGGAGACCGTATTTCAAGAGGGTTTCTTACTTGATTTTTAACGGCTTGCAGATGTGTAGAAGTTGCCTTTATATTTGGAATAGAAAAAAGTGGTCGTGAAACTGCTTCTTTTTGCTTTAATTGCTGATACAACGCATATCCCGACACTTCCTGAGCATGCTCTGCGTCTCCAGTTTTTTCAGTGTTTTCTTCTTTGGAAGGTTCTTCAGATAATTCTTTAGTGCCATTTGCACTGGGTTGGGGATACTCTGCCAAAAACATGTCCTGGTTCCAGTACTCCATTTGCTGACCAGCAACAGATGTGAATGTATAGCCATGCTTGATACCGTCTTTGGACGCCGGCTGGAATGAACCTAGAGAAACGTATGACGCTTTTATATGAGCCAAATTAGGGGGTTCACCCGGCTCTAGATCTGATTGGATTTGGGATAAATGTTGTTTGCTATTGAGATGTGTATATGCAGCTGTGGCAAGAGCGAGATTTCCAAACTCCACAAATGCAAAGCCAGCAGAGTTTTGTTGTAGAGACTTGTCACTTTGATTTTCTTTCGAAGCAGAGTTTTTGTTCTTGTTATCAGAAGAGTTTCCATTTTCTGGGGAATCAAGGGGTTCGAAGGGTTTAGCATTTTCAAGCTCTTTTGGTTTAACGGGGGCTTTTTTATACTTTACCAAAAATACACGACGAACAATGTTTCCGCTAGTCTGAGTGTGTTTGGGTATACTATTTTTGACATCAGAACCTAATTTTTTATTTACGAGGTTGTAAAGTACTTCCTCTGTATGCATATTTGGATCCAGAGACTGAAATAAGAGCATGGGCGTGGGCATGTTTCCAATATCGGTGTCTCCACAGACATCTTTATTATCATGAGAATGTCGAAACAATCCAACATCTAAAGGTTTATTATTCCTTTCTTGATTTTTGCTAAGTCTCCTTTTTTTGCGATTATAATGGTCATCTCGGGGCCTATATTGGCCGGCGTTATGGTCTGCATTGTCTCTGTAATCTAGGAAAACTCTGTCGCGGTCGTCTCTGTGGTATCGGTCACGTTCAGAGTGGTACCTTCGGTCTCTAGTATGATCACGTTCACGGATATTGTCATCTCTGTAATGTATTTCTTCATGAGAATGTTTGGGGTTGTCCGTATTGGAAGAGTTGACTGTACTTATTTTTTTTTCTTCTTCGGGTTTGCTTGTTGGATTAGAGCAGCCTGGGTAGTCTAAAGTTACCACCAGATCTTTGTTAATCTGGAGAGTCCGTGATCCATTTTGCTGTTTAGACATATGGTTTATAAAGGTATTCATTTCTTGTCCATTGTTAAATGTTAACTGAGCTAAAGCACAATTGTTTGTAGGTGCCATTTCAATCTGGGGAACCGTAACACCCAAAAGTGCAATCACCATAGAGATATCAGATTCTTTGACAGAGCCAATTTCTTTTTGAAAATCAGCATCAACTAATAATGACACTGTATTTTCTTTATTAGATCTGTTGGTGCTACTGATCGCCGAATCTTTTGTATTTCTGTAAAGGTCTTGCGGTGGTCGTTGTCTTTTGTAGTTGTTGCTATTATTATTGTGTTTGTAATAATGAGGAGGAGATGATGATGGCCGCGAATCGTAGAAACCGCTATTGCTTCTCGGCCCACGCTGAAAATTGTGGTTAGGACGCATCAGAAAGACTTTAAGAGCATTTTTTGTTTTGTTTGATCAAAGTTAATCGTTAGTGAGGAGTTTGTGATAGTGATAGTTTTTGGAAAAATAAGGTGGTGATGAAATATTTATTGCACGTGCAGCGCCTATAAAAGTCTGGGTTACACATTTAGCAATTGAGAGTTCACAACTTCGAACGAAATTTACTTGAGAATGATATAAAAATGATAAAAAAATGAATATATAATTAGCTAGAGTAACAATGTAAATTTTTTTTTAATTTTTTTTATTATATTTTATTAAAAAGGGTCGTTAAAATGAATAATGATATCTTTATATTTTCTTTGTGCACTGGAGGCTCTTGTCTCTATAATTCCCACCTTAAAAAAAACCTGCATTCTGTTTCGTCTTCCTGATCCATTTAGGACTTGACATTGTTTGGAAATTCACCAGACTCAATGCCAGCTTTGTATTTCTCGTGGGCATATCTGGTACCGCAGTACTGGCATGGGTGAGCACCGGGCTTATCGAGGTTGATAAAGATCTTGGGGTGACCCTGGACGCCTCTACCACCGTCACAGACGGCAATATTGTCGTGGCCACTCAAGTACTCGATAGGCTTCTGGGCAATCAGTTCAATACCGGCATAAGGGCGGGGCTGCAGCTCAATGTCGCGCTGAACAATACGGACACCAGAGAGAGCCTCAGCACGGGGCTTTTGCGAAGGAGCCCAAGTGTCATGGCGGTTGGGGGCCTGGTTGGAAAGAATCTCGGCAACACGGGCCTCCTTGTCGGTGTCGACAGCAGTTTGACGTAACCGCAGGCAAGTTGAGAAGAATCTGGATGTGGAGGCGACAGCGGTCTTTCTGGGGGCGAGTCTAAGCATTGTTGTATGTTTATGTATATGGGGGGGGATGATGATGATGGTGGTTGAGGATGATGAAGGTGTATAGGAAAAGGGAGGGTTTTTTTCTTGTTCTCTAAGAAAAAAAATTAAAAGGTAGGAAAGCGCGGGATAACAGAAAACGCCTTTGAGCTGATTGGCTCTGGTTGTTACACCATTGTGTTACATTACAATAGGTTTTTCTTTTTTTTTTTTGTGTAACAGAAATTCCCAATCTACAAACAAACAAACAAACAAACAAAAAATCAAAATAAAAATATAACATCAACAACGAGGATTTTGAATTTTACAATCACCATCGTTATCATTGATAATATCATCATTATCATTAACAGATAAAATACCATGGACGAAACGACGCCGGCACAGGTCTTTAAGTGGACCCAGGATGTCTGCGACATTCTATCTCAACCTGACTTGCTTGTATTTTGGGCCCATGCGCAGGGCGTATCTGTTGCCCATGCACGTCGCACTATACTTCAGTCTCTGGCTCAGAAACCTTCAAACATGAATACACAACATGCTGGACCCAATGCTATTATTGCAGAGGATAAGGCACGGTTTGCTTCAGAGCACCGGGTACGGCTTCAATATGGAGCATCAGGTAGTAGTAGTGGCCGAGGTTCAGGCAGACTTTACAGCGATAGCACAAATACAAGTACAATGAGTCTAGGGAGCAACCTGGGCCAAGTTGGTAGTAGCAGTGACACTGGGCCCATTTCTAAACGGTGATAAAAATTCTAGCAGGACTAGAAGGTCTAAACGCTTGTTTATATTTCAGGAGAGTATAATAGTAATCCAAAAAGAGGTATATATATATATATTTCATATGAGTACACTTTAAAAGATGAGCTCACGGGTACTGAGCTTGTTGAGATGCATATAAACGTCTGTGCCGTAGCCTTCAATACTCTGAAGAACAACATCGCCGCCAAAGTATCGAGCGTACAGCCGTGTGATGGGTAAACCGTAGCCAAAACCTGCCATGGGTGCGCCCATCATGGGTTCACTAAATTCAGGACCAATTTTGGGAGGTTCCTTGACAGTTGTGTAATTGTACATCCACACGCGCTGCTGAACCGAACGAGGAATACCGCCGCCCTTGTCGCTGATACGAATGGTAATGTCCTCGGAGCCGTCGCCAACCACAATAGTGACTGGTGGGTATGTTTTTGAGTCTACATCAACGCCATACTTTTCCACAACAGCACGTAGTGAGTTTTTGACTGTTTCAAAAATCATGTGGGACAAGTGAGCGGGAATGTACATGAAACGAAGGTCTGGATCGCACTCAATTATAACCTTGGGGCCTTCATAGAGGCCATAGGTATCTTCACAAATTTCTTCTGCTAATGTGACAGCGTGCTGAATGGTCTCCTTGACACCAGTATTTGTGCAAATGATGCCAACGTAATCTGGGGCAAACCGACCTTCCATGAGAGCAAGTTGCTGACCAATAAGCATTCGAATTCCGATTCTAGACATGAAAAAGCGATCGAGGAAGCTCTGGATACGCTGCTCGTGGAAACCAGGTTCAATCATGCCGTGGCGCTTGACAATCTCACCATTGGTATCACCAAAGTCGTAGTTGTAATTCATATAATGATTATTGTTACGATGGTGGTCCAAAGAGCCATTAGCAGATGATCCTTGTTTGAGGCGGTGCTTTTCAGAGTATTCCTTAATACCCTGAGCCATGGTAGTGACGACGGCATCATGACGCTTGCGCACCTTTGTAAGACAATCCTTAAAGGCATCGAGATATTCATGAACCTCTGGTGGCCATTTTTGGTCTCCATCGAACTTTGTGAGAGGGCTTCCCCCAAAGCCGCTAAAGAGTCTGTCTTTTAGCGAGCCAAAGAAAGACTTGTGGTGTGCTTCATTGTGATGTTCGTTGATGTGGTCATTTGGGTTTGAGCCATCCTCCAAAGCCTTGAGGGTCTTGAGAGTGGGCTTGATGTAATCGTCTTTAACATTGTCATTAAACTGCTTTGCAGGCATAGACAGAGATTCGCTGGAAACTTGGAGTAAATTTGCGCGGACTGTGTCTGGGAGTCGTTCCTGGGCATATTGCTGCATATCTACAATGTCTTCAAAGGACTTAACGTACCAGCCTAGCACACGCTGAATACTGGGAGATTCACCGAGTCCTTCCGGTAAATTCTCAAGCTCTCGAACACGGTGGGCAAGACGTACAGGCAGCTCATCAGCCATGAACTGGGCTGCACGGTAAACTGTTGCTGTAGATGGGGTTTGACCAAACTGTGCCATTTGAGCCAGCGACAGCGCAGTTGGTGGGAACCGCGCATAATGACTGATTCTCTGAGCGGTAGAAGGTTTCACTACCGAGCTCATAGTAAAAGAGAACTGGAAGGGAAAAAATAAAAGAAATTAGGAAAATAGAAAGTGTATATTAAAGGATGGGCGAAAAAGAAGTCGTTTTTTTTTTCTAAAAAAAAGAAAAATAAAGAGTGGTGAGACGAAAACAATAAGGGAGGCGGGGAGATGGAAGAAAGTGAAAAAATAAAATAAAAAAAAAATAAAAATAAATAAAAAGGTGAGGTACTGAACAGAAATACCTTAGGAGCAAACAACCAACCTTAAAACAGTCGCCGGATACCCACTTGACCTTGGCTGTTCACGAGATCCACGGGAAGTTTTCTAAATTGGAAGGATTCTGTAAAATAAATATATAAAAAAGGAATTTGAGGTGTATTAAAGAAAGAACTTGAAGAAGCGCTTACATTTTAGTGGCCTCTAGTTGGCGAACATTTTTTATTTTTATTTTTTTTTTTTTTAAAGCATTTGATTCATTAGCTTGTTCTTCCCCAGACTTTATGCGGACTCAATTGGTCTACCCCGCCAACTCGGGACTTTAAGTTTCACATAAGTTTTAAGAGTCCCGAACGTTAACCAAGAAATCAATAAACCAAAAAGAAAAAAGAAAAAAATAATGAGGTTTTTTTTTTATGTGGATTGATGTCTTTGTAGGTAATATAGTATGTTTGAAAATTTTCACGGACCTAATACTTTAAAGTTCCGGTGCTTCAGACCGGAGCCCTTATAACCCCTCAACCAGATTTTTTTCAATTCTCGTTTTTTCATGACATTATTAAAGTCTTCTAGTAGTCTAATATTTCAGTTGATTTATTCATTTTTCTCATCAAAATACCTATTTTTTCACTGTTTGTTGTTTGCTGGTTCGGGCGGAACCTTCCGACAACTTTTTTCTCTTCGTACGCATCGCCTTTTCCTTCCTCTACCAAAATACAAACAACCCCAGATTCTAAAAACACGTGATCGATTATGTAAATAATTACAAACATTTTTGTGTCTATCCTCCCAACTGAATTTTTTTTTTTTTTTTTTTGCCAGCAAGTCCTCCGTCAAAGCAAACAAAATTCACAACCTCCATCACCATCACCACCACCACTACCAAACAAATCGCCACATTCTAAAACAAAGAGCTTCTCTCTCACCAGCATTTGTATATATATATACACAATTACATACATCTAGCTGTAAACAACAATGTCCGAGATCTCAGCTGAAGAACGCCGCCGCAGGCGTCAGGAGCGTATCAAAGCTAATGCTGGCGATCGACTGGCCAAAATTACGGCAGGCAACAAGGGCCGCACACCAGACCCTGTTGTTATTCCATCCAGCGAGCCGCAGGATTTCCCCCAAACTACACCCGATACATCAGCGCCCCAATCCACTGGCGCGTCGTCTTCATTTTCGGCAACACCTGCTTCTGTGCGTGTTTTGCCCAATCAGCAACCCATTGTGCAGCCGCTGTCAGCTTTGAGCGAGCTCTCGAATAATAACAAACAACCCCCTACAGATCTTAACGATACTACTCCTAGTTCCGACTCTGCGGGCAGCGTCGACAACGATCCGCTATTTCAGCTTCTGTCGAAACTCAATTCTTCTACCTCATCGGGATCCCCTAAGCCTCAGGACTTTAACGACTTTGCAAGCCAGTTTGCCAGCATGATGGGCATGTCTGTACCTACTTCTTCTAATGGTAGTGGGTTTTCAGAACCTCCATCAACACCCTTTCCATTTGGTGCCCAACAACAACAACAACCACCACCACCAGTTACCCCTGAGCCTTCTCCAAAATCAAGCCGAACAGACCTGTTATGGACCGCGCTACACTTTGTTGTTTTTTCGGTTCTTGCCATTACTTCTGGTCTTGTATTTTCTCAACGTCGCCAGTTTACAGAACTTGACATTGTCCGGATCAACGAGTATTACGATCCTTCCTTTGAGTATCTGGCACCACCTGCAGACAATGCACTTGATTCTGCGTCGGAAGCTCCACCTAACTTGATTCCACCAAAGTTGCTGTGGTACTTTAGCACGCTAGAACTCGTGCTGCAAACTTCGCGGTTTTTTATTGAGCGTGGTGCTCCTCCTGCCGACTCGAAACTCACCAAGTTTGCATCGTACCTGCCACATCCATTCAACACGTACTTGTACACTGGTGCACGATATGCTCGCATGGTAAAGACAATTGTGCAGGACTTTTGCTTGCTATTGTTTATTGGTGGCATTTACTCTCTCATTTCTTCTTAGTTTGACTCAAAATTTTCTGCTGTTAATTGATATATGGTTAAATATTAATAAATTGATTAAATTAATAAACATGCTTGGTTAAAATAATTAATTGGAAAACAAAGAAAGCTCTACGCAATTTTGAAAAAAAATAAAATAAAATTAAAACCAGATTTATTTAAAGAATAAGTCATGTAGTAAGTAGTTGGTGGCATAAGCTTGCGTAACCAGCAAAAACTTGGCACATAGCTTAAACAAAACTTTCTCCAGGTTTTTAAAAATATACGTCATTATCCAAAGTTTTTTTTTTTAAAAAGTTATACCAAAATACATTTTTTCTTTATACAATAATAATAGCATCAAACAGATTCCAAGATGATTGCTTACCAGTTGCTATCATCATTGCTGTTGTTGTTGTTGCTGCTGCCATAAGAGTTGTCATTGTCTCTGCCACCTCTGCGGTTTCCAGAACCATAAGAGTCGTCATTGTTACTGCTTCCATAAGAGTTTGAAGAATCGTCATTTCCATAAGAGGAAGAGTTGTTATTTCTGCCAGAGCCATAAGAATCTGACGAGTCATCGTTTCCATAAGAAGAGGAAGAATTGTTGTTTCTGCCAGAACCATAAGAGTCGGAAGAGTTGTCATTTCCATAAGAAGAAGAGTTGTTGTTTCTGCTAGAGCCATAAGAGTCGGAAGAGTCGTCACCATAAGAGCTCTTCTTGTTAGAAGAACCATAGGAGTTGGAAGAGTCATCATTTCCATAAGAGTTAGAAGAGTCGTCACCATAAGAGCTCTTCTTGTTAGAAGAACCATAGGAGTTGGAAGAGTCATCATTTCCATAAGAGTTAGAAGAGTCGTCACCATAAGAGCTCTTCTTGTTAGAAGAACCATAGGAGTTGGAAGAGTCATCATTTCCATAAGAGTTAGAAGAGTCGTCACCATAAGAGCTCTTCTTGTTAGAAGAACCATAGGAGTTAGAAGAGTCGTCATTTCCATAAGAGTTGCTGGAAGAGCCGTAAGAGTCAGACGAGTCATTGCTGTAAGAACTCTTCTTGTTAGAAGAGCCATAGGAGTCATTATCATTGTCATTGCCATAAGAGGAAGAGTTATTGTCATTGCCGTAGCCACCTCTGTTGTTATCATTGTCACCACCAAAGACCTTGCTGGCAATACCACCAACCTTGGATCCAAAAGAGGAGTCGTCGTTGTTGTTGTTGTTGTCGTTGTCACGTCCAAAGATCATTTTTGTAATTTTTTGGTTACAAAGGTTTCAAAAGAATTTAAAAAAAGAGGTTAAAATATAATTGAATTATAAGATTATGTGTTGTTTTTTTAAACAAAAAAAGATAAAATGAATATATATAAAGAAGTAAAAAAAAGAGAATTAATATGTTTTTTTTTAAAATTTGAGGGAGTTTCTTAATCTTTTATACTTTTTTTTTTGTGTAGTTCTATTTTAAAAAAAAAATTAAAAAAAAGTAAGGCGGTTTAACCTCAGGTCTTGTGAATAGCAAAATTGCAAAGGATAGAGGAAAAGAAGTTTGCGATGCATTTCCCGCCCAATTGAGTTTACCGGACCAAAAAAAGAAAGGCCAATTGCGATAGAAATTGTTTTAGTCAATTCATGATGCCATTGTTCAATTGGATTGCTTTTTTTTTTTTTTTAAGCATTTTATTTTACAAATTCTTTCGGATAGGTCCTTTCCTCTCTCCCCCCTTTTTTTTTTTATATATTTTTATTTTTATTTCTTCTTTGACTTTCCAGGAATGAATGAAAAAAAACCCATGAAGAATATTATTTTTGGAGATGCCATTCTTTTATTTATTTTTTTTTTTTTGGTTCTCTTGTGATTGAATAATAATAATATTAATATTAAGCATACATTGATTTAAATACAATATCTCTTTTTTTAACAATATCGCTTTTTTTTTTTTGGTATTAACAAGTGTGGAGTAAAAGTATATATATATATATATATATTGGTCAAATAACAATGCTTTTCCAAAGAACGCACAAAATCCATCCCATCTTACAGTAAATATTTCTTAAGCTATTTTACTCTAAAATATCATCTACGATGAGCATCTTTGCGCCCCACCTTGTGATTTTAACAATTGGATATTTCACGTGTTGTGGTATTAAAAGCCCGTAAATCTTCGTAAAAAAAAAAAAACAAAAAAAAAACCCTAAGTAGTGATGATTACAAGAGAAGCGGGGATAAAAGAAAAGAAAAAAGACTTTGATATCTTGCTAATGCTTCTAACAAGTTAAGATTTATGTTCTTCAATATTACTATCCAATAAAACAAGTAGTCTGGTAAATCACTCTGGTTTGATACCATCGATTGAATGAAAAAAAAAAAAATAAATAAAAAGGTTTTTTTTTTTTTTTTTGGAATGATCAATCAATCAATCAATTAAACAATGACCCCAAATGTAAAAAAAATATAGATAAAAATACTTCATCATTGTCAAAGTTAACGTCAACGTCAACATCAAAGTTGAGTAAAATAAAGTAAAATAGAGGAAATCTTCCAGGCTGGCAATTTCAAAATCTAAACAGGGCGGCTTTCTTTTTCAAAGATAGTAGAATATAATAGATTGAAGTAGACCGCCGTGCTAGCCAGCGAATTTTATAACGCCTTGAAAAAAAAAATAAAAATCAAAAGCGCGTGTTGCATTTTGTCTGCTCCTACTAAGTGCTGCTGCTGCCTTCCATACAATTTTTTTTTTTTATAAAAAACAAAAATAACACGCCAAAATGTTACTTTTTGTCGGGTACTTTTTTGCAATGTTAACTACTATCATGAAAAGTTCCTTTTGGTCCGACCGCCTGGTCGAATAACCAGCCAGAAAGCTGTATTATCACCATCATGAATTCATTATTGTTTTAGTACTGAGAGAATTTTCAATGTTTTAAAAATCTATTAGTTGTAAATACTCTAGTAAGACAGAATAACCGAGAGGATATCACCACTAATTGATATTTCATTCTCTTCTTTATTTTCTCTCACCACTCCGCGTAAAAAACAAAAAAAAAAAAAGCATTCTTTTCGGTAAAACAAAAGTCCTCTAGTTTCTTTTCCATCCTACTTATCTTGATTCTTCCTTTAACTATTCATTTTTTTTTTCGGCTACATTATGAATATTTAATGCCCAGCGGTTCTCAAATTTCTGATATCAGCCTTATTAAGATTCCACGCATGATCCTTGTTTTACCAGTGTTATAAGACCTATATTAATACTGCTACTGATACTACTATTACTACTACTTTTGCTACTGTATAACTAACACTGCCTTGATCCACGACTCCTTTCTCTACGCAGTGTATGCTTAAACTAAAAGCTAAGACTCTCCACCCATTGTTCAATTAAAAAATTATATCGTATATGGCTTAGTTAATTAATAAAAATATGATAACAAGACTTTTTTGCGCACATGAAAAAAAAAAAAAAAAAACCGCACGTATGCTAATTTATAATTATATATATATGTGAAACAGTGCACACTACTTGCAAGCAAGACCACAAAAAGATGTTCAACATAAACTGTTCCGTAATTACTATAATCACCTCTTTTCTTCCTTTTTTTCTCATTTTTTTTGAGTGATTTATATAAACCCATTTTTCCCTGCACCCCATCATCATCATCACCCCCTTTAGAATTGATTAATCCCGGTGTCTGTGTTCCATTTTTTGGGGGGTTTCAAAAAAAAAAAAATTTAATTTACATTAAGAATTTCTACTATTGAAATTGCCACAATTATAATAATAACATCCATTAATACTATTTATTATACTCTCCTATGTTTCATTTCATATATATCTGAAATATTTTGGTCCTACAAAAAAAATAAATAAACCACCCCGTTTTTTCGTTTGGATATCAATTGCACGGCTTATCATCACGTGGCAACACGTGACTTAACCAAACTTTTTTTTTTATTAGCTAGCCAGTCGAGCGCCACCGAAAAAAACAAAACTGCTTTTTTTTTTTTTTTTTTTTTTTTTTTTTTTTCAGTCTCCCCTCACCGATCAGCATTTATAATTATCTAACCTTTCTCAATCCTTTCCTAATCAATGTCCTTCGCCAAACCAAACATCATCTTCTCCACATTCACATCTGTTTCAAACACAACAACCACTGCTTCTATCCGTCGCGCCTTGACTCTCAGATCACACCTTTCGTTTTCTTCTTTAAAAATGCCCTCTTCTAAACCAATCACCACCGCCGCTGCGCTCATCATTGGCGATGAAGTCCTTAACGGTAAAATCAAAGACACAAACTCCACATACTTTGCCCACTTCTGTTTCCGCAACAACATTGAGCTCCGTCGCATTGCTGTTGTCCCCGATGAAGAAGAGGACATTGTTGAAACCCTCCGCCGGTTCGCTTCGAAATACGACTTCATTATCACTTCCGGTGGAATTGGTCCAACCCATGATGACATCACTTACGAGGCCGTTGCAAAGGCTTTCGACGTTCCTGTTGCCCTCGACCAGGAATTGGCCGATCGCATGCACTCCCGTGGCAGTAAAATTGACCCATCAAATAAGGAGGCTTATGCTGCACAACTTCGTATGGCAATCATTCCAGTTGCCGATGAAACTAAGGGCGTAACTGTCGAAAAAATCTATATTGATGAAAACCTTTGGGTCCCCTCAGTTAGTGTAAACTCTCAGGTTCATATCCTTCCAGGTATTCCTCAGCTTTTTGAGCGCATGCTTGAGGGTCTTCTCCCCCACATTGAAAAGCGTCTTAACACTAACCAGCTTCTGCGCTACTACGTCTCTACAAAGCTCCGAGAATCAGAAATTGCCCCATACCTCACTAAAAAGCAAAAGGAGGTCAATTCAAAGGGAATCAAGCTTGGAAGTTACCCCCACATTAGCTTTGGTGTTAACACTGTCAGCATCATTGGTAAGCAGTCCGATGAAGAGTTTCTTAAGGAACTTGTTAAGGATGTTGAGGAAAACGTTGAAGGAAAGGAAATTTCAAAAGAAGAGGAGGCCAGAATTTCAGCTTAAAACATATTCATATAAACATCTATAGAGACTTCTTTCAGTTAAAAAAAAATCTTCTTTTTTTTCTTAATCCAGTTGAAATTGATCAAAATGATAGCCATCATATTACGTCAAAAACTCATCATACACGGTTAATGACTCAGTCATCTCATCAGATTATGTAATAACAGTATTTTTAAGAGGGGAGACCAAACGCTTTACAAGACATAGAAAGTTACTGGATCGGAATTCCGTAAGGGTTAGGGAAATTTATATACGAAAACAGATTGAAACATTTTTAATAATAACCAAGTTATTCAACCGGGTGGATGGGGTTTAAAATGACAACCAAACAATCAAAATATTTTATATTAATTCTTAAAATAAAATAGTACAATTGAAATGATATATATATAAGGTATGGGTTTATTAAACGTTTGAAAGTTTCCTCAGTTAAGTGAAAGATAATATCGTACTGATTGAAATAAAAAGATTTTAAGTCTTTAACACTTAAAATTGTTTATAACGGTTTAAAAGGTGGTTGTTTTTAAATATAATACAAATTTACTGAAATATATAAGCACGAGTTAGAAAATAAAAATACTATTTACACTCCGAGAAGCAGTTTTCAAAGGTTTACAAACAATTAGGTTTCATAATAAAAAAAAAAAAAACTGTTTTTGATTTTTATCTTTATACAACCTGGGTGACCAATTTGAATCATAAATAAAAATTTAGAAGGTCTTCTAAGGGAACATTTTGCAAAATATTTAAAAATAAAAATCTGTTATCAGTGTGTGATTATAAAAGAAAAAAAAAACAGAAAAAAATAAGATGACATCATAGTAGATAAATTTCTAAATCTCAAGCTTTAAGGGATGATGCTCTTCCAAAATATTGGTTATATTAAATAAACTATTGTTAACTTTTTTCTTCTTCTTTAACTTTCAAATAATTTACACCAAAACTTAAATTAATGAATACACACACACACAAAAAAAATAAGCTTATTAGCTTTTTTGGTTATAAACAATTGAAAGAGCTTCAGGTGATATATGGCTTTGTTTTATTGCAATTACAATATTTCTTTGTCTTAACGATTATCAGCAAGTAAAATGTTACAAATCTAAGCTAATTAGATGTCTCATTTCTTATTGGTATCAACCGGAAAAGGGCAATTTTAAAAGATCTTAAAAAAGAACGATAAAACGTTCAGCTTACTATCAAGTCAATTAAAGCTTTTATAGCTAAATATTTTATTTAATCAATTGAGAAATTAGACCGGGGTTTCATTTAAGAAGTTTTTAAAAGAAGTAGTATAGCCAAAATGTGTCTATTGTTGGCTTGAATGCTACACTTATCAAAAATAATTTGGAGTTTGAAAAAAAAATATATATATATAATTCATTATTTATAGAAAATTTCGTGGAAAACCTCCCATATAATATTAAAAAGGAACTATTTAACATTGAGCTTCATAAGAAAACCATTGAGTTCTAAAATGCTGTTATAATAATTATACTAATTGTTCTAGTTATCATCGTTCCTAAAAAATATTCTTTCCATCACGTTTTTAGTTGCATTTAAGGTGATGTGCTCAATTGTAAACACAACGTGTAAATAAGAACAGCAAGTTAACAAAAAAAAAATCACCACTTTTAAATACCTTTCTGTCCCCTTAGCTTCTTCTTTGAACACCCCTTTTTTACTCCTCTTTTCAAACACTGTAAAAACCTATTTCTATTATACACACGATTTTTTTTATATCGTGTAACTATTTCATCCAAAGATTTATACTACTGTATAAAGTTCTTTAACATCTCTTTTATTTTATATTTTTTTGGCTTCAAAGAAAAGCAATAATAGTAAACACACAACTTCTCTAAAGACCCCGCTGATCTTCAAGTCTTGCATACACGCTTTTCAAAAATGGCTGATCAATCGGTAGTGGCAGTCCCAAAACTTTTTGGCATTCCTTTAAAATACATTTCGCTGGTGACTGTAAGTCGACAATTTTATGACCGATATTGATTCAGTTCTTCTAACAGATACTTTTTCCTCTTAGCTTACTCTGCAAAACTCGTCATTGATTCTGGTATGTACAATATAAAATGTCAACTTATTTGGAATCAATCATCTAATCCTTCATTTTTCTTTTTTTTTTTTTTTAATTTTAGGTTATGCATTATTCTCGAATAATGCCTGGCTACGATGCAAGTTCACGATATTTCCCTTCAACTGCTGTTCTTCTCAATGAAATTTTTAAACTTTCCTTTTGTTTCCTGGTTTCAGCCCGTGAAATTGGTATCTCTGCAACATGGTCAGAAGTCTTTTCTGCAGACTCTTGGAAACTCGCCATTCCTGCTTTCCTCTATACTCTCCAGAACTCCCTTCAATACACTGCTGTCTCCAATCTCGATGCCGCTACTTTCCAAGTCACTTACCAGCTTAAAATCCTTACTACAGCTTTCTTTTCCGTCACAATGCTTAACAGATCACTTTCCAAGATTCAATGGACCTCGCTTGTTCTCCTTACATCCGGTATTGCTTTTGTCCAAGTTTCTCCCGAGTCTTTTTCGAAATTTTTTTCCACGGCCGTTTCAATGATCCTCCCCTCTTCTGCTGCTTCAACCTTTACCGGAGCTGAAGCTGATTCTCCCAAACATCTTCTTATTAGAGCCGCCCACGATGCTGCTCACGACGAAATGAACAGAAGCATTGGTCTTGTTGCTGTTGTTGTTGCCTGCTGTTTGTCAGGTCTTGCAGGTGTTTACTTTGAAAAAGTGCTTAAAGGTTCCAGTGCATCTCTTTGGGTCCGCAATATCCAGCTCAGTTTTTACTCTGTATTCCCAGCTCTTTTCCTTGGTGTCTTGTGGAAAGATGGTGCTAAAATCTCTGAAAAGGGCTTCTTCTTTGGCTACAACTATGTTGTCTGGACCGCAATCTTTTTACAGGCTTTTGGTGGTATCATTGTTGCCCTCTGTGTCAAGTTTGCCGACAATATTGCAAAGAACTTTGCAACCTCTATTTCTATTTTGATTTCTTTCCTTGCTTCTGTTTACTTCTTTGATTTCACTGTTACCTTTAACTTTATTGCTGGTGCTGCTCTCGTTATTTTTGCTACTTATCTTTATGCCATGCCTTCTCCTCAGCCCAAAGAGCCAAAGTGGAGTCTGCCAACCAACGAAGATGATATCGAAATGACTTCTCATCAAAACAAAAGAGAGTAAATAATTGTTATGGGATTTCATTTTTGATAGAAAATTGACATAAATTGTTAGTCAATTTTTAGGATACCACAAAAAATAAAAAAATAAAAAAGTAAAAAAAATATATATTTTATGTTTTCATAAACATAGATGATCAGTTTTTTTTTGTTTAATATAATTCTTAATACACGTCGTTTAATTTTAATTCTGCTCAGTGGTAATATTGTTTTTTCAAACATGACGATAAGGGATTAAATAAGTTATAACTAATAAGTTATTATCAAGAATCTGATTCCATTGAAAAGTCTGGGGAAATACCTTCATCCATCCAATTAATGGACCTTTAAGGGATACAGGGATTCGTAAGCTCATTTTCTACTTTCACCAATATTGATTACGTTAGAGCTTATTAAATATATATCTATATTAATACTTAAAGTATTACACTAACAAGCATTTCGGTTTGAACAAAGGGTGTTTGATGATCACCATCAAAGGTCTTATATAGAGCAGCTTGTTTCCCGGTATTTTCAACTGCTTGCAAAAAAAATCAGTATACAATCGCAATAAAAAACTAGTTGAAATAATTGAAGGTATACTAGAGGAACAAAATAATGATTTATAAAGGGCTATATCTGGTCGGATAATATTAGGGATAATAGAGCACACAATCTGGTTAGGTCAGAATTGCTTTTGATATTGATATTGATATTAATTTTTTTTTTTTTTTTTTTTTTTTTTGATCAAGATCCAACATCTCATTAAGTATTTGATTTATAATTCTTTGAAATTTCTTTGTAACTAGCCAATATTATTACGTTCTTACTTATAGGAAATACTACTGTTTTTATAAAAAAAACTCAACTATCGAACTAATGTTAGCTACTGTGTTAATCTTGTAGGAAACTTTTTTTTTGAGTTTTTAAAGAATTAAATTAAATGGAATTTATTCCATGATTGATAGACTCTGAAATGTAACTATTAATTCAAAATATATATTTTCATGAACAAATTCAACTTCTTTCATTGTATGTTTTGGCGTGTCATTATAATTATGCAACAGACTTTAACAAGGAATTTTGTGGGTAATAAATGCCTCGATTTTATTTATATATTTTTTTGCCCATAATTATTTTCTTGGATCAAGTTTATAAATTACTATCCAGTATAAATATTGGCAACAATAGTGTGATTGATGACTTGAAAATTGCTTGAATTTTTGCCAATTAATTAATTAATTTTTTTTTTTTGAGAATTCTTGACACTGTATTGGGAACATGCTTTTATTTAAAATGATTACTTTATCAAGCTCGATGACACTAAAGTAGATAGATGATTATATATACGCGTTTTTATACAAAAATTTGATATAGATTGAGAGTCTAATGTTTTCTATCTTCCTAAAAATAAAAACATCTTTGTTCCAAATCAATTTTACTAAACATTCTAAATTCTTGAAGCTTATTTCTTTTTTCAGTGATATGAAAATTTTTGAAAAAAAAATTTTATTTTTTTTATTTTTAAATGAATGAACAACATAAGGAGGTGATTACGGTCAGGCACACTTTTTTTTTTTTTTTTTTTTTTTTTTTGTCGTGATGCTGCAGAACTTGATTGAAACAGGGTTATCTCGGGTCAATTTTTGGTATTTAAAATAAAAAAAAATAAAAAAAACCTCCCAAAATAAATCTTCTTAAAACCTGAATAATAAAAATAAAAATGATAATAATAATAATAAATTTCACAATTTTTAATTATACAATTAGAAATCATTTATTTAGGGAGCAAAAAGGTGTTATCAGAGTGCTTTTGTTCTCTTTCTTTTGCTTGGTTGCGTCATCAAATTATTAATGGTCACCAGTTTCTTTTTCTTTTTGGAGGGAGTGATAGTAGTGGTGGTGTCCTTCCAAATTCTTAAGCCTTCTTCCTTCCCCCACTCTTTTAAGCCATCATCACCAAAACACCCGCCTTAAGAATTTCTTCTTTCTTTCCTTTTTTTTTTTTTTTTTTTTTTTTTTTTTTTTATCTCTTCTTTCTTTTTTTTTTATCTCTACCTTTTTCTTTTCCTTCTCCTTCTCCTTAAAATCTTTTCATTTTTTTCTTTAATTTTTCATAATTTCATAATATTCAAATGTCTATTTCTACGCTAAGTAGCTCTGATAAGTCAAAGTTTTCTTCCTACAAAGAAAAACTGAGGTCCCTTTCTATCAGTAAACAAGGAAAGCAGCAACCCGAAGAATCAAAACAACCTATTGATTTTGACCCTGATGCTATCATTGATGACTTCTATGCAGATAATAACGTCCCAGAAACAAAGTCAGATACAGAGGTCAATGGTGTCTATTTGCACTATAAGGACCGGCCATTTCGCATTAAGTTTACTCGAACAGATAAAAAGGATGAGCTTACAGTTGGACGACTTAAATTGATTGCTTCCATGCTGCTCACTCCTGAGCTCATTGACTCTAAGATTGAGGAACTAAAGCCTATTCGCAAGTACCATAAAAAAAGCCAACTTAAAACAGTTATCTCAACTGACTCTCTCCGCAACTGCTACAAGGACGAATCTATCCAACCTCTTGACATTTATTGCTTTGACCTAGCTCTCTATGAAAAACAATTAATTGATAACAATCGATCACTAGTTTCTTATGGGGTTTACACTCCAAGTCACATTTTTGTAACAGTTCGCGAGGAGGTTAAACTCCCTGGTATGCGCGGCTTCAAAGCAAAAGTTTCGTCAAAACTAAACGGTGCTCCTGCTGAACGCAAACTTAGTACGAGCAGCACCCCTAATTCTGTTCGCAGACCAAGTGCTGCTGTTCCTGATCAAGCCCGCACTTTATCTACTGCCAATAAAAGTGCATCTGTGACCTTGGATTCTGTACCAAAAACTGTACCTGTAGCCGCTGCTGCATCTACTACTGCTACTGCCAGTGCTGTGACAACTTCTGATAACACTGAAGAATCTAAAACAACAGAACCCGAACTAGAAAAATCATCTGACGAAGTAAATGAAATAACGGAACAAGATGAAGCCGATGCCATTTTAGAAAATGAAACATCAGTAGCGTTAAATGATAACGTTGAAAATGAAATATACGAGGAGAGACAAGAAAATGAAGATAATACTGATGACAAAGATAAAGCTGAACCTGAAGATGGCCTTAATGATGAAGTTTCACCGAAAGAAGATATTGATAAAGAAACCGATACTGAAAATGGCGAAGCTTTTGAACCAATTGATGAAGTGAAAGAAAAAGGTACCGAGAAACATTTGGAAAATGCTGAAGAAAAGCTAGGACTTAATGGAGAAGTAACTAAACTAAATGGAACATCTAAGAAATCTACTTTTGGACCACGCAAAGAGATTGACGACATTTTGGCTGACGTTGAAAAGGACATTGTTCCTGAGCTAAACGAGTTTATTTCAAATGTTCCAAAAGACGAAGACGATAGAATCCATAACCACCTCGCCATCTATGAAAATCTTCTTGACAAGATTTCACTTTTGAAGGCTGTTGATATTTTGTCAGAATTGGAAGATGCGGAATTACCCAGTGGAGAAGTGCCTTTGTCTGAAAAGCGCCGTCTTGCAATCAAAACCATTTATCAGTACCTAGCCAAAACTAACAAGGCACTTCACGATAGCGAATTTTAATAAAAATTGATATCTCTATAAATGTTGAAAAATTAATGGCTATTGCTTATAATAAATATTTAATACTTGGATATGAAAAGATTTGAGTTGCTTAGTTAACGTACAGTAAGTTTAAAAAGTTATTTATAATGGTAGATAGATTCAAATAAGCATAATTATAATCGGAATTTAAGTAATTGTATACACATAATACTTGTATAATTAATACGATTCACTTAATTATAATTATTTCTTTTCTATGGTTTATACTCTGTCATTCCATATTTTTAAGATTTAAAATTCATTGAGATAGTTTATCATTTCCCTAGCCATGTTTTTTGTCTTAGGTTTTTCTTTTTTTAAACTTAACACTTTTTTAAGATAACTCTTATTTTAAATGATTTTTCATTCTGTTGCAAAAGAAAAATTAAAAAAATTTTAACAAGTGATTTAAAAACTCTGGAAAAGTTTTAAGCCATATTCTACTGTTAATATATTTGTTTAGTTAACTAAAAATTTGGATTTAGTTGAAAGTTGTTACTCTTATTACATAATATATTATTAAAAAATTACTGCCAAGATTTTAACGATATTTTAACGTTTTTTTCCCTCTTCATAATTATAAGCGGCTCAATAATCGGGAAGAACCAAATTTAACGATAAAAAAAAATGAAATCAATAAAGAAATAAATCAATAAAATGACATGTAAACCTGTACAATTCTTGAAAAAAAAAACTTTTTTCTATTATTTTTAAGTTAAATACAACCTTTTTCATTTAAATTATTGCCAATTCAATTCAATTCAATTCAATTCAATTCAATTCAATTCAATTCAATTCAATTCAATTCAATTCAATTCAATACAAATTTAATTCTGATTATAAGATATGAGGATATTTCACAGACGAACCAGATCACAAAAAAAAAGCAAGAATGAAGAAACTCCCGATCCTCTGTTCAGTTCTAGTGATAAAAATAATTGGTATCAAGAATCAAACGATACCAAAATACCTTTACAAACTTCAAATCCACCATTATGCTCTGAAGCTTCATCCCAACAACAAACGTTGAATCCAATCACTGAAAATTCAGCTAATATCAGAAAATATCAAAGAGGTTCTCCATCTAAAACAACAACTAGAGAAAAACAAAAAAGTGAAAACAAAAATAAAAGAAAGAAACCTTTTAAGAAATTTTTTAAATTTAACCAAAAGAGTCAAGAAGCAGATATTTCAAAAGGAAAAAATACACAAGCTAATTTACATGGGCCAGCCAATGAAAAATCAACTAATCTATCCCAATATCCTCAATTGAATCAACCAATAAAAGAAAATAAAAATAGTGGAATTGAGTCTGAAAACGTCCGTGACATAGTTCATAATGAATCCCTAAAAATACCGGAAAATTGCGATGACTTAGATAACAACCAAAAACAAATTAAAAATAAGCAAATTGAAACTACAGAAATGCTTGAAGATGATTTCACCAATCCAATTAATTCAAATGACCGTCAAGAACCAATTAAAAATAAGCAAATTGAAACTACAGAAATGCTTGAAGATGATTTCACCAATCCAATTAATTCAAATGACCGTCAAGAACCAATTGAAACTCACCAGGTTGAACCTACAGAAATGCTTGAAGATGATTTCACCAATCCAATTAATTCAAATGACCGTCAAGAACCAATTGAAACTCACCAGGTTGAACCTACAGAAATGCTTGAAGATGATTTCACCAACCCAATTAATTCAAATGACTGTCAAGAACCAATTGAAACTCATCAGGTTGAACCTACAGAAATGCTTGAAGATGATTTCACCAATCCAATTAATTCAAATGACCGTCAAGATCCAATTGAAACTCATCAGGTTGAACCTAGAGAAATGCTTGAAGATGTGAAGGATGCTAAAAAAAATGATAAAATAGAAAATATTAAAAGATGTGATGATACCGTTGGAACTGATAAAACAAATGAAATTTTTAACATTTTAGAGATTTATCAAGAAAATTCGGATGAGCCAAGTGAAGTACAAAGAAAAAAAAATGATTTGAAATTTGTCCAACTACAAAAAAAGATAGACTTTATATTGAAAGCATTTGAGGACAAAGTGGAGCCTATTGTTCGAAACTTTTGTGAGAAACAGCCTGAATCTAACAAAGAAAGGGAAGAAGAATTTATCAGAGTATCAAGTAGTATTAAAAACAAAATTTTTTCGTTGGATGGAATAATTGTATTTGAGGATGATATTAACTCCCCAGAAATGAAAGCTCTTATGGATAAGCGTCGAGAAGCCATTATTAATTTTTTTGATATATTGGAAGAAACTAAAAAAAAGAATAATGAATATATAATAAACTTAAAAAATTAAAAAATTAAATAAATATTAATAGTACTTATTTAAATTAAGATAGTTAGCAATTGTTTTATTGCAATAAAATTTAATAACTTTTTAAATAGAAAACAAATAATTTAATTTTTATTATTATGTTATTAATACTAAATATAATTGAAATACCGTTGTGGGAGGTCAGGGAATAAAAAAAAATAAATTAAAAAAGTATAAATTTAAATGAAATTTAAGTCTGGTAATTTTGATCGCAATAGAATTAGTTGTATTTGTTTTACCAGGTCTTTAGTAAATCTAAATTTGGGAGTTGCAAAAAGCACTAAGTATCATTCCTAGCGGAATACTTTGGAGCGGTTGGAGTTTGCAACCTATATTTTTAGAAAAAGTTTAAACTGATTTCCCAAGTATCGACTGCATATACATGTATACTTAATAACAATGATAAAGACAGCACAAGCGCTATAATAATTTGAAGGTTTTTTCAAACATTCTTTTCTTCATACTCCCAAGATTGGTGATATAGTGAAGTGCGCGGTAGTCTTATCCTACTTTTGGTTTTTAGTGTAGGTTAAAATTCTTGACGCAATGCTAGTGAAACACAAAGACTTTGTCATTTTTCCAGCGATTCCATAGTGTGGATGAAGTTGAGTTTGTCTTGATGGTCGTTTTTCGCGTGAGCTTTATCGGCTCAGTAGACATGGTTGTGAAATTACCAAAGTAGCAAGTTATGGTTTTTATGATGAGGATATCATTGCAGAATATGGTGATGTTGTTCTTGAAGTCTATGCATTGTATTTTGTAACTATCTCTAATCTCCAAATATCTTGTATCTTGTAAAGACTGAATGTGTAAATGTTGCAGAAGGGCAACCATATATTTATGTATTGCACGTGACTATGTTACAAAACACAGTTACACATTTTAAAAAATGATGTTAACCGGGATAGCCGCACTAACTGTTACTTAAAAAAATTTTTTTTTTCAAGAAAAATCAGTACAAACCAGGCAATCTCTTTTTGTTTCACAACAATAAATTTTTAAAGAAAATGCCACGAAGAAGAGCGCAGCAACCAGAAAATGATTTGGGCATGGAACCCGATGAAGTTGAATCATTTCACAATGCACGTGAACAAAATTTACGCGAAAAAGCATCGAAGTCTAAGGCTGCACGATTTGGATACCGGGACGATGACAATGGAATGAGTGACGAAGAAGTGATGGCAATAAAACGAGCTTCTGACGCCGAAAGTGACGATGAGGAATTTTACGGAGGGGTTGAGAATGATGGTAAAGACGAGGAGCTTGATTGGGGTACAAAACGTGATACATACTACGGAGCAGATGAGGCAGGCAATGAGGAAGATGCTAAAATGGAAGAAGAAGAAGCATTACGGTTACAGAAGAAGCACCTGAGTTCTATGAAGAAGTCTGACTTTTTTGAAGAAGACGATTTCAAAGAGTGGGAAAAGTCCGCTAAGGAGAATGAAAATGCTACAGCACATGAGCTAGAGGACGGCGAGGACGAGTCTGTGCGTCGGGTGCTGGAATCGTTACCGACACAGGACCCATCGAAACTAAGCGACAAAGATCGGAAACAGTTGCTGGAGACTCTTTATCCAGAAGCAACGCCCCTTGCGGAAGAATTTACTTCTCTTAGCCAGATTCTTCAAGAGCTTAAAAAAGTCATTAGGGAGAAGCAAGAAAAAAGCGCCCAGTCGACTGAAGATAAAATTAATCTGATCAAGCACGCAGCGCTTTCAGCATACCTTGGAACCCTCAATACATACTTTGCATTGTTTATTGTGAATGTATCTGGTGAAGAAAAGATCAATCTTAAGGAGCATCCTGTGATGGAGGGCATTTTGCAGGGTCGACAGTTGTGGAACAGTGTTAAAGGGTTGAAGGTTGTTGGCGAAGATGATGATGAAGAGAGCGAAGACAGTGAGATGTCTTCTGATGAACAGACTACATTCAGCGATAAGGAAGGCGATGAAGTTTCTTCCGAAGATGAGGCAGATATTTTTGATACCGACGCTCTTGTCAAGTCAGCGAAGAAAGTCAGAAGAAAGAAAGAAGAAAAATCTAATAAGGATGATTCTGAGTCTGATTTTGGCGAAGATTTTACCGGATTTTACGACAATGATGACGATAGCGATGAAGAAGTCGCCGGATCGTCTGAAGAACTTGTGGAGGAAAATGAAGAAGAAGAAGAGCGTGGTAGTGATTACGATTCAGATTTGGAACTTGAGTTTCCTATGGTTGAGGATCGTAAAGTCAATAAGACCAAAGCCAAGAAACACAATCCTGCAGATGATTACGGTGAAAGTGCCATTATTAATGATGCTGATTTGGATGACAAGCTACAGCGAAAGCGCAATCTTAGATATTACACCTCGAAAATTGATCAGGCTGCTAAAAAGACTCGAAGCAAGCTTACAGGTGATTCCGACTTGCCATATCGAGAACGATTAGCAGAGCGTGAGCGGCGGCTGGCAGAGCAGGCCCGGTTACGTGGTCTTAAGAGTGAGAAGGGTGATGATGAAGCTGAACGGTTCAGTGATAATGATGATGAAGGTGGAGAGGACAATCAACACAAAATCAAGAAATCTAAGAAACAAAGCAAGGAAGAAGATGAAGCAGATGCATACTATCATGAGGTCAAGAAGCAAGCTGAGGAGCGGAAGCAAAGCAGAAGAGAAGCTCATGCAAAGGCAGAAAAGGCAGCAAAACAAGGCAAGCTGGGTAAGATGCTCAATGACGAGAATTTGGATGAAGAAGGCAAGCGTGCGCTCACGTTCCAGATTCTCAAGAATAAGGGCATATCATCTGGCAAGAAGAAGAAGGAGAAGCGGAATTCACGTGTTAACAAGCGCGCCAAGTACGAAAAGGCCCAGAAGAAACTTAAGAGTGTTAGACGGGTGTACGAACAAGCTACATCGTCGTACAGTGGTGAGCAAACGGGTATCAAAAAGAATATTTCCCGGAGTGTCAAGTTTAGTAGTTAGAAAAGGATTAGTTTATACTTTAAAAGATATTATTATAGATCTCAATTTTTTTCTTCAAATATTTGGAAAAATTTTGGGTAATTAGTTTTCCTAAAATGCAATGCAATAAATTGGAAACAAATAAAGAAAAAGTAAAATAAAAGTGGAACTTCTATTGACTATCATCTTGTTCCAAGATAAAAAAAATTCTATATATACATAATTAATTTACGAATTCGTAATATTTGAATGTTCGAAATTGAAATATTTGGCTCATCCTTCTACTGTAAGTGAAATACTGATATTAATCATATATACCATATATGGTACTCACCTTTTATGAGATTTAATATCTAAGATATTGTCATGTGACAAGTATCAACTGTTAAATAAAAAACACAACAGGACTAATGCTAACATTAAAAAATTACAATATTGGATTTTTTTATTAGGTTGAGAAATTCCCATATAAGGAAGTTAAGTTTTTAAAAAAATAAAGAACTATGGAGGTATAAATTAAAGTCTTTCCCCCCGTCTTTTAGATTTTTATTCCTTTTCCTTTACCATTCACTCTTCACAGATTTTTTAATTTCTACCACTACATATATATTACCATCTACTACTATATTACCATCTACTACTATATTACCATCTACTACTATATTACCATCTACTACTATATTACCTATGCCTTACTGTGATATACTATGATCTACTATTCACCATATCATACTATATAAATGTGTTCATTAGTACTATCACCTACATTCTTTTACAATAGTTACATTCGACATGTTGCGGTTGTCTTTTGGTAAGTCTATTCAAGCCAATACACCTTAGCTAATTAACCTAACGCTCTACTAGACAATCATCCAATGCACCCAACGTCAACTGTTTACCGTCGTCATTGTTCAGAACCACAGATATTTTATTGAGGAGAAAACCAACGTGATTCTACAGTTCTTAACTCTCAAACTTGTAATCAGGTGTTTGTTAAAATAATGAGACATTACAACAACGATTGTCAAATTTGATTACTACCACTACCACTACCACTACCACTACCACTACCACTACCACTACCACTACCACTACCACTACCACTACCACTACCACTACCACTACCACTACCACTACCACTACCACTACCACTACCACTACCACTACCACTACCACTACCACTACCACTACCACTACCACTTACAACACTATTATACACTTATACCCACCTATTCTACTTTTTTATTCAATGTTATGATGGTTGGTCGCAGATTAATCAAGGAGTGCCGACCTTGATCCTGCTTATTGACCACCTTTTGTTTATCAAAAGGAACCACGTCCACCATTGATGAAAGTGTGATGCAGCCGGTTGTTGATTTTTTTTTTGTGTTGTGTTGTGGTTTATCGACCCATTATGCTTTCTGTTATTCAATTTTTTGACGGTTGATTGCAGATTAATCAAGGATCATCGCACTTGAATCTGCCTATTGACTCCTTCTTGGTGATGTTATTTGATTGAGGAATTCACATATGAAGAACTTAAAGTTTAAAAAAATAAAGAACTATGAAGATAAAAATAAAAGATTTCGTCCCATTTTGATTTTGGTCTTTTTTTTTTCTTTCAACATTCACTATCTACAGCCTTTTTTTAACCAATGCCTCTACATATACTATCATCTACTTCTATCAACTATCAACTATCAACTATCAACTATCAACTATCAACTATCAACTATCAACTATCAACTATCAACTATCAACTATCAACTATAGTATATACTATATTCATAAACACTTGCACACTCCTTTACAATTATTCCAACATGATACAGTTGTCTTTTGGTAAGTCTACTTATACCAATACACCCAATACTTGACTATATTATCTAACTCTTTACGAGACAGACATTTGATTCACCAAGTCCCAATAGTGTATCGTCATTCTTTGCCACCATTGATTTTGTTATTGTTGCAGTCGTCTTTTGGTAAGCCTACTTTTGCTGTATACCCAATACTTAGCTCATCAATCTAACTCTTTACTAGAAAATATGCGACTCACTCAACTACAAGGGGATATATTCATTGTTGCAACAAAAGATTCCTTTATAGACTCTACGATAAATATGAATCTATGGCTATTTCTCATACAAGCAAAATTGCCGACCCATCTTGGGTAAACTAAAGGAACTTGTGAACAAGGGTTTTGACATTTCATCATTGGAACTACCACTGCAACTACCACTGCAACTACCACTGCAACTACCACTGCAACTACCATTGCAACTACCATTGCAACTACCCCCACACATACCGCTACCTCACTACCACTTACAACACTACTACATTGACCCATTTTACTTTTTTTATTCAATGTTTTGATGGTTGGTCGCAGATTAATCAAGGAGTGCCGACCTTGACCCTGCTTATTGACCACCTTTTGTTTATCAAGAGGAACCACGTTCATCATTGATTTAAGTATGATGTTTCCTGTTGGTGATTATGATGTAGTGAATCAACCTATTATGCTTTCTGTTATTCAATGTTATGATGGTTGGTCGCATATTAATCAAGGAGTGCCGACCTTGACCCTGCTTATTGACCACCTTTTGTTTATCAAGAGGAACCACGTCCATCATTGATAAAAGTGTAATACTCCCTGTTGTCGATTGCTTGTGGTTAGTCGAGTTGTTATGTTTCCTATTGGTCAATGTTATGATTATTGGTCGCCAGGGATGCCAACCTTGGCCCTGTTTATTGGCCATCACTTGCTTTTTCATAGGAATGGCATCCCTCATTTATTGCATATCCAATATCCCGAAAGTGAGATCAGATTCCAATTTCCGAAGAACAGGGACTCATAGACCAAACCTTCCAAATTTATCTTCACTTGTCTTCATCAACTCTGTAACTGTATCTCTTAATACCTCCAAGCAGATATAAAGCTTACTATTTTTTGCGAGCCAATTAAACTGTTTAAGAGAGTCGAAAAGTCTATTCCTGGATAGATCTGTTTCAATTCTTTTCTTTATTTTTCGTTCTTGTTCCATTAAAGGACACTCAACAAAGATTTCCCTAACTGTTTCCAGTTTTCCGAATTTACAGTTATAACTATCCTTTTCAATTCCAAACTTTTGAAACCAATTTTTCTCAGAGCCCTATTCTGCATCACTTTCAACTTGTGGATTTCTCCTTTCAAGATTTTATGATGCCAAATTTCTAAGCCATATTCGACAATTGGTCTCACGCAAGCAATATACAGTGATCTGACTGCAGGCCCTCGCATACCTTTTTGCACGCCACCAAGATGCCAAATAGCACCAACAGCTTTTCTTGCTTTATTGATTTTATTCAAAATATGAGATTTAAAATCAAGCAGATTGTTCAAAGCAATTCCAAGCAATTTAACTTCCTTCTGGGGTTAACGAAATTTTCCATTAGGTAAAATAAGTTGCACTTTTTCATCTTTAGGTTTTACATTTTTTGTAAAATGAATAAAACCTAATTTATCACCCAAATCAATTTTGGTCATTCTTGATTTAGCCCAATTACAACATTTTTCTAATATGTTGCTTAAGCTTTTGGTATTTTCTTCAATTTTACCTTCAGCGGTAATAGTTACATCATCAATAAAGCCAAAAGGAGTTCCACCCCATTCTTTAATGGCATGATACATTGGTGTGGAATATATCAAAAAAAGTAGTGGTGAAATAGGTGAACCTTGTGGAATTCCAGTACTAATTTTTTGCACTGATCCTTTTCTTCGGTCCATGAGCATACTAGCTTCTCTTTCACTTACAAATTGGTACGTCCAGTTTATAAGTGCTTTGGGTAGTTTCATATCCTCCATTGTGTCTGCCAATATATTTCTGTTAACATTATCAAAAGCTCCTTGGATATCAATGAGCATAGCTGAAATTTTTTCTTTACTAGTTTCAATTCTTTGGACAAGTTCCAAAACAGCATCAGTAGCACAATAACCTTGTCTTCCCCCATATTGCTCTGGTGGAAGTAAGTGTGTTGTAAGCTTGGTAATTCTTTTTTGTATAATTTTTTCTAGTACTTTAGATGGAATCTTAAGTAAGGAAATTGGTCGGTATGCTCTTGGCTTTGAATAGTCAGGTTTCTTAGGTTTAGGTATGACAACAATAATGCCATGTCTCCAGACTTTTGGGTGGTATCCAAACTTCACACAAGCTTGGAGAAGCTTGAAAAACCTTTCCTTAAAGTCTTCATTCAGCCATGCCATCTTTAAAACTTTGCCAGTAATTCCATCGTCTCCTGGAGCTTTATCATTTGGGGTATCAGCCAATGCAGAGTCAACTTCATCAAACTCTAATTTTGGCCATCGAGAATCGTCATCAATTTCAAACTCTCTATCAAGACCATGATCAATTTCAGGTAGAAGTGCCTTCCATATTTCATGTCTTTTGTCGTCAACAGTAGTAGTGAGAGTTCCATCTTCTTTTCTAATTTGTGGTATAATGGTATCATTGCTTTTTGGATTAATATACTTCAAAATCTTTCAAATGTCATTTCCTTCTAAACTTAATAAAATGTTTGTTTGTTTGTTTTTATTCAAGGGTTATTAACTTAATAAAATTGTTTGTTTTGTTTGTTTTTATTCAAGGGTTATAGAATTATATAACATCAGCATCTGCGCTATCCTTCTTGTCTATACTATATATTTTTTCATTTTGATAATAAACTTTTAATTTTGGCTTCAACATTGCATCTCCAACAGCCCGAAAATAAGTCCTGATGCCAGCTTACGAGGAACAGGGGGTTAAAAATAACCAAACCTTCCCAACCTATCTCCACTTGTCTTCATCAACGCTGTAATTGTATTTCTTAATCCCTCCAAGCAGAGATAAAGCTTACAATCTCTTGTAAGCCAGTTAAACTGTTTAAGAGAGTCGACATGTCCATCTCTGGAGATATCCGTTTCAGTCCTTTTCTTTCCTCTTCAAGCAAATGACACTCAACTAAAATGTGATGAACTGTTTCCAGCTCTCCACATTTGCAGTTGTAACTATCCTTTTCAATTCCAAACTTTTTAAACCATGCGCCAAAGTTGCCATGGCCTGTGCGAAACTGAGTAATATTACTCAAGATCCTTCGACTATCTTTCTTCATGATCACTCCCGTAACCATTTTAGAAAGATTATCAGTACATTTCGACTCCACTGTGATATTATGATACCACAGATCCTTACTGCTGTTCCAATACATTTCCTGCCATTCTTCCATTGCTTGTTTCTTCAAAATTCCAATCGTCTGATTCTGTTGTTGTTTCAGTGTAAGAGGTTCAACCCTCTTGCATTTTCGTTTTTCATCCTTTTTAATCATGTAGTCTCTATCATCTTTAACTTAATAAAATTGTTTGTTTGTTTGTTTTTATTCAAGGGTTATAGAACTATATAACATCAGCATCTGCGCTATCCTTTTATTGTCTGACTATGTGACTTGCCGGTTTTCATTTGTACCTTTTTAGTACGGGTGGTTTCTGTTCTGTGCGTCTCCGGTAGCCCGGAAGATGGGCCCTGATGCCAGCTTACGAGGAACAGGGAGAACCAGTCTGTCGGTCCCAAAACCTTCCCAACCCATTTCCACTTATCTTCACGGACGCCCATGTATTTCTTAATCTCTTCCGTCAGAGATACGGCCCGCAATCACCTGCAGGCTATTTAGACTGTACGGAAGAGTCGGCATTCCTGTAACCAGGGTAGCCTATGGTTTTTCAGTCTAGGTGTATACTCCCGTACACATCCTCAGGAAAAGGGGGTATTCTGGGAATCGAACCCAGTATCTTCCGCTATCGAGCGAACGTGTTACCCTTTACACCATCCAGCCCTTTCCCCCCTAACTTAATAAAAAAAAATATTTAGGGAATTAAACTAGATATCTCAACGACTATAAATTATGAAACAATTTTGTTAAGGGGAAAGGGCTGGATGGTGTAAAGGGTAACACGTTCGCTCGAAAGCGGAAGATACTGGGTTCGATTCCCAGAATACCCCCTTTTCCTGAGGATGTGTACGGGAGTATACACCTAGACTGAAAAACCATAGGCTACCCTGGTTACAGGAATGCCGACTCTTCCGTACAGTCTAAATAGCCTGCAGGTGATTGCGGGCCGTATCTCTGACGGAAGAGATTAAGAAATACATGGGCGTCCGTGAAGATAAGTGGAAATGGGTTGGGAAGGTTTTGGGACCGACAGACTGGTTCTCCCTGTTCCTCGTAAGCTGGCATCAGGGCCCATCTTCCGGGCTACCGGAGACGCACAGAACAGAAACCACCCGTACTAAAAAGGTACAAATGAAAACCGGCAAGTCACATAGTCAGACAATAAAAGGATAGCGCAGATGCTGATGTTATATAATTCTATAACCCTTGAATAAAAACAAACAAACAAACAAACAATTTTGTTAACTTCTAATACACTTGGGCGTCTGGTGTAGTTGGCTATCACGTTCGCTTAGCATGCGAAAGGTCCCCGGTTCAACTCCGGTGTCGTCCATTAACTTTTTTTTTCTATTTTATTATCTATATATATATACAAGTTTTATATTTTTAAAAATTTGGGCCGTCATAAAGCTAAAGCAAAAACAAAAGCAAAAGCAAATATTATTGTCATAATATTTTATTATCTATTATAATGAGTTTATACTCTTCATTTGCTTTTCAGTCAGCATTTTTTTGCGATTTTTTAAAGTCCTAAAGCCTAAAGTGGACAAAAGTTATTTGGAAATTGATACAGACCAATTATAACTGGAATATTTATTCTACGACAAACTATCATAGAATTGAATTAAAAAAAAAAAAGAAAAAAAAAAGTTTACGGACTAAAAAAACTGGTTATTATAGACTACATTAACGGTGGTATATTGCTTATTTTTTAAAATCATCAAAATGCAGGATTAAGGTCAATACTTCAAAGTGTTGAATTCTTAACTATTTGGCAACTGTAGTCAACAAAAAACGAAAATACATAAAAAGGGGCGTAATGAAGATACGACTTGCAAAGTTATTTATCAAGACAAATAGCCATATTAAACTTTTAACTAATAATAGTTGCAATGCTTCTAGTAATTCCAAAAGTGTCAAAAAAAAAAAAAAAAAAACATCGTCGAAGACAAAATTCCCTAGTTATTCTACACTCAATCACATCAACATTAAATAAAAAATCACTAACAATTGATAGAAAATAAGTCATATTGGTGGGAGTTATTGAAAAAATAACAAAAAAAAAATTAAGGGTATGAGGGGTTTAATGAATGAATATGATATGGAGGTAGCTATTTAAAGGGGGTGGTAATGATACTATTTTTTTTTTAATGCCAGTGAATGTTTAATTCAACTCAATTATTAAACCTTAACATTGGATTAAAAAATAATGTTGATTTGTTTCCAAGGCTGTTACAAAATATGTTACAAAAGTATACTCCAATTTCAGTCATTAATGTTTCAATTAATATATATCTTTTTGCAATAATTGCTTGCTCTCTCAATTGAATTTTTTTTTTTTTTATATTTACTATCAATAAAAAAGATTATAAAGAATTTTTTTATCCTTTTTTTTTTTTTGTGAATTCACATAATAATGAGATTTATTGTTTGATAATTGTTGAGATTCATAAAATACATGAGGAGGAGTTGAATAAGAGAAAGAACAAATTATTCATTTTGTAATTATAATTAGAATATCGTACAGAATGAATCGCTAAACCCTAAATGAAGTCTGACTTTTCTTGCATAAAAAGATAAAAATTTCTGTATTTATTTACACTGTGATAAAATCATATTCCGTAGTTCTCATTTTTATTTTTTATATTGGATATATCTTTTGCCAAAAAAAAAAAACAAAATTCAATTTTTTCTTTTTTCTTTTTTCTTTTTTCTTTTTTTGATATAGTTGAATAATATTAAAATGAATTTCATATGTACTTGAATGAAGATGTTAAAAATATTCAACAAACTTTTTGTAAAATCAAAGTAATAAAAAAACTTTTTTTTTCTTTCTCTTTCTTATATTCAACTCTTCCTTAGAGTATATTCAATTAAGTTATACATAAAGTATATTTCACTAAAAATAATACCAGTCTTTGTAATCTAACCAACTATTAACAAACAAATTTTAACAAAAAAAAAAAAAAATTGAACAAACAAATTTAACAAACAAATTGAACAAAAAAGGATTGGCAGCAATTGCATACACTAAAAAAGATTTTAAAATATTAGATTATATACATATCTGTAAATGGCATTAATATTCAAGTTTATTGGTGGGATTTTCATTTTGTTTAAACAAAAAAAAAAAAAAAACAATTTCAAAAATGAGGGTGAAGTAAAGAGCAAATGTCGAAAAAGTTTTATTTTTTTTAATATAATTATTTAAAATAATTATATAATTATAAATCATTTATTAGTGGATATTACGATTCTACAAAAAAAAAAAAAAAAATTAAAAAAATTAAAAAAATTAAAAAAATTAAAAAAATTAAAAAAATTAAAAAAAATTAAAAAAAAAAAAAATTAAAAAAAATAAAAAAATTAAAAAAATTAAAAAAAAAAAAAAAAAAAAATTGAAAATGAAAGATAAAAATAAAAAAAAAAAAATAAAAAAAAAAAAAAAAAAAATAAAATGAAAAAAAAAAAAAAAAAAAAAAAAAAAAAAAAAAAAAAAAAAAAAAAAAAAAAAAAAAAAAAAAAAATGAAAAAAAAAAAAAATAATAATAAATATGTTTAGAAATCAAAATGTAAGCTACATGTACTAAGGCTTTAAATCTCGTATTGAAGAGAGTCAAAAATAAAACAGCAAGAAAAAAAAAAATGAAAAATGAAAGAGATTAAAGGATGAAAATTACAATTTTTAAGGTTTCAAAGAGTTAAAAAAAATATCCTTTAAATTTTTCGTATTTCTTGATAATAATAATAATAATAATAATAATTACATCATATTGGAGTTTTTTTTTTTTATCACGCCATGAATTTTTTTTAAAATGATATTATTTTTATTTATCCACTGAAAATCTTACAATGGGTGGGGAAATTATCAAAATACATTAAATCACTATTAAAAATTAGTAATAATATTAAATTTATTATATAAAAAACAAATTATCCTATTATATAAAACCGGTATATTTATAATCCAGGAGAAAAAAACTCCATTTAAATCACAAGGCCCTTTCGTTAATAGTGCTTCTGAAACTATAATAGAGGCGTGAGATAAAAAAAGAGAAAAAGAACTTCTCCAAAGCATTTCTAAACTTCAAGTTTAAATTTATACAAGATTGCAAGACTGATTTTAAAAGATGGGCTGATGACAAAGGGTAGACCTTTTAAAATAGTAATTGCAACTAGTCAAACTTTAGCGAGAAGTTGAATATAAAATTAACTTGCATTTCTTCATTTTTTGCTATGCTGGCTAATGTCTAATTTGCTTCTGAGTGACTTGGTGGGCACAGCCTCAACTTAAAATGCAAAGTTATAAATATATATTCATTGTGGGTGGTTGTTCTTTTTTAAGTTTTGACAAGGATAGCAATATATGCCTACTCCTTTAGTACAGTGCAGACTGACATCTTCACGTGCAAACCAAAAGAGTTCCCTGTCGTCTCCACATTACTGGTAAATAATAAAAAAAACTCCAGTTCCATGTAATTAGAAAGGCAACGGGAAAAAAAGTTTTCAAGAGGGGCTGGTAGTGCTTCTTACTAAAGTGGCTCTTAAAAACTTCAATCTCATTACCAATTTAAAAAACATTTTACTAAAGTCAGTTGACGTAAAATGAATCAATAAGGGGAGAGGGATTTGCTTCTTTAGGTAGTTAATTTAAGGTGACACTTAAAAAAACCTAGGGAGGTAGCACTTTAATTAAAAAGTGCAAGGTGCTTCTGAATATGGGGGGGGGAGGTGCTTTTGTTTTAGAGTTATGCTTCGACATCTGAATCGCCGCTTCTGACCTTTTATTTCCGCTTCTGAATCTGCCGCCACTGCTTCCGAGTCCTCGAGGTTCATCCTTAAGGCCCTGCGGCCTTAAGGATACCAGCAATAAGCTGGCAAACCTGTATATTGCACATAGGTACAAAAGACAGAGATTGAACGGGATAGAACATTTTGATAGGAATAGTTTTGCAGAGATATAGAGTAAATAGAAAATAAACTTATAGGATAGAAGTTTGTAAGGGATTAGTGTGAGGAGAAAAAAAAAAAAAGAAGAAGAAAAAAAAAAAGTAAAAGATATTAGGGAAATCTCCTATTATTTATAGTTTTTTTTTCCCTTATAAATGAAACTTTAGTAATTTAGTATGATTTATTTTTTAACAAGTTTATTTTTTTTTTTTTAATAAGCTTTTATTTAAAAAAAAAAAAAATAATAATAATATACGGAGGCAGTAATAGTGCAAAATAAACTTTCGATCACTATTACCAGTACTTTTTATTATAGAAATAGAAACTAATAAATAAAACTTATTATTATAAAGGATTTTTACTTTATTTTTGTTCTCATACATACATAAATATATAGTTTATACCACTCTGTTGCTTTTCTAAGACGGTACCATTTTAAGCAAACTGCATTTAAATTCGCTCATATGGATGTTAGAGACCCCTATCGAGATGGGCCCTGCTTCAAATCATGTTGATCATATCCCGCCCTCCTATTAAATATATAATATATATAGAGATATATAAATTTATACTGTCATGCTATTTTTTTTTTTTTTTTTTTTTTCGCTAAGCGATATTGACACGTAATAATATATAGTATTATTTTTATATTGAATAAATAATTTTTGATCCACCTATTACCAATTATTCTTTTCATGTTTCTCCTTTATTTCCCTCCTTCTCTCTTATCTTTAACTCTTTAACTCATCCTGGTCTAAAATGAAACTTAGAAGGGAAAAAAAAAAAAAAAAGACCTCCTTTAATAATACTTAAATTAAAAATGAACCAAAATTATCTAGCTTGTAATTTGTAGTGATGTTTGTTTCTAATTAATATTTTTTTTTTTTTTTTTTTTTTGGTGTATTTTAGTTTATGTAGGTGTACATGAATGGATATGATGGTGTTCGTTTAATGTTAATGCCGCCTAATAATAAATACAATTATGCTCAGGGTCCACTAGTAGCTACTGCAAAAAATAAAAATAATTTTTATTTTTTTAAAGGCAGCAACAAAGCAGAAAATAAAAAAAAAAAAAAATAACAATTAACAAATGGAAAATGGAAAATGGAAAATGGAAAATGGAAAACAATAATTCCAGTTGCATCAAAAGCGAAGTTTAGTTTCAACTGAAGTTTCGCTTGTGAATTTGTGTTCTTTTAATGAAAGGTTACAAATAATAATAATAATAATAATAATAATAATAATAATAATAATAATAATAATAATAATAATAATAATAATAATAATAATAAAAAGAAAAAGAAAAAGAAAAAAAAAATTGAATGGGAAATAAAGGGACCTTTACTTTAGTGACATTTTGATAAAATTTATTGTCTGAATGTATTAACGCGATATATACATGTATATCTTTTATCATTTTGATAGTAAATTCAAATATAACAAATTCATATCTAAAAGTTTTTTTTTTTTTTTAAAAAGTAATAAATTTATTATTTTATTATTGTTAAAATTTAAAAAAATTAAAAAAATTTAAAAAAATTTAAAAAAATTTAAAAAAAAAAAAAAAAAATTTAAAACTTGTTTGCTCAAACTCATGAAATAAAATAAAACAAAATTTTGTGTTTTTAAAAAAAAAAAAAGTTGAATAGTTGACCTATTTTAGCCTGTGAAAAATTTATAGATTAATTCATTAAAAAAAACCCGCCTACTTTTTTTTTTTTTTTTTTTTTTTTTTTTTCAAAGACAGCCAAATTAAATAAAAGAAGGTTTAATTATTTTAAACAAATTGTTTTAAATTTTTTTTTAAAAAAAAACTTTTAAATACCTTTAAACATGATTAAGTTAATTTTTTTTTTTTTTTTAAAAAAAAAACTTGCTAATAAAGGGTCTTGTTAAAGGGTCTTTTTTTTTTTTTTTTTTTTTCATTGCATGTTTTTTTTTTTGTTTGTTTGTTTGTTTGTTTGCATACATATTTTGATGTGTTTAGATAGATAAAAATTCATACATACATATATTATATAATCTCCTTTTGTGATTAAATATCATTCAAAGAAATGTTTGCATCAAAAAAAGAAACATTCATCCGTGTGGATCCATGCACAATATAAAAAAATTGTTTACAAAAAATTAAAATAATTAAAAGAATATAAAGATATCAACAAAGAAATCAAAAGAAATCGAATTGACCTTTACCGTTATAAGCTTAGAACAAATAACTAAATATTTAACTAAATAATAACTAAATAATAATTAAATAATAATTAAATAATAATTAAATAATAATTAAATAATAATTAAATAATAATAATACACTATAAAATTATAAAAGCATTTTTTATTTCTATTTGCTTTTTAGCCTCATTGTTTTCATTTACATTCTAAAAAAAAAAAAAAAACTTTATTATTATTATTATTATTATTATTATTATTATTATTATTATTATTATTATTATTATTATTATTATTATTATTATTAAGAAAAAAAAAAAAGTAAAGCTATTAAAAATTAAAATAATTATTTTAATCACATTCTTCGCTAGAGTTGTCAATTCTTCATGGGTGCAAGAAGTGTACTTAAAAGCCCGTATATATTTTTAGTTCTATCTAAGTCTTCTTCCAAAAACTTTCGTACAATACGCCCCTAAAAAAAAAAATAAAAAAAAGAAAAAAGAAGAAAAAAAAAAAAAGGGTCAGCACTAAAATTCATCCCCTAAAAAGCATGCCTTCTTGTAATCAATATTGATTAATCACAACAGCAACAACAACAACAAAAAATTGCAACAATTTCAAAAGGAAAATGAAAATGAAAATGGAAATGGAAAAAAAAAAAAATTAAACTTACTGCTTGTTTTAACCTCAATTCTTCTTCTGGGGAACAGTTGAGAAAAAATGTTGCAAAGTTCCCTCCTTTGACCTTTTCTTGATAAATTTTTTCAGCCAAACTTATAATATCTGCATCTATTCCACATATCTTTGCACAACTATATAAATTGTAAAATTCAAAGTTAGTATTTTTATCGTAAACATAACAGTCATATAAAGGAAAAAATAAAAAAAATAAAAAAAAATAAAAAAAATGAAACGATATTGTGCAATATATATTTATATTTATATTTATTGCTTTATCTTTGTTTTTTTTTTTTTTTTTTTTTTTTTTTTTTTTTTTATTCAAATACGTACCATATTCCAAAGCTTGAACTAGCCTTTCCAGGATGAGTCTCGTATAAATATGATATTTTCGTGTTTCCTGCATTTTCATCGACATAAATCTCCATGTAACATGTTTTTAGCCCATTTCCCTCTTTTATGATATTTTGTTCAAGCAGTTCTAATAATTTCATTTTAAGTTAGCGTTATTTTAATAAAAAAAACTAAATATTTTTATAATATTTTTATAATATTTTTATAATATTCATATAATATTTATAAATATCATAATTTTTATTGTGATCATAATAAAAATTATGATTCCACTTTTTTTTTAAATATTACACTGACCATGAAAATGTGTTGAGGCTAATACTTTGGGGGCCTTTTTCCCTAAACTTTGAATATAATTGATCATAGATCCGAAAAGCGCTGCTCCATCTTTATTTTTTTTTTTTTTTAGTTAATCAAAATTTGTTTTGTTTTGTGTTTTGTGTTTTCTTTATTTTTTTAAAAAAAAAAAAAAAATTTCTTTTCTCACCTTTTACATCAGTTCCTTTTCCAAATTCATCAATAATTAAAAAGCTGCTTGGTGTCATAATTCGGAATATTGAGGACATTTGCTCCAAGTCGCTTAAAAAGGAACTCTTATTTTTAGAAACTGACTCTCGAGAACTCACTCGTGTCAAAATGCGGTCAACTATTCCAATCGTAGCCTCACTTGCTGGAACAAAACTCCCAATTTGAGCCATGATAACAATGACTGCATTTTGAGTCAAATAAACAGTTTTACCAGAAAAATTGGCTCCGGTTACTAAAAGAAGATTGCTATTGCTATTGCTATTGCTATTGCTATTGCTACTGCTATTTTCTAATTCTTCTTCATCTCCTTCTTCTTCATATTTCAAAGAAATTCCATTTGGAATAAAAGTATCCACTAACTTAGCGTAAAGCGGATGATATCCGTCCTTAATCACTAAATCTCTACCACTAGTCATGATGGGTCGTTTGTATCCATTTTGACGAGCTGCCCAGGCCAAAGCCAAATGACAATCTAATTGAGCTATAGTGGTACAAGCCTTGTAAATATAAAGACAATACTCTGAAAGAACTGATTGCAACTTTTGTGTAATTTCAACAGTCATGTCTGCAATCACACCATATATATCTCCTAGTGACTGGTTCATGTACTGCATAGTTTGACTTTTGTAGTAATGAGTAGTAGAAGTCGAAAATACCTCTTCCCAGTTATCAATGTTTTCCTTTGATATCATATTATTGATGGCTCCTAAATGTTTCAAATCAACTGTAATCAAAAACCCAATTTGTGCAATGTAGCTCACACTAAAAATGTTAAAAATTTGTAACTTTTCTTCAAGCTCTTGTGTAATAGACTCCAAAATAGTATCTAAATTTGCATAATTTTCTTTAAGTTCATCAAGTTTTGTATTGATCTCAGGCTGAATTTCAATCTGTCCCATGAGCTCAGATTTCTCAATATTTATTACAGAAGTAATTTGACTTAGAAGATCCTGCAACAGCCCTCTTGGTAATACCTCGTTTATTGACACAAATAAGGGGGTTTCATCTAGTTGTTGGACCTTACTCGCAAGATCCATAAGTTCGCGGTACTCTGTCAAGAAACTGACAAGAGCACTCCAATCACTCAATGACAGCGAAACAAGTTCAATATCTCGAACAATGCGAGGTATATTCTTGATTTTCCTCAGAGATTTACGCATTTCTTTAAGAATATCATCATTTTCAGATAACAAAAATATATCAATCAAATCATGACGCGCCTTAATAACATTCAAATTAGTTGAAGGTTTAAATATCCATTCTTTTAATAACTCTGCGCCTAATTGACTACATGTTTGGTTGATGATTTCTATTTTTTTTTATGTTAATAAAATAAACAATAGCAAAAAAAAAAAAAATCATAACAATACATACTAAAAAGGCAAGTTGAAGAAGTTATTTGTGTAGGCTTCGTATAATGAAGGTTTGGATGGTTTGCATCTTGAAAAAGACGAAGCGCTGTTATGGTTTCAGTACTGATAACCATATTGTCCTCCCTATTTTCCTTAGTTGTTAGAAGAAAAAAAACAAATATTCGGCTTTTCATGGAAAGAAGTGTATTGCACTCCATACAAGTGGTAACGCCGAGACTTACAATGAATCAATGGTAAACCGTTTAATGCATTTTTCAATATCAATATCCCCTTCAAATGCAAGAAACGAAAAAATGGAAGATATACATCCAGCCTGTATATAAAGTTAGAAAATAAAAAAATAGTTACTATTTTTTTTTATTATTACGCTAAGTTTATTATCATCATTAAAAAATGAACTGCTAAATGGATTTAGGTCGATATCGGAAGAATCTGGGTTCAATTGGCGCACCCAAAACTTGGAATGGGCTACTGCTTGCTCATAATCTGGTTGAAATACCGTTGAATTTTGAGTAAAAGCTTTTGACAAGTTTTTAATGGCCGTTAATACTGAGAACTCGTGCGCTGGTCGGTAATCAATTTTATACTCCGTGACATCATTCTTATCATTAATAACTGGTTCCAGTTCCAGGGGGAACGACGTAGATACCAAAAGAGTACTGGGCTCGATTGTTTTTTTCCCTTTAAAGATAAATACATTAGTTATCATATCTAAAAAAAAAAAAAAATAAAATAAAATAAGGGTTACACTGCTTGAAAATAACTGAGAACTCCTCAATGGTATCGCGGGCTTGGATATTGCTGTCTACATAGCAAGACATCCATTTGGAATCCTTACGGTAAACTGCACATCCCACTTTGGTGCCCTTACACTCAAGCGCCATAATAATTTCAGGTTTAGAAACCTCAGCCAATGTGATAGACTCTGCCGAGGCTTCCGAGACATCTGTATACTGATTAGATGCCGTTATATTGGAGCGATTTGGTTCTATGAACGAATTACTGGTATCCATTTTTTTTAACAACGGTATTATGGTTCAAGTTTAAAAAAGAATAAGGGATATCCAACTATTTAAAATATATATATTATATTGAGCCACTCTTTTTGATGAGAAATTTGACAGGCCAGCCTTTGACTACATACGTTCAAACTCTGAGCCGCACTGTTCCACATTCAGCCTCTTGTCCATTGTAGACTCCCCACCCTCCTCAAAAAATATGGTCAACTTAGCCAGTTGAAGTCATATGACCTTAAGGCGTCATACCCAATTAGTTCGCCGCATGGAAGCCTTCTAAAACGCAACACTATCACCGTCTTCCATGTCAAGCACTTTTTTTTTTTTCTTCTAAAATACCCCAGAAAGACTTTAAGAAATATTTTATTTGAATACGCATTCTTGTTAACTATTCAACTAGTCATTGTTTAAGGGTTTTCCAGACTTAATTTTTTTTTTGATTCTTTTTGATTCTTTTTGATTCTTTTTGATTCTTTTTGATTGAATTATTATTTTGAATTATCTTTTTTTTTTTTTTGTTTTTTTGGATTTATTTCTTAGCATTATGAACGAAAATTTAACCAGTACCACCCCTGCTCAAAATAATTCGTTTTTCGGATACTCTGCAAATCACGAACCACATTCAATTAACAGAGTAGTTTTTGGAATCTCTGAAGAAGATGAAGAAATGGAGTCCTTCAACTTTGAAAATGCTCTTCCCAGAAGCCTTCTCCACTCGCCTCCCGAGTATAACAACAGCAGCCTAAACCTTGCGTCGATGGGTTCTAAAAAGGATTTGGATTTGGTGTCAAGCCGCTTGACTAGTATTCTTTTGTTTATACCTTTGATGGTTGGAAATATATCTTTTACTAACAATTATCATTAGCTCTGGCTCTTGAACCCGAGGTGGCTGACGAAAAGCTTTTGTCCAGGTTTTTGAACCGTGCGAAAAAATCTAACATAAAGGTCGAAATTCCTATTAAGAAGCTTAACAAAAACAACACACCAACAACTTCTTCTTCAGCTTCTTCAGCTTCTTCAGCAGTCGATGAGAAGGATACTACCCGTGTGGATGAGAACTTAGATCACGATTTACATATTAATTCGCCAATCGAAGTTCAGGGTTCTGAATTAATGATGGGTGTCACTTCTTGTAGTTTTGCTATGGAAAAACAACGCCCCTTTGAAAAGTATAATGTCCATGCCTACCCTTTTATTCCCACTATAAGTCCTCCAGATTCCGTTTCAAGAATATTGAAGATTACGAGACCTGGGTCCAACCTTGCGTCTCTGTTTGCTCTTTGTGCGGTTAGTTGTGAAATTGCTGGAATTATGTAATGTGAAAATTAACTTTTTTTTGTTTTTTTGTTTTTTTTTGATAGGAACATGGCGACATTATGAAAATTCATATGGACAGTTCATATGGTGATGGCAGTGGAATAGTTGCGTTTTATGATAAAAGATCAGCAGTATCTGCATTCAATAAACTCACCAATCTTGGTATTAAGTATGGTCGTTTGAATGTCGAGTACATTTTTTCTCAAGAGCAGCAAGTAAGTTGATACATTTAGATACAAGAACATAATTGACAATTTTTTTCAAGGCAAATACACCGACTGCTCGCGAAGCCCTTTACATGTGTAAATGGTCTGTTCTTCAAGTCTCATTTACCCGACCAGTGCCTCCACATATTTGGATCAAACTTGTGGAAATTTTGGGCAATTGCGGGAATATCGAGTCATGGAACTACGCTCTGGGAATGGAAGATCAAATTCGAGTATTTCAATTTTTTGATGTTCGTGCCGCTGTAAGCTCGTTTCAGTTGCTTTATCAAAGAGAAGAAATTGATGGGCGTATTTTCACTGTTGGGTTTTATAACGAGCACACTGGTCAGTTGCAGCAAATGACGCCGCAAATTATGAGCTTGTTTTATCAAATAGTTTCGCATGAAGATATTGGCGAGACTTACTTGATGCCCCAAGGGTATCAGTCTGAGTATCCAGTTCTCAAATCGACGTTGCTTACAGATAATGAAAATTTTGAAGAGAATTTAAAGAATGGATACCTTGACTTGGGCCAGAGTCATCGCCGCTCATCATCGTTTGGCTATGATGGGTACTATCAGGATACATTTGGATCAGTGCAAGGAGTGGGAGCCAGCGGTCTTAATTCTAGAGATCTAGACATTGTGACCAAAGCAAGTGTGTCGAAGAATAACATTGTTGATTTGCGGCGGATTTCTAAGGGCCTAGACACGCGCACAACGTTGATGCTAAGAAATATACCCAATAAGGTTGATCAACAGATGCTCAAGGAATATTTGGACGTTACCAATAAGAATACCTATGACTTTTTGTGTATGGAAAAACAGAAAAAAGTTTAAACTATCAATATTGTGGAAGGAAAGATTTAACTAACTAGTTTTACAGATCTTCGAATTGATTTTGCCAACAAGTGCAAGTAAGTGCGAAAAAAAAAGTCACAATTATGTTTAATAAAAAGTTTCTTATTAACAGTTTTTAGTGTTGGCTATGCATTTGTTTCTTTCATTTCGCCAGAACATATCATTACGTTTGCCAAGGCCAGAGCTGGAACCAAGTGGAACAGATTTAATTCGGAAAAGATTTGCGATATATCATATGCCAATATATATGTCTTTTTTTTTGACGGGAAATTATTATGATGATAAGGTTCAAAGTACTGACTGATTTTTTTACACAGGGAAAGGAATGTTTGATTGAAAAGTTTCGCAATTCTAGCGTTATGGATCAAAGTGAGTTTTGATTTTTATTTAAAAAAAAACTTCTATTTAAATATATACCTAACAAACCAACCAACATAGCCATGTCATATAGGCCGTTATTGTTTCATTCGGATGGAGAGCTTGTTGGTCAACCACAGGAGTTTCCACCGCCTAATAATATGAACCGCAAGATGCGTTCAATTGCCAATATCGAGCGGATTGGATTGTTTTCGCCACATCCAAAGTCTCCACCAAATGACGGTGCTAGTCAAGGGTCAGCATCGGGAGCTGTAGCCGGTACCTTACCAATGCGTGCCAGTTTAGGGCTATCTTTTCTTTCAGGACGTCATGGGAATGTATAAAAAAAAACAGAATATGAAGATTTGCAGTGATGATTAGTTTTTTTAAAGTATAGGTTTGTTTGTTCTATCACTGTGGTGTTTTTTCTTTTTTTTTCATTCAAAAATAAGCATAATACTGCAGCGTTTTTTATAGTATGATAATAATAAATACATAGTTTAGTGTTCTCCATTTTCATTTTCATTTTCATTCTCGTCCTCGCTATCGCTAATTTGCTCACCGCTTAGCATTGCATTCCATTGGCGAGCCAGCTCTGCCATTCCTGCGCCCGTCATGCTTGCATCAACAATGTCTTTTGGAACTCTATTTTCCGAGTGCTGGAGAGCTCCACCAAGTAGATCAGATGTAGTACCAGTTTTGTCAACAAGTCTAATTTCAAAGTCTTCGCCGACTTCTTTTGAATCAAGTTTGTGCAAGATTTCATACCAGGTGAAGAGCAGAGGGTCGGTTTGCGGAGCAAATGGATTGATATCTATAAGGTACACGCGGTCATAAGGGTCTGGAATGTAAACATCGAAAACAAACGAATCATCTGGGAAGGTATCTTTGAGATTTTCTGTGAAAAAGTAGTCGATTTCGTCCGCAAGGGTATCTTGGAGCTTTTCCAAAAAGGGGTAGTACTTGAGATAATCACGCTGGGAGACAGCCACCAAGGTGCGGTCGCGAACAAAACAGCGAAATTCAAGAGCTGGGTTTAAGTTAAACCATTGTCGCAAGATGAGTTCAGGTTTAACTGAAATGTCATCGTCGTTTGTAGTTTGAGTAGCCTCGACAGTGTTTGAGTAAGGTTCTGTTAGGTCATGTGTGATATAAGCTGAAGATTTTAAAAGAAGATAAATATCTGAAGGAGAAAGACATTTTAGAGTGTTGTTGATTGAGATCCAAGAAGCATCTTTTGGAGCGGACCAGTTAAGTTTAGGAAGAACAGCGCCACCGAGTGAATCAATAGCGTCCTTAATCTGCTGGTGAAGTTCTGAGAACTTTAACGTTGGGTCTTGGGGTGAATCATCATCATTATCTGAATAATTTGCAATGTCTTCGTTAATAGAAAGTTCTTGAATTTTAGGGGTAAGTTCTTCTTCAGGTGGTAAGATAATGCCATCTTCGAGCAGGTACTCGACAAAAGATTCTGGAAGATTTGTAAAGATTTTAGTTTTAGGAGTAAGTTTAGAGTAAAGAGGGTGCCATGATGAGAATTGGCAGTTGTCAATGTGAGATTTGAAGATAAGAGGGAATGAGACGGAGTCTGGGTCTGATTCCGAGAGTGGAGAACTGATTAATCCTGGCATTTTTGTAGTTGATAGTATGGTATTTTTTTGAAGAAACTAAACTTGAATGTTGGTTTTAATTGAAAACTTTTGAAAGAAATTTTTTTTTTTAAATGTGGTCACATGATAGTATGATTACGCAAGAAGTTTAGCAAGGATATGTTTCTTTGGGGTTCTAAAAGAAAACTTTAGCCATTGCCACCATTAACATCAACATAAACATAAACAATCCCGAGAATAAGCACAGCAATGTCGAATATAGATAAAGAGTACCCACTTGTTCTACAATTGATTCTTGCACAGCTAGTCATTGAGCAAGGAACGGACGCGTTTAGGTCGATTGCAGAATCTTTAGAGCGACACCCAATGTTACAAAATATTCCTGAACGGAAGATGACAGCCACTGTGAGTATTATTCTAAATGAGATGGAAAAGTAGAGTGGGAACAAGAGATAGGGAGATTGATCTAGAGGAAGAGGGGCTTAATGATAAGAAAAAGAGAGAAATTCTATATATATGGAGGTATTTGTATCTAAATTTAATAAAGAAAAGAACTGACAGATTCAGTTGTTTTAATCAAAAAAAAAAAAAGTTTTTCTTTTGATATAGAAATGTCGATCACTATATTTAGAAATGATTAAGAAGGAAGGCCTTGAGTTAAATTCAGGAGATACTGGAGTGAACAGTTCTAGGGACAGCGAAGGCAGCAGCATAAATAAAGAATCTGGAGTTTCTCATTCTCCTTCCCCGTCTCTATCATCGTCATCAACAACACCATCATCATCCTCGGCAGCAGCAACAGCAACAGCAACAGCAACAGCTACAGCCAAAAAGAAAAAGAGTATGTGGAGATTCCAAATAAATAAATAAATAAAAAAAAGGCTCAAATTTTATTTACCTTAAATTATTTATTTTTTTTTTGTGCCGGCAAACAAATTTTTTTTTTCATTATCATTTTTATAATATTTTCTGACTAAGCGATTTTTTTTTTAATAATAAACAGTGGTTACACCGGAATTGCGATTAGCACAGATTCTTTACATGTCATACACCGAAGAGTTGATTCAAGATATGCATCAAGACGAGACGGAGTTTGTTACGACGTACCGTGAGCTAGAGGATTTACAAAGACAAGCAGAAGCTTTGAAGGGAACTGAATGATGGATTTAAAAGAAAAAAGAAAAAGGAAAAAGGGAAAAGGAAAAAAGAAATAGGAAAAAAGACAAAAGACAAAAGACAAAAGACAAAAGACAAAAAGGAAAAGGGAGCAAAAAAAAAAGGAGTTGTTAGACAAAAATAATAACAGAGAAACAAATGACTAAGTATATGATGATTAAGGATCAAAGTTTTTTTTTTTTTTTTTAATATGAAGACGAATAAAAAGGTTATTACGTTGATAGATAGTGGGTCTTGAATCCATTTTAGTCACTGTTGTAACCCTTTTTTGAAAAAAGTTGAAAAATTTGAAAAATTGAAAAATTTGAAAATTTAAAAATCTGATATTTTTGGTGTTTTCGAATGCCAGCAATCAAACATTTTAGATTGGGTTAAAAGAGGAAGGAGGGTTTTAAAATTCCAATGTAATATTGAAGAAAAAAAGAACTGGAATTTTGAAGTTTTATTTTTATTTTTATTTTTATTTTTTTATTTTTTTGGAAAATAAAGGACTTTTGTGGTGATTTCATCATCGTCATCATCTTTATGATCGATTATCATAGAGAGAGAGAGAGAAAAAAAAAAAGACAGTCATCATATCAATCTAGCCTCCTTCCTAATTTGGAAAATCTGATTTATAATGATGACCCATTTCCAAAGAGATTTTTTAGATGGCCGATACCGGAGCCGGCCGGAGTAGTCTATCTAAAAGTTTAATGTTTAAAGGAGGAAAATTTTTCACACAAAAAAAAAACAAAACAAAAGAAGAAAAAGTTTTTTTTCCAACCACTCACAATGGTTCCTTGCCAAACCCATCGCTCACTTTTGAGCGCTCATAAAAAAACGCGCAATTTTAATTTTAATTTTAATTTTAATTTTAATTTTTTTTATTTTGTTTTGATTATAATGACACTTATTTTTTTGCTTTTCTTTTTTAGGAAATATTTATACAACTACTACTAATAATATGATTTCTTCAAATATATTAAAATTTTTTTCAACTTCATTTCTTAAATTTACCTAATTTTTTTACCTGTCTCTTCTTTTCCTTGTGTTGTCTATAAATATAAAGGAATAGAGAGAGTACTATTCACTCCATCCTACATTTATTTCCGCCGTACATTCCGGGCCGCAATTAAACAGCAACTTGGGAGCCACTCGTGACCTTGTCGCACTTTCCTAAAGCGGAATGATTGAAGATCAGATAAAACCCAAAAAGGGAAATCTTTCCAGCTAGGCTTAGTCAGGCGCAAATTTTTTTTTCTACAGTTGCTCTCTTTTGTTTTGTGTCAGTGTTAAAAAATTTTTTTTTTAGAAAAGAAAGCTGCTACATGGATGTGAACTGTGCTGTACTGTACTGTACTATGCTGTACTATGCTGTACTGTGTGTGTGTGTGTTTTATGTGATGTGTTAAAGAGTAGATTTTCACTCATATTTTTATTTTTTATTTTTTTTTTTAAGCCTAATTAAGAAGGAGAAGAAGAAAAAGAAGAAAAAAAATGAGAGCTCTTTGCGAGCTATACGAGAGATGGCTCTATGCGTTCTCATTGGCCACATTCCATCCAAAGACATGCCCGTCCCGGAGTCATCCGCCCACTAAGCGCTCAAAAAAAAAATAAAAATAAAAAAAAATGAATGGACAACACCGGCCGAATTTGGGTTTTATCTGATTTTATCTGATTTTATTTTTATTTTATTTTTTTGAAATTGATTGATTAATTGATTCAGTTATTATTATTTTCATCCTATATAAAAAAAAAATTTATATATATATTTGTTTGTATATAAAAATAAGAAATCCCCAATTTTATAAAATTTTTCGGAACTTTTGCTTTAAAATTTTTTTTTTCTTTCTTCCCCCCCTTCATCACATCCCAATTAGTATTTATCTGATTGATTTTTTTTATAATTAGTTTTCTTTTTTCTTATAAACATTTATATATATAATCAGATAACTAGAGACGATTTTTTTTTTATTTCTTAAAGCTCATCAGACATAAATTAAATGAAGTTAATTAAATACAATAATCTTTTTCATCATAATTATAATTAAAAGAAAGATCATCATTTTCATCAGATAACTACAAAAAAAAATAATAATAATAATGTCTGCCACTATTGCACAACCTACCACCAGAGCTTCAAGGCGCTCGTCCAAACAATTACAACAACAACAATCACTCATCAATCAGAACCATAACCATAACCATAACCATCATCACCATCATAGCCAACAACAAAATGCTAGAACTATCCCCCTCTCACCTCTTTGTACAGCTACTCAAACAGGCTATGGAAACTTACCAAGTCCCATTGCAATCAAGCAAGAGCCTTTGCTTTACTCCCCACAGGAGCAACACATTAACATCAACAACATCAACATCCATACCCAACAACAACAATCTCATCTCTTTCCAAATACTTCTTCATCTCCAGTATCAACATCCTCAATCCTTAATGCAGCTGACTTTAGTCCCTTGATGACTCAGTCCCCGGGTCTTGCTGTAAATATTACAGCCGGTTTTAAGTCAATGTCAGCAAATACATCTCCTCCAACGCCAACATCATGCGCAGGACTTTCTCCAGATGAATTTACAACTCCTCTAACAGTACAAGTCTGTGGAGTGAGTCAACAACAACAACAACTACAACTTGACAACCAGCAGCAGCAGCAACAACGGCAACAGCAGCAACTACAACAACAACAACAGCAGCAGCAGCAGCAGCAGCAGCAACAACAACAACAAAAACAAAAACAGCAAAAACAAAGCCAGTTCTCTCAATCGGCTCGTCGGGTATCTGGGTGTGCTGGTTCCCGACCTAGACGTAGCTGTGTTGGGTCTACCACTACTACTACTAACACTACCACCAACACCCCTACAAATTGTTGTTCCCCCTCCTCCTCTTCTTCTTGTTGCACCACCACCAAAACTGCTAAATCGTCAGCTTCTTCAACGGCTTCATCCGCAACAAGCACCCCATCCTCAACCACATCTACAACAACTGTCACTGGAAAACGTAAGTCTGGGTCTCCTGCCATGGACCCAGTCACCGGAAAACCTAAAACGACAAAAAGAAGACCTCATAGCAAGTCGCGACACGGCTGCAAGACGTGCAAACGTCGCCGCGTCAAGTGCGATGAAACTCACCCCATCTGCAACAACTGTAAACATCTCAACCTAGAATGCTCATTTGCTGGTAATTCTCTTTTCCCCTTTGTCCAAGGCGGACTCAACATTATGGACATTCGTCTCTTCCACCATTATACTACTGTCGTCTGGAAAACAATAGTCTCAGCTGGTATCTCAAATGAAGCCATCTGGGCTCAAGATGTCCCTCAACTGGCTTTTGAGCATCCTTATCTCATGCATTCGGTCCTCACTTTTGCCGCAAACCATTTTTCTCGTTCCCACCAGGGTGCAAATCATGACCCAGCTACACTTGAACAGGTTGTCACCTTTCATCGTGGTGACGCTCTCCGTCTTCTTGGCGAAGCTGTCCGATCAGTAACGCCAGAAAACCTTGACGCTTTAGTTGCTTCATCCATTCTCCTTATCCTTGACTCACTTGCGAATGCTTCCCAGCCTGACGAACAATCTGCTTCTTCTCTTCCTGCCTCAGCTTGGCTTCATCACGTGCGGGGCGCAGCAACCATTCTCACTGCTATTGGCCCACCAAGCCCTGACTCGCGATTTTTCAACCTTGTTAATGTTGATCTTAGCGATCTTGCTCAGGGTCTTATGTCCACCATTCCTGGAATCGATGTTGTTGCTTCTCTAGAATGTTTTGATGAAGATCTAAGAGATCTTTATCCCGTAAACGTCTCTTCTCCGTATTACCATGCTCTGGTCTATCTCGACAAGCTTTTCCGTCAACGTTACAAGTCAGACTTCATTCTTCGCGTCTTTTCTTTCCCTGCTCTGTTAGACAGAAATCTCGTCACCATGCTCATTAATGGTGACGAGTCTGCTAAGAAAATCATCCGAGTCTATTATAAGCTTGTCCGCTCTTTCACCTCGGAAATGCACCAGTCGGTGTGGTTCCTCGAAGGTGTTTCCAAAGTTCTTCCTATTGATATGGATAAAGAGTTTGGTGGTTTGGGTTTTATTACTCAAGCTCTTCCACTTAAACTGCCTACCGTGGATGAGTTTATGGAGTCATTCTTTAAAACTTCTTCTACACAACAACAATCACAACAGCAGCAGCAGCAGCTACAACAACATCAACAGTCTCAATCGTCGATTCAATCATCGGCAATTTCGGCCTCTAATGCTGCTACTGCTACTCGAAACATCCGGCGCACAAAAGCTAATACATCTACCAAACCCCGATCACATCAACATCAGGGCTCGAATTCCACACCAATTCTCATTTCTGATTCTCCTGCTTCTCAGGATACAACGGATCTTGGAACTGCCACTGGGACTCACACAGACCTTGATTCGGCCCCATTCTCGCTTGATCTGCTTTCAAATGATGCTACTGCAGCTTCTGAACTTGAAAGCTTTGCAAGCCAATTTATGCTTCAAGCTACTACTGGTCCTGTAAGTCACGGCACAGCTGCCACTGGAACATCCACAGCTACTTCCATCCAGCTCCCCTCCCAACCTCTCACTGCCACAGGCATAATGTCCTCACAAGGCCAGCCCAATCAGGACTTACTTGTTGGTCCCCACTCTTCGCCTTCAATGTCTTCTTCCTCTCCCCTTAGTCTTGATAACGACTATGGAATTCCTGGTGGTCCAGACACGTCAGGCTCGAGTACCAGTAGCAACAACAGTTTGAGCTCAAACGAGCTTCACTCGAGACATGGTACGCCTGTTTTCCCTCCCGTGACAACAACAACAACAACATCCAACTTTGGCGCTATCCCCCACAAACTTACGACCTTAATGACCCCTCACGACGACGCCATGAATTCCTTTAAATTTAATGAACACCATCTACACTCCTCTTTTGACAAGAACCCCAATGCGCGGGCCGCGGCGGGTGCGTCCCCGGCTGAACTCTCGCTGGACGGGTGCGCGACCATAACGCCGAGCATGTTGACTGTGGATGAAACCAATTTTCTCATCAAGTACGAAAAGTCTTAAAAACTGAAGAACAAAAAAAAATCATTATTATAATAATGATTTATAATTTAAATATATATACATTTAATTTTCTATTTTACTGCCAAAATGATTATCAAAAAAGCATAATTTTAAATAAAGAAAAAAGTTTCCTCGTTAATAGAAAAGTTGTTACAAAAATCTTTTTTTCATGTGTAACAAAACTGTCTTTCTAGTAGTTTCCATCGTTTTTGACATCACCAACAAGGACCCACAACATAAATACCGAAGGTTTCCTCTGAAAAAGAAAACGTCAACTCCTCAAAAAATAAATAAAAAGAAAAAAAAATCACCTTTTCTTTTAAACAAGATTTTTTTTTGTTAAATCTAAACTACTCAATTACATACCCCTACTCCTATAGTATCCAAAAATGGTCTTACACAATCCTAACAACTGGCACTGGGTCGACAAGAACTGCATCGACTGGGCCAAGAAGTACTTTGATGAAACCTTACCTGCCATTAGCGTGGAAGCCCCAGGTCCACTCACTATCAATGTGACTCGAGTCAAGACTCTAGATGGCGATGTTGGAGTGTATCAGCGCAAGGGTAAAGTGATTTCACTTTTTGATCTTAACATGGTTCTCTCTTACGAAGCCACGGCTCCCAAGAAGGAAGACGCTTCTTCACCTGAGGAAAACCTCCCAGTCACTGGCGACATTACAATTCCGGAAATTGCCTACGACTCTTCGGCAGATGACTACACTTTTGAAATTGGAACTAATGCAGGACCTTCCAATGACACCCGGGATGAAGCCAAAAAACAGGTGCGTGCTAAGCTGGTGCCACTTCTCCGTGAAGCCCTCTTTGCATTCGGACCTGAATTACTTCGTGTCCACGGCCAGGATATCCAGCATCCTACAGACCAGGTCAAGTCGACTTTTACTAAATCAAACCAGGAGGAGAGCTTGGCGGAAATCAAGGGATCCAATGAATCAACTGAGACTTCTAAAGCCTCAGAACCTACTGCTTCTACTGGACCCGCAAAAACTACTGCTGCTTCTGAACCGGCAACTACCAAGACCGAGTCAAAGGGCATACGAACTACTGAATACAATACCGAGACTGCAAAGACAGAGGTTATTTTGCATGCACCTGCTGCCGAGGTATTTGCAACATTTATTGACAAGGCCCGAGTTTCTGCTTGGTCACGATCCAATCCTGTTTACACACCTCCTTCCGGTGTTTCTGCAAGCGATACTCCAACTGTCGGTACTCGCTTCTCGCTATTTGGTGGCAATGTGACGGGTGAGTTTTTGGAACTGGACCCAGGCCAGATTATTAAACAAACATGGCGGTTGTCAGAATGGAAGGGCCGACACCATGCTACACTTACACTCGCATTGATTGAAGGCGAAGCCGATACCACAGTCAAGGTTTTGTTTGAGGGTGTTCCTGTGGGTGAGGCTGATGAAGTTCTTGATAACTTTGAAAAGTACTATGTCCGTCCCATTAAAATCACTTTTGGCTATGGTGCTGTTTTGTAAAGAAACCCCGGTATTATAATAATGAAAAAAAAAAAATTGAGAGAATATTCATATTAAAGAATAGAAAAGCTTCTTTTTATTTTTTATTTCAAATTAGACATCATTTATTTTAGAAAAGAAACTGGTGTTATTTGTACTGGGGACTTGAAGAATTTTGAGTGTATCAAAATTAAGACAAAATCTTTCATCACATGGAAATTAACTTTGGCTCTAAAATGATTCACCCGTTAATATTTCAATTGAGCTTTCTAGCTTTAAAAACATTTATTTTTACAAATACACAAATCAATTAATTTTTTTTTTAAAATAAAAATAAAAAGATCAAAAATTTAAACATTCCCAGCAAATCCAGGTGGAACACCCTTTGCATGTCTGGCCTCCTTGCCAACCGTCCCCATAAATATGCCAAAATCTCGATTCCAGGGTACTTCACAGTTAATTACTTGTCGAATCATTTGGAAAGCTTCCATAGTAGAATACGGCAGTCCTGATTTGGGATCGACAAATTTACAGGGCTTTCCTGTCACCACACACTTGGGCGCGGCCTGAAGCGCCGCCAGCGCCGCTGCAGATTTCGCCCGTGCTGCAGCACTGCCTCCCACAAGCCCCCCATTTGCAGCAGCAGCAGCAGCGGCAGCGGCAGCAGCGTTAGCAGCGGCTGCTGATAATCCACCGTTTTCACTTCCACCACTGCCAATCACCCCAGTACCTAAAGGACCAACAGATGCTCCGGAAACGCCCAGACCACCAGGACCCATCACCTTCATTCCAAAACTGCGCGAAAGAATAGGATTTGCAACTAGAGAAGCAAGACTAGATGAAGCACTTGAGCTGCGTGCTCCAAGCTTGCTCAGTAATGCATCAGCTGCAGATTTGGTCACATCTACCTTCTTTTTCCCTGCTGCTTGCGTCAAAGATGCAGCGGCAGCAGCAGCGGCAGCAGCAGCGGCAGCAGCAGCCCCTTTCTCCCGAGCTTCCTTACTGCGTTCCAGCGCTTCTCTAATTCTTGTCTTTTCATAAGGACCACGCTTTTTGCGTCCGCTCGGTGTTGTCCCTTGAACACCGCTTCCGGATGCAATATTTTTCAAATTGGCTGGTCGTTCCACAGGAACTGGAATCTCCAGCGATTGAGGGCCAAAAAGAACTTTTTGAATCTCAGGTGTTGAGTATCCAAAACTTTCTGGAAACTCCAATAAACTAATTGTAGTGACTGACCGGCATTCTTGAGGACCTTGCACAATATAATTTGCTGAATCACCTTGCTGATCAAGTATTGTCTGATCCCTGGGCGGCTCTGTAAACAGTGTATTTTGTTCAATGATTACTGGCGCTGCTTCAAAATGGGTACCATCAGGTTTTATAATGTGACCTGCTTGTTCATCTTCATGAGACGCCGCAGATGATGCAGTAGTGGCAACTGTCATTGGTTCCGGCGCAACAACAGAAGCTTCGGTTTCGAGAACCTGGGCGGTAGAATTATCTGCTGCACCAGTGGAATATGTAACTGGCATGATTACTGTATCTTGACTGCTTCCGACATGTAGTTCTGTTTTGAGTTTATCGTCAATCACCATTCCAGAAATCGGAAATACTGGACTTGTAGTACTAAGCATTGGTGTAGAAACATTAGTACTAATAGTCTCGTGTTGAACTGCCGTGGATTCAGGTGCTGAAACGGCAGATTGCAGTTGCGGTTGCGAAGGTGCATTCAAAATATTTTCATGCATATCGTGCTTTTCTAAGTTTAAATTATGGCCCCCATCAATTGGTTTTTCGCTTTCATCAATGTGGGTAGGTTCTTCAGCAACATGGAAGTTGATATAATCAGCTTCCAATTGTTCTACGCTCGTCGACCGTCTGAAATGATCATCTTCTGCTCTTGGGGCAAATGCAATACCAACAGGGGACAATGTAGTACCATGGGATAGCATTGGATCGCCAGATGCCGGATCAATCACAATGTGTTCGGATACCACTGGAAGTGCCTGTGAATCGTGAATTGTAGGATCAATAGGTACAGCTCCCAGGTCCACAGTAGAATGTGTCAGCGGGTCAATCGAACCTGCGAGTTGTGGCTGAGTAACGTGATCCATAGAAATCGGAGCAGTTGTAATAAGCTCTGAGCTTAAAGGTACTGTTGGCGATCCTGTTACCTGGGGGTCAGGAAGCTTTTCAGATTCTAGCTGCTTCTCATCACCTTCAGGTTTTTCTTGATTTTGTTTATTCGTCTTAATTTTGCGACGAGGCTCCTTTTTGGCAGTTTTGGGCTCTGAAGAAATCTCTTCAACAAGTGGAGGGATTATAGGATCAAAATAAGTAGTTTTACTGACATAGCGAATAAAGGATGTCATGGGTGCACGCTTCGCCAAAAGAGCGGCCCGCCGGTTCTTTTTGCGCTCTTCTTCTTGCTGATAAAACACATTGAGTGATTCGACATTTTTCTTTTCGGTAATTATAGCTTCTTTTAGCCGCTCTTCTTGTGTCATTCTATGAACAACTTTGACAGTGGGGGTAGTCATTTTTGCCTAAATCCAGTTAGCAATAACCATGCAAACCTTATCTTCTATACTTACTCTTCTTGCTTCGGACTCTTGTAAACGCTGAATAACATCTTTTGCGTTCTTCACAGCTGCCTTTCTAGTTGATCTTCGGCGATTCTCAGAGAGCAGTTGGTCTGCTGATGTGCGTAATTTTTGGCGCTTAATTTGGCGCTGACGCTCAGTTTCTTCAGATCCATTTTCTGTTACTTTAACATTATCTTCTTGTTCCTTATCGATTTGAGCGCGTCGCTTTTGGGCTTTAAGCACGGCTGCTGGCATGAACGAGGCCTGTCGCTTTTTCTTAGCTGCTTGCCGCACATCTGCTCGTTGCTGCTGCTGGAGCTCTCTTTCGCCAGCGCTATCATCACTATCTGAAGAAGAAGACATTGAATCTGAATCGGAAAACATATCGTCATCTTCGCTTTGAGCGTTGTCGCTACCCTCATTGGGTGCTAAAGGCTTTTGTCGTTTAAAGTTGACTGAAGGACCTGTAGGTTTCTTGGTTGTACTAGATGACGCGTCTTCAGTAGAAGAACCAAGGAAACTTTCCACCTCTTCGTCCGCTTCTCCTGCCCCTGCTCCTGCTCCTTCTTCTTCCTCTTCCTCTTCCTCTTCCTCTTCCTCGTACGACGCGTTAGCATCAAATTCCTCATCGTCCTCAATTTCTTGAAAAATATCTTGTCCATCCTCGTCCTCGTAGTTAACCGACTCTTCTGCATTAATCAATTGTTGAAGTTTTCTACCAGCATTATGTCGTCGTTGGCGGGTGGCAATGATGCTATCAACATTTTGTAAAGATTCGGGCTGTTCAGATATTGTGTTTGGAGAAGTGCCCATGATTGAGAGCGAGGGTCTTTAGAAAGGAAAAAATAAAAATAACAAAAAAACACGCGAAATCAAAAAAAATACTGGCAACTAGGGAAAAAGAAGATAAAGACATGATTTAGTGGTGGTGGTGTAGAAAATGGAAAAAAAATTTTAAATATTTAAAAACCCTCAGCCCTTTATCACGTGATTAAATAAATAATAAGATGCCAATCACCATTCACTTGAATTTTAACGTCTTAACCACCAAACAAATCTACATGAAACTACAAATGTTCAGAACCAGAATTGCGCCAATTGCTAGAAATCACAGAGTTGCTCTGCAATTTTTCAGAAACCACTCCTCAAGCACGGGTACTACATCTGATGAGCTTTCCCATTTTGCGCAGCTTGCTGACTCGTGGTGGGATGTCAATGGACCCCAACGCATTCTTCATAAAATGAACCTGCTTCGTCTTGACTTTATCTTTAATATGCTCAAGGCTAACTGGGACGAAATTCCAAACAGTAATTACAAGCAATCTGAAAAGGAATTTATTCCTGGCTATTCTTTTGAACTTTTACCAACAGAGGAGCTAAAAAAGCACTTTTCCGATAAAGTTTCTTTCCATGAAAGTCAACTGTTTAAGGTGCCTCAGTTTGAAGTGCTGGATGTTGGCTGCGGAGGTGGTATTCTTTCGGAATGTCTGGCTAGATTGCCTTTTACCAAAAAGGTTCGCGGAATTGATCTTTCACCAGATGTTTTAGCCGTTGCTGAAGCCCACAAAAAAAAAGATCCTCTGTTGGCCGATAAGCTTGATTATCGTCTTGCTGAACTCGGGTCTCTTGATAAAACAAAGGAGCAATATGATATAATCACACTTTTCGAGGTGCTGGAACATGTGGAATACCCCTCAGAAGTTTTAAGCCAGGCTATTGACCGTTTGAAACCTGGCGGCTGGATGTTTTTGTCCACCATTAACCGAACACCCATATCTTACTTTACCACCATTTTTGTCGGTGAACATTTGCTTAATATCGTTCCCAAGGGTACTCATACCTTGTCAAAATATATCAACGAAAGTGAGCTTCGTGAATGGTTCAACAATAGACAAGACTGTGACGTCATCTCCAGCGAAGGCTGCCTGTATATTCCTGCATATGGATGGAAATTAACTGGCTCACCCAATGTTGGAAATTATTTTATGGCAATTCGCAAGAGGAAGTAAACTTTTGTTTTAAAAAATAACTGTACATAATTAATACCGAGTTCAAAGTAATTTTTAATTTAGACAATTTGTCTCAATGGATTAATGAATCACTTTTACGGAAAGATCTTCAAGCAAATATATTTTTAAATTTAGTTAAAGGACAAAAATTTGTTAACTTTGTCGTAAACCTTTTTCTGATACCAAGGATATCGAGATCCATGATGAAGCTACCAAATTTCGGAAAAATATTTATTTCTAAATAATTAAGTTACCAAAAATTGATAAATGATCAACCTAATATAACTGTGCATTTTTTAAATATTGATTATGTTACTAATATGGTAAGGTCGATTTTTTTTTTAATTTTCATTTTGTTATGGATTCCATTACTATCAAAGTGGCACAGAAGTTTATGATATTTTTGAAAAAAAAAAAAAAAATTTTAGAGAGAAATAAAAAAAACAGTATGAAACATTTTTTTAATCTACATTTGTCATTATAATTAAAACCATGAAAACAGTACAATTCATAGCTGAATGTTGATGGTACAATTTTTCAACAAAGAGACAAAACAAAGATGTTAAATTTTTGCGTGGAATTTATTATTCATTTTTCAAAATTAAACGTTATTTCAGAACCATGTTTCATAATTTTTTGCGAAATATCTTTTCCAATTTTCAACTTATTTTTAAAATAAAAACAGTTTGGGACATAACCAACAAACAAATTTGTCTACGGGCGCTTGAAATTTATATCCGAAAGTATTAAAAAATCAACTTGGTAAATTAATCATAGAATGAAACCTAAGAGAGAATTTCAGTGTAAATCATTTCGCTTAAAGATAAAGATATTATTATATTAAACCAACTAAAAGTTTAGCCGATATTATTTGATACTTTATCAAGTATCGTGAAATTGTTGAATAAAATGATTCATAGAAAAAATGGTGATCAGCCAAAAATGGTATTTTAAAGATATCATTAAACTTAGAGAATTGTCAAATACATACTACCACTAAGAGTTATATTCTTGATTTGATTTCAAAAATCAAAAGAGACAGTGTGAAACAATAGATTTTCTTCAATTATTGGAAACAAATTTTAAAAATAGTATTCGTGCCTTTTCCTAAGTTTTGGTTCATATGAACAAGAAAATGTATATTATATATATTTCATTTATTTTGTAATCAATTAATATTTAGAAACTTATCTTCGACTTTTGTTGTGACATAACTATAAATACAGAAAGAAATCTATCAGCTTATCATTTTGTTTTTAATTCACTATTCATTCGCTTTTTCTTTATATCTGCATTCTTTTTCCAGAATTCCAACTAGGGTCACAATATAATGGTTAGTAAATCAATTTTCTGGATGGCCTATATGGCACTAGGTGTCATGTCTGCTTTTAATTCTGCTGCTCAGCTAGATGAATTCAACGCACTTAAAAAACAAGATACTCTTGATAAAAATTTAGTTGATTTAGTCAAATATGGCTATCATAATGGCTCGCACCACCTTTGGTCTTCTCCTTCCGAAGAAGATGAGGATTGCAGTACCGATACTGTTAAAGAAATCGAAGAAGACTGTACTACCTCTGAGGAATCTGAAGAAGTTTGTGATACATCTGAAGATATTTCCGAGTCAGATTGTGAGTCAACCAGTACATTTACCACTTCGTTTCAAAGGTCTAGCTTAAAGCCATCTTCTACTCAAACTACCACACCTGATTCTACTATTTCTTCTTCTACTCATAATACCTCTTTGATATCTTTAACAACCTCGACTACTACCATAATTTTTACTACTAGTATTCCAACTAGTTCATTTTCTAGTTCTTCTACTTTATCTGCCTCTTCATTTTCTCAAGAATCAGTCACTTCAGTTTTTTCTCCTACCACAAGCCCCACTACATCTAGTGTTATTAGTTCTGCATCTTTAAAGCCTTCTACATTAAATAATACCACCAGTTCTATTATCCCATCCCCTTCTTCAACATCTACTACAATTAAAACTTCAAGCAACTTTTCTTCTAAAAATGTCACCATTACTACACCACTTTCTCCTATCACAACCACTTCGATCTTTTCAAGGAACGAAAATTTTACTGAAACTACCTCTGAACCATTCACACCTATTACTATTACTACATTTATCACAAAATGCAGCGAAAACAAATGCCATGTCGTACCCACAACTACTACTATTACCCCAACTATTACCAATCTTGTACCCTCTATCACACCGTCTACAACTACTTCAAAAATTACATTTCCTACGGATACACGTTCAAAAAATACTACCATGACAACTACTGAAATTAACTCTCTTATTACCATTACAACTTGGATCACCAAATGTAGTGAAAATAAATGTCATGTTGAACCCTGTACAACAACAATTCCCTCCAAACCTACTACTTTTGTGCCTATCATTACTCCTGGTCCTAAGAAATCAACTTCCACAATTACTGGTATTAACCCCCCTGTTACCATCACTACTTGGATTACAAAATGCGATGAAGACAAATGTCATGTTTCCCCCACTACTACAACTGTTCCATCTACAATCACATCTTTTGTTCCTGCTGTGATAAACTCAACATCTATCATTGGTACCCCTGCTAGTAATTATAGTATTGGCCCGCCCCCATTAATTGAAACTATTGTGATTTGCAATACTGGTAAATGTTATACAACAATCAAAACAGCTCCTAGTGCCATGGCTTCAGCAGTGGCTTTAGCTTCTGCTTCTGCTTCTGCTTCTGCTCATGCTGAAGCCTCTGCCCATGCTGAAGCCTCTGCTCATGCTGAAGCCTCTGCCCATGCTGAAGCCTCTGCTCATGCTGAAGCCTCTGCCCATGCTGAAGCCTCTGCCCATGCTGAAGCCTCTGCTCATGCTGAAGCCTCTGCCCATGCCGCTGCTACTGCGACTGCTTCTGCTGGTGCTGGTGCTTCTGCTGATGCCGCTGCTTCTGCTGAAGCCTCTCCTAACGCCTCTGCTTCTGCTAATGCAGGCGTCAACCCTGTGGCTCCTACTATTACACTTAAACCCTCAACTCTTCCACAGGCATCATCATCTCCTAAAGCTGGTTATTCCAGTGTTCCTCAACTGGAACAGGGTGGTGCTGTTTCACCTAAAGCAAGTCTTTTGGCTGCCATTTTTGGCCTCTTCTTCTGGTTATTGTAAAAAAAAATTCATGCCATTAGAAGTAAACATAGTTTTCATATCCCCATATTTTCCCAATTAAGTATTTTTTATAGTTTATAGTTTATTGTTTATTGTTTATTTTTAATTTTTAATTTTAATTTTAATTTTAATTTTAATTTTAATTTTTTAATTTTTTAATTTTTTAATTTTTTTACTAGTAAAACCAATATACATATATTTCTCAATTATTAATATGTCAAAATACATAATAAAAATTGAGAATTATAAAATGTATCATAAACTTTTCAATTTTTCCAGCTACCTCAGATTCATCTAATAATATATACAATTTCACCTCTTTTTTGTTTATTAAATTGTATATATTATTCTAGAGTCATAGAAACTAATGATGTCAGCATCAACACACCATCACATATATCCTTATCTTGGTTAAATTTTCATATTATTGAAATACTTATGTAATACAAGTTATCTGAATCTGTGTTTCTCGGATACACCAGAAGGTGGTGTCTGATCCCCTTTCTACAAGATGTAGGGAGAACCAGTATTTTTGATCTCAAACCTAATTAACCTATTTTCTCTCTCTTATCTTTACCTAAGTTCTAGTATTCCATAATTTCACCTTTCAGATATATTCTAAAAATGCACCTAGAGTAATTAGGGTGGATGTAATTTTCAGAATTTCTGTATTCCAGGATATTCCAGGAAAGTGAGCGGGAAAGTTAAGATGGGTATAGAAGTACACGCTCAAAAGAAAAAGGGCCAATTTAGAGATGAAAAAAATACCAGTAATGATTAAGAAAATATATGCCTGATTATATTAACTAAAACCTTTGACATTTGAAGTGCTTTTTTTTTTTGTATACTTTTATATTTAAGTGTTATAGAATTTTATAACATCATCATTTGCCCTATTCTTCTTGTTCTAACAAAACTAATTATATATCTTTTCATTTTCATAATAGAATTTTAATTTGACTTCAACATTGCATCTTCAACAGCTTAAAATATTTCTTGTTTGTTTTTATTCAAGATTTACAGCCCAACATAAAACCAATTTGTTGTTTGTTTGTTTGTTTGTATTCAAGGGTTATAGAATTATATAACATCAGCATCTGCGCTATCCTTCTTGTCCATACTATATATCTTTTCATTTTCATAATAAACTTTTAATTTTGCCTTCAACATTGCATCTCCAACAGCCCGAAAATAAGTCCTGATGCCAGCTTACAAAAAACAGGGGGTTAAAAATAACCAACTCTTCCCAACCTATCTCCACTTGTCTTCATCAACGCTGTAATTGTATTTCTTAATCCCTCCAAGCAGAGATAAAGCTATTAAAAGCCAAATTGTTTGTTTGTTTGTTTTTATTCAAGGGTTATAGAATTATATAACATCAGCATCTGCGCTATCCTTCTTGTCCATACTATATATTTTTTCATTTTAATAATAAACTTTTAATTTTGCCTTCAACATTGCATCTCCAACAGCCCGAAAATAAGTCCTGATGCCAGCTTACGAGGAACAGGGGGTTAAAATAACCAAACCTTCCCAACCTATCTCCACTTGTCTTCATCAACGCTGTAATTGTATTTCTTAATCCCTCCAAGCAGAGATAAAGCTTACAATCTCTTGTAAGCCAGTTAAACTGTTTAAGAGAGTCGACATGTCCATCTCTGGAGATATCCGTTTCAGTCCTTTTCTTTCCTCTTCAAGCAAAGGACACTCAACTAAAATGTGATGAACTGTTTCCAGCTCTCCACATTTGCAGTTGTAACTATCCTTTTCAATTCCAAACTTTTTAAACCATGCGCCAAAGTTTCCATGGCCTGTGCGAAACTGAGTAATATTACTCAAGATCCTTCGACTATCTTTCTTCATGATCACTCCCGTAACCATTTTGGAAAGATTATCAGTACATTTCGACTCCACTGTGATATTATGATACCACAGATCCTTACTGCTGTTCCAATACATTTCTTACCATTCTTCCATTGCTTGTTTCTTCAAAATTCCAATCGTCTGATTTTGTTGTTGTTTCAGTGTAAGAGGTTCAACCCTCTTGCATTTTCGTTTTTCATCCTTTTTAATCATATAGTCTCTATCATCTTTCGCCAACATGTAAAGCGTGGTTAGCTTTGCAATTGGAGATTTCTCAATCAATGTTAACAAATGACCATTAATAGGATTAGTTTTGCTAATATTTAGGTGTAAACGAATAGCTTTTCGTGCCACCATAAATTTTAGCCTAATACTATATGGCATAATACCAGCTTCCTTTTGTAGTACCGCAATAGGAGTTGTGCGATAAGCACCAACAATTCTTCTTAAAGCCATATTCTGCATTACTTCCAACTTGTGGATTTCTCCTTTCAAAATTTTGTGATGCCAAATTTCTAAGCCATATTCGACAATTGGTCTCACGCAAGAAATATACAGTGATCTGACTGCAGACCCTCGCATACCTTTTTGCACGCCACCAAGATGCCAAATAGCACCAACAGCTTTTCTTGCTTTATTGATTTTATTCAAAATATGAGATTTAAAATCAAGCAGATTGTTCAAAGTAATTCCAAGCAATTTAACTTCCTTCTGGGGTTCACGAAGTTCTCCATTAGGTAAAGTAAGTTGCACTTTTTCATCTTTAGGTTTCACATTTTTTGTAAAATGAATAAAACCTAATTTATCACCCAAATCAATTTTGGTCATTCTTGATTTAGCCCAATTACAACATTTTTCTAATATGTTGCTTAAGCTTTTGGTATTTTCTTCAATTTTACCTTCAACGGTAATAGTCACATCATCAATAAAGCCAAAAGGAGTTCCACCCCATTCTTTAATGGCATGATACATTGGTGTGGAATATATCAAAAAAGTAGTGGTGAAATAGGTGAGCCTTGCGGAATTCCAGTACTAATTTTTTGCACTGATCCTTTTCTTCGGTCCATGAGCATACTAGCTTCTCTTTCACTTACAAATTGGTACGTCCAGTTTATAAGTGCTTTGGGTAGTTTCATATCCTCCATTGTGTGTGCCAATATATTTCTGTTAACATTATCAAAAGCTCCTTGAATATCAATGAGCATAGCTGAAATTTTTTCTTTACTAGTTTCAATTCTTTGGACAAGTTCCAAAACAGCATCAGTAGCACAATAACCTTGTCTTCCCCCATATTGCTCTGGTGGAAGTAAGTGTGTTGTAAGCTTGGTCATTCTTTTTGTATAATTTTTCCAGTACTTTAGATGGAATCTTAAGTAAGGAAATTGGTCGGTATGCTCTTGGCTTTGAATAGTCAGGTTTCTTAGGTTTAGGTATAACAACAATAATGCCATGTCTCCAGACTTTTGGGTGGTATCCAAACTTTACACAAGCTTGGAGAAGCTTGAAAAACCTTTCCTTAAAGTCTTTATTTAGCCATGCCATCTTTAAAACTTTGCCAGTAATTCCATCGTCTCCTGGAGCTTTATCATTTGGGGTATCAGCCAATGCAGAGTCAACTTCATCAAACTCTAATTTTGGCCATCGAGAATCGTCATCAATTTCAAACTCTCTATCAAGACCATGATCAATTTCAGGTAGAAGTGCCTTCCATATTTCATGTCTTTTTTCGTCAACAGTAGTAGTGAGAGTTCCATCTTCTTTTCTAATTTGTGGTATAATGGTATCATTGCTTTTTGGATTAATATACTTCAAAATCTTCCAAATGTCATTTCCTTCTAAACTAGACAAATATTTATTCCATTGCTCAGTACTTGCCTCACGCAAACTGTGGTCAAAAATTTTTCTAGCTTTTTTCGCCTCTTCAATTTTTTGTCGTTTCAAAGCCAAATTGTTTGTTTGTTTTTATTCAAGGGTTATAGAACTATATAACATCAGCATCTGCGCTATCCTTTTTATTGTCTGACTATGTGACTTGCCGGTTTTCATTTGTACCTTTTTAGTACGGGTGGTTTCTGTTCTGTGCGTCTCCGGTAGCCCGGAAGATGGGCCCTGATGCCAGCTTACGAGGAACAGGGAGAACCAGTCTGTCGGTCCCAAAACCTTCCCAACCCATTTCCACTTATCTTCACGGACGCCCATGTATTTCTTAATCTCTTCCGTCAGAGATACGGCCCGCAATCACCTGCAGGCTATTTAGACTGTACGGAAGAGTCGGCATTCCTGTAACCAGGGTAGCCTATGGTTTTCAGTCTAGGTGTATACTCCCGTACACATCCTCAGGAAAAGGGGGTATTCTGGGAATCGAACCCAGTATCTTCCGCTATCGAGCGAACATGTTATCCTTTACACCATCCAGCCCTTTCCCCTTTTCAAAGCCAAATGTTTGTTTGTTTGTTTTTATTCAAGGGTTATAGAATTATATAACATCAGCATCTGCGCTATCCTTCTTGTCCATACTATATATTTTTTCATTTTGATAATAAACTTTTAATTTTGGCTTCAACATTGCATCTCCAACAGCCCGAAAATAAGTCCTGATGCCAGCTTACGAGGAACAGGGGGTTAAAAATAACCAAACCTTCCCAACCTATCTCCACTTGTCTTCATCAACGCTGTAATTGTATTTCTTAATCCCTCCAAGCAGAGATAAAGCTTACAATCTCTTGTAAGCCAGTTAAACTGTTTAAGAGAGTCGACATGTCCATCTCTGGAGATATCCGTTTCAGTCCTTTTCTTTCCTCTTCAAGCAAAGGACACTCAACTAAAATGTGATGAACTGTTTCCAGCTCTCCACATTTGCAGTTGTAACTATCCTTTTCAATTCCAAACTTTTTAAACCATGCGCCAAAGTTGCCATGGCCTGTGCGAAACTGAGTAATATTACTCAAGATCCTTCGACTATCTTTCTTCATGATCACTCCCGTAACCATTTTAGAAAGATTATCAGTACATTTCGACTCCACTGTGATATTATGATACCACAGATCCTTACTGCTATTCCAATACATTTCCTGCCATTCTTCCATTGCTTGTTTCTTCAAAATTCCAATCGTCTGATTCTGTTGTTGTTTCAGTGTAAGAGGTTCAACCCTCTTGCATTTTCGTTTTTCATCCTTTTTAATCATGTAGTCTCTATCATCTTTCGCCAATATGTAAAGCGTGGTTAGCTTTGCAATTGGAGATTTCTCAATCAATGTTAACAAATGACCATTAATAGGATTAGTTTTGCTAATATTTAGGTGTAAACGAATAGCTTTTCGTGCCACCATAAATTTTAGCCTAATACTATATGGCATAATACCAGCTTCCTTTTGTAGTACCGCAATAGGAGTTGTGCGATAAGCACCAACAATTCTTCTTAAAGCCATGTTCTGCATTACTTCCAACTTGTGGATTTCTCCTTTCAAGATTTTATGATGCCAAATTTCTAAGCCATATTCAACAATTGGTCTCACGCAAGCAATATACAGTGATCTGACTGCAGACCCTCGCATACCTTTTTGCACGCCTCCAAGATGCCAAATAGCACCAACAGCTTTTCTTGCTTTATTGATTTTATTCAAAATATGAGATTTAAAATCAAGCAGATTGTTCAAAGTAATTCCAAGCAATTTAACCTTCTTCTGGGGTTCACGAAGTTCTCCATTAGGTAAAGTAAGTTGCACTTTTTCATCTTTAGGTTTCACATTTTTTGTAAAATGAATAAAACCCAATTTATCACCCAAATCAATTTTGGTCATTCTTGATTTAGCCCAATTACAACATTTTTCTAATATGTTGCTTAAGCTTTTGGTATTTTCTTCAATTTTACCTTCAACGGTAATAGTCACATCATCAATAAAGCCAAAAGGAGTTCCACCCCATTCTTTAATGGCATGATACATTGGTGTGGAATATATCAAAAAAGTAGTGGTGAAATAGGTGAGCCTTGCGGAATTCCAGTACTAATTTTTTGTACTGATCCTTTTTCGGTCCATGAGCATACTAGCTTCTCTTTCACTTACAAATTGGTACGTCCAGTTTATAAGTGCTTTGGGTAGTTTCATATCCTCCATTGTGTCTGCCAATATATTTCTGTTAACATTATCAAAAGCTCCTTGAATATCAATGAGCATAGCTGAAATTTTTTCCTTACTAGTTTCAATTCTTTGGACAAGTTCCAAAACAGCATCAGTAGCACAATAACCTTGTCTTCCCCCATATTGCTCTGGTGGAAGTAAGTGTGTTGTAAGCTTGGTCATTCTTTTTTGTATAATTTTTTCCAGTACTTTAGATGGAATCTTAAGTAAGGAAATTGGTCGGTATGCTCTTGGCTTTGAATAGTCAGGTTTCTTAGGTTTAGGTATAACAACAATAATGCCATGTCTCCAGACTTTTGGGTGGTATCCAAACTTTACACAAGCTTGGAGAAGCTTGAAAAACCTTTCCTTAAAGTCTTTATTTAGCCATGCCATCTTTAAAACTTTGCCAGTAATTCCATCGTCTCCTGGAGCTTTATCATTTGGGGTATCAGCCAATGCAGAGTCAACTTCATCAAACTCTAATTTTGGCCATCGAGAATCGTCATCAATTTCAAACTCTCTATCAAGACCATGATCAATTTCAGGTAGAAGTGCCTTCCATATTTCATGTCTTTTTCGTCAACAGTAGTAGTGAGAGTTCCATCTTCTTTTCTAATTTGTGGTATAATGGTATCATTGCTTTTGGATTAATATACTTCAAAATCTTCCAAATGTCATTTCCTTCTAAACTAGACAAATATTTATTCCATTGCTCAGTACTTGCCTCACGCAAACTGTGGTCAAAAATTTTTCTAGCTTTTTTTCGCCTCTTCAATTTTTGTCGTTTCAAAGCCAAATTGTTTGTTTGTTTTTATTCAAGGGTTATAGAACTATATAACATCAGCATCTGCGCTATCCTTTTTATTGTCTGACTATGTGACTTGCCGGTTTTCATTTGTACCTTTTTAGTACGGGTGGTTTCTGTTCTGTGCGTCTCCGGTAGCCCGGAAGATGGGCCCTGATGCCAGCTTACGAGGAACAGGGAGAACCAGTCTGTCGGTCCCAAAACCTTCCCAACCCATTTCCACTTATCTTCACGGACGCCCATGTATTTCTTAATCTCTTCCGTCAGAGATACGGCCCGCAATCACCTGCAGGCTATTTAGACTGTACGGAAGAGTCGGCATTCCTGTAACCAGGGTAGCCTATGGTTTTCAGTCTAGGTGTATACTCCCGTACACATCCTCAGGAAAAGGGGGTATTCTGGGAATCGAACCCAGTATCTTCCGCTATCGAGCGAACATGTTATCCTTTACACCATCCAGCCCTTTCCCCTTTTCAAAGCCAAATTTAAAAGCACTTATAATTTTGGCTTAGTTGTGGAGGTTTCTTTTGCCATGAGATTTAAGGTTGTCGTTAATTAATGCTTCGTTGGCTCAGTTGGTAGAGCGTCAGTCTCATAATTAAATATTAACAATTGTGTAATCTGAAGGTCGAGAGTTCGATCCTCCCACGGAGCAATTTTTTTTAATTATTTTTACTTATTATAGTTATTATGGCATGTTTGTTTAATTTGTAAAATTGTTGCTAAAGTTGAGTACATATACAATTATCTTTTTGTTATTATTTTCCTGCAGGTTGAACTTGAATTTTATAGTTTTAGTTAATTCCAAACTTAAAATTAAATATTTTGTATTTTGTATTTGGTATTTGGTATTTGGTATTTGGTATTTGGTATTTGGTATTTGGTATTTGGTATTTGGTATTTTTCTCTAGCAGTCCATTACTTACAAGTAACTTATTAAATAATATTCATAAAAATGCCCTTGATTCCATGGTGCCATTAGAGTGGTAATTTGTGCTTTTCACAGTTACTTCTTAAAGTTTTAACATTAATTTTATGGTTTCAATTTCCGAGATATATTAATTCTATATATATAATATATAATTAATTTACGAATCCGTAACATTTGAATGTTTGAAAATGAAATATTTGGCTCATTGTTCTAAGTGAAATACTGATATTAATCATATATACCATATATGGTACTCACCTTTTATGAGATTTAATATCTAAGATATTGTCATGTGACAAGTATCAACTGTTAAATAAAAAAACACAACAGGACTAATGCTAACATTAAAAAATTCCAATATTGGATTTTTTTATTAGGTTGAGAAATTCCCATATAAGGAAGTTAAGTTTTTAAAAAAATAAAGAACTATGGAGGTATAAATTAAAGTCTTTTCCCCCGTCTTTTAGATTTTTATTCCTTTTCCTTTACCATTCACTCTTCACAGATTTTTTAATTTCTACCACTACATATATATTACCATCTACTACTATATTACCATCTACTACTATATTACCTATGCCTTACTGTGATCTACTATGATCTACTATTCACCATATCATACTATATAAATGTGTTCATTAGTACTATCACCTACATTCTTTTACAATAGTTACATTTGACATGTTGCGGTTGTCTTTTGGTAAGTCTACTCAAGCCAATACACCTTAGCTAATTAACCTAACGCTCTACTAGACAATCATCCAATGCACCCAACGTCAACTGTTTACCGTCGTCATTGTTCAGAACCACAGATATTTTATTGAGGAGAAAACCAACATGATTCTACAGTTCTTAACTCTCAAACTTGTAATCAGGTGTTTGTTAAAATAATGAGACATTACAACAACGATTGTCAAATTTGATTACTACCACTACCACTACCACTACCACTACCACTACCACTACCACTACCACTACCACTACCACTACCACTTACAACATTATTATACACTTATACCCACCTATTCTACTTTTTTATTCAATGTTATGATGGTTGGTCGCAGATTAATCAAGGAGTGCCGACCTTGATCCTGCTTATTGACCACCTTTTGTTTATCAAAAGGAACCACGTCCACCATTGATTAAAGTGTGATGCAGCCGGTTGTTGATTTTTTTTTTTTTGTGTTGTGTTGTGGTTTATCGACCCATTATGCTTTCTGTTATTCAATTTTTTGACGGTTGATTGCAGATTAATCAAGGAGCATCGCACTTGAATCTGCCTATTGACTCCTTCTTGGTGATGTTATTTGATTGAGGAATTCACATATGAAGAACTTAAAGTTTAAAAAAATAAAGAACTATGAAGATAAAAATAAAAGATTTCGTCCCATTTTGATTTTGGTCTTTTTTTTTTCTTTCAACATTCACTATCTACAGCCTTTTTTTAACCAATGCCTCTACATATAGTATCATCTACTTCTATCAACTATCAACTATCATCTACTTCTATCAACTATCAACTATCATCTACTTCTATCAACTATCAACTATCAACTATCAACTATCAACTATCAACTATCAACTATCAACTATCAACTATCAACTATCAACTATCAACTATCAACTATCAACTATCAACTATCAACTATCAACTATCAACTATCAACTATCAACTATCAACTATCAACTATCAACTATAGTATATACTATATTCATAAACACTTGCACACTCCTTTACAATTATTCCAACATGATACAGTTGTCTTTTGGTAAGTCTACTTATACCAATACACCCAATACTTGACTATATTATCTAACTCTTTACGAGACAGACATTTGATTCACCAAGTCCCAATAGTGTATCGTCATTCTTTGCCACCATTGATTTTGTTATTGTTGCAGTCGTCTTTTGGTAAGCCTACTTTTGCTGTATACCCAATACTTAGCTCATCAATCTAACTCTTTACTAGAAAATATGCGACTCACTCAACTACAAGGGGATATATTCATTGTTGCAACAAAAGATTCCTTTATAGACTCTACGATAAATATGAATCTATGGCTATTTCTCATACAAGCAAAATTGCCGACCCATCTTGGGTAAACTAAAGGAACTTGTGAACAAGGGTTTTGACATTTCATCATTGGAACTACCACTGCAACTACCACTGCAACTACCACTGCAACTACCACTGCAACTACCACTGCAACTACCACTGCAACTACCATTGCAACTACCCCCACACATACCGCTACCTCACTACCACTTACAACACTACTACATTGACCTATTTTACTTTTTTTATTCAATGTTTTGATGGCTGGTCGCAGATTAATCAAGGAGTGCAGACCTTGACCCTGCTTATTGACCACCTTTTGTTTATCAAGAGGAACCACGTTCATCATTGATTTAAGTATGATGTTTCCTGTTGTTGATTATGATGTAGTGAATCGACCTATTATGCTTTCTGTTATTCAATGTTATGATGGTTGGTCGCAGATTAATCAAGGAGTGCCGACCTTGATCCTGCTTATTGACCACCTTTTGTTTATCAAGAGGAACCACGTCCATCATTGATAAAAGTGTAATACTCCCTGTTGTCGATTCCTTGTGGTTAGTCGAGTTGTTATGTTTCCTATTGGTCAATGTTATGATTATTGGTCGCCAGGGATGCCAACCTTGGTCCTGTTTATTGGCCATCACTTGCTTTTTCATAGGAATGGCATCCCTCATTTATTGCATATCCAATATCCCGAAAGTGAGATCTGATTCCAATTTCTGAAGAACAGGGACTCATAGACCAAACCTTCCAAATTTATCTTCACTTGTCTTCATCAACTCTGTAACTGTATCTCTTAATACCTCCAAGCAGATATAAAGCTTACTATTTTTTGCGAGCCAATTAAACTGTTTAAGAGAGTCGAAAAGTCTATTCCTGGATAGATCTGTTTCAATTCTTTTCTTTATTTTTCGTTCTTGTTCCAGTAAAGGACACTCAACAAAGATTTCCCTAACTGTTTCCAGTTTTCCGAATTTACAGTTATAAATATCCTTTTCAATTCCAAACTTTTGAAACCAATTTTTCTCAGAGCCCTATTCTGCATCACTTTCAATTTGTGGATTTCTCCTTTCAAGATTTTATGATGCCAAATTTCTAAGCCATATTCGACAATTGGTCTCACGCAAGCAATATACAGTGATCTGACTGCAGGCCCTCGCATACCTTTTTGCACGCCACCAAGATGCCAAATAGCATCAACAGCTTTTCTTGCTTTATTGATTTTATTCAAAATATGAGATTTAAAATCAAGCAGATTGTTCAAAGTAATTCCAAGCAATTTAACTTCCTTCTGGGGTTAACGAAGTTTTCCATTAGGTAAAATAAGTTGCACTTTTTCATCTTTAGGTTTTACATTTTTTGTAAAATAAATAAAACCCAATTTATCATCCAAATCAATTTTGGTCATTCTTGATTTAGCCCAATTACAACATTTTCTAATATGTTGCTCAAGCTTTTGGTATTTGCTTAGAAACCTTATTTTTTTTTTTTGTTTTTTGCTGTTTATTTTTATTTTTATTTTTTTTCAAATGTTATAAAATTATATGACATCAGCATTTGCACTATCCTTTTATCGTCTGGCTAGGTGTCTTGTCTATTAATTAGTGCCTTCTTGTTGCAACGGGCAGTTTCTTTCTGTACGTCTTTGGTAACCCGGAAGATGGGCTTGATACCAGCTCAAGAGGAACAGGGGAAACCAGTCAGTCGGCCTCAAATTTCCCAAACCCATTTTTACTCATCTTCACAAACGCCTGTTTATTTTTTGATCTCCTCCGTCAAAGACACGGCCTGCAATCACTAGCAGGCTAATTACACTGAACGGAAGAGTCGGCCATTCTGTGACCAGAATAGCCTATGGTTCCAGTCGAGGTGCCTACTTCCATACCATTCTTCAGGAAAAATGGGATATTCCGAAAATTAAATCCAGTATTTTTCGTGGTTAAACGAATGTGCCCACTTGTTATACTAATCAGCCCTTGCCCTTGTAAACACCTTAAATATACTGTTTACGAAAGGTTTTTTTTAACTGTACTTCATTATATTTTTGGGACACCTTAAGAGTTTAGTAAAATTATTGGCATAAATATGCCAAAAAGCACAACATTGTTTGTTTTTATTCAAGGGTTATAGAATTATATAACATCAGCATCTGCGCTATCCTTCAAAAGCACAACATTGTTTGTTTGTTTGTTTTTATTCAAGGGTTATAGAACTATATAACATCAGCATCTGCGCTATCCTTTTTATTGTCTGACTATGTGACTTGCCGGTTTTCATTTGTACCTTTTTAGTACGGGTGGTTTCTGTTCTGTGCGTCTCCGGTAGCCCGGAAGATGGGCCCTGATGCCAGCTTACGAGGAACAGGGAGAACCAGTCTGTCGGTCCCAAAACCTTCCCAACCCATTTCCACTTATCTTTACGGACGCCAATGTATTTCTTAATCTCTTCCGTCAGAGATACGGCCCGCAATCACCTGCAGGCTATTTAGACTGTACGGAAGAGTCGGCATTCCTGTAACCAGGGTAGCCTATGGTTTTCAGTCTAGGTGTATACTCCCGTACACATCCTCAGGAAAAGGGGGTATTCTGGGAATCGAACCCAGTATCTTCCGCTATCGAGCGAACGTGTTACCCTTTACACCATCCAGCCCTTTCCCCAAAAGCACAACATTCTACAAAAAAAATATTTAAAAAAAGGTTCAGGTTCTATATATTGCAATAAATTAACTACACTATAACGAGCTTACAAGCCTTGATGGCCAAGTTGGTAAGGCGCGTCACTAGTAATGACGAGATCGTCGGTTCGAATCCGGCTCGAGGCATTATTTTTTCATGTTATAAACATAAAAGGATGTGTTTTATATTTTGTCGTGACATATTTTGATAGATAAAAGGTTAGAAAAAAAATTTTTAGCTTAATTTCTTAATTATTTTCTCAAAATAAATTCTGTTTTTTGGAAGTTTTTACATTGTTATTGGTGTAAATTCGTCAATATTCAATAGTTAGTGCTCAATTGCATACGTATGCAGGGTATATTATATACTCTTGTTTTTTTGGTAGCATAAGATGTTGTCTATAATTTTTTCGCTTTCACTATAATAATTTCGTTTCTTAACATCTTGATGTTGACAGATCTACCACCGCCAAATTTGATAAATATGTCTTCTTCACACAATGACAGGAAACATTTTATTGTTGGGCCACTTCAGCAAAGCCTACAAATTTTGATGTTGCAAAATATCAAGAATCTTCAAAAAAGAAGAAATATATGAAAAAGCTCATTACACTACAACCGCCACCATAATTAATCTCAGAATGCAATAGCAATGCTTAATGGAAAATACCATCACCACCAAATAACAATGACAAAAGTTGCTAAACTGTAAACTGATTTAAAAAAAGATAAAAACCGGGGTTTATGATGAACTTGCGGGTCCTATTTTCTAAAATTTGATTGCTGATTATCATCAACATGCAGACAAATATGCACTGGCAGTGACGAGTAAATTTTCTTATTTTGTTTATGTTCTGTCATCCAGAAAAGATGGTCTTTGTGAGTACATTGGGAAGCTAGAGAAACTGTTTGAGTTAATTAGGCTGATTTAGATGATGAAGTTTAGTGTTTCGCCAATTGTAGAGCTGAGTATGGAAACAGCGATTGAGACTTCAACTTGCCTTTACAAAAGTGTGCTTACTTTAGATAAAATTTAAATGAATATATGCAAAAGAACCAGATCCAGGTTTATCGTGGAGCGAAGTTTTTGTCTGCTGCTACCGTGCACATGATTAATATTAGGGATATATTTTTATGAAAGATTAAAGAATAGATGAATGCTAATAATTTAAAAAAAATATAAATAAAACAAATGTTTCGGCTGGCTGTGGTAAATGAACACTATCGAAAAAGTCATTTCACATGTTTCTAGTAAATTTAAATCCATCAACAAAACAAATTGGAATACACCATTTGAAAAATAATACTGGAGTTTATAACACCCAGTTGATCATTTTTTTTTTTTTTTTTTTGTGGCAGAACAGCATTCGGGAGATCAAGCTCTATCTCAAGGGAGTTATATACCAATCACTCTTTAAGGGCCCAAAACTTTCGACAACAACACAGTGAGCGCAAGAATCCGGAAAAAAAGATATCAAAAAAAAAAAAACTGAACAATTTGGTTTCCCATTGTAGAAATGAGAAAGCGAATTTCTTGGAAACATGGTAAGTTTTCAGTGATGTTGACTATGAACTCATCAGAGCATTACAGAGTTGACAAAGTTTCTCAGTTTGGGGGTTGCTAATGTGCGGGGAGTCCAGTATAAATACGTTTTTCAAATTTTTTTTTTTTCAGGAGAAAAAAATGATAATTAATCATCATGATCTTGAAGAATGAATGAAACACATGAAAGACTCAGTGAGTTTATTGATTCATGGTGACGGTGAGGAAAGTGTCAAAAGTGATGATGGATAGACGAGTAGCCATATTCATTGGAAATTGTGGAAACGGTATGGCTGCGAAGAAGGAATATGAGGAAAAGAAAAATTAAATAGCCATCGTTTACTTGACTCTCATGAGAGGTTAATTGAAGATGAGTTAGGGTCGCAATAAAATCCTGTACAGACAGACATTGTAGGACATGATTTTGGGACTTGCTTAAGTTTTTTTTATTTTTTTTAATTTTTTTTTCTAACAATGTTTTATATAATTAATAATGCCAATTTTTATTAAAACTTTTATTTATTCCTGAGACTGTTGGTTTTGCTTAATAGTAAAGGCAGGGCCTGGACCTTTATGCTCATAAAGTCCATGCTTTGCCCATTCAAGCAATTTCTCAACCACAATGCCCTCAGCCTTGAGGGTTCTAAAGTCGTCTGCACCGCCGCGCGAAGTGCCAAACACATGAATATTAGGAACTGTTCTGCGGCCCGTGACATCGCCAATATGCTGCTGGAGCTCCGAGCCGTTAGGATGCAGGTCAAGCTCAACAACAATGGGTTCTGGGGTGATTGAGTATTCATGGAGCAGTAATTGTTTGGCAAACTTGGAATGTGGGCAGTAACTTTTAGAGAAAATGACGAGAGGTGCGTCACGAATAGTTTTGGCGTACTCTGCGGCTGCATCATAAGCCGGAGCTTGATCAGCAGCAGGTTCAGATTCTTGATTTTCTTGGGGGGTTTCCTTGACAGCTGGTGCGGTCTCTGGGACTTTTTCAGCCACTGGAGCCACTTTTTCAACTTGTTCCGTAGCAACACCAGCATCAGCAACTTTTAGTTCTGTATCTGGTTGCAGACGGACGTTATCTTGGGCAGCTTTGAAAGCTCCTGCAATTTCTGGAGACACCTTATCTGCGGGTTTGTGAGGAGAAGGTCCGGGACCTGCTGATTGTGGGGGGCTACGGGAGGCGGTTGAGAAGATGAAGAAGAAGATGGTTGCGACGATGGCTGCGACTATCAAGAGTCGGGATCTGCGAGACGAGACCATTGCTGTGATGGTTAGTAATGTTATGATTAAAGGAAGGTTGTTTTTTTTGCTAGTGCTGGGTTGGAATGGGGGTAGATCCTTTTTTATAGATAGCAGAGGTTGATAAGTTATTTATAAATTAGGAGAAGAAAAAAAAAAAAAAAGATGAAATGTGTCAAGAAAAAAGTTTCTAAAGGAGGTTTTGTTGAGAAATTTTATTAGTAAGAAAAAACGACATGTGGATAAATTCCAAACCACCACTAAAAAACTTTATCAGTTAGAAGAAGAAGAAGAAGAAGAAGAAAAAAAAAAAGAACTTTTTTGATAAATCAAATATTCCAAATAAGACTTAAAAATTCCCTTCTTAGTTGGAGAGCTAGTATGTCTTTGATAAACTGTTAATACCCTTTCAAGGAATTGCGTCTCAGACTTGCCTTTAACCTTCTTCAAAGAAGAACCTGGCCTAGGTTTACTCCGCATGTTGATTGTCTGATATTTTTCTATACTTGAAAGACTCCAAAGTATACCCAACAGAACGATCGAAGATGTCAACTCAGCTGTGCAGAATTTGAGTGAGTCCGAGCAGAAGAGAACCTAAAGAACCCGCACAGTATCAAACCCAAAATAATAAAAAAAATAATGGATTCAGTTAAGGGGATTCTTATTCACTTACTGGTCAACCATTCTTTAAACTCAAAGCACAATCTTGTCCCATCGACATGTTTCTTTTTGGATTTCTTGGGAGATCTTTTCAAGAAATGAATAAAAAAAGACAATGCAATTGCTATATTTCATGCGAGGTTCTTCATCCAGAAGTATCTGTTGGTCATCATAGACTTTTTTTTGTTTTGTTTTTTTAAACGTCATTGTTGTAAACTTACCAATTCTCTCTCTTTTTTTTTTTTTTTTTTTTGTTTTGTTTCTTTACAATGAATCAGTCCCTTTAGACCGCCCACTGCCAACCTCCATTTTTGCAGATCTTGAGCCAAATTGTACTGCTCTCTTTTTTTCTTCTGCACATGTCGCCATCGCTTCTCCAATGTGTCTCGCAACCCGTCGTAGCACGACTTTGGTCTCCGGTTCTTTGGCCTCACGTACTCCAACTTTCAAATCCAAAGGACACTTGGAGGTTGCCCATTGTACCACGGCCTCATCCAGAAACACGTAACGTACTTCGCGCGCCCATGCACTGCACACGCGGTCATCGCGGCCCAGGTTACGTGAATCAAGGCGACTAAAATCCATTTGTAATTCTAAAGCTAGTTGTTTATATTTTTCTTCCTTGTCCTTTTCTGTACTGCCTCCTTCTTCGAGTACTCGCGCATGGCGCATGTACCCACCAAACAGCTCGTCTGCACCTAGTCCGGAAAAAAGAACACTGGCTGAGGTCGTATACTCAGGAATAGGTGCAGATGTCGGCGTGGAGTAGAGAATACCATGGCCACGGGCTGCAAAGTAAAAGGCAATGGCAATGGAAAGATCCATGGCAGTTGATTGCGGGTACATGAGCCGCTGAACGCGAGCGCGGTGGGCTAGGGTTGCCGTATAGGGGACGTTAATTTCGACAAGCCGCAGCGTGGGATATTTTGTAGTCAAGGCTTCCCAGGACTTTCTTGCAAGCAGACGGTCTGGTGTGTCGTAGATGTCGAATATTTCATCTTTTTCTTCATTGATTTGAATATCCTCTTGAGTATCATCTTGATTGTTGATTTTGTTCTTCGTAGTATTCTTATTCTTATTCTTTTGTTTCTGTTTTTTCTTCTTCTCTTTGGACTTTTGGGCCTCACAATGAGCCGCAGCCACACGCGGGTTCTCAAATGCCACATTAAGCAGATCAATTGGCTCGGTCGCGTGCGTTTCCGCCACAATTCGGGCCACATACTGTGCCACTAGAGAGCAGTCGAGGCCGCCGGAAAACAAAATGGCGACTCGAGGGCGTTGTGCTGGTAGGGGAGCCAATTGGGAATTAACATTGGATGGAGTTGAATTGCTGATTGGGGTGTCACAAGCAGAGTAACTGGGAACAGTAGAATCCAAATCTTCAAGACAAGTAGGAGGCACCCTGTGAACAATATAGGGGATATCAGATACCCTACGTCTTGTTGCTTGTTCCAAAAGCTCATCAAGTTCTAGGGTCAGATGAATAGCTTCTTGTTCTTTGGTTGAATCTTGTGATGGCAGCAGTAAGGTTTGGTTGACACGGGTATATGGGTACACAAGGGTATTATTTTGTAAAGATTCTTGTTGGTCATTTTCTTGTTCAATGTTTTTGGAGTATTTCCACTCATAACTAGACAAAGAATGAGAATCAACGTCCATGCAAAACAAATATCCTGCAGGAACTTCTTGGACTTCAATAGTATCTTCATCAATTCCTAATTCTTCTTCATTTCCAGCAATACTAACAGCTGCCACGCTACACAGAATTACCCCCGAATCAGTCAACTTTTCTTCTTGTTCTTGTTCTTGTTCTTCTTTATTCTCGTTGTTCTTGTTCTTCTTTTCTTGAATCTTCACCAAAGATCTTCTCCCAATCGGGTCCCGTGCAAACCAACATTCACCATGCTCACAGTCTGTAACCACAAATGCATACTCTCCTCTCAATTGTTGTACCAGATCACACATTCTTTGGGCTCTTGCCCTTTTACCGTTGTTGGCATCCTTTTGTAATAAAGCTTTGGCTATTGCTGAGGCAAAGTATACGGTATCATTCCCGGAGATGTCATTATTATACAATTCACCATTAAATTGGACCACTAATTGTTGTTGTTGTTGTTGTTGTTGTATTTGTTGCAGTGAGTTTTTTTGAATCACTATTGGTTGTGGAGTGAGAGGCGGTCGTAGGGACAAGACTGAAGAAAACACGCGAAGAGTAGATTCTTGTCCACATGCAAACTCGGCATCTTTGGTAAGCAAGTAGTTTATGGGTTCATTTGTAGAAAAAGAGTTTGAGACATCAATGGGGGATGAAAGAGAGTCAGGTCCTCTTGCTGCTGTTTCTTTTCGTAGCAGTGGGTACACGTTATTAAGTGGACAAGTAGTAGTAGTAGTAGTAGTAGTAGTAGTAGTAGTAGTAGTAGAAGTTGTAGTAGTAACAGTAGTAGCAGTGGGCCGAGGTGAGTTGGAAGAATGATTTTTAGAGACTACTACAGGTCTTAGAAAGGCAAGGATTCCGCACATGTGAAGATGTGAAGAAAGAAAGAAAAAAAAAAAAAAAAAAAAAAAAGAAAGAAAGAAATCACCCGAGTAAGTTGTATGTTGGGCGTGATTTTAATTTGGATTCTCTCTTTGTTTACTATTTTTCCTTTCTCGTTAATGAAGATGACAAAAAAAAAAAAATAAGAACTCAAAGAGAATTTAAGAATAAAAACTTGAAAAAAATTCCTTTTTATATTTATTTTTTATTTTTTATTTTTTACTAACAAAGAATTACTTTATAGACTTTTCATTTGACCTGAATTGAACTTTGATTTGGTGAAGATCGGCTGTAATGATGTTTAAGTTGAATTTTTTTTTTATGTCTACCCCTCTACACTCCCTTTAAAAAAAAATTTAAATGTATAAAAAAGGGTTAGGGTTTATAATTTTATTTTTTTTTATTTTTTTTTATTTTTTTTTATTTTTTTTATTTTTTATTTTTTATTTTTTTTCTCATTAACTTTCAACCCCGCAAATAATTTCTCAAAATTAAAAAAAAAAAAAAATTAAAAAAAAAATTTAAAAAATGCGGTTTTTTTTTTCTTTTAAATATTTAAAAAAATTTTCTCTTTTTTTTTTTTTTTTTTTTTTTTTAATATTAATAAATTTATTAATATAAATTTGGTCTAGTGAAAATAGTTCCATAATTGTATAATTATTCATCTGTTCAATGAGCATAAAATTATAAAGTATCGTCATTTTAATAAACAATTTATTTTTTTATTTTATTTCAAAATTTTTTTTTTTTTTTTTTCAATATTTCAATTTATTTCCAATCTAAGAATTACCTCTTTCTTAAAATTTATCCTTATGGTACAGATAATAATAATAATAATAAAAAAAAAAAAGAAATACTTGCTTAAAGCTTCCACACTTAAATGTATACGAAAATGGCTTAGACTTTTTTATTCACAAAACTTTTTTTTTTATCCCTCTCTCTCATTCTATTTTCTCTAAATAACAAAAAAAATAGCATATAAATTTCTATATTTGTATTAGTATATTCGTATTATATAAAGAATAAGCCATAAAAAGCTTTAGTTGTACTGCATATATATTACTACAAATTCCCAAAAAGAAATCAAAAAAAAAGAAAAAAAAAAGGCAGAGAAGAGAAAGAAAAAAAAAAAAAAAAACACCGCAAAGCGGCAAAACCGTATATACAATCATTGGTGGCTCGGGTTATTTTGCTGTTGGGGTGGTGTCGTGTGAACAGAATATTGCTGTTGACTAGAATGTCTAGAAAGGGGGAGTTGATGATGATGCTGTACAAATTGCTGCTGCTGCTGCTGCTGCTGCAACTGATGCGATTGAGTATTATTTGCTTGTGAAGAATAATACCCGGGCACCGGCCCTTGTTGCTGTGATGGTGGTGGTGGAGGTAACGGGGCCCTAAAAAACACACCAGGTTGAAGAGTCCCAGACCCTACACCACCACTACCACCAGCAGAACCCAGTCCTGGACTTGGTCCGATCGGAGACAGACGGTCCAAGCTATCTACCGGAGATGTAGACACCGAATGGATCATCATTGTCTGTTGTTGTTGTTGCTGTTGTTGTTGCTGTTGCTGTTGCTGTTGCTGTTGCTGTTGCTGTTGCTGTTGCTGTTGCTGTTGCTGTTGTAGTGGTGGTGGTGGGAGTCCTTGCTGGTGGTGTTGATGAGCCGATAATGATTGAGTCATCAAGTTTCCAATATTGCTTGGTGTGACTGTCGTACTACCATTACTTCCGCTAGTCCCACCACCACCCATCATAACATCATGATTTTGCGGCGTCGATCCACGGCTGCTGTTATTGCTCGTAGTACTGGTACTACTGCAACTTCTGCTACTGCCACCACTACCCCCAGGACTTGCTCCTAAAAATCCACCAGTTCCACCTGCTAGAATAGCAGCTTGGGCAGCTTGGGCTGCATGTGCAGCAGCTGCTTGAGCGGCCGCAGTCACTGCAACTCTACCCATATTTCCGCTAGCTCCTTGAACTGCCGTTGCTTGTGTTGTTGGGGTTGTACCAAGCCCAGGCAAATGTTGTTGAGTATACAGCACATTATCATACATTGGTGTTTGACCATGACCTGATACTCCAGATCCAATTGCTCCAGCTCCTCCTCCAGGAGTGGTATTGTAACATGACACATAATCAAAATGGCCTTGATGCTGCGTCGTAACTGTAACCAATGGAAGTACACCGCAGGTAGGTGGTGGATGTTGTTGCGACCGACTCTTATAGTCTGTAATTGAATAGTAGTATAACGGCAATGTGCTTGTAGGTCCGTTCGTAATCCCGGGACTGAGACCTGGTGGGGGCATTGCTTGAGAAGCGGCGGCGGCAGCAGCAGCAACAGCAGCAGCGGAAGCTGTGGCGACTGTCTGAGCTGCACTGCCAGTGTTTTGGCCATTGGTGGGTGGCGGTGGTGGCAGCAACCACGACGAAGGTGAAACTCCTATCGGGCCAAGGGCTGGAGCTGGTGGACTCCCTCCGCTGCCTTGTAGACCTCCTCCTAATCCTCCTGAAGATGGTGGTCCACCCAAACCTCCTGTTGTTGTTGCTCCTCCTACTCCTACTCCTACTCCACCTCCACCACCACCTCCTCCAAGGCTCATACCCATCCCCAATCCCAGCCCAAGGCCAGTAGTGCTGCCATTATTACCTATAGCGACAGTAGTAGTTCCTCCTCCATTTCCTAGAGAACTTGGAGTCACTGGGGCATGGCTATGAGCTAGAGCGCTACTATTTTGTGGGGCATAAGCTGGTTTTGTAAGATTATAAGCGTAACCCCCATTGGGGATCGGAGGGGGTAATACAGAAGGTGGCTGCTGTTGAGGTCCCGCAGGACTGCGAGATAAAAATGTACCATTTGAATTTGTTGGAATTAATAATGTGCGCACTGGGAAAACTGGAGCATATGGAGACGAAGAAAGTCTAGTTGCTGTAATGAGTTTCCCATAAGAGGCTGAAGGAGTTGTTGCACCAGATCCCGATTGAATTGCTTGTTGTTGATCAATTGTAGATGAAAGACCTAGAGTAGTGGTAGAAGTTGGGGTCGAAGTAGAAGAATTTGATGAAGATAATGCTAGAGAAGAAGATGAAGTAGAGGGTAGTGTTGAAGATGCAGAAATAGTCGTTTTAGGCACGAGCGAGCCGGATGCAAGGTTATTGTTTGTAGAAGATAAAGAGGAGGTATTTGGAATGAGATGCTGGGTATTTGAATATGTAACTTGAGGGCCAGAGTTTGGTAATGCTGGAAGAGTATATTGAGTTGGAGCTAATGGTAGTGAAGGTTGTTGCTGGATGTTTTGGGAAATGTAAGAAGACGAAGACGAAGACGAAGACGAAGAGGAAGATGTAGAAGTAGAAGAAAGTAATGGTAATGAAGAAGTTGTTAATAAGGTAGATGATGAAGGTAATGATAATGGTAAAGGTAAAGGTAAAGGTAAAGGTAATGATGAAGAAGTTGATGAGTGGTGAGGAATGTTAAAATTTGGAGGACCTGGAAGTGACAATGGTTGGTGAAGATTAGCTTGAGGACCCAATGGAAGTGGAGGAAGGGATGGTGGAGGAGTTGAAAGGACTATGCGTTTGGAAGGAGGTTGTTGGCTATTGTTGTTATTGTTGTTGTTATTGTTGTTGTTATTGTTGTTGTTATTGTTGTTGTTATTGTTGTTGTTGTTGCCATTAAGGAATTGTTGTGGGTCAGAATCTGCGGGTCTCTTAGTCCGTGGGGTTGTTGCTATAGATGATGGGGTAGGCTGAAGCGTTTGATGATGATGGTGATAAAGATGAGAAGGTGGAGGAGGTGGAGGGGGTGGAGGAGGCTGGATTTGAACTCTTGGAGGGTTTCTTGGAGATACTGAATAGGTGGATGGGGTAATGGTGCCGCTGCCATTAATGCTACTACCAGTTACCAAGGGAGCAATGGAAGAAGGTGATCCAAGAGAACCTGAGCCTACACATGAGTCAGGGGAGCAATAGGAAAGATGTAAGTTAAGCCAGATTCTAAGAGAGGCCTGCCAGCGATCCCATTCGTCTGCAGAAACTACCAATGAGTACCTCATATTTGCTAAAAACTCCACCTCCATTGCCGAGATTTCTTTCAAGGGGAGGTGTGTGACCTCAGCCCAAGTTTTGTTTGTATAAGTATTATCATCTAAAAACTTATTGGCCAGCATGAGAGCAACTGAAAAGACTCGATATTCAGAGTTGGGATTGCCAACAATGGGTCTTAGCGAGTGGCGCTTGAGCCGTAGAATATAGTACAGTGCTAGAGAGACTGCAGTCACGGGTAGTTGTGTATGTCGAATCACATTATGGATGAATTGCCTGAATGCAGGCGTTGGTAAGGTCCATTTAGAGAAGACAAGAGATGAAAGAGAGGCAGCAGCAGCAGCTGGTGTTTTAGGCGATGTTCCTAGGGTTGGAGAAGAAGCTGCGGAAGAAGCTGGAGTTGTATAGTTGCTATGAGGAGGGGATGAAGTTGGGGCCGTAGCATAAGTAGAAGAAGAAGATCCTGGTGGTCGAGTGTGACGATCGACTATTTTAGCATCATGGAAAGCTCTTGCCAGTAATGGGTAATCATTATACCAAAAGAGACAGACAAGATTAGCTACGTTTGAAAAGTATGTTGAACTTGGAGCTTGTCTTTTTCTAGCAGTGTTGTTGCTGTTGCTGTTGCTATTGCTGTTGCTATTGCTGTTGCTGTTGCTATTGTTGTTATGATTATTGTTGTTATTGTTACTGTTGTTATTATTATTTACATTGTCTGATGATGTGGACGATGTTTGATTTGGGTACTGAGAACTTGAACTATAATGATGGTGGCCTGTTTGATTCATTGAAGAAGAAGTATTAGTACTAATAGTAGATGCAGTTTCTGAAGATGTTAAAGATGCAGTTGATATTGTAGGCATTGGGATTGATGTAGTTGTTGATGTAGTTGATGTAGTTGATGTTGTTGACGATGCAATGTTTGAAGAAGAACCATTGTACTGGAAATGCGGGGGTCCTTGATTTTGTTGTTGTTGTTGTTGCTGATAGTAATGCTGATGTTGATGCTGATGTTGATATTGATATTGATGCTGATGCTGATGCTGATGCTGATGCTGATGCTGGTTCTGATGCTGAGGTGGCGGCTGTAGATATTTTGGGGCGGTTGATGTTGCTGCCGCTGGCATTTTTTTTTTTTTTTTTTTTTTTTTCAAAATTGTTTGTTGGGAATAATGATGATAGTAATGGTGAATATATAAAATAAAATAGAATATAATTTTAAAAAAAAAAAAATAATAATAATAATAATATTAAGGTGTACAAGTAAAGTATAGGATTAAAGTGTGCGTATTTGGAAATCTGGGCTTTTTTTTTTTTTTTTTTTTTTTTTTTTTTTTTTATTTTGGTTATTATAATAATAATTATTAGTATATTATTATTATTATTATTTATTACACTGTTGAAAATACGTGGGAGGGAAATGGGAAATGTCCCTAACAAAATGGCCGATTTCTTATAAATCTGCCAGAAAATTTGATTTTTATCTCCTCCTCGTCCTAATTCGATCATAAAAAATTACCATCTTGGGAATTCTTTGATAATCATCAACACAAACATTACTAAGATTGATCCTATTCTTACTAAAATCTAACACAATCCTGACTAATTTATCACGTGAAACTTTTCCATTTTCCTACCCATTTATTTTCAAGTGTGTTATTTATCAATATATTAAGAAAAAAAAAAAAAAAAAAGGGGGAGTGAAAATGACCAAAAACCTCCCCCCCAAAAAAACTCTCAAAAACCTCCCTCTCCAAGGAAATTGAAAAAAAAAAAAAAAAAAAAAATTGAAAGAGAGAAGTGCAAAATAAAGATACAAACTGACGTGTAACATATTAAAATAAGAAGTGTGATTGTAATGTCATTATTAAAAGATGTAACAACCAATATTTTTATAAAAATATAATATACTTTGTTTAATAGAAGTTATTTATTAAACTATAAATAAATTAAAAAAAATTAAACTTTGATAATCATAATAATTATTATTATTATTATTATTATTATTATTATTATTATTATTATTATTATAATAATATTCACCCCTCCCCCCTTTCTTCTTTCCTTTTTCTATTATCATATATATATATATATATATATATATATTCATTTCATTTTAAATCTTTTTAATTTATAATAATTATTAATAAAAAAAAAGCCAACTTTTTCTGTACAGGTTGAAGCTTTAACAGGAGGTGGAGGTCTTAAAAATTCTTTATTTTCCTTATAGTTGCACTTATTGTTTGCTGCCTTTGTGTGCTGCTTTTGTGTGTGTGTGTGTGTGTGTGTAATAATTAAACACATACAGCAAAAAAAAAAAAATATTTCAAAAAAATTCAAAACATCTAAACCATCTAAACCATCTAAACAACACTTTGCTAAACTTTTGTTTTATCTCCCCCTCCCACGCTCTCTCTCTCTCACCACACCAACAAAACCAACAACAAATGCTTTACCAACTGGCATCTTTTCTACTCTTTACAATTGCAGTCCTCGCAACAGCCCACCATCTTGCGTTACTCCCGCCACGCCTTCTTCGAGCACTTGCTGCAAGATCTCGCAACAAATCTTACCATAGTAGTAGTAGTACCAGCAATAATAATAATAATAATAATAATAACAACACTTTATCATCAACACAACCACAACCACAACCACAACTACCACCAACAACAACTATAAAAACAACCTCATCTTCACCGAATTCACACAACTACCAATCACCAATAGACACTGAATTAGGACCTCCTCTTGATCTTGATGACATTGAAAATGACGCCAATAATGGAACTTCTTCTACTACTTCAGGTTCATTCTTAAGTGCATCTTCAGTCCTTCATCGAAACCATCGTAAACCTTCTTCATTCCCTCTTATTCACAAATCCTTTCTCTCAGAATCAACTGCAATTTATAGATTTGCTCTTCCAAGTCCTACAGACACTTTGGGATTAACTCCAGGACAACATATTACAGTTCTGGCACCTATCCATGGGAAAATCCTAAGTCGCAGTTATACGCCTGTAACTTTAGATTCGGACTTTTATACAAGCAGCAACAGCAGCAATAGCAGCAGTAGTAGTAGTATTAGTAGTAAAAAAAGCAATAACAACAATCAGTACAATAACTATAATTCTAACACTAATACTACAACTACAACTACAACTACAAACAACTATACAAATACAAGAGGCTACTTTGACTTGCTGGTCAAGTCTTATCCTTTTGGAAATGTCTCGAAACATATTGCTTCTCTCCCCCTAGGAGCATGCATCCAAGTCTTAGGACCATCATCATCTACTGGGTCTTTTGTCTATTCTCCTCTCATGGCCAGACATCTCAACATTATTGCTTCAGGCACAGGTATCATTCCAATTTATCAGCTACTTCTTTACATTTTTTTTTCAAATTCTACAAACAATTTCCATCATCCACATCATTATTCTCATCATACTAATACTACAACTACTACTACTAATAATAATAGTACTAATACCAATGACAATAACAATAACAATCACCCATCTATATCCTTAATTTACATGAATGAAAATGAAAGAGATGTTCTTCTTAAACATCAATTGGACTCTCTGCCAATCCAAACAACCTATATTTATACCTCTTCTCAACCTGACTCTCAAGGTTTAGATTCTCCAGTTGTTCTCTCAAGAGAAATCTTAACAAAACATACACAACTTCCTGATAAAAACAATCACCAATCAGTTAGACTATTACTTTCAGGCCCTCCACCAATGGTTTCAGCTATGCGCAAAGTTGCTGTAGATGCTGGCTATTCACCTGCACGAAAAGGACTTTCTCGTCCAGATGATCAAATCTTTGTTTTTCAGTAATAATAATGTATATTTATTTATATATAATAACTGTAACCTTTTTTTTTTCTGTATATCAAAATTTATAACTCTTTTTGATTTTTATTTTTATTTTTATTTTTATTTTTTTTTGTTTTCTCCCTTTTATACATCCCCAACACCAACAAACGAAGGAGTGTTTCGCCCAACTGGTCGATTTAACAATGTTTGATGTAACACATTTAATGCCTTGATTGCATCCTTTTGATCAATCACAGTTGAAATATTGATTTCACTTGCACCTTGGGAAATCATTTCAATATTGATGCCAGCCCGACCCAGCGTTTCAAACATTTGACCTGCAATACCAATGCTTGATTTCATATTCTTGCCCACAAGCGAAACAATGCATAATTTACGTGTGACGTCAACTGTACCATATTTACGCAATTCATTCAATGCCTGCTTCAACCGCTTTTCAGGCAAGTTTGAATGTAAGGCCATTGACACACGGACCTCTGAAGTTGAAATCAAATCAACAACAAGCTTCCATTGGTCCAGAATGGAGAAAACATGAGCCAAAAAGCCATGAGATCGGTCCTTGTGATTTGAATGAATGTTAAGAACAAGTATATTGTTCTTGGTAGTAACAGCTGTAGGGCCCTTATGAAGTTGTTGCACATTGAAAAAACTCGATGGCACCCGTTCAAGAGCCTTTGGGGGATGAGGAGGTGTGGCATGTCCTGGGGTTCCTGTGAAATTATCAGGGTAAATCACTGTACCACTGCCTGTAGGATTTATGACATTCTTAATACGAATAGGGATTCTTGCATTAATAACTTGCTCCATGGTAAAGGGATGAATTACTTCAGATCCATAGTATGTCAACTCAGCAGCCTCCTCAGGAGTAATAATGCTAAGCAACCGAGCAGTTGGGACCTTGCGAGGATCTGCTGTGAAAATACCATCAACCTCTTTCCAAATCTGTAACTCCTCAGCCTTGAGCGCAACTGCAGCCAGAGCTGCGCAAAAATCTGTATATCCACGACCAACTCCATTGATAAGTCCTCCAGGAACCACGCCGAAATAGCCAGTAATTACAGGGATCTCGCCCTTTTTGCACTTGCGTTCAATTTCATGCTTGATGTGAGCCTTAACATAATCATAAAATTCAGCATCCAAAGTGTTGTTCTTGTTTGCTGGATTTGGGCTCTTATAAGTTGATGGCACAATGTGTGATAGATCAATGTACTGTGCTTTTAGTCCACGATCATTGATCAATGCAGCCATGTACAAACACGCCAGTTTTTCTCCGGCCGAAATGATGGAATCCAAAGTGCGGGGGGAAATCTCATCAAGAACTCGTACTGCAGACATGATGCCGATAATCAAATCACACTCCTTATTAATGTCTCGTTCCAGAGTCTTGCGTAATTCTGGAGACTTGATGTGTAACCGTGCAACTTCCAAATGAGATTCGCGAATTGCTTCAATTTTGTTTGTGCACTGACGTTCGGCTTCCTTTGCAACAGCCTCAAGTTCTGCAGTGTCCAGAACATCGTCTGGGTGCACTGAACCGTCATGTAAAGAGGTTTCATCTGACGACGCATTTCCGCGGACAGAAGTGATGGCGTAATCAGCAGCTTGCAGCAGCCGAGTGGTTGTACCCTCTTCCTTAGTATTGGTGGATCGAGCAGAGCATACCACAGCGACCCGGTATCCATCATGAGAGTAGGCCTTGACAATTTTTTCAGCAATATCTTCTGGGAACTTCCCGACTGAAGTACCGCCAAACTTCTGGACAACCCATGGAGTAGTCACTGAAAGAGAGGTCACAGCAGCTGCAAGAGAACTAGGAGAGGCCATCTTTTTTGTTATTTTTTTTTTTTATCTGGTTGGTTTGTTGGGGATGGGAAAAAGTATGGATGGGCTAACGGAATCAAAAAAAAAAAAAAAAAAGGTTTTAAACAGTACGTGTGGCTTTTTTTTTTAATTGATTTGGCTGGCTCGATTGACTCATTTAATTCATTTTTTTTTTTTCAGTTGACTTATTACAATCACAGTTACAATATTTGTTACAGATAATTATTTTGAATTACGTAATGTATTGCCGTTATATTTTTTTTATTATTTTATTTTTTTTATGCATCACCACCACCACCATCACCACAAAAGTCCGCCTGAAGCAGCCATTTTGTTGTTGTTTGTGTGTTTTCATTTTCATTTTCGTGTTTGTGTGCAGCCAACAAGCCTCTCTTTAATTTTTTTTTTTATTTACCACCACCACCATTAAAAAACCCTAAACCTTTTCATCGTTTTTTTTTTTTTTTTTTTTTTTTTTTTCCTAAAAAAACCTTCACATTCTTACTTACATCCGTTCATCTTTACAATTTAAATTCAATCCAAAATAACCTTTCACAACCACCACCTCAAATTATCATCATCATCATCATCATCATCACCTTCTTCCTATTCCCTCCCTTTCCTTTCATCCCACCCACCCATCGCAAGCGACAATGAGTGCAGGCCTGAGCAAGGCCACATCCGTCTCACCAAAAGCCTCAGCGCATTCTGCAGCAGCTGCAGCAACACCAGCCGCAAATATCCCAGCATCTTCACCACCTTCTACTACTACTTCTACTTCTGCTGCTAACACTATTACTACCACAGCTCCAACTACTACTACTAATAATAATAATAATAATAAACTTGCACCTTCTCAACAATCTACACGCGTCAAACTTACTCAAACAAACTCATCCTCTCTTGCTCAACCTTCTTTGCAACAACAGCATCAGCCCGCGCCTGCACCCACGGCTCAAACTTCATCACGCCGTCACTCTTCTTCTCTCGCTGCAGCAGCTCCTACATTACGAACCCCAGGACATCGTCCTTCCATAGTTACCACTTCCACAAACCCTACATTGACTGCTCCTTCTACAGGCCCTCTCAATTATTCATCCCCAACCTCTCATCCTGCACAGGGTCATGCCGGCAGTACGCGCAGCTCAGGTCGTAGGTCTCTTGGAGAATCTCTCCTTCGCATCTTTTCCTGCTTTAGCATATCCCGCGACTCTCACCAGTCCCACCACCATGCCCAGCGTTTTGCTTATTCCAGTTCATCTCCTGCCTCAGGTAATGGTGCAAACGCTTCTACTGCCAATGCTGTCACATCTTCTCAAGGTCCTATAAGAACTCCTCCCACGCGTCAGACCCACCAGCACCCATCACCATCTCAAACAGCCTCCCGCGCTCAGACTTCAGCTAAGCGCTCCCATTCAATTTCTAAAAAACGCTTGGCTACTGCTACTACTTCCTCTAATACTAATACTGCTGCGTCTAAACCATCTACTAAATCTACATCTGCTGCTGCCGCCGCTACTACATCCCTTAGACCCCCTGAAAAATCTCACACGCGATCAAAATCAGCAGCCTCTTCTCGCTCTACTGCATCTTCCGCCTCAACTTCCTCTTCCTCTTCAACTTCCTCTTCCGCTTCAACTTCTGCCGCACAAACCCCTTTGCATCCAGACGAGTCGTACGAAGCAGAAATCCCACCCAGACATGCTTCTCCAGCCCTTCCATCGGTTTCAACAGCCTCCCCTCATGGCAGCATACAACCTCCAACTACCTCCGGCCGTTCTTCTCTCGAACACACTAGAAATCTTCTCCACAGAGCCCGTGATAAGTTATCAGAAAAGTTTTCTGATGACCATACTCCAGACTCTACCGGTGAATCTTCATCTTCTTCAGGTACCGCAACAACTACTTCTTCTTCAACAGCTGCAACAACAACAACTACAGTAGGTGCAGCAGCAGTAGCAGCAGCGTCAGCAGCAGTGACATCATCGGCAGCAACAACTGCTGCTGCTGCTGCTGCTGCTGCTGCTGCTTCTTCAGCTTCTTCTTCTACACCCACTTCTCATCTCCAACCAACTTCTACAACGTCTTCAACTATTTCATCATCCTCTACAGACTCTCAAAATCAGTATGAATACGAGGATTATCCCCAGGTCCAGTACAACCCCGATGAAAAAGACGACGGCTCCTATTACCCCTATGAAGGCATGGTTAATGAAGAGGGATACTTACTCTCTACCCTTGGTCCCGAGGCAGCATTACTCAAACCCGCCACGCCGGAAATGTCGGGCCGGAAATGCCTTGTGCTTGACCTCGATGAGACTCTGGTTCACTCTTCTTTCAAATACCTGCGCAGGGCTGACTTTGTTATCCCAGTGGAAATTGACTTACAATACCATAACGTATATGTCATTAAACGCCCCGGAGTCGACGAGTTTATGCGCCGTGTCGGCCAGCTTTACGAAATAGTTGTCTTCACTGCGTCTGTGTCGCGCTATGGAGATCCGCTGCTGGACCAGCTGGATATCCATAATGTCGTGCACCACAGACTTTTCCGTGAAAGCTGCTTCAACCACCAAGGCAATTATATTAAAGACCTCTCAGTTCTTGGTCGGCCTCTTAAGGATACCATCATTATAGACAACTCTCCAACATCCTATGCTTTCCACCCCCAGCATGCTATTCCGGTCTCGTCTTGGTTTTCAGATGCTCACGATAATGAGCTCCTAGATATGATTCCCTTTCTCGAAGACTTGGCATCTGACAAGGTCGCTGACGTGTCTCTCTCGCTGGACGTGAATTACGACGACGACATGATTGAAGAAGACGAAGAAGTTCAAGCAGAGGGCGCGCGACACCTTGTTCATATGCAATTTGAAGAAGAACGGTATGAGGAAGAACAACGTCAGCAAGAGGAAGAAGCTGCGGCTGCTCTACAGCAGGAACAGCTACAAATTCCTCAAGTTGACGAACCTTCGGATGACGGACCACCTATTGTTATCCCAAGGATTTCAGGTTCTTAAAAAAAAACTTTTCAAAATCACTAAAAAAAAGACAAAAATCATTATCTTTAAAAAAAAAAAAAAAAACAAGAAACACGAAAAAAAAAATATTATACCCCATTTGTCACTTCTTTATATTTTTATTATTATTATTGTTTCTTCTTTCCCGATTATCTCCATCTTGTTTTTTTTTTTTTTTTTTTTCCCTCTTCCCTATTCTCTTCATTTTTTCTCCACACTTTTCTTCTTCCTCTTTTAATTTCTAATTTTATGCATACTTTGTTATTTTAGATTTTTTTTTTTTTTTGTTTTGCAAAAATCGCAAAATTGCACTTTCACACCCTTTTATATATATATATAGTAATTTATAATTTATTATTCTTCATCATAATCTTCATTATTTTCAGCATCTTGCTGCTGCTGATCGTTATTAATCGCAGTTCCCAAAATATGCTTCTTACGTTCAGGAACATATGGCACAGTACCTTTCTTTGAGTTTCTCCGCAAGTTGTCCTCCTTGTGCTTAATTTTAGCCAACTCTTCACGTTTCGTATCCTTAGCACGCTTGACTGCAATCGGAACTTGTCTGTGTCTTGAGATTCTGCGAATATCGTGCATATGCTTGTACCGCTCCTTGAGCGCGTCGTCGTAATTCTTCTTGGATAACTGCCGCGCATTCATAATTCCAACCCGCTCGCTCGCATTGCGGCGCCACAGCCGCACATTGCCGTCATCGCTACCACTCACTATAAACTTGGAGTCAGAAGTAAACCGCACGCAAAATACATGCTGCATCCGCTTCGTGTGATAAATGTCCCGAGAGTGGCCTTCCCGTTGCCGGTAAATTCGCAACGTCCGATCATAACTGGCACTCACAATCTCCTGTCCAGTGGGATCAAAATCAACATCCATAACAGCAGCAACATGATCTTTCATCACGTTTTGTGCCTTGTCCAGGTTCCGCATATCATACAGATACACATTGTGGTCCTCACTACCAGCACAGAAAATAAAAGCCTCCATTGGATTCCATGCCAGAGCATTGGTGCGCAGTGTTGTGACCAGTTTTTGCACAGGTGTCGATGTTCGGATATCATACAACACAATCGAACGATCACTACCTGCTGTAGCAACAACAGAAGTTTCAGTCATATTAAACTTGACAGTTGACACATTGTCAGCACCCCAACTCAAATTTGCAACCGCCCGGTTCGACCGCGAACTGTCCCAAAGTTCAACGCTGTCACCTGCAGTAACAAACTTGGGCTCGTCTCGATGATGGTCAACTCCCATAAATGCTCCAGTGCCTTTGTATGTAGCCAGCGGCTTGATCTCGTCCTCCGACGCGCCTCCAGTTCCTTGACCACCTCCCTTGACGTATCGGCGGCTTCCAATGTGATCCTCCTTTGTTGCAACTGCTCCAGCAACGTCCCACAATTTAACTGTCTTATCTGCTGAGCACGACAGCAAATTTCCCTCAAGGTCTACTGTCATGCCTCTCACAATATCTGAGTGTGCTTGCACAGATAACGCTTCTTCTTGTGACGCCAGGTCCCACAGTTTCACCACACCATCGCCGGATCCTGTCGCAACGTGTGCAAGAGTTCGTGTGTTCTTAGCAATCGAGTACACACCGTCAATGTGACCACGACCCATTTGCCCCACAAATGGCTGCGCAAATACGCGGTCCAGCTTCGTGGCGTTCAGAGCGCGCGTGTACTCACGAGCTCGCTCAAAAGGGTGTAGGGCCGGATCCAGGTTTCGCGGCAGGCGCTGTGAGTCGTCCGCACGCACCGGCAGGTAATTATCAGATGATCTGCTAATAGTTTTAATTTTCATGGTATATGGTGTGTAGTTGTTAGAAGGTATAAGAGGGGAGGGAGATGAGCCTTGGTGATAAGGTCAGTAAGAGAAAAGAAGAAATGTGCTTCTGTAGGGAAAGGCGAGTGGTGATAAAAAAAATTTTCAAAAAAAAAATATTATGTAAAATATTATGTAATTATAAATGATATGCGGCTACTATTTGTGCGGCGCATTCTTAAGGTTTTGCTAATTGATTAGTAGGATCTTTTTTAATATTTCAAAACGATTAGTATTCAAATTGTAATTTTTAAAACAAAAACTATTAAGCTTCAAAAAAAAAAAAATTTGTAATTTTTACAAATGCCGAGAATTTTTGAACATGTAGTTTTGGCAGATGTTGTTTTGTTTTCTCTTAATTACGCAGCTTCATGTATGAGATCACAGATCGGTTGAACATATACGTATATACGTAGCTGGTGCTAAAACTTTTTTAGAAGGTGGTGATTTCTTTTAGAACTTCAATAATAAGACCTTTTCATATTTGTTTTAAAAAATAAATTTAGGTATCAAAAATTTTTTAAAGTAAACTATTTAAAGAATCACATTAGATCTTAAAAAAAAAATTTAGACAATCCCGAGACACGATGTCAAACCTTCTTTCAAGAAAATGGCAATGGGGTTCAAATAAACTACAATAGAAAAAAAAATAGGGTATTCATTTCTTTCCATCCCCGCTCTTTACCAAATAATAATATTGTTTTTTTTTTTAAATTAAATTAAATTCATCTGTCTCGCTCTAAACATAACATTGGTGGATGAAAATCAAAAAAAAAAAAAAAAAAAAAAAAAAACGTAGCTTGGTAACTTTTAATAAGAAAATAATCAATGCATTCACTTAAAGCAGATTACTTTCGGATTCTTAAGTGGCACATTAATCAAAAGAATTCTAGTATACAATATACGCATCTACTATTTTGTAAATTGAAGGCCTTTTTTTAAAGCAGTAAATTGCGTGATATTCATAGATACCCACTCTGGAGCTATTACTTTTCGGTGATAGTTCAAGGGTTCAAAAAGTTTAAGTAAGACAAGCCAATTGATTTTAAAAATAAATTTATTTTTATTTTTATTTTTATTTTTATTATATTTTTTTTTCAAATGAAAAAAAAAACACGTTAAATTCTATTTCATAGTAAAAATATTATTTATATCAATTATCTAAGATATAGAGGTTTTTTTTTTTTTGATTTTTATATAAACACCTACTGACCCTCCATCTTTCTTAAATTATTCAACTCACAATGATTCTGCGACTAGTTTTCATTTTTGTGCTATTTATCTCTTTAACAAATTCTATTGAATACATTCCAAATCGGTTCATTGTGGAGTACCAAGATCATAAAACTCTTTCAAAAAGATCGATCAAAGGCGACTCTACTGAAGCTTTCATCGCAAGCCTTAAGTTGAATGGGATTCCTGCATACCCCATTCACTCTTACTCTACTCATGGAATATTTCATGGCTCTTCAATTTCAATTTCCAAATCATTTCCTAATGACCATGTACTAAATCTTTTAAAATCCCACCCAGACGTCAAAAAGGTATGGCCCGTTCGTCTTATCAAACTTCACCAGGACCCACAAGATCACCCTTTAGTTGATTCTTCCATCGACAATACTTTCAATCCTGTGGGATCATCAGACACGGTTCTTCTTGATTCATATCAAAATGGGTTTATTTCAAATAATATAGCTGCTATTACTTCCAACACTACCAATGCAACCAATTTGACTGGATTTCAATACCCGCCTTGGAACCCTCACAAAGTTACCGGGGTTTCAGAACTTCATGCTCGCAATATAACTGGTAAGGGAGTTACTATTGGAATTGTTGACAGTGGTGTATATTACTTGGGAGAACCACTTGGTGGTGGAATTGGCACCGGGTATAAGGTTTTAGGAGGATACAACTTTGTAGGAGGTGTTTATGATCAAGAGTTTCAGGGCTATAGTACATTCTCACCAAACGACAATGTAACTGACTGTTATGGACATGGAACCCATACTGCTGGAATTATTGCGGCTTTCGATAATAAAAACTTTATTGGAGTAGCACCTGATGCCAATCTTCGAATCTACAAGGTTTTTGGGTGCGTTGGAACATCTAGTGACGATTCCATAGTTAATGGCCTGTTAAGAGCATTCCAAGACAATAACGACATTTTAAGTTTATCTTTAGGTGTCGATGGTGTTATGTTCACAGACAATCCTTTGGCTGAAATCGCTACAAGAATCAATAACGCAGGCATCTTTGTTGCCATTTCTGCTGCAAATTCTGGAAACTTTGGACCTTTCTTTGGTAATGGTTTAGCTGCCGGTAATCATCTAACTTCAGTAGCTGCATCTGTAAGTGGTCAATACCTAGTATACGAAGCTTTGGCAAAGTCGTCTTCAGGAGAAACTTTTAATTTTGCTTATTCTACTGCCTCAGGCATTCAGCCAAATACTACTGGAACTTTTCGCTTACAGCTTTATGATCAAACTGCTTGTGAACTAAATGGAAAGATTTCAAATAATACAAATCAGGATTTAATAGCCTTACTATTTCCTCAAGACTCATGCAAAAATAATCAATTCTATTATTCCGTTGGTACACAGGGCTATCCTGTTGTGTTCACTTATAACAATAACTCTACACTTACTTCAACTAGTACTTATCCTGATCCAGTGCGAGGACTATATGACCCCATTTCTATCCGTGGCTCTATTATTGGGTCTTTCCCCACCTGGGCCCAACAGCAAATTTTAGCTGGGAATACAATAGATCTTGTATTTCAAGAATCAAGCTTAATTCCCCGAAGTTTATTTTCTTTAGATAGTCCAGATTTGCTACAAGTTAGTCGCTATACCAGCATGGGGCCTAACTACAATGGAGCACTGTTTCCTCAAATTACAGCTCCAGGAAGTAACATTTACTCGACATTTTTATTCAATGAATTTGCAACAATGACTGGAACAAGTATGGCAGCACCCTATGTATGTGATTTCAAGAAATGCAATGGACCTAAATAGCTAACGTTGCACAGGTTGCCGGTGTGGCTGCCCTTTACTTAAGTACTATGGAAAATAGAACCAAAAATAGTGATACTGCAATTAACCTTCATCAACGAATGATCCAAACGGCAACACCTCTGCAATTTTCTCTTGATTCAAGCTCTACAAAGTAAGTTCCTCACAATTTATTTCTTCTTGTCTAACTTTTTTTTAGTACTTATGCGGCACCACTGATTCAACAAGGTTTTGGATTCATCAATGCAACAAGATTTATAGACACTAAAACCCTCATCACTTCAGACCCCAACCTTTCCCTTGGGATATCATCAAATTTGGATACAATTTTTAACGTGACACTTTATAATGGCAATGATTACACAGTACAGTACACCATTGTGCATAACCCAGCCGTCACGGTTTTTACAAAAAGACCAGATGACATGATTCCTTCATATTTTCCTCCATTCATATACAAGTTTGCATCAGTTACTGGTGCTTCTAAAACAATCACAATCTTCCCAATGTCCAGTCAAGTAATTAATCTTGGGATAAAAGCCCCTGATACAGTCCCCGCAGAATATGGTCCTGTATATCAAGGCAAAATCCTTTTTAGCGGAAATAATGGTGAACAGGTATCTGCTGCATACGTTGGCACATTTGTTGACGGCTACAAAGCCTGGAGTCATACACATCAACCATTACTACTTTTCAATGCAATTAGTAATGCAACAATTTTGGATTCCAGCGTGAAGCGACCCCCTGTTATCAACAATGGGCTCGATTCTTTGATTTATTTGCCACTTCTTATCGGTGCTTCTGAAATTGACATTGCTTTGGTCAATGAATCTTTCTCGGAAAACAATATTGTTTTGCCATTAACAGAGGGTCAAAATGGGGTTTTAAATTTTGTCGATGGGTTTCCTTACCCTTATTCTTCTCGATCGCTTGGCGGGTCGTTTTATCTTTTTGAAATCACAGCTTCCACTGCTATACCTGATGGAATATACCGTGTTTTGGTAAATGTACTCCCTGGTGTCCCTGATGACAATTCTATAAACACAAACAATCTTACATCATGGCAAACTTTTGTTTCAGAGCCCTTTTATTTTATTTACTCACCAAACGATACAACTGTTGGTAGGGCGCGTGGTGGACCATACAGAGGAAGAGATGACAGAGGCAGGAAAAGTTATAGATATGAGAATGATGGCGAATCTTTTAAATTTCATGATTTGCATCCCAGACAAGATCAAAATATTCAAGAGCAAACTGATCTCTCTTCAAATAACGGAACTTTTAATGCTACGATTTTTACCGGAGTGGAATTAATAAGTTTAAATGCAAACTACTCTATGGGATACTCACCTTATGATACTATCCAAATCTCAATTGAGCTCAATATTGCACAAAATTTAATTGTTGGTCAACAAGCAAGCATTGAAATAGCTCCTGAGTTTCACAATTTCCCCTCACAATTTCTGATCTACAATGACGTTGGTGAAGCCATTATACAAGTGACTATTGACTCAGAAACAAATATTTTGACAGTTACAGTGATTCAAAACTGGGATGTGATTTACGTCACAGGATCTATTATTTTTACAGCCTTTTTAAAAAATCCGGAACAGTATACTTCAGACCGGCTCGTTCCTTTAACTTTTGTTAAACAATCGCTCAATGAGGGTAGTGTACTTATGCTTGATATGGCCATTGTTGATGTATATTTTTTGTCAATTCAGGCTCGTGTACTTGAATCTTCTGGAGTTATTTACATTTACATTCCTTCGGCCTTCACTGATTGGACAGAAATGCAAGTTGGCGTCACTTCGGCCTACAATTTTTTATGTTCGGGCATTGCAGTCGAACAAACAGAAGCGTTAGAAAATTCACAAGTGCCGTACACAACTGTTCCTGGAGCTTCTGTCGACTGTGCTGGGAACTTTGCAGTGATAAATATTTCAGAGCCGCCTGCAAACAATAGAGCGATTAGGATATCTGTTCCAGTGATAACACCATCTTTTGTTGCTAATTCGGCAGTAAGCGCTGCCATAAAATGCAACTTCGCTGGATCTCAATTCACTTATTATCTTGAAACAGTCCTAAATAATGTAGCACTGCGATCAAATGCTTTGTCGTTGACAGGTAAAAGGGTTTAAATATTTTTCTAAAAGTAAAAGCTGTAAATACATTTCATAGATTTTTAATAAAAAGAGTTGGTTTAAAAAGGGGTAAATAATATGGAACATGACCCTTTATGTTCGTTTGTTTGTTTTTATTCAAGGGTTATAGAATCGACCCTTTATGTTCATTTTTATTGTTTTTTTGTTCCACTAATGATAATTAAAAGCTACCCCAACCCTTGCGGATACTTAGAATTGACCTTATTTTTGTCCACAAAGATTCGTACAAGAATTTTATTTAAACATTGAGCTTACGTAATTATATTGGTCTAGAGTCGGAGCCAAAATCTTGAAACAATGAAAATCAGCTTCTCGAGATCTGTTAATAAAACTGTTCTACTGAAACCATAACTTGAAAAAAAAGCATGTTATTATATTATTAAGTTTTTTTATTTATATATTAATTTTTTTAAAATAATAATTATTATTAAACCTCTAGCTCAAAAACATTGCTAGAGCCAAATTTGCCTATTGTAGATGGGTCAGTCTCCTTTTATATCTAAGTGAAAGTGACTTTCTTGTAAATTTAAATATTTTAAAAGATTTCACTTTTACGTCACATTTAAATAAATTTTCTCTGAAAGCCAAAGTTATAATATTTTAACTTATACCGTTTTTGCAGAAGCCATGGCTAAAGAAGAAAATGGTAAAAGTGATCATAATAACACTTGTAATTTTTTAAAAATAGGTTTAATTTTTAATAAATTATCATTTTTATATAGAAAAAAACAGTTGCTCTTAAATATAAATTGATTTATTTTTTTTGTTCAATATTTTTCTTGAAATTTGTTGCTAAACTTCAATTGAAGTTTGTTTAGGCTCTATAGTTTCACTTAAAAGTCTTTATAAAGAGTTAAAGGACAATTATTCTATCAAATATTGTTACCATAGGTTGGTTAAACTTCGAAAAAGTTTCCGTTGATTGAGTGCTAATCGACTGTTATTTTTCATATTAGCCCAAAGTCACAATTTTTTTAAAGCCTGAATTAGCTTGCTATTTAAATGAAAATGTAGCCACTGTGATTTGTAAAGTACTGTCCATAAAATTATTTCCCATATCCCTCATTTAAAAATTGATATTTATCCTTTTTATTTTTTGTTCAACAAATTGACTGTACAGTCAATACATGTATTTTTCAAATTTTTTTTTTTTTAATTTTTTGTAAAAAAATTGCGTATGTGGCAGTTTTATAAGTCCCGGCCGTGGTGGTACATCAACTTAACTCAACTTTCTGCTTCGGCCGACCTGCATTTCTGGTTGAGTCCAAACATGTAAATTTTTGACCCCCGGCCGACTTTCACTTCAAACCAATTCTATTTAAAATTGACTTTCAAGCTCGGGCCAGATATTCACATAAGTCCATTTACATATTCGGCCGACTGGAAAAATACTAGATCTCCCCGGCCGACTTATCCATGGTTATCCTAATTGCAAAAAAAAAAAAAAAAAATAGACTTCTATTTAAGCATCATTTTAAACTATATTCAACTGTTTTTTATTCCTTTATGGAATATGATTGAAATTGGCAACGTTAGCAAAAAAAAAAAGATAATGTAAGCTAATCATGATAATAAATGCCCAAAAGAATTAAATATTTAATGCAATTAATTGCAGTAGATCGCAGTAGAGCATTAGAAAAAACTATTATCTCGACATTCTTTTATAATATACAATTTTTTTATTCTAAATTTAATTAAAATAAATATAAAAGAATTACAAATTATTTGGGGGATATGAAAGATTAGGAGGCCTCCAATCAAAAAGTTCAAGCGTCTCTGGTGTCCACGGTCCAAACTCTGTAATGATAACTGGTGGCTGTTTGTTTTTAGAGGCTAAGGAAAATCCATCGTTAGTTGATGTTTTATAGTTTCTTCCATTACCTTTTTTATCATTTTGCTTCAAGGGATTTTTATAAGCTGGCATTTTATTATTAGAAGGGAACACAAGTGCGTTTGTAATGTTGAAAAAGGTAGGCAGTGTATTAGCGGTGGTATGGTTCGCACCAATTGCACCACCAATGTTTCCCCCTAATGCTACATCTTTAGCAGAAGTTTCTTCCGCAAAATCCGGATTTTGTTGAGATAAAGACATTTCTACTTTGTCAATTGCCTGAGAAAGCTCAAAGCTTAAGTCTAAAAGTGATTCAGTGCGCTGAGCTATCTCAGAGGTATCAACAATGGTACTGTGAGAAACTGGAGGTTTGGGTTTTATATTTGATGGAGGTGGCATTTCAAATGAGGCGGGTATTTTAAAATCATCTTTTTCAGAATCTGGAAGCTCATCGCTATCTGAATTATTTTGACCTGCCAAAGGAACTGATGATGTATTATCAACCCGACCGTTAAATTTAGGCTGTGGAGTTTTTGATGCTGAAAAGGAGTCAATTTCTATAAGCTCGCTGCTAGCTGGAATAAAATCAACTTCATTCTCTGTACTTATTTTCCTTTCAGAGATGACATCACTTTTCCGAACAAAATCAAAACGTGCTCCGAGCTCGCTCAAATTTTCCAAATCAAGATCCAAGCTAGGTTCATCATCAAACTCAAACTCGGGGCTTTTTGGTGGTAGAAATGACTTTGCTGGTTGTTTAGGTAAGTAATTCTCTTCAGATCCAGAGCTCAAATATTCATTTGGCTCATGATGCTGATTCATATCAATGTCATCATTAAAGCCAAAGGCTTCGCCAAAGCTGCTAGGATACTGCCGTATATTGTTTTGAGAGGAAGACCCTGGAAACTGATCAATATCATTGTGTGTGTCTTCTAAAGTTTTATCAACATTTGTTTTTAGTGTTGAATCTACCTGCTTTTTTTTCAATCCATTCATGTTATCAGGGATTGTAGCATCAGAAGTATTTAAAACCGAGTCTTTGACCGAATTACCGGGTATGGGAGCACAGTATTTTTTATCCAAGTTCGTAAAAGCAAAAGACGAGAGGCTCTTATGCGTTTTTTGTTTTGGTAAAGAACTTGTAATTTCCAGAGACTTTTCCTTTTGGACTTTATCCATATTTAAAAGTTCGTTCTTTTCTTTTAAATGGTTAAAACTATCTTCAATGGTAGGGCTGTCGCGCGTGACAAGGTTTTTATTGACTTTGGTACGTTTAGAAATTTCTGCAACGGAAAAGTTTGTATGACGTTTGAGGTTTGACTTTGTCACAGCATCTGCTTCGCACTGGTCTAAAACTTCAATATCGTCATCACTATCAAATTCAAATGGACTTGCAGAATCTTTATTTTTGGCAGGCACCCCACTACTGTCGCAATATTTTGCTGATTTTAGATCGTCCCGCAAGGTTGTTGATATTTTTTTGAGGATACCCGAATGCTCCAACTTATCTTCTAACGTTGTTTTTGTATTAGTAATCCTTTTATCAAATTCTAAAAAGTCATTATTGCTTTTATTTTGATTTTCATTACTAGATGCTTCCCTTAACGACCCTAGTTTATTATGCTGTCCAAAAGCTGAAGGTTGAATAACAGATTTGTTAGATTTGGGAAGGCTAGTCATAGAACGGCTAGAAAGAGAAAGCAACTTTCTGTTAGATCTACTGGGGAAGGCAAAATTAAAAATGTCGGTATCATCTTTGTTTTCGGCAATTTTTGCATGTGTGGGGGAATGGCTTTTCGTTAATAGGGGGGTTGAGCATTTTCTGTGCGTGGATTTGGTCTCCGGATTGTTCAATAAATATGATGCAGCACTAGGACTTTCACTTTTAGATGAGTCTTGATTTTTTTCTGTATTTTGTATCGGGGAAACCCCAGGAAATGATTTTTTTCGATTAACTGCAACTTTTGGCCCTTTTTTAAAATCATTTTCAGCAGATTTACTATAAGACACTTCTCCAACATTTAAATCTATCAGATCGTCCTCACATAGAGGACTCGAGTTAGGCGACAGATTTTTTTGATTTTGATCCTTTTTCTTTGGAAAAACTTTAAGAGTTTTTGATTTAGTTGATTTAGGTGGGGCTTTTTTTTGATGATGTTCCAATTCTAAACTGCTTTCAAATTCAAAATCACTCGATCCAAAATCTTTGTCATCAAACGAGTTTTGCCTTTGAGAAGGTGATGATAGTTTATTTGTTGATTTTTTTGGGGAAGTGTTATGTATTTCATAAAGCGGCTTTTTCGAAATTCTCATTCTATTTTGTGTTTTGCTGGAGTTTTCTTGATGATTAAAAACTGGCATTGATAACGTTGACAAATCTGGTATTGGAGAGCTTTTCGGGGTATCATCATTGTTAGATACTTGATTAGAACTGATGGAAACCACATTATACTGGGCAGCTTTGGGAAGTGGTGGAATATATGGAGCAGTAGCAGCTGAGGTCGTGGAATCTAATACATATAAAGCCACTTTTGATTTCGAAGGAATTATTTTTGTAGACGATCTTGAAGAGGAAGAGGAAGAGGAAGGCCTATTTGGGTAAATTGGTTTGCGAGGATTCAGCCCATCTAAAGGTGATCTAAACATATTAGAGCCAGATATATTTACAGTGTTGGAGAGATGGAGTTGTGGAGGGGCAATGATACCCTTAGTGCTTGTTTTCCTGGTTTCTCGGTGATTGTTTTTATTGGGCGCTTCTAAGACCGTTGAGCTTTCCAGTTGATTGCTGTTATTAAAGCTTGGGGGAACGTATGCCTTTCTGTTTTTTGGTATAATTGAAGAAATATCAGTATATGTCATTTTTTCTTCACTTTCAATGGTTATCAAATATGGTACACCTAAACTGATTTCTCCTTGTTGATTAAGTCGGTCTTGGTTTAAAAACCCAGTTTTCTATTTAAAGTTAGTTATGAACATATATATATATATATATATATACATTGTTATAACATACAACTGTATAAGAATTTTCATCCTTGAGAATATAGCTTCTGTTGCGAATATGAAAATCCAGTGTGCCATCATTCCATGAAGGCTTTGATTTGTGACTTTCTTTGGTCCACATAACCACAAAATGAAGCACGCCTGCCAACTCTTTGGAAGGAGATAATGTCATTTCTTTTTTGTTCATTTAAAAATCATTATAAATATCTTTGTTGAACCATGAAAAAGCCTGCTTCTTATGGTGATTCTTAATAACTTTTAACGATTTTTATCAAATTTGATTTAAATATATGGTGGTATTAAACTAATTAAATTTTTAATAAAAAAAAAACGCGATCCAGGGTTAGGGCATCTTACGCGCGTTTAACGCGACGCGTGTATAATTACATAATCAGATTTATCCTAATTGGGCCATTTTCGTTTGTTTGGTGATACAGAATCAAAAACATCATTTACGCACTGGTTGCAAGTACCAACCGATAACAAAATCTATTTGGAAGATGAGACACTCCGCAGATTTAACTTATCCCTCCCTTCCAAACTTCTCATAATATCTTCCAGTTTCGCGTTTGCTTTGACTTTTTCGAAACACCACCTTGTCGAGCTTATTTGTTCTTTCTTAAAAAAAAAAAATGAGTGGAGAGGCAAGAAAAAGCAAAGTAGCACTTGCCTTCTAGTCTATTGAAAACTTATTAGCTTTTGAAACCTGAGCCGCACCCCGTTCAAAAAAAAAAAAAAAAAAAAAAAATTTAAAGGAAACCTCCGCTTTCCCCTTTGTTGCCTTAAGTTTTCTTATTTAAAAAGGTCGCGTTTCCACCATTCTTACTTCACCCCCTTTCATATAAATAACACATTTTTCATTTCAATTGCTGGCCGTTTTCACTTCTTCTCAAAATATCTTCAACTATGGAACAAGATTTAACATCAAGTCCAGTAGGAACTCCTCCGCTTCAGCAGATTCCACATGAAGACTCCTTGCCTAATATCGTCAATATTAACCAAATGGTGACTCCTGATCTTTCTTTTGACTCGGGTGCAAGCTCCAGTCCAGCTATTCCACCACGCTCAGCTCGTCATGCTTCTCCATATCGTTCTTTATCATCTACTTTAAACAAGAATAATGCTTCCAGTACCTCCCTTAATCCTACCCAGCGCTCACATACACCTCCTGCAGTAATATCTACACCTGCTTCTACTTGGCAATCTTCTATTCCATCTTTTTCGGAAAACCAGCAACTTCCAACTGCTGCTTCACCAAGTAGTACTGTAACTGTAGCATCTTCAAGCAACAGTAGCCCTATTAGACGCATAAGTGTTGATGTCACGTCAAGTTCACCATCCCACCGCAATTCCCAAGTCACTGTTCAAGCCTCAAGCTCTCCAAATAAATCTATTACTGTTTTCGATTCTTCAACACCAGTACTGTCGTCTAGTTCACATAATAGATGCATTTCACAACGCACAGTCCAACCTTTGGATCATTCGATTTCTTCTCCAACTTTCAATTCTTCTAAAACTACCGTATATGGTGACCCATTAAGCACGCAAAAGTCAACATTGTCTAACAAAAATAAGTCTAATTCTCAGAATCATTCTTCCAAAAGGACAGACCAGACAAATATTTTTAATACCCAAGATATTCAAGCACAATTATCACTTTCTCTTAATGACTATCTATACTATCGCGGATTTCTACGTGGAGAAGGTTCAGATGTTACAGTTCGTTGCTTTAATCGTAACTTTAAACTTCACAAATTCATTTTAAGTCGCAGTCCTTATTTTTCATCTTTATTTTCTAGCTTTTGGGAGTCTTCGTCACAGTCTTCTCCTGAAAAGAAGCCCATACACACTCTTAGTATGGACCATGATGAAAACATTACTGAATGTGCTTTTGAACTTGCTATTTCTCGTCTCTATGGCCACGAAGATATTGAAGAAGAGCGAAAAAATATTTTTGGCTTATTTGCCGTTGCAAACTTTTTGGATCTTCCCTCACTAGTGGATATTTGCGTTACTGAAATTATCAGTCGCATTTCACATACTACTGTTGCCAATATTCTTCATTTTTTTCACAAACGTAATTATGGAGAAGCCTCGAAAACTATTGTCGAAGCTTGTAAAAACTTTTTATTTGCAGAAGGCTATGAAATGTCTTTTGACCTATGGATGACAATCCCAAATAAAGTCATTGCCGAGGTTGTTGGTTCAGACGCCTTTTTTGTGCCAACTGAGTGGGAAAGATGCCAATTTCTTATTCAGATAATTAATTTACGAATCCTAAATGCTAAATCTTGTTCGGAACAAAACGAAACCGATATAAAAGATACCAATAACCTTGACTCTGAAGATATGGCTGCTTTACGGTCTACTCTTGATCATGATATTCGATATTGTCATATGACTTACGATCAGTTGGAGGCTTTAGAACATACTCGAGACGTCAATAATCATTTAATTATTTCTCGAGTAGTACTTCGAGAGGCTTTGTGGCTTCAGATTGGATTAAAGCAAAAGGTAATACGAGTTTCTGATGACTGCACTGAATTAGGTATTGTACGCGAAGTTCCTGCGGGAAAGCTTTACGGATATGACGATGAAGATGAAGAAGAGGATTCTTACAGCGACGAAAACGACGATCTCAAGAACAACGAGATTGATTCCCGGTCTTTGGGTTCTTCTCCTACAGCCAAGGTTAAAAGATTTGATAACGAGTCCCCAAAGCGTAGTGGTGATACATCTGCTACGACTGAAAACAGTTCGTTTATTTCTGATGATGAAGAAGATGTGACTTATTATTCAATCCCCAACGCTGATGAAACCTTAGATGCCCCCTGGGATCGTGTTAAAAATCATCTTGATCAGCCCACCAAAATTACAAAATTTCCTCCTTTTCGGTTTGCCGTTAAATTCAATGATGCCACTCTTTTGGAGAATGACCGCCGAGTTTATTCTCATACATATTGGTATGCCGGAAATTTTTGGAATGTATATCTTCAAAAGGTGGCTTATAAGAATAAACATCAGCTTGGCGTTTACATTCATCGCAGTCCTCCCGATTCCTTTATTGATCCAAATTTAAGGGTTTCTTCTAACTCTGCGCTAACTACATCTTTCATTAATCCCTTAAAGTATGGGGTATCTAATACGGGGCTTGGAAATGCATTTGTTTCTTCCGATTTCAGACGTCGGTCTATGGGCACATATCCAGGTGTTTCATCGACTCTTGGAAGAATTGATGATACACCTGTGGATCTTCGTGCTGGTGCTGGCGCTGGCGCCGAAGTACCTCTAAATTCTATCATAAACGAATCATTTTCCGAAGGTGTTAATTCTGCAGCCGCCGCCGCATCAAACAATATGCTCAATCTATCAACCATGATTTCAGCTAACAACTCAAACACCAGAAACAACGGTATTGGCGCCGCATCTTCTTCCTCTTCTGTTATTTCAAACGGCGTTCCATCAGAAATTCCCCAAGAAGAAAATTTGGGTGAAATCAGTAACATGAACACAAACATAAATCGTGATGTTGCTTTGGCATCTTTGGAACATGGGGGTAATGATGCTCAGATTTTTGACACGCTTCTTGAAAATCTCAGCTTACGGAATGAGACTGCTGAAAACGGAGTCGGTGCTGAGCTATCTCAGGATACTATCAATGTTCTTTCATCTCTTTCTCTAGCTAATGCCGAAAATGTCGGCGATCTTACTATGATTCATCAGCAAATCATGTCTACACCAGTAAGCTCTCAGCTTAATTCTTTATCCGGATTTCAAAATAAACCGGGGTTTGTTTTATCTAAGCAAGCTCAAGTCCCTGAGTACATTGACAAGCGGAAAAAGGTATCTGCATTTTTTGAAATTTATACCCCGTCAAGGAAAGGCCACTCGTCTCTTACTTGTTTCTCTTCCACTCCAGATATGTTTAACATTTCTCAAAGCTGGGGATGGAAATCTGCAAGTTTGTATTTGAAGGCTGAGGAACTTAAGAAAGGAGGAAAAAATGATGGCCTTAAGTTTATGGTATCGATTGGTCTTGTTTAAACCGGATATTTTGTACTTGTATTTTTAGCTTTTCATTTGTACTTCTAATTGATTAACGTATTTTTTTTTCTTGATTCTCTAAAATTGTTTATCCCCCAAAAAATTATATAAATTTACTCCCATTCAACAGTCCACTTAAGAGACTGGCTAGCCAAGAAAGGAATAACAGTCAAGTCTTCAGCGCCAATAGACTCAGAAACAACAGTATCAGCCTTGACCAAAGTGACAGACTTTTTGCCAACATCCTTATCCTCGGAAGTTTGGTAGAAATCTCTGCCAAAATCAGTGACAAAGCCCTTCAGCTTGTCAAGCTTTCCAGCATTGTCAAAAATCTCAGCAACGTATTGGATAGCGTAAGGCTGAGTGAAAACACCAGCAGCAGCACCAAGCTCCTTGCGCTTAGCAGAAACAGGGTGAGGGGCCGAGTCAGAGCCAAAAAAGAACTTGGGATTGCCGGAAGTGGCAGCCTCAATCAGAGCAGTACGATCGGAAGGCAGCTTAGCAACAGGCTTGCAAAAGTTCAAAGCATTGCCACCCCAACTGTCAACAGTGAGGAAAAGATGGTGGGCAGTGATAGTAGCAGCGACAGTAGGACCACAAGCAAGAACAGCATCAACGGCAGCCTTAGAAGTGCAATGTTCAAGAATGATGCGAAGCTTAGGAAATCTGGAGTGAAGACCGGCAAGAGTGGGCAGGAACTTGTGCTCAGCATTGAGAACAGTAATGTCATCACCAGAGGGGCACTCACCGTGCAAATTGAGAACCATATTATGTTCCTCCATGGCCTTGAAGGTAGGGTAGTAGGGTTCATAGGAAGAAACACCAGCGGCAGAGTTGGTGGTAACGCCTGCAGGGTAGCACTTGACACCGGTAATGCCAGCCTTAGCAGCCTGAGCAATGACCTCGGGAGTAATCTCAGGGCGAAGATAAAGAGACATAAGGAAGGTAGTTTCGGGCGACAGCTCCTGAAGTTGAGCCTTGTAAGCTAAGACGGCATCAACATCAATGAGGGGAGGGACAAGGTTAGGCATAACGTAAACAATAGAAACACCACCCTGGGTAATTGTAGGGGTGACGATCTTCATAAGATCACCCTGGCGAAGGTGAACATGAAAATCACCGGGTTTTCCAAGAGGAATTCTGATTTGTTCGGTAGACATTTTTTATAAAATTAAGATGTGGTGAGATAACAAGATGGACACTCCAAAGAATTAAAGATACCCATCGACTTTTCTGGGGTTTGATCTGTAAAAAAAATTTGCTGCTCTGTGGTTTGCCGAAATATGTTGCATAAAGACTTGTAACAAACACAGATGCGGCTTAAAGCAGCAACTCAAAGGATTTAATGAAAGTTAACCGGATATTTCAATTTACGGCTTTTTTTTACAAGCCACCAGAAATAATGAATTTCATGAATTGAGAACTCTCAATATTTAAGAAATAATCTTTATTTATAATGATATTAAAAAACATGACTATGTCTTCATTGCAAATATTTTTGTAGTAAGCCTTATATTTTATCAATGCAAAAGTATTAAAATACCTATGTATAATTCTGTCTTGAAAGTTAAGATTTTCAATACATGAATTGATCCTAACACTAAAATATTAAAAACTGCTTAGAATGAAATACTTCATTCTAAGAAGTTTTTAACAACTAGTTGTTATCTTTAACTTATAAGTTAAGTATAATTATAAGTCTTGTTGCATCTGAAAATTTTAATGTTTATGCGTGATTTCAATTAAAAAACTTATTTTTTTCTTAAAAAAATGAGTTAAAATTTCCTAGATTATTTAAAAAAAATTAGTGTATCTATAATTATGATATTCCTCTTTGCTTTTAGAAGGAATAATGTTCTAAACAGATCAAAATAAATTTTTTGGCAATCATGATACCTTTAATCAATTACTTTTAATTATAACTAATTTCTATTAAAATAAGTGCAGATACCACGACAAATGATCATGAAAATGAGTTGCTAAAAAAAAATACAAAAACCATATTTTTAATTTTATTCACATTATTTATTTATATAATAGATATATCTATTGCTGTAGCGTTTTAATTAAATCAAAAAAAAAAAAAAGAAAAGACATTTAAATGATTAAAATTTAACAGGATTTTCACGAAAAATGCCTAATTCGATACTGGACTTGACAATTTTTTTTAAAAAAATACCTAAAAACTCTTTTAGTTTATCAAATTTATGCTGTATTCCTTTAACTTTAAATAAAAATTTGGCTTATAGATTTCTGAATAAAGAAAAAATAACATAGCCAGTTTTCAGATTTCCTATTTTAGAAATATGTAGACAAAGCAACAAGTTCAAGGTAGTTTAGAAAAGGATCCCTACTCAAATTATTTCATTTCCACAGCCATTGTTTTCAATATTCAAAATCTAGGGGGAAAAAATGAGCATTGACGAACAACCATACTCAATTTTAGAGCCATCTGAAGATTACGATTTGGTCGAACCTCCAACAAAATTGACAAGATCAAACACAAATATCACACTTCAAAATAACTATTTAGAAAATAGTTCTTCAGCAACTTCTCCAGAAACTTTGGCATCACTACTTGACTCGGGAGAATCTAATTGTGCTTTACCTCCAACAGTTATTGATGTGATTAAAGTTGAAGAATCTCGTGTAGAAAAGAAAAAGAGTAACAAGCTATTTCAAGATGAAAAGCTTATCACTTTTTCAAATCTTTCTCATGAATATAAAGTCACTATGCTTTTGATGGCATTACAGCTTTTTGACCAAGTGAGTCTTGTACCAAGTGCAAAACCAGCTCAGCTTTATGATTATGCCGTTAACTTGGCTAAATCTTACGATGTAAAATCATTTGATACATATTCGCTGCTTATACAGCGTGCAAGCCGAGTCATTCATCAGTTGAAAGAATTTAAGTTGCGCCCAGCTGAACTCCCTTTTGGTTCTGATGTTTGCACAGTTGAGGGGCGTTCGCTGACCTCAGAACAATGTTTGGATCCTTTGAATCTACAGGTTTGGGTTCAAAACAATCTGAATCATGGAATTGAAAATTTGATGTTGCATAATTTTGGTTCATTGAATGCTTCCTCATTTGTTCAAATTGTTTCCTCTTGGCAAGGTCAAGAAGCAGTTGCTCAAGAACGCAACTTATTGTCTTATTTTTGGGATGACGAACGATTTGAAGCTGACTTGCGTCAGAACAATTGCAAAGTTGATTTAGCAATTTTTCGTTCATTTTCAAGTACCCCTCGAGCCGTATTTCTTGCTCATGTTGCTAGAATTGGTGCCTTGATTCAGGAAATTATCTTGAATGGAATTCCAAATGAGGTAAAATCTCGAATTATCAATTCAGTCATGTGTCTTCGGCAGGCAGATGGTCGTGTGTCAAGATTTACAACACCATGCTGCGAAAATCAGGGTAACATTTATTGTACACCTCCTATTGCTTTAAATGAATTGCGTGATGGTTTCAGCTTGGAAATTTCAAGACTAATGAAAGAAGTGCTCTGGGAAAATAGCGCTTTAATAGCCCAAAGTAAATTGGCTGTTCAAGCTGCTGTCCAGTTTGCAGTCCATGTTTTAGAAAAATGCTCGAAATTTGTGGCTAGTTGTACTCACCATTGTTCTGCGACCTCAACTACCTTAGAAGCTTTGGTGTCTGGAACCCACCTTAATACGATTACACAATGTGCCGATTCTGACTGTATGGTTTGTCGCCCTCTTAGACGTTTGTTGATTGGTGTTAATTCTAAAGGTTCGTGTCATATTATTCAGTATATTTAAGCGAATTATCACCAAATAATTGAAAAACCTTGATTTACAAGTTCACTTTTTTTTGTAAAAAAAAGAGTAATTAATAAATTTCATCTAGTAGGAAGTAAAAAAAATTAGTCACAACCAATTTTAATAATCGAAAAAATCTATTGATAACCGTACAAAAGAAAAATGCTAAATAAAAATGCAAATAAATTACTAGACTTTAAAAGTCTATTATGATGCTGCCTCAGGGACCGAGATTAGATTGTCTATACTGTTTTGACTGGCGGGTTAAAGAAGGAGGATTTTCAAGGGACATACCAGAAACATTGGCGTATGAAATGCTAGTTGCCTCATCGTTTTCTGGCTCAAGGTCGCCAACGACTTTGTTATGAACATTTTGTTCGTCAGCACCGTCCTCTTCTTCGTATTCTTCTTCACCCTCTTCGTCCCCTTCTTCCATTTGCTCATCCTCCTTTCTCTTGACATCTTCTTCCTCATACACTTCTTTATTTCCGTTATTAGCCTGCACAATTTCATCATGCTGAATATTTGAAGATTGTATTTCTGGATTCAAGCCAAACACTGTATTTTCGGGTATATCGCAGTAATTTATGTTCTGGGCCATCCGATGAATTGCAGAAATATCAACAACATTTGGATCTTCAGAAAATGAAGCTTCTATTTTACCGCTCATTTTCTTTAAGTTATTGGCTTCAAGCTGGCCAAGAGCTTGCTCAATAGCATCCTCCTCTCCAGCAATGTAAGGCTCAGTGTCACTTGGATCAACTCCATAATACAGAACATCGCTGAAATTGTCCGGTTGTTCAATAATATTTTGCATCTCTTCTAGGTGACCAAAAATAGGTATATCAAGATGTGTGTTCTTGAGAAATGGGTGTGAAAGAGCTTGAGTAGCCGTGATACGCTTCCGGAAATCCAACTCCAAACAAAGCTGGAGAAAGTCAATAGCTTTGAGAGTCTCGGAACTTAACGGTCCAATAATAGAATTAGTATTAGACTTTGATTTAGAACCAGTCTTATCAGAGTCCTCTTTCTTCCTTTTTTTAGGAACATTTTCGTCAGTAAATTCGCAAGTGAGCTCAACTGTCTTGCCATATGCTTTATTTCTGCGGTTTATCTCGTGGTAGTGAGCAGCAAGACACCAATAAATAAGGGACGTTAGAGGATAGCCGTCTTCTGGAATTGTCTGAATGTTGGTTTCGTAAACAACACCATGAAGCAACGCACATGTCTGCATCTTCTTGCGACCAAAAATAGTGGCCATTTCGATGAGGGCTCGAGAGTCATCCTTAGCTTGAAAAAACATGCATCGCTTCGTTAAAAATGCAAGAAGCATAATGCCAGCACTCCATATATCGATACTAGTAGTTTGATCAGGACATCCAAACAAAACTTCAGGGGCACGAAATCCTCGAGTTCCAGCTCTATTGTACCTGCGAGCAGGACGCTGGTCATTTTTTGGTTTGCCGCCTTGGATTGAAATTGAAGAAGTACCAGATTTAGCATTTGCGGCTGATGCGGCTGCAGCTGCAGAAGCAGCTGCGGTGGCAGCCGCTGCAATTGAAGAAGCAGAGCTCATTGATAATCCACGAGAATATTGGTATGTGTTATGAAATGAACGTGTTGATGTTGAAAGAGATGAAGATGTAGTAGTAGGTATGCTAGAATGGGAGTGGTGATGGTTGGGATCAAGATCAGGGTATTGGCTAGCAATCCCACCATTTCTGCAGTCACACTTTAATTTTTTGGGATTAGGTCCCGGCTCAGCTAAACCAAAGTCGACCAAAACACCTCTGTGGGTTTTAAGATTATATAGAAAATTTTGGCTTTTGACGTCTCTGTGAATAATGTTTTGGTCATGAATAAACGCTAAAGCATTGAATAATTGCTTGAAGTAAATCTTGATTTCAGAGAGTGTAAGCCTATCATAATATTCTCGAAAATCATTGTGCTCAAAGTATGGAATGATTGCAGCAACCTGGTCTTCATGACGAAAGGCTGTAATGAGAGGGAGTAAATTGGGGGACCCGGCCAGTTTAGCAAGAAGTGATAATTCCACTGATATACGACGAGGATGCGCCGTAACGTGAATTCTTTTTATGGCAACATATTTAAAAGGAGCTATTGGAGGTAACTCATGCTTCTTATAACACTCTAATGCAGTTTCCCTAAACTTGTTACGATCTTGTATGCGTTGTTTCAAATATACGGATTCTGCATAGCCATTATCCCAAAAGTTTTTGAACTTGCCATGTTTTAGATCAATGGCTTTATAGACGCTACTGAAAGCTCCCTCACCAACTTTTTTTATGACGAGATAATTTCCTTTTAAAACAGGCAAAGACTGATATAAGCTTTGAATCTCTTCTTTGTTCTCCTGCTCACCTGCTTTTTCAAGAAAAACATAAACATCAGGCTGTTCATCAGTTAAGTTATTAGATTTTGGTTTTTTTAAACCTTGCTGTGATGAAGACGAAGTTGATGAGCGAGGAGTTTTTTGCAGAGGTTTAGACTGGAGTTTGGTATTCTTTATTTCCTTTTCTAATAATTTAAATTTTGAAAGTGTTTGCTGATCCAAATTTGTAGATTTTGGTTGAGAACTAATAACAGGTTGAGTTGGAAGCTGGTTTATTAAGGGACTTGTTTTCTTATCAGTAGTTGAATTTTGGAACGTTTCAGTGCTTGGAAATAAATCAACATGGTTAGCTGTAGTAGATACAAGAGAGTTGGAAACAGCTGTTGTATTTTTGCTTGATGATGCTGAAGTATTAGATCCGTGATTTAATCCAGTCCTAATATCTTTTGTTTCAGAAAACCCTCGTTTTCTTTTAAGGTAACCATTTTCTTGTTTATTTTCAAAGACTTTTGTAGTTGAATTTGAATTTAAATTTGAAGTATCTGTGTTCAGTGAAGAAGGATCATATACTTTATCAAGTGACTTTTTCTTAGAAGCAGTAGTTTGGATTATTCTATTGCAAACATTGTTGGAATTAGTAGTAGTATTAGGGTTGTTAAAGTTTGCGTCATTGGAAAATAATATCTTTAAAGAATTTGGGTAATATTCGGCATCTGCTTCTTCAGTGTTATCTTCAAAGTGTCTGGTTTTCCGAGCAATTTTGATAGGACGTCCTTTGAATTTGTTCTGAGGAGTGGTAGCCCCAGTGTCATTAGAGTACCTATGATTCATTCCTTGTGAAGAACGGAAAGGTGATAATTTGGAAGAGGACTCAGTAAAAACATCGGCAGAAGCTGAAGCAGGGTTGACAGCGACAGAAGAGTGTGGTTGGATCCGAAATGATTGTGGTTTTTGACGGTTTTGAGTGAAAGACATTACAGGGCGAATAAGTGAGGTGTGTTTTTGTTGCGCTCCTGACTAGTTATCCGACAAAAAAATCCAGGTAGAAAATAAACGGAGTCAAGAAATCGAATATCTAGAGAAGCACAGTACTTTATAAATATTGGTTATTTTTGAAGATTTATCAAGTGTATTTAAAGTCTTGTTATTATCTCATGACTGTCAGGATAGAAATCATGCCAGAAAGTAGGAAAAGAAGATAAAAAAAAATAAAGGCGGCAATATCGAAAAACGATGCAAATGTGTAGTTATCAAAAAGAAAAAGTGAAAATCAAAAGGTATTAAAAGTACTTGTAAAATTACCCTGGAATTTAAAACGCCACTAAAATACAAGAACCAAGTATGTTTAAAAAAGAAAAGATTAATATAACACACAGAGTTTACTATTGAGACGCAGTACCGATAGTAATAATATGTTTATATGTTTAATAAAAATGTGAAGAAAAAAAAACGAAAGATGGGGGTAAAATATTGTTGTGCTTATCAGATTGACAAAGGTGAATGAAAGTGAAGAGGTATTATCTCTCTCGTTTTAAAAAAGAACTCGTAAAAATAGCCGCAAGAAAAAAGCAAGTTAATTTTGATATGAAAATAACAAAACGCACTTTTATCTTTATTAAATTATATTCTTGCAAAAATAGGTCTATCCGATTTTATCTTTGATTGCTTTTAAAATTTGGTGATTGAATTAACAGAGGTTGCTTTGGATCCTTTAGAAGAAAGTTTTTTTTGTTCTTGTTTACTTTTGAATTCCCGAACCAAATCGCGTCACGCGCGTTACAGTAATAAGCATTTACATGCAATGACACTTTAGAATAAGTTACAAAAAAATTAGAAATTCACAATTTACAATCTACAAAATATTTTGTAATGTCACAAAAATATCATCATATAATTAGAGGCCACAGTGTCAAGTCTGATAGCCGTGCATGCTGGGTGTATTACTATTAAATGGTACAGAGCCACGTACATACCAGTGTTGTTGACAATTCAGTTCGTCTCCATATTTATTGATTTTGATCTGTTTCGAAACTCGTGTCCAAAACTGTTTCCTCAATAGAAAATAAAAAAAAACACTAATAATACTTGTTTTTTTTTTAATTTGATTTTCGGCACGCGAAAAACATTTTATACTTTATATTGTTCCAGCTTTCCAAGTTAGTCTCCTCAGTCATTCGTTTATTAATTTTAACTTGGCAACTATAAAGAACCAAAAGCAGAACTAGCTTATCACTAAATCAACAGTTTTATCATTCAAAAAAAAAAAAAACATCTTTCTACTTCGTTTCCAGTTAAACTAATTTAAAAGACCAAATTATAACATCAGCATGTCATTTTTTAACTCAAAAATCCTTTTCGCTGTTCTCATCAGCGCATGTCTTTTGCAATTTTGCAGTGCCGTCCCCATGACCACAAAGGTTGGGGCTAACGAGCGTCAATGTCTTTATGCACAGGTCGATCAGATTGATTCTAAAGTTGGCTTTTACTTTGCCGTCCAGAGCGGTGGTTCTTTTGATATCGATGTTACAATTATTGCTCCTGATGGAAAGATTCAGTACCAAGAACCCAAGGAAAAGCAAGGTGAATTTAGTTTTAGTGCTTCCAAACTTGGAGAATACCAATTTTGCTTTTCCAATGATATGTCTACATTTGCCGAAAAGTCGGTTGAATTTGAAATTACTGTAAGTTTAAAGTAATTTGACTTTTTCATGAGACTAACACTTTTGTAGGTTGATTCTAGTACTCTCAAGGCTGAGCTGCCAGCCATTTCTGGGGATTCCACTAACAAAGTTGAACAATCTATTTTGAGCATTGAGTCTCGTGCTACGAGCCTACTTCGTACAATTCAATACTACAAGACTCGCAACAACCGCAATGAAAGTACTGTCAAGTCTACTGAGTCACGTATCGTTTTATTTTCACTCTTTGAACTTGCGCTCATGGTTGGTATGTCGATTCTTCAAGTTACTGTGGTCCAATTATTTTTCAAAGGATCTAGAAGAAACTTTGTTTAAACACAAAATGAAAATAAGAAGAAGAAAAAACAAAAAACATGGGAATTTTTTTTTATTTAAGCAAAATTGGGAATTTTAATAATATAAAAAACACGGATACAATATAATGATTAATTAATCAGATCACTAAATTTAAATCTTTTTAAATTTATTTCCTCAATACCATTCTCGTGCACAAATGTGCAACTCAATGCCAGTGAAAGCTGGAAGGATAATATATAAAGTTATGGAAGCGGCTGTCATTATCTTTAGGTAATGAGAAGCTAGAAATTCTGTAGCATCTCGCGGTGAAAATTCTTCTTGAAGTCGATATCTTGGTGCAATTCGGTTAAAATCTTCAGACATTGTTATTGATGAATAAAAGTTATGTTCAGAAGCTCAAAAGCTTCTTATATAAATGAGATTTTTCATTGAGGACTCTTTTCTAAAACCAAATTTGTTTTCCATTGAAACTCTATATAACAGGATATATCCTGTTATAACAGGATATGTTAAGATCAGAGAAAAAAAATTAATTACGTAACAAAAATTGTTTCATCATTGAACGAGCAATATAAAACTACCAAAACGTCATTTTGACGATGATAGCTGAAATCATCAAGTAAAGAAGTAAGTTGAGAAATAGGCATCGTAAGTTGTAAGTAAATATATCAGACGGCATGCCTTGCAAAGGTCTTCTTGTTGCCGAAGCAGAGACAACCATTATAAGGTTCGATTTCTGGTAGTGTGAAAATCTGGTGAAATGTAGCTTTCAAATGTGAAAAAATTTAAAAATTTTTCTTGTTTTTTTATTAAACCAAAAAAATGGATCTTAAAATCCTAGCAAATATTTATTCTTAAAGAAAAAATCTGTGTCTTATATATTTTTTCTCTTAGCTTTTAAGAATAACTTGAGTGACTGAAAGACTAATATTTATCGATAAATTAAGCTTACTATTTGTCATTAGAGAGTTCATTCTTATAATGGCTTCCAAATGGAGTAAAAATACAAAGTTAGTAAAAGGACATATGTAAACAAGAAGCTGTGTTAGTGCATAATGGTTAACTGTTTACATCTGATTGTTTAGAATTTGAAAACAAACTGTAACGAGGAGGTGTATGATTGAAAATTTTGATACAAAGGGAAATCTCTAATTTTTTTCGAGTTCGATAGAACTATTAGGAAAATAAATTTACATTTAAACTAATAAGCATAGTTAAAATATTGCGCGATATTTTCTATATAGAAAGATTAATCTTAAGACACAAATATTTTGTGTTTTTTAGAAAAGATATATATCTTTTATATATTGTATCTTAATCGCGACAAAAGCAAAGATAAAAAAAGTGTCGCAATTGCCAAACATAACAGTAACTTGCTAATATTTGAGCTATAAATATTAAAAATAAACTGTAAATAATATATATATATGATATCTGGAGGTTTAACTCAGAATCAAACGTAGCGATTTAAATTGCCGCCAAAATCTCGGTTTTGATACATTTAAAAAATCATTATGAGGAAAGTGTTTGTGTTTAATAAATTTCATCAAAATATTTATATATTAAGTATTAGGGCAACTATCGTACAACACCTAAAGGAAAAAAAACCGTGATTTTTATGATGCTAGATTGGTATGGGCAGCTATTTTGATTTCTAACTCTTCAAAAACTATACAAATAGTTAAGTTCATAATTATAACAATGATCAAGCTTAGTGCCAGGTTGATGTTATACGCTTCAGCCCAATATACCAGAAAATGGAAACTAAGAATAACATTAAGGGATAAATAGAATAATAAAGAGAAAATCTTTTCCAATCTTGTTCTATGTCGTCCAATATTTGCTGGAATTCATCTTGGGTTAATGGATTCATATTGATTATAAATTAGTTGACATTTGAGAGTCAAAAAAATAATTTAATGAAAATGGCAGGTATTGCAAGGGTATTTATTTCAAATTCTTAAAGACTTCTTCATGTTATTTTATGATACTTAAAAGGTTTTATAATAAATCGTTATTTCTAGAAATACATTTTAAATTATAACAATTAATATATATTTATATAAAAAAAGAGGAAGAAGAAGAAGCAAGTCCATTTAAATAAATTTATTTAAATATAAATCATCCAAATTAAATTGACTAAATTAAGAATAATTATTTATAACAATTTCTTATTAATAATAACAAGATAATTTAAATTTAAAAATTCAGTGCCTATTTAAAATTTTAAAGCAGAATTGACAACAGCATTTATGGGTCAAATATGTTATTCAACAGCTTTTTAGCTGTTTGTTAAATTTTTTAGAGAATAAGCCCTAATGAGAATAACCTGCGCTAGCAAATATTGCAAGAAGCATCATAAATGACCAAACTATTAATGAATCAATAGGATATAATACCAAAATAATTAAGTCATATAAAATAAAGTCAAATGAGTAGAAAAGTGTATTTGCCTCCACCCCTAAAGAAACGTATCTAGGACGATAAGATTGTTCATGTTTTCCAGGTGACATGCTAAATAAAATTTTAATTTGATATTAATAAGTATAATTATAACATAAAAACTGGAAAAAAAATTAGTTAGAAAAATAGTCAAAACAAAATATTTATTAGGTTTATATACTTGCACTATTGATAGTAATGTAACTGGTCAATGAATTTTTTGACAGTTTGTTCAGTATGAAATGATTATAGGTTTTTTAAAAAAATAGCTGTGTTTTTAATTAAAAACACTTTAAAAAATTTTAAATTATAATTAACATCATAATTAAAAATTTTTCATATAATCCCACTTTTTTTATTAATAAAACTATTAAAATGTTGATGAATATTTTATTTGCAAAGTTGTACTGTAAAACAAAAGCAGTTTTATAAAGCAGGTTGTAAATTTGAATATATTTTTTTTGATTACATTGTTGAAACTCAAGAAATTTGAGAATAACTGTAAGCTAAAACAGATTTCGGTTTTTTATATTATTCGGGTTAATGAAAAGATACTATAAAGCTGTAAGATGACAAATGAGATACCTGACCATTTATTATCACATATATATGTTAATTATCTAGAAACCAATTGGATGGCAATGCATTGATTTCTAGATGATTAATACTAAAAAAACTGAAGTAATATAAAAATTTATGTCATTGAACCAATTTTTAAGCAATTGTGTAAGATTAAAAGAAGTTGTATATGGATAAAATTGAAAATATTGAATCCTCTGCTCTGAGAGTTGTAAGATCCTCAAGGTAAATAATTAATGAGAGACTTTGTTCTCAGTATGAAAAATAAAATAAAAATAACGAATATAAATGAAAATGAATTAGAGTAACCTATGTAGGTATATATTAATCTATATCCAAAATATGAATGATGGTTTTTTAAGATAACCTAACAATTATGGTTGATGATTTTCTTTTTCAGGATAATAAAACAACTATGGAGAATTATTTTTCTTTTAAAAAATCACAAATCATGAAAAAAAAAATTTTTCTTTAAAAAATATATTTTTTGAAAAAGAGCCAATTCAGATAAAGTTTTGGATTTTAATTTATTTAGACCCTGGTCGTGCTGGAATACACCTATAATTATGTGTGATTGTGCCGCAGGTGATTGTGAATTGGAGCGAAATAATGAAGAAGAAAAAATAATTATAATTGATTGTATCTTTATTCTTTGCAAAGAATTTTTTTATTTAAACATCCTTAGCGCACAACCAGTAATCCAAATACCTAACAATAATCTAACAATTAGGTGAAAATATTGTGATAATGGAGCTAAAACAGTATGCCAAAATTGAAAGGTTATGGATATCATTGAAATCGCTATTATTATATGCCATGAATAACGATATAATTTGGCATCGCTTCCTTCTTCATGATCTTCAAAACGGGGGACTCCTGATGAAGAAAGATATGGCATGGTTGATTTTTAAGAAAAGAATAAATTAGAAAATAAAATTTTAAACCAATTATATATATATAAATAAAGTGTGTTGCTTTCATTTTAAGATGATAAAACGGCTTTACGTTTTAAGGATATCTTTTTGTAAAAGATATAACATGTGAAGTAACAACTGCTGTAAAAATTACAGCCATAATCAAAGGACGAACAACATTGAGAATTGTACCGCAAATATTCCTACCAAAAAGATCCCTAGGAATGGCTCGTTCATCATCTGTAAGATAGGGTTTAAGATATTGGGCTCGATACCGGCGGAGAAACGCGATTGTGTGCATTGTTTTAGTATGTTTTCTGTATAGTTTTCGTTTCAGTTTAAGAACAGTGAACAAAGCAAATTTGCTTTAAAGGAAAATACAAATTATTTATATTTATTTTTTTATTCAGATTATTATTCTTTTCATTTTTATTTTTTTTTTAGTTTGTTTTATCTTGTTCGAAACAAAAAAAAAAAAAAGTTCTGTTGCGGGCAGCTTTTCTTGATATTCCAGACTTTTTCACATCCCACAAATTAACCTAGTTTACTATTTTACACTTGCCGTCGCAAATAATTTTTTTTTTCTTCTGCTTATTCTAAAACCAAAACCTCATATACTCCAGTAACGGAACGTCTGTGGAAGTTCCACACTGATCGGCTGCAAATCCTGTGGCGTCGCAGAACTTCCTGTTGCAGCCGATGATTCTTCATCCTTAGCTCCAGCTCCGGTTCCAGTTCCAGTTCCGACGCTGCCAGCCAGCGGGCCCGCCGCCAGTGGGTCCACCAGCGACAATTTAGTCCCTGTTTGGATCGCTCGGTACGCCTCGTCAATGGCTTTGCGTTGGCCTTCACTATCTCCAGAAGAGGCTGCAGCTGTCGCACGGGTAAGAATCTCATCTACTTTGGCCACCTTGCGGTTGAGTGCAAGTCGGTCTACAAACACTTGTGACCGCTCACGATCAAGCTCATGTCGTTCTCGCTCAACCTGTTTCTCAACAGCTGTTAGTTTTCCAAGTTTTAGATCAGTCTTATAAACTTGCTGTGATAGTAAAGTGTAGAGGTCTGTGTACAGTTGCCGCTCAGTACGACTTCGTAAAACCTCCGAACGAGCAGAAATAGATCCAAATGCAACACCTATTGCGGTATCCAGCAGATCCTTTTTAGCAGTGGGTTCATCTTCTTTGGCGACTTCGTCAAGAATAACATCACCATCTGCATCCACCTTATTATCATCCTTCTTCTTATTTTCTGTCTTTTCTTCTATCTTGTCTTCTGCTTTTTCCTCTTCTTCGCCTGCCTCGGCTCGCAGTTGCGCTGCAATCTGCTTCACACTGCGACCTGTGGCCGCAGCAACAACCTGCGGGTCAACAAGGCCAGCTAAAAACGTTACCACACTCAGAACAGGATTTTCTGCCTGTGCAAATGGCACGTTTTGCATGCTGTACTTAAGGGGACCAAGTCGGTCAGCCCAAGAACGATTGGTTGACGAACATTCTTCTGTTTTCAGACGTTTTACGGGTCGAGACGAACCGGAAACGGTTGATGTAGTTTCAGACTTCAAGGCTTGTCCATTGGCTATGCTGCTACTGTTAGTGCTACTGCTGGAGGAGCCATTAGGAATATGTTTCGACGCGCCATTGGGTTTGGGAAGTGTAGAATCGAGATATGGATCTTCAATTGATAGCGAAAGAAATTTGAGAATGCATTCTTCCTTTGTTTTGGTGCCTACTGTTTCGGCAATTTTAATCCAATCGTTTGAGTATTTCTCCACACCAGTAAGAAGCTTTAGCAGTTCTTTCTTTGTCCAAGAAACATTACTGGGGCTCTCTAATAAAGTTTTTGTAGTAGCCGTTGTTGAAGAAGTAGTGGTAGTTGTTGTCGTCGTCGTCGTCGTTGTTGTAGTAGCGGGTGGTTCTGCTGGTGTTGATGTTGTTGATGTTGTCGATGATGTTGTCGCTTTAGCAGCCACATCAGCCATAGTTTTTCCACCAGGTAATAATGCTGCCTGAGGATCCTTAATGCCTTCGTAAAATTTAAACGGAAATAAGCCGCGTGGAGTATCTTGTAAAACGCGCCAGTGGCCAGTGAAAGGCGGGAATACGTTTTGAGGTCGTTGCTCAACTCCAACTTGGTAGTTAATAATGCCCCATTTGTCAAGAAATGAATGTACACGCATGATAGTCGCAGCATCACCGAGTAAGTTGCGACGGCATGCAGTCACAGTGAGATACTCAGCAGGAGATAAACGGTACGTGTTGACCATAAAGTTGCGGTATTTGCGGTATACTTCAGGGGTTTTCGAACGATTGCGGCGGTTGAAAAACTCAGGCAGCGAACGACGTTCTACTTCATGAATATGATCAAGTGCAAACCACGAAGCATAGGACGGTATAACAATTGCATGAGTTTGGATTAAACGTTTTTCTGGTTCAGCTGCACCACCAGAAATAGAGGTTGAAGCCAGGGTGACGCTATGGTCCTGTTCCTTGAGTGGTGGAATATCAGAAAGCAACACTGAGCGTGTGGATACAACAGCAGGAGCTGTTTTGCTAATTGTAATTTCTCTCTTGACATCTGATGTTGTCAATGGTTCTGTTGTTCCGGGCACAGTAGCTTCTGGTTGTCGCTGTTGCCCTGGTTGTGAAGTTGATTGTTTTTCCTTTTCAGATTTGATAGTGGATATACCAGTCACAATCGGTGTATCTGCAGTGGATTGGGAAATTTGAGATAACGAAGAATCTGCTGCTTTGGGATCAGTGTCTGGTGAAGGTTTATCTGTTGGTTGATTTTTTTCAGTTGTTTGCGGGATCTCCACCGCAGACTCCAACGGTTTTTCTAAATTTGTTTTTTGAGAGGTTTTTGAAGTGTCTGGAAGTGAAGTTTTCAGATTACTGGATGAGGCACTGGTTTCCAATTGCACGCTACCCAAGATATTTGTAGTAGTGTCTGCAGAATTATTTGTCGAAGTATTAGTTGGCGCATCTAGTTGTGCGTTGTCATTTTGCTTTTCTGTTTCAGGTTTGTCCTGGGAAAACTCAGTAACAATAAAAGTCTTATCTTCATCAAGTTTAGACTTGGTTTCTGAAGTCTTTTCAGATTCTGCTAGTTTAGACGCGTCTTCTGTTTTAGTTGTTGTTGAAGTTGAGGTTGAGGTTGTTGCAGTTTGTTCTGGAGGGGCCACAGGGGTCACATTCTTTTCAAAAGCCGTAGTAGAACCTTCGGCAGGAGCAGAGACAGGACTTATGTCAGGCATTGGAACATCTGGGAGTTCTTCAGTGTGTGTCTTGTTAGGCAATTGGTTTGTTGCTGGCTTGTACTGTTGAGAAGGGCTTATAGATGAACTTGGTTGTGATTGTTGTTGTTGTTGTAGTTGTGGTGGTGGTGGTGGTGGTGGTAGTGGAGAAGTTTCTTGTTTTTCTTGTTTTTCTTCTGGTGGGAAACTGGTGCCAGCATTGGCCGCGGTGTGGACAGAAGAGCCGTTTGGTGACGCAGGCGGCGATTTTGATTTGGGTCGCGACGCGTGCGCGTCGACATTATCGGGAGAATCTGGCATGAATAAAGATATAAATGGAATTTAAGGAATATTTAATAAATATAAATAAGAAAATTAAAAGGTAAATGTATTATAATAAAAAAAAAAAATAGAAAGAGGTAAATAAACAAAAGTACTAGAATATGTCTCAAAAGTGAGTAACGCGTCGCTTTAAAAAAAACGCGTCTTTGAGAGACGGGCAAGTGTTAAAAAGGCCAAAAAAAAAAATAAAAAAGAGAAAAGGCCTGTGATCTGATGAAAATTAAATAGTCTGTAATGGTGATTTTACAGTCCGTGGACTGGAGTATATTTTTTATTTTATTTTTTTTTGGCAACCTCGGGGGGGGGGGAGAAAAATGTCTAAAACTGCCGGTACTTTTATTTATTTATTTATTGTTTTTTTTTTTTTTTTTTTTGAGATGTGAAAAAAATGGTGGCAGTGTTAAAAACATGAATTAAGGGTTGGGGTTAAATTGTTACATATTTGTTACACAAATACTAGACTTTAACCATTACTACTTAAAGCTTAAAGCTTATTGCTTAATTATAACCGAAAGACCGACTATGACCATCGTTACCACCGGTTTTTATCTTAACATTTCTTTTACCTACAAACTTTCAAATAGAATTTCGTTCGCATTCAAATTTCTATTTTCTTATTATTGTTTTTTTTTATTGTTTCACTTATGTTAACTGACTCTCAACTTCCAAGTCTTCTTTGGTTTTCTCCTGTCGACCGGTTCACCCCCTCTTGATCACCTTTTTTTTTTTTTTTTTATTTTTCAACTCTTTAAAACTGCTGCTCTGCCCATTTTTTTTTGTGTTTTTTTTTTTTTTTTCTATCCATTGATGTTTTTCAAACCTCCGCTCAAAAAAAAAAAAAATTGAATCCCCTCCCTGCCAAGTTTCCCCCACATAAAGGCTAGTTTTTTTTTTTTTTTTTTTTTTTTTTTTTTTTTTTTTAAAGAGTGGGGAAACCCAGTCGTGCCCTCGGTATGCTGTGAAACCTATACCGTGAGTGTGCGTAATTAGTTTGGGTGTGTGTGGGTGTGTAAGCCTGTTATATATATTATATAAATACTCCGCAAACTCCCCAGTTTCTACAATCTTTTACCTTTTCATAAATTTGTACCTTTCTTTTGTTTTTTTTTTGTTTTTTTCCATCTGCCAGCCACAATCCAAGAGCTAAGAAAATAGCCAATTATATCCACTCATACAAATTTTAAGCCTTCAAATCAATCTCATAAACTTTCAATTTATTTCAATTAATCATTCAAAATGTCCAAACCTGACTCTGAAAATACCATTGCTTTGGCTGCTCTGCCACCTCCACCCCCTCCTCCATCACAAGATACCCTGCTCCAACAGTATCTCATAGAACTTCAAACTAATCCCATTCGTACTAAAGCAATCACATCTGCCACTTTAAATGCTCTCTCCGAAATCCTCGCTTCATATGTCGCTGGCGAAAAGGACCCCAAGACTGGTTCTTATATTTCGGCACGCGTGCCCAAGATGGCCCTCTACGGGTTTTTTGTTTCAGCACCTTTATCTCACTATCTCGTCAATGCCCTCCAACGCGCGTTTAAAGGAAAGACTGGTGGTGCGTGGAAAATTGCTCAGATTGTGGCTTCTCAGCTCCTCGTCACTCCTATCCAGAACTCAGTTTTCCTCATCTTTATGTCTGTTTTCGCCGGTGCGCGTTCTCTTTCCCAAGTATATGCATCTTGGAAGCAGGCCTTCCTGACAGTCCAAAAATCATCCTGGATTTCATCGCCATTGGTTATGGCCTTTGCTCAAAAATTCATTCCAGAACACGCATGGGTTCCCTTCTTCTCTCTTTTTGCTTTCTTCCTTGTTACTTACAATAACATCATTGTCAAGAAGAAGCGTCAAGCCCAGCTTAAAAAGGACCAGGATAAATCCGAATAGATATTATAAACATGAAAAAAATAAACAATATATATAGCTTTATTAAAAAAATATATATATACATAAATATATATGTATATATATATATATATATATATATATATATATATAATTACATTCAATCTAAGTATCTTCCATCAATTACCTGGCGTATTGTTAGCCGCTGCCGTGGATCTTTTTCAAAGCAACCCCTTAACAAGTGCACAGTCTTGTAAGCGCGATCATGCGCGCATTCACGAGCAATTTCGTCAGTCGTTGTTTTCCGTTCTTCTTCCAACGTTCGTCGGTACATGCGCCGAAAAATACCGCGCTCATCCCAAACTCCTTGTATTATACGTTCTCGAAGCACTGGCAACAACGCATGGCTCCAAGGCAAGTCGCCCATAACAAGCGCGTACACTACAACGCCAAAAGCCCACATATCAACACTTGGTGCATATACAGGAACTGAACTCTCCAAAACTTCTGGAGATGCATATGGAAACGATCCAAAGTGCTCTTCGCCATCATCCGCGCTGCTTGTGCTGCTCGGGCCGGCACTTATACTTCCGCGGAGACCACCGGTAGACCCGCGGCGAGATGAAGACCGAGATGATCCCCCCGATGATACTGATTGTGGCCGCGATTTGCCACTACTTCGTTTGTGATAATGATCCATTATTGAAGATGTCTCTGCTGGACCAACAACCTTTCCTGAACGAGGTTTCGGGCCGCGGGCACTTGTCTGTATGTTCTTTTCAGTCTCTGATTGCGATACAGCCAGTTTCTTATCACCACGGGCTTCTCCGTCATCAATGTAGTCCCCGTCTTCGTCCGCAAAATAGTCCGACATTCCGAAATCGCATAGTAGCAGATGTGTTCCGTCTTCAATAAGACAATTCTCCAGCTTCACGTCTCGATGAACTATCCGCATTGTTTCATGCAGATACAAAAGTGCTGCCGAAAGCTGACGGGCAAATCCCACAACACGTCGAGGCGACAAACCAACCCCGTGTTCAGCACGAACAAGATCATACAGAGTTCCTCCAGATATTTTGTCAGCAAAACAATAAACACGTCCATCACGCTCTGTCACACTTCTCAAGCGGAGCAAATTTTTATGGTCAAGGGCTTTCCACAGCACAACTTCGTGATCTACCTGTGCTTGCAGTTGTGCGCTCCGCTCTGCAACGGCTTCCGTGACAATTGCAGCTTCGGGTTGCTCAGTGCCTTCAGCTCTTGATGCAAGCTCTTGTTCCACAGCAGAAACCACCCGATCATCAAGAATTGTGGCACGCGTATCCATTATCTTAACAGCGCGCACAACCTCATGTCCATCTTCATCGATTGTTCGTGCTTCGCGCACCTGGCTAAATCCTCCATGTGCAATTTGCTTGCCTATAATATATTCTCCAATTTCCATCCCAAGTTCTCTATCGGCAAGTGCAGCCCCGGATCCAGTAGCACCTGACCCTAACCCTCCAGCTATAGATCCGCGCCGGCTTACTTGCGGGCTGTTCGTTGCCGATCCAAACCGTGACAAAAATTGCATGGCCGGCGATTGCCCACTTCCAAACAAGTCTGCAAGACTGTTATTGTTACTACTGCGATGTCGAAATGAAGATGTTCGTGAAAGTGCAGCCGCAGCGGCAGACGAAACTCCAATGCCACCTTCGCTACCTGGTCGTGATGCATTAAATGTCGAAACAGTATTTGCTCGTCCTTGTTTTCGTATTAATGTTCCACCAAAAGATGTAGAAATTTGCGGCTGTGAAACTTGTCGTTGTAACGAATAGGACGATGGTGACAAAATGAAGTCCCCATTGTTGTTGACTGGTGAAGATAAATTCCTCCGCGGACGTGCCATAAACTGAATAGGACCTGTGCTATCAGCCTCTTGTATGGCAATCGGACTAGAAGGTAAAAATGGTGTGGCACTTGGAAACGAAGACAACGAACTATTAGACTGTGCTGGAGAAAGAGGACCTCCATTATCTTCATCAAAAAGGGCTGTTGCCTCGGTTGCTTGGTTAGTTAGCTGTTCCGCTTCCTCTGGTAATAAACTACGCAGTGGCTGCACCCCAGAAACGTAGAGTAAAGGATCCAAGTGCTCTGAAACTGCTGCTGCATCGGCTTCAGAAGCGGTGCCTGTTACAAGTAAAGCTTTCAGTTTGCGCCGCACGCTGAATGGTAGCGCACGCATTTGGTCGCGACTGAGTCGACTAGTAAATGCTGCATAGTCTTCGACAGAAAATAAAGGAGTTCGTGTGAGTGGAGAGAACGGCACTGGGCTTTCCGGGAGGTATTCTGCCGAGTCTGAATGCCGTAGTCCTTTCCTTTCCTTTTTACTTGGCTGTAGTTTGGTATTGCTAGGTGTAGGTGTGATTTCCGGAGAAGATGGCTGCGTTGATTTTATCTGTTCTACTCGTTGGGGTAACAGTCGAGGAGTTTTTGCCAACTCTTCTTTTTGGATTTGAATGGATATCTTTGATAGCCCAGTTTTTCGTGGTGATTCGGTTTCAGATTGTGAAGGATGTGGTGATGGTGGTGGTGGACATAAACTGTCATCATGGCAAAAAACCATATGATCAGTAGATATTGCAGGTGTCGCCCATTTGCTATTCTTTGATGCTCGTTTTTTTGGTATAGGTTTATGATAGGCACTGTCTGGATTTTGAACAAACTCTTGTTCAAACATGCTGTCAATAAGTTGTTCTTCAATATCATCCTTTGTTGATTTTTTTCTTGTAACTGCCCCATCCAGGCTCTGTACAGGGTCTGAACCAAAAAAATCATTACATGAAAGCGCGGGAGAGATGGGTGTCATTCCATCATCCATAATCTCATCAGGTGGTAATTGTTGAAAATTCTCCATACCTGTGATACTCTCTCGGCTATTGCTGTTGTTATTAATGTTGGGATAGCGGCTACCACTTCCCCGAAGCGTTCGTGGAATGGTGATTCGAGGTCGGTCAGGGCTTGTAGGCTCATGGGTATCTGGAGTGGAAAGTGCTGTTGTTGCTGTTGCGGAGCGCCGTAAAAACCGCGAGATTCCAGGATTGGAGTATGGATTCATGGTGGTGATGCTATAAATATTGGTTGTAGTGTAATGAATAAGGAAAAAGTAAGAAAAAAAATGAAAAGAAGAAATTTATAGGAAAGAAAAAAGAAAGAAAAAAAAAAAGCATGCACGGGACATATAGAGACTTTTAAAAAAAAAAAATTCCAGAAAAATAAATAACATTTCTTTTTTTTAAAGTTTTTTTTTTTTAAAGTTTTTTTGTGGGGAAGCACCAGAAACGTCACTGCAATCACATGTTTCTCCATTAGCAAACTCAGCCCCAAATATTTGGCAAAAAAAATCCCAAATTGATGTTGAACTGATTTACTAACTTTTTTTTTTTTTTTTTGGTTGTAATTTTGTCAAAAAAAATAAAATTGTCCCATCAATTATTTTCTATATCTTCGATAAAAAAAAAAAACTAAAACGAGCTTTCTTTGATTTGGAAATGATTCCAAAAATCAACAAACCAAAAATATAGATTTACAATATTAGGCCCTTAGTTTTCTTACAAATCACTAAGTTGTTTCAAATAGCATAAAAAAGTAGTGATTTTGCATAAAATTCTTTTTAAAAGTACAGACTTTAAATAGAGGATTTCTATGAACTTTGACTCAAAAAAAAAAATATATATATTCAAGAACTTGGGGGTTTTTTTTTTAGAAATTTTTTTTTTAAATTTATGTCATTCCAATTCTCTTGTAAAAATGTTGTGTAATCTGACGTTTAAATAAAACATTCTCACAATATTTTACCGTTTCGAGATACCCTTTGTTAACCGAAGATACTTAACAGTGAACTTTTAATTTCAGTTCTTTAATTTCAAATTACAATAACTGTAATTACAATAAATTTTTTTTAAAAAAAAATTCAAATAATAAAGAATATATCAGAAGACCATTTATCTCATTTGACTAGCCTTCAATAGGTTTGTTCGATGTTTAGAGATAAATTTTGTTTTTATTCCAAGGCTTCATTAGAAACGTTTACTTGGGTTTTCACTATTAATAGTAATAAATATTTATTTTTTTTAGTATTCATTTGACTTCTGAGTATTAATATATTAACTTATATACATATAAGTTACCAATTCTAACATATCAATTCAAAGATCAACATGTTTATAATAAGGGTTCTGTAATGTTGAGACTCTTTTTCTCACTATTATTATTTCTGTGTTACATAATTATTTAAATTTAAGGATTATGAAACAGAGTTATTAAAAATTGCTAATTATAACTAATTAGTTATGTAAGATTGTTAAAGGAAATCAATGTTGATAAATAAATTACAGACTGACGAGGGGATTAATTTCTATCTTTGGAGATAAAAACAAACAAATAAATAAACAAGCGAACGGATTCAGATTATTAAATGAATTCATTCTAATAATTAAAATAACTACACTCCAATATATCTTTTTTTTTATCAACCTAAGGCTCTGTTATCAGTTTATTAAAAGAAGCTTAGTTAAAAAACTATCTAAGATAATTTTGTTTCATGTGGTTGCCAACCGTTTAGTAAGTGTTAATTGATCATAGTAGCAGTAAAATAAATATCTTATGCTTTACTCCGTGGGTTTATATAATCTTGGCTTTTTTTTTTTCAACATCTAAAAAAAATGATTTTAAATGAGAGAAAATAAAATTCAAACTATCTAAATATATAAAACCGAATATTACTCTTAATTAAATATTCAAATATTTTTACAATCTTAGAAATTTTTAATCACCATTATCATATTTAAAATTGATACATTAATAAATTCCTTCATTTCTAATTTGCTTGACAAATGATATTTTAAGGTACTATTTAGCCACATGAAAATTGTCCATAAATAAGTGATAGCAATATTTTTGAAGGAAAGTAAACATGAATTCTGCTTGTACTCAATAGTAGACAACCAGTATAATAATATGTGTTTGGCTTATACTTCATTTTCAATAAGGAGAAGTGCAATGTTATCAAAATAAAAAAAAAAAAATTTTTTTCTTTCAATCTTCCTTATATCTTCCTTCATCCTTCTTTCACTCTTAATCTAGTTAACTTGACTTTACTTACCTATTTCCAACTTTATTTCTTATCTGTGTATAAATTATTTGAATAAGACTTTTTTTTTGAAAAAAAAAAAAGAAAAAACCCGTTTGGAAAAGGCTGATTAAAATTATAGGTAAGTCTACGTCATCTATAATTTTATTTTTGCTGAAAACCTGTAAGTTTCAGCTTGACATTAAAATATACTAATTAGTATTATTATTATTCATTTATAATGAAGAATGCATTTGCTTTTGTCAGCAGCTGTATTATTGCAGCTTGGTTCCATAGTGTCTTCTATTCAAGTCATTTCTGAAGAAAGCCTAGAATTTTCTTTTATTAATTCTACTTATGACTCCATATCTTTAAGTTCTTCCGAGGAATCCTTTTCTTTCACTGAAACATCATATGAATCTACAACTGAAATATCTTCCAGTGAATATACTACCTCTGATTTTTCAAGCGAGCCCAATTTGCCCAAGCCTTCTATTTCTTATCAATTTGGAATGGGTTGTCAAAAAAAAAAAAGAGAAAATACTGATCAATTATTGAATTTGCGCGATGACAACACTCAATACTGTATTAATAAGGCTTTGACATTTAATCAATGTTCATCGTTATGCTCTAGCCTTAGTGTTTATGCAATCGAAAATCCTGACACTATTTGCAGTGATTTAGCTGAAGGGGGTTCTCAATTTAGCAACAGTCAAGTATGCCGCTTATGTATTGACAACTATGGATACGACTATTTTCAAATTAATTGGCTTGTAGCCAGTTTAAAAAGCTGTTTTGGAGATGACTATCGAAAATCATATGAATGTAACGATCAGCCATACTTTATTACCCTTTATCCTGAAGCAATCGAAAACTCTCCAGCTACTCCTAATTTTTCTGTCGATAGTTCAACTGCTTCAGATGAATATGACCAACTTCAAGAATATCTATCTTCTCAAATATGTGTTGATGTTTACGATGAATCAAGTTGCAGTAACGCTTTGAACTTAGTTCTTTTTAAACTTAATTCTTATACTGTAGCTCAAGCAAACAATCACTTTACGTCTTTAGAAAATTCCAACTACATTATCAAATACCTTATACTTTGCACAAATGACTATGATTCTCTCAGTAAGACATTCATTTTTTACATATATAACTTTATTCGTGGATTTTGCAATGGCTTCGGTTTCTCATCCTTGGAAGCATGTCCAGTATCTTCCTCAAACTCTGTTGATTATTCTTCCTTTTCTAATTCTGAAAATTTATTCGAATCTTCTTTAGTTGATTCATCCGAGATTTCTTCATCACTAATTTCTTCTATTTCAGATTCATCGTCAACAGAAATTGAATACTCCTCCAGTATTTCATTTGAGTCTTTAACAGATTCTATAACTGAATTTGCAACTGAATCTTCTTTTTCTTCTTCTGATTTTGAGTCGTCTAGTGAAGGTACTAATTCAGAAATTGATAGTGAACCAGTTTTACCGGTTCCTTCGATTTCCTTTAATTTTAATAGAGGATGTGGGAAAAAAAAACGAGATGAAACTACCCCTTCTTTGCATCGCCGCAATACCAATTACTGTATCAACTCCTTGACATTTAACCAATGTTTCCGCTTATGCTCAAGTCTTAACGTTTATGCTATTGAAAATCGCGACACTATTTGTGAGGACATATCAGAAGAGGGTGATCAATTTAACAACAGCCAAATATGTCTTGGATGTTTTGGTGATTATGGATATGACTTCTTTAATTCGATTTGGTTACTGGCTAGTATAAAACAATGTCTTGGAGACAATTATGTAAATACACCAAACTGCCGCTATCACTCAGACTACGTCCCCATTTACTCAACAACAATTGAAAATTCACCAGCTACTCCTACATTTTCTGTAGACGCTTCAACTGCTTCTGCAGAGTATGATCAACTTCAGGAATACCTATCTTCTCAGCCTTGTGTGGATATTTACGACGAAGCTCTTTGCATTACTGCATTAGATCTAATGCTTTCAAAACTTAATTCTAACACAGTCTCCCAAGCTTACCATTATTTTTCCGAGAGAAACAATTATATACTTAAATATCTTGTTTTTTGCTCGGAAAATTTTGATTCAGTTGGCAATTATTATAGTTTTTATGTTCAGACACTACGTGGCGGGTTTTGTTCAACTATATTTTGGGCAAATTTGGATGCCTGTCCAGTATCGTCGTCATTAAAACTAACAACAAGCCTCCTTGATTCTGAGAGTAGTTTGGTTTCGATTACTAGCTCAATTTATGGATATTCGTCCTCTTTTGAGTCCTCTTTTTCTGAATTTTCTTCTTCTGAATTGTCTTCTGCTGATTCTTCTTCTGAGTTTTCTTCTGAGTCTTCTTCTGCTGAATCTTCTTCTGCTGAATCGTCTTCTGAGTCTTCTTCTGCTGAATCGTCTTCTGCTGAATCTTCTTCTGCTGAATCGTCTTCTGATGAATCGTCTTCTGATGAATCGTCTTCTGATGAATCGTCTTCTGCTGAATCGTCTTCTACTGAATCGTCATCTACTGAATCGTCTTCTGAATCATCTTCTGCTGAATCGTCTTCTGCTGAATCGTCTTCTGCTGAATCGTCTTCTACTGAATCGTCTTCTGCTGAATCGTCTTCTGCTAAATCGTCTTCTGCTGAATCATCTTCTGCTGAATCATCTTATGCTGAATCGTCTTCTGAGTCTTCTTCTGCTGAATCATCTTCTGCTGAATCGTCTTCTGCTGAATCGTCTTCTGCTGAATCGTCTTCTGCTGAATCGTCTTCTACTGAATCGTCTTCTGCTGAATCGTCTTCTGCTAAATCGTCTTCTGCTGAATCATCTTCTGCTGAATCATCTTCTGCTGAATCGTCTTCTGAGTCTTCTTCTGCTGAATCGTCTTCTGCTGAATCGTCTTCTGCTGAATCGTCTTCTGGGTCTTTTTCTATTGAATCTTCTTCTGTTGAATATTCTTCTGCTGAATCGTCTTCTGCTGAATCGTCTTCTGAGTCTTCTTCTGCTGAATCATCTTCTGATGAATCGTCTTCTGATGAATCGTCTTCTGCTGAATCGTCTTCTACTCAATCGTCTTCTACTCAATCGTCTTCTGAGTCTTCTTCTGCTGAATCTTCTTTTGTTGAATCGTCTTCTGCTGAATCATCTTCTGCTGAATCGTCTTCTGCTGAATCGTCTTCTGCTGAATCATCTTCTGCTGAATCATCTTCTGCTGAATCGTCTTCTGCTGAATCGTCTTCTGGGTCTTTTTCTATTGAATCTTCTTCTGTTGAATATTCTTCTGCTGAATCGTCTTCTGCTGAATCGTCTTCTATTGAATCTTCTTCTGTTGAATATTCTTCTGCTGAATCGTCTTCTGCTGAATCGTCTTCTACTGAATCATCTTCTGCTGAATCGTCTTCTGCTGAATCATCTTCTGCTGAATCGTCTTCTGCTGAATCGTCTTCTACTGAATCGTCTTCTGCTGAATCGTCTTCTGCTAAATCGTCTTCTGCTGAATCATCTTCTGCTGAATCATCTTATGCTGAATCGTCTTCTGAGTCTTCTTCTGCTGAATCATCTTCTGCTGAATCGTTTTCTGCTGAATCGTCTTCTACTGAATCGTCTTCTGCTGAATCGTCTTCTACTGAATCGTCTTCTACTGAATCGTCTTCTACTGAATCGTCTTTTACTGAATCGTCTTCTACTGAATCGTCTTCTGAGTCTTCTTCTGCTGAATCTTCTTTTGTTGAATCGTCTTCTGCTGAATCATCTTCTGATGAATCGTCTTCTGCTGAATCGTCTTCTGCTGAATCGTCTTCTGCTGAATCGTCTTCTGCTGAATCATCTTCTGATGAATCGTCTTCTGCTGAATCGTCTTCTGCTGAATCATCTTCTGCTGAATCATCTTCTGCTGAATCGTTTTCTGCTGAATCATCTTCTGTTAAATATTCTTCTGCTGAATCGTCTTCTGCTGAATCGTCTTCTGAGTCTTCTTCTGCTGAATCATCTTCCGATGAATCGTCTTATGCTGAATCGTCTTCTGCTGAATCGTCTTCTGCTGAATCGTCTTCTGCTGAATCGTCTTCTGCTGAATCATCTTCTGCTGAATCATCTTATGCTGAATCGTCTTCTGAGTCTTCTTCTGCTGAATCGTCTTCTGCTGAATCGTCTTCTGCTGAATCGTCTTCTGCTGAATCGTCTTCTGCTGAATCGTCTTCTGCTGAATCGTCTTCTGCTGAATCGTCTTCTGCTGAATCGTCTTCTGCTGAATCGTCTTCTGCTGAATCATCTTCTGCTGAATCATCTTTTACTGAATCGTCTTCTACTGAATCGTCTTTTACTGAATCGTCTTCTACTGAATCGTCTTCTGAGTCTTCTTCTGCTGAATCTTCTTTTGTTGAATCGTCTTCTGCTGAATCATCTTCTGATGAATCGTCTTCTGCTGAATCGTCATCTACTGAATCGTCTTCTGAATCATCTTCTGCTGAATCATCTTCTGCTGAATTGTTTTCTGCTGAGTCTTCTTCTGCTGAATCGTCTTCTGGGTCTTTTTCTATTGAATCTTCTTCTGTTGAATATTCTTCTGCTAAATTGTCTTATGATGAATCGTCTTCTGCTGAACCCTCATCTGTTGAATTGTCATCTGTTAAATTGTCTTCTGCTGAATCGTCTTTTGCTGAGTATTCTACCCCTGAATCGTCTTTTGAGTCTTTTTCTGCTGAATTGTTTTCTGCTGAATCCTCTTCTGCGAAATCTTTTTCTGATGAATATTTTTCTGTTGAATCCTTTTCTGATTCTTCATTTGCTGAATCCTTATCCGCGGAATCAATTCTATTTTCTTCTTTTTCGTTTCCTTTTGAATCATTGGTGAAATCATCTATTGAGTCATCCATTGAAGATATTGCTTTAACTTTTACAGAATATTCAGTTGAATCATCTTCCAATGAACCTTTAGCTGAAATTTCATCAACTTCATCCTCTGCATCAAGCCAATCTTTTATGGAATCTATTATTACAGCTATTCTTAAAGCTTCTTTAAATTTGAGTTCACTTGATACCCTAACAAAACTTGTTCAATCAATTGTCGACCTTTACATTAATGAGCTTGGTGATTTGTCAACTCTTCTGTTTTCTGTTTTATTTGATGGAAGTATTTTATTTAAGCGTGCTTCAACTGTTGAAGAAGCTACTGTTGCATTTACACGATATACAAATACTTTACTCAATTGGTTTACCCAGGTATCATACTCTGAATTCCTTTTGCTGATCAGCAAAATTCAAAACTATGCAGACCCTTCGTTGGTGGAATCCTTGGTGCGTTTAACTATCTCCCCTTCATTTAGTTTAGCCGAATCTGTCATCAATAACTATGCGTCTCAAAGTGAAGAATTCAATAGCTTAGTAAATTATTTTTATCCAGTTTTTGATAAGTTTATTAAAGAAGTCATCACCGCACTGTATGCTAAGCATAGTGGTTTATCTAGTGAGAGTGTGTTTTTCATCGAATCCGACACATTTTTGTCCACTTTAGCAGAAACTTCTTCTCAGCCTGTTGCTTTAACAACTACCATTTTAGCCACTACCATTACAGAATCAACTACATTTGTCAAAACTGAAGGAACAGTTATCGCCACCGTTACTGAGCCTTGTGAAACTACTTTTGAAACAATTGTCATTGCTTCTGAAACCACTTACGCTATCACTGAGCCTTGTACTAAATGCTCCACTAAGACCTTTACCGTATCAACAGTTATTGCAATCACCTCCACATTACCCAATAATCAAATAGCCACTATTACTACGGCTCATGAAGTTGTTGTTACAGCAGAAGTCACCAAGCTTCCCGAATCTGGTTACACCGTGGTCACTCATAATGGAGAAACGACTGTCACTGAAGCTTGCTCATTATGCAAGACTTATACAACTACAGAGAACGAAATCACTACATTCATTACAACATCGGGAAATGTAGTTTTGATTGTTAGTGAGCCTTGTGAGTCTACATATACAATCTTTAAGTCTTCTGCCATTTCCGGGGGTGATGTCAATACAGTTACCACTACAGTTGGTAATGTTTGCAACGGTTGCAAATCATGTACAACGACAAAGACAAGGCTTACGACGTATACAGAATTATCAGGAACATTACCCGTAACTGTTACAGAACCTACTGTGTCTATTTATATTGTAGTTGAATCATCTCCTACTTCTGTTATTATACCCTCTTCAGCTCAAACCACTTATACTACAACAAAATCTGGGTTTACCACTTTCTCAACAATTTTAGGGGCATCTACTGTCACTGTAACTGAACCTTGCGAATCCACATATGTGGTTTTTGAATCAAAAATGGATACCTCTGCTTTTTTGCCAACTTCAACATGCATTAGTTGCCTCACATATACCACTACAAAACCTGAAATTGTTACTTTTACCACAACCTTTGGATCAGAAACTGTTACTATCACAGAGCCTTGTGATTTCACTTACATAGTAATTGAATCATCGATTAAAAGTAGTGTCCATGAAACTTATAAGGAGTGCTTAGAGTGCAGGACTTTTGAAAGGACAGAAAGTGCATTTACTGCTTATACGACATCATTATCTGATAAAATTGTTACAGAACCTTGGGAAACCACTCATATCGTTTTTGAAACACCTGTAACTATAGGTGAATCTCTGGGAGTTTCTGTTTCTACTGATGCTATTTTTTTAAATATAGGTGGTTCTACCATTAAAACATGCGTTGATTGTAAAACCTTGATTCAAACTTCCACAAGGTTTACCACTTATATGACTACCTCATCTGGTATTATCACAACACTGAAAGAGCCCCAAACAGTTGTTTCTACAGTTGTTGAACCTTCAATTTCTTTAGAAAGTTTAACTACGAGCTTAGCGACCACCATTATGATACCTAAAACCTCTGTTAGTTTACAGGAAATGCAGAGCCCACTAGCAAGTAATTCTCTCATCACTAGTTTAAACACTATGGTTTCCGCTTCACCTAGCGGTATCTTTAGTTCGTCGCAAGTAGTAGCTAATTCTTCTACACAGCCTAAAGAGTTAACTATAGAAAAAAGTGAAATCACTACAGTTCCTACTACAGACATTATAGTTTCGAAAAGCCCAAGCTCAGCGGTTTCAACAAGTAATGACACACAAACGCCAGTGTTTGGAGAGTCGACAATCATTGAGCAAACCAATTCAGGTATTTCATTGAAAAATGAAGCTTTAGTGTTTATTGCATTATTGTTAGTTCTGTTTATTTAAAAGAAATATATTTTCATCTCGTTTTGTTTTTATTTTGCTAGTTTAATTTAATTAATGCATTTTTAATATAATTTAAAATAAAAAAAATTAATTTACTTAAGTTGGGTAATTATCTTTGCAATCCAACTATGAAGTCAAATAAAAAATTAATTACTATTGAATACTTTGTTAAAATTATTTTTATCTAGCTTTAACTTAATTAGGTTATTAATATACATAAAAAATTCTGAATGTCTTGACGTTTTCACTATCACATTTCCGAGACACTCTTGTTAATTCTTTCAATTTAAAATCACTTTGAAACATGGTATAAACATGAGGTATGTTAGCCTCTTAAGACTGGTTCAACCAGAGTATTGTATCCAAATATTATTTCGGTCTTGAATGAAAAAAATAATGAAAAAGACAGCTATTTCCATCACAATTACCCCCTACACCGAGGTGGGATATGGCGCAATTCGCGCTTTGAGGGAGGCGGAATTCCACCCCATTCCTGAATGAAGTCCTCCGATCCGCGATCAATTTCTGGGGGGGCAATAGGGTCGCTATCATTTGCAGTTTTTGAACGGACGCGATCGAGATAGGAGTGAAGAGTTGGCGGGAGTGCGTCAAACTCGGAGCGCGTGCGGTTGACACACCGAACCATGTTAAGGAAAAGGACACAGAACCTAATCTTGTCGTCAACGTGACGCTGTGAGTAGTCGAGACTGCGGTTTTGAGACATAGAGCACCATTTTTCTTGGATATCTTCCCCAGCGCTGAACGAAACAAACTTTAATCGCCACAAAAAATCGTCTTCGCCAGGTTGACGCATGCGGTCGCGGGTTCGCTTTTCTGACCACCAGTGCTGAACCTCGAAAGACCCTGTGTAGGTGGCGAGATTGTTGGGTGTACGCCAGGTATCTGGGTCGTCAAGTTGGTACTTGAGACTGCGGCGGCAAGCACCACAGCGGTAGAGCATGTCACCAGAGTTAGGTTCGAGGTTTGGTCCAATGACAAATTTCTGTGCTAAGTTGTTGCTTTCAAGATAATCTTGGGTGAGCATCTTAGATGTGATGATTCCCTCAGAGAGATCAACGTCGTCTTCAACAGCGTCAAACATCCATCCAGCGTAAAGATAAAACTGTTCCTTTTCATCGCCAACGGTGCCGTTTTCGGTCTTTTTTTGATAAGAAAACCGGGCCAAGTCTCTGCTTGCAAGCTTTTGGTGCAAAACGCCGACATCGGTGACTTGGCCAGGACATTGACCATAAAGACCAATGGTAAGACCATCAGGAGCGACCACGGAGACATATCTGATGATATAACTGCGTGTTTCTGGGTCAATGTATGGTTCCCAGTCTTCTTTGATAGGAACGTGAACACGGATTTTGCGAGTGCTTAGGGACGCAAAAATGTGGTCGCGTTGTTCAGCAAGTTTAAGTTCTTTAGCGGAGTGCGGTCGGTCATCTTTAACATAGTATGGAATGGAACCTGCAGGAGATGGAGGTTTTTCAAGCCGGGCCATTGCTGCATAGGAACGTACACGCTCCTCACAGAGATAGGGGTTTGAGCCTAGAGATAAAAGGTTGCGATAAGCACCCATGACGGCTGTGATAACATGGTTCACAACTTTTGATATGACGGAGGCCGGACGGCCAAATGAAGTTTCGAGAAAGTCTCCAGTTGCACAGTCTCTGTGAAACTTGCATAGGGTGATAGAAAGAGCCTCGCGGCGACCAATGCGGTGGCCACAAGCGCTGTGAACATCAATGGCTGTAAGAGCGTCTGCAATTTCCTCCACAACAATCTTTGAAAATCCAGTGAGCTCGACGCATGTATGGTTGTCAAGAAGTTGCCATAAAGGGTCGCTGAACTTTTGTTCTGGTCGCTTAGCCTTTTTTACAAGACGGGTAATTTTGCCTTGGGCTACTTCGAGTACATTGATTAGGGTAGCGACATGCTCGCGGGGAATGACAAGGTCACCGTTTGAACCTGAGCTCGATGCATATTCGGAAACAATCCGGTTGATTTCGCCGAGGTTACCGCTCAACGAATCGAAGAGTCGTTTCTGCGAAGACATGGCTTTTGGATGGGTTTCTTTGCCTGTTTTATTTTTCGTTATTATTCTTGTTGAGATAGGAAGGAAATTAATATAAATGTTGGAAAAAAAAAAATTTAACTTAAATAGCGATGAGGGCTTTTTCAAAGTGGTGGCAATGAAACAGTATCATGTGATATTGGAATTGTGGTTTAATTATATGGAGCATCAACCTTTAGAACGTTTGTTGGTACAGAAGGGACAAACACATTAAAAAATAAATTGGATATTTGAGTTTTGAAATTTTTAATTATTTTATTACATGATTTTCTATTTCTTTAAGCTGTTATATAGCTAATTAGCTATATTATAATATCATATATTCCAATTTAAGCGGTGAAATAAATATGTGATAAGAATACTTAAAAATAATCAAAAAAACTAAGAAGGTTTTAAAATGCTAGATATTAAAATTCTCTTAAAATCTACAAGTGAAGGATATGAAATTGATATGATGCTCTTAAATTTACTTTAGGGAGATTGAAAATTAAAGTAAAAAATAAAAGTATGTATTAACTTGCTCAGAAGATACACAAGCGGGAATTGAACCCGAAATTGGCCAAAAATTACTCTGATCACCACTAGTAGTGCTTTCCGTTGCTAGTACTAGCGAGAATTATTCTTCAATATTCATATATATCAATCCATAGCCCAAAAACAGTATATTAATTTAATGATGAAAATCGAGAAAAGAGAAATCCACAAGTTGGAAGTGATGCAGATTATGGCTTTGAGAAGAATCGTTGATGTTTATCGCACAACTCCTATTGCGGTATTACTAAAGGCAGCAGGTACTATGCCATATAGAATTAGACTAAAATTTACGGCAACACAAAAATTTATTTGTTTACACCTACAAATGTTAGCAAAACTGATCCTATTGATGGTCATTTGTTAAAATTTATTGAGAAATCTCCAATTGAAAAGCTAACTACGCCTTATATGTTGGCGAAAGATGACCGAGATTTGATGATTAAGAAGGATGAAAAACGAGGACGCAGGAGAAGTAAGTCTTACATTGAAACAACAACAGAATCAGACAATTGTAATTTTGAAGAATGGCAAGAAATGAATTGAAATAGTAATAAGGATCTGTGATGTCACAATATTGCAATATCGCAGTGGAGTCGAAATGGACTGATAGTCCAAGGATCTTAAGTAACAGTACTCGGTTTTATACAGGCCATCGCAATTTTGGCCCATGGGTTAAGAGGTTCGGAATTGAAAAGAATAGTTACAACTGCAAATGTGAAGAGTTGGAAACAGTTCATCAAATTTTCTTTAAGTATCATATGCTTCAAGAAGAATGAAAAAAACTGAAAGGATATCTCCAGAGACTGACAAGTCGACTTTCTTAAACAGTTCATTTGACTTGCAACAAATTGTAAGCTTTATCTCTGCTAAGGAGGATTAAGATATAAAATTATAAGGTTGTTGAAGACAAGTGGTGATAAGATGGAAAGGTTTGGTGTTTTGACTCCCTGGTCCTCATAAACTGGCATTAGGACGTATTATCGGGCTGTTGGAGATGCAATGTTGAAGCAAAATTAAAAGTTTATTATGAAAATGAAAAGATATATGGTATATACCATATATCTTTTCATTGAGCTATCCTTCTTTTTACATATATGTAAAAAGAAGGATAGCGCAGATGCTTATGTTATATAATTCTATAACCCTTGAATAAAAACAAACAAACAAACGTTTGGCAAGGAGCTTTCTTCTGCTGTTAAAGATTTTAATGTGCAAACAGGGCTCTAAAATCAACTGACCAAATTGATGACCAAGCTAAAGTTTTCGAGAAGGTTGTGAAAAGAGTAATGGCAAAGTCGATAAAGAAAATTAAGGTTATAAAAAAGTTCAAGTTCTATTGGAATGAAGAATTGAGGGAGAAGTTAGAAAAAAAATTGTACCTTTTTAGAATATACAAACCTATTTTGTTTAAATTTTTTTTAACTTCATAATCTATGCAATTAACAATAATATATACTAAACAATTATATGTTTAATAAATAACATATCTTGCTACCCGTTTAATACTTTTAATAATGCATCTTTGTGATCCGAGAGGAGCGGAGCGACTAGCGCCAAAACAGCTTGTACCACTAAACCATCGAGCCTTGATTTAAAGCTGTATTGATAAAAAAAATATCGTCACGTGAATACATTTTGCAAATGAATAAAAAAAATATTCACCAAATCAAAAGATCTGGGTTGGTTTCTTTAATAAAAACAAACAAATTGAGTTGGTTGTCAAGAACCTTTAAATGAAAATAAATATATTGACATGTTGGTTGATAGTCCAGGTGTTTCCTTCAAAGTCATATCACGTGCTTCTCTTGAAGATTTAAAAGCCGCTTTTGGATTTTGCATTATACCTTTACCCGCCTCATGTAAAGATAGGTACGATTTTGGCGAATATATTAATGGATTGTTTATATGTTAGTTTAAAAAGAATGTTACTATTCATTAGGACCATTGACTACAAAAAATCTGTATTTTTATTTTTATCAATTTCATTACTATATTATTATCAGGGTTAGCATTGTTTTTTCATTTTAAAATGATGATTTTTACTATCAAGATGAAAACCCCAACGCGTTTAATGAAGAAAAGGATTTTGATTTTAAAACTTAAATCTGACAGAGTATATATTTCAGAACGTACACTTATGTCACCTTTTGTTGTATCCACAGTAGTCATTGATGCTACTATTGATATTTTATGTAAGTAAACCATGCTGAAGGCTTTATATCACACCACTTGTCTGCAAAAGATATTTAAGAAAGGAACTGTATTTGGTATAAATTTGTACTGTAGTCTTACTATGAAAGAATATATACTAGATCATTGCTAGAAGGAATGATGAATTGATAAGGATATCTACAAAAATAATCTAATTAATTTGTTTCAAAATCTCAGCATTTATAAATGGTAGGTGTATTGGAGTTTAATAATTAATCCTCACTCATAACTTCACCAGAGGCACGCATATAGTGAAATCAACCCAAAAATAAAATTCTGACAATTCATAACGAATAATTGTTTGAGTCAATGTCAAGACCTTGGAAGCTTCTTTTTGCATATTTATGGACTTTAAAAACTAAGAGATTGTTGTATTTAAAAGAATAGTTTCCAGGCTAGAACTAAATTTAGCCGCTTTTTAGGACGCTCAAAATTTTTAGATCAAATTATTGTGGGATCCCACAGCTAAATCATTATAGCCACCAATATTTTAATAATATTTCCTATTGGAAAAAACCTAGCTAGAATATAAATTTAAATACAAATTTAAATACAAATTTAAATACAAATATAAATATAAATACAAAAAAGGAGTTTATAAGGGTGGTATAATAGGTTGCTCTTTAAATCCCAGGACCAAACAAAGTTGGCCTAGTGGTTTGGCTGCCCAAAAAAGTTGAGGTTTATGAAAGACGAAAGAAAAAAAAAAAAAAAAAGGGTCACTTCTAAATTAGGATAGTGGTCAGAAACCTTCAGATAGCAAGGTCTTGGATTTCATTCCCAGTAATAAAAGGATACATTACTTCTAGACCGTTGGCTTTGTTGGTCAGCACATTACGTTGGTTCAAGCCAGATTACCGCATGTTCTGGAGGGTAACTGCTTAATGTACCAAGTTGCGGCTGCAATTTCCATCATATTTCTTGTAACATATGTGAAGGAAATTGTAGCCGCAACTCGGCAAATTGTTAATTAATCAAGTCTGTCATGCGATTTGGTGCTTGTGGACCAGTCTAGACAAAAATAAAACTCCTAGCCGAGATTCATTCTCTACAGTGAATAATCATAAGACCCCTATTTCCTTTACAATCTCTATATTTAAGGCAAACTATTTATTATTATTATTATTATTATTATTATTAGGAAATTTTTTAATTTACATTATTGTTACAAAAAATATACAAAATTGAATATAAAAAACATAATCAAAAACTAAGAAGTGAGTATCACCACCGTTATCAGCACAACACAATTAAATATAACTGAAGAGAAAATGAATGAAGTTCATCTTATGTGACCAAAGTAAACAACGTGAGCTGATGTAACTAGAAAACTAATTATAATTAAATATAATTATATTTCGACTGACTATTATCTTAATTCAATAACTTTTATTTATAACTTCCTACTTAAAATACACGGGAAACATAGTTTAAAAATAAATAAAAAAACAAAGGAATATTTGTTAAATATTTTTCATTGTTTTTAAATTTGCATTTATTGTGAAAAGTTTTAAAAAAATGCTATTTTTTCAATATGCTTATTTTTAAGCCACATAGTGACACTGCTTTCACACTAAAACTTAAATTTACCTCTCGTATCAATACAAAAAAAAATTTCTAGTGATATTTAAAGTGACTTATGGTTTTGCAAACTCTATTTAAAATAGAAAGTGGGAAAGTTTTCCGTAATGAAATTTCATACCTAAAATGCATGTTTATATATATACACATTCTTATTGATCAATAATACTTCATTAAGTGTTCTGATAATTTTTGATAGTGGAAATGTCACTTTTTGATATTATCTGATGATGAAATCAACAAATAAGTCTGAATTTATTTTTCTCTTGGGGTTTTCTTTAGCCTAAGTGGAAAATTTACTAAATTTAATGAAAAAAAAAACTTTCGAGGTAAGTCCATATGGATATCATTTAAATCACTTTTTGGTCTTAGTTTATGAGGTTATTCAACTTTATGAAAATATGATGATTATGGGGAAGGTGGATTTCAAAAGATCTTCAAAGACCAAAAAATAATAGAGTTGTGAATACCGCTATTTTTTTAAAAAGATAAAACAAGCAATTTTTTTCTTAAAGTTAATTAAGGAAATGATTTAATGATGAAATAACTCCGGAGTTATTAACGGATCCGTTACTTGAAAAGTCTTTCTCTATTATTTTAATATTAAAAACTAATATTTGTAACATTTGAATCTAATTGATTATTAAAATAATTAT